CCAAAAAGTATGTATCGGCCGGGGGGTTATCCTTTGGAGATTCAAATGCTTTGGGGATTGCAGGAACAGGGGGGACATCTTCTTCGTCGCCCGAGGGCAATGAGCCGTGAGTAGCAGTATGCTTTGGAGCGGGTAATCGAGATACGGAGGACGACTGCGACAGGCGCGGTTGTAAAGAGCCGGTAGACGTCCTCACGGTGTTGAAGCTAACGGTAGAACCAACGGAAAGGCCAGAGCTGTAAGATTTTCTGCTAATATCTGGTGTTGTCCGGGACGATGATGGCGTGGCAGAGGCCTTCCTAGGAATCATTGATGGCGATCTAGAGGCGGCTCGCGTCTCCATCGAAACAGGTGGGTTCGCTGGGACACTCGAAATTTGGTTTGAACTCATAGACTGTGGCATCATGGACATACGCTTCATTCTCCTGGTATCAGTTGGACTTATGGTTCGGGCGCCTAGGCCGGTTGCATGAGAGGCATGGCCCGTAGGCATGACGGACGCCCGCCGCCCCGAGGATGGCGTCAGTCCCTTGCTCCCAGGGCGCGGCGATTTGGCAACAGGGCGAAGTTGCTCTGGAGTAAGCGAAGTGCTGGCTAAAATATTTGTTTGGCTGACCATCGGGGAGGGCTGCACCGACTTTGCTTTGACGCTCCTGGCGGTGGTGGTGAAGGTACGGGTGGCATCTGCAATATCAAGAGAGGCTCTGGTCATATCAGTGGTCCTTTCTGCGAAGAGGCTGGGGCGGCGTTTCGAGGAGCTCCGCGTGACCGTCTCCGCGTCGGCAACGACGCCAGGGCCAATAGATTTTCGAGGGGGTTTAGCAGCGGCATTGGAGTTGGAGACTGGAGGATACTGGCTCTGACGGCGAGTGCGTACGCCAATAGTCGCCGTGGAAGCATCGATGGAGCCGGACGTGGTTGAAATGGATGAGGCGCTGTTCTGTCTCGACGCGCTTGGCCTGTGGAGGATGGATCCCGATCTTGTGGCTCGCGAAGACGAGCCAGAAACGCCCACGCGCGTGGCACTGCCATTGGGATTAGCGGCCGCTTTGTCGGACATCCTCCTATCGGCCATGCTTAACGAAGATTCGACGTCACTCCGTGACGCCGCTGGAGAAGGATACTTGTTGCGGCGGAATTCACTGCTGGAGCCGGCGGATTCGATGCTGGTGTGGAGATCGTCGAAGCTCACAGAGGGCAGAAAATCGTAAGAACCGGTGGTGGTGATTGGTTGTTCTGTCTGGCCTGCTTGTCCATTTCGACCGTAGGAAAAATGCGAGTGGTTGGTGGATGATGTGGTGCTGAGCATTGGAGAATTGGATATCGAGCTGTTGCTCCTCGACGTCGCCGTCGGTACACGACTGGATGATCTGGTGTATGATCTACAGTTGCCATGGCATTAAGTTAGCACTCTCGGTCGCCTTCTTCACCCAGCCTTTGCTTGTCCTCGTAGAGGAGAGAGTGCGTGTGCGTAGGCAGTGACCAGCCGGGGTCTCTCTGTCTGCTCTCTCCTCTCTCTCCTCTCTCCTCTCTCCTCTATTTCTAGGCCGTCGGCGGGAGTTCGAAATCTTACAGGCGAGATGACGTGTTTGCTGGTCGAGGCCCAGCAGGCGCCTTGTGCTTTAGGGTCATAGAGTAAGCAGCGTCGCGAGCGGGAGCGGACGGTGCAGGTGTGCGGCTGCGTCTGCGTCTGGCACACGAAGAGGGTCGTTCGCTGGGAGCGTCAAAGCCTCAGTCCGGTCAGGGAGCTGAGTGCGGTCGAATGGCTACCTCATCCCGACCCGGGCCTTGGTCTTGTTGGGCTCTGGCTGTGGCTACGAGGCAAGCGCGGGTCTGGTGAAAGCTTGCGAGACGCCAACGGCAGCCTGCCTCCAGGGAATACGGATTGCCGACGATGCGTGAGGCGAAAGGGAAAAAAACGAAAGGGGCGGCTTGGAGAAGCGTCCAGGTCGTTGTTTTGCGAGAATCGGGGGTTGCACGCTTTCAGTGGACTTGGGGCAACAGGGCCAACAGGGCCAACCTTACCTTGGCTACAGCACAGGCACAGCACCTAGGAACGCTCGTGCTAACTGCCGCACTAGCCCCAAGGCCGCTGAATGCTAGAAGGTCGGTCAGGTCCAGGGCCTGAGTCGCGGTAGCCGCTTAGCGGTTAGTGCTGGGACGGGCAGTCAAGAGAAAAGTGTGGGTGGGGAGGTTGCGGTACCTCGTGATGTGGAGCGCGCGTGAGGATTTGGGTGGTGTCGCTGCGGTAGCGCGAGGGGAAGAGACGGGCGATGGAGGTACCGGTACAAGGAGACGGCTGCTCGACGTCCATAGAAGATCAAATCCTCGATTCCAGTTGGGGGTCTTTCCAGGCAGCGCTGTGCAATTGTCTGCACGCCGTATTGAGGAGCTTAGAAACTCAGACGCCCATGCATACCTGAGTGCTTGTATTTATTTGGCGTTGAGCATTCAAGGTTTTCTAGCTTCAATGGGCTTTACGATCAATATGCTTTGGGTGGCGGCCACCATTAATTAATTACACGCGGCGTAATGGGTAATTACAAGCCTACTCCAGGTCCATGCCAGATGCTACATACTGGGAGCTTGAGCATCAGAAACTCCATTTTATAAAATGAGGAGCATGAAACAACCTTCTGTCAATTTTAGCTCCATCCTACCTCACTTTGGCATTTGGCTAATATTATGTCCCTTGTTTTAATTGTTTTCCTGATCAATATCTGGCCCCCGGCAATTTATTACCAAGGCACTTGTCAGTTGCAATACACGAGACAAGAACGGCAACCAAACGGGGTCGCCAAGGCTGCGTTTACTCCCACATTTTTGCTTTTTTTCAATGTCAAGCATGGCTAGGGACTTTTTTTATTTCCTTATTCTTTTTCTTTTCTTTTTCGAATTCCTTTCAATTTCTTTCTTTTTTTATGCGGGTTGTGAAAGCGGGTACTGCCTCAATTGGCCTCCAACCTTGCCTAAGCGCCCGCCTCAACGGTCCAAATCGAGGTCAAGTCCAAGTCCAAAGCAACAACCCCATGACGACGTGGTTTTCGGTGGCGCTGAAAAAGGAGAATGCCGGCTGCTCTCCTTCATCTTGTTCGCTTTATCTCGCCTATCATCTGGCCATCTCCACACTGCAGCCCCTCCATGTAATGGCACATCGTATTATGGAACACGACCTAATGGATAGATAGAGCTTGCTTTCTGAATAGGACATTAATGAATCCAAAAACGAAAAAGAAGTCGAGAGGGTAAGAAAAAAAAAAAAGGCCCTTGCAGGCTGCCTGCACCTGCTCGGTTGTATCATCACCACGCGCAGGTCATGCGGTTCATCGCCATGGTCCGTTGCCTATTTGTCATGTACGTCTGTATGTACTTAGAATGGCGCACATTCGTCTGGCCGACTCAGGTGCGTCCACGTATTTGCATTCGAGAATGGTCAGCACCTATTAGACAGGCGATATTTGAGGGCTTCGCTTATGCCCGTCTATCCACGATGCCAATGCCAATGCCAATGCCAATGCCAATGCCGCCCACGAGGTACATGCAGCGGACAGGTCCCGACAGTGTCATTGGCAGAGGGAGCGCAAGTAGAGCAGAGGTATCTCATCGTGCTGCTTGCCGTTGCTGCAGTTGCCGCTGCAAGGATTCAGCTCTAGATGTTTGTTGATGTGCCGTGTCGTGTCCCGTTTAGGAAATGGCCTTGGGCTCCGTTTTCGAGGGCCAGCTGCTGGTAGTAGTGCTTTTTGTTCGCCTCCGGTTTCCTAACACGCCAATAGGACTGCTTTGGGGCTTACAGAGTGGTGCCATGATTGGCTGCAGGCGTCAGATCTTGCAGACACTTAGAGTAGTGCAGCTGGCAGTGCTCCGTTCCTAGTACGGAAGCTCTCATGTTGTGGTTCCTCTCCGTCCATGCATCTCCATTGTTGGGTATTACTTGGGCGCCTTATGGGCCGCATTGGGTTGCCACTGTCATCCGTCTCGGGTTGTTCGCCTTGACGGAGTGGCGGGAGAGGCTGGAGAGCCCAGGAGTGTCAATTGTTGCTACAATGTTTGCTTGCCCTCTTATGTGTAACTCATCAGCATAGTACAGGTTAAGTCGCCGTCATACTGTAAGTCGATTCCGCTTGCAAAAGGACTACAAAGACAAGGCCGGGCCTTGGACTCGACACAGAGTGCGGAGCAGCGACATGGGAACATGGGCAGATCCTAAAGATTGATTGCTGCTCCATAGCATCCACAAGACAATTCTGCACAGTTGTGTCATCGGTCCGCCACGTATCGTTGTGATGGAGCCATAGCAACGGTCGACATTTATCCACCAGGCCTAAAACCGCCGCTGTGCATATATCACTTGACGTAAATAACTCTTTGCGGTGAGAGCCCTGTAGACCGCCTTGGGTCCTATCAACTTGCTCAGATCAGCTCCATAATATTGCATGCCCGGACAGGGTGGCAGTGACATTACTCGTTGCAGCTGTGTACGAGTACAGTATCGTTGGGGATCAATGTTTCGCGTATTGTTAATCTGTCCGTCTGTTCATCCTGTTTCCGGAAGAACCGAATCCATGGATACTTTGGATAATTCGTTGCTTCATCCTGAAGCATTGGCCCGACTGTACGGAGTAAACCGGGCACAGTTGTCGCGGCAACGCTCTAGATCCGATTGAGATATTGTGTGTGCCTTCGACGCTGCATTTCAGGGCGAGCTACCAATTGAACCCTTCTTTTTTTAGCGGCCGCCGGCTAGCGCTTCTCGCATTCCCCAGAATTAACGGCGGCGAATCAGTTGCTCTGGTTGTGAGCGTGTGAGTGCCGTACCAAAATCTGGGTTGAGAGGTGTGGCGCCGCTACGCCACAAGGTGAGATCATCGCCTGCCGCCTCGCGTCACATGCCGAGCTTAACCTCAACCTCTCCTGGTGCTATCGCCATCACTATCGCATCATCCGCGACATGAGATAGTGGTGAAAGTAAAGCGGCAGCGCTGGCCAGCTCATCACATGCTATGGATGATTTTGCGGCAGAGTTAATGGCCGCCGGCCGCGATGAATCACCGGAGCGACCGCCGGAGCGAAAGGCACCTTCAGAACTGGATCCATCGACGGCGTCGCCTCAGCGATCCGGCTTGCGAAGCGGCCTTGCGGCCCTCCGAGAGAAGGCGAACATCCAAGATCGCCTAGTAGAAAAGTGTGTATATCGTTTTCAAGGAGAATAGCAATGCTAATGATGTATCGCGCAGACTCCTCCAACAAGTCATCCCGGATGAAGACAGCCATGGCGCCGAGGTCTCCATATCGGCAGACGATGGGGCATTCCCGCAGCGGCCTGGCTTCAACCTCACCACCATGTCCAACAACTTTCGGCGATTCAATGCCCGTATTGGCGTAGTCTTCAAGTTCCAGGCTCGAATGACGCGTATCCTGTCCTGGCGCAAGCCCTCCCACACGTTGTCTCTACTCGCCACCTACACCTTCGTCTGTCTCGACCCGTATCTCCTCTGTGTCCTGCCAATCGTGGGAATCCTCCTAGGAGCCTTCATCCCGGGATTCCTCGCACGGCATCCGGCGCCACCAAAGGGCACTCTGTCGAGCGAGCAGAGCATGGGCTATTCTCCAAGGGGACCTCCACTGGCACCGGCAGCGACGGTTCGGCCCGCTAAAGAGCTGAGCAAAGACTTCTTCCGAAACATGGGCGATTTGCAGAACTGCATGGATGACTTCTCGCAGGGGCACGACATGGTGGTGGCGCTGCTTGTGCCCATTAGCAATTTCAGCAACGAGGCGCTCTCCTCGGCCGTGTTTCTCTTCCTCTTCGCTGCAGGCGTCTTCATGACTATCGCTGCGCACATGATCCCGTGGAGATTTGTGTTCCTCGTAGGTGGATGGGCCGCCATCGTCTCTGGACACCCTGCAGTCGCTCGTCTGCTAGCCGCCACGCGTGAGGAGCACATCCAACCGAGAGAAGAGAAGGCAAAGACGTGGATGGACGACTGGATCGCAACCGACGTCATCCTCGACTCGGCTCCGGAGACGCGCGAGGTGGAAATATTTGAGTTGCAAAAGGATTCTGGGGCAGGCGAGTGGGAGGCCTGGCTCTTCTGCCCGTCGCCGTACGATCCCCTGTCGCAGCCTCGCATCGCTGGCGAGCGGCCGCGTGGCACGCGCTTCTTCGAGGACGTGATGCCGCCGGAAGGCTGGGAGTGGAGTGAGAAGAAGTGGGCTCTGGATCTCTGGAGCAGAGACTGGGTTGAGGAGCGCATCATCACGGGGGTCGAGGTCGAGACGGAAGGGGAGCGGTGGGTGTACGATATTTACAACGAGCGTGAGGAGCGCACTGGCGTCGTCGACCAGCCCGAACAGGCGAGCGGCCGAGCAGGGGCGATGCCGCATATGAGCTGGGAAGAGGGCGAGGATGGCACGGGCAAGAAGGGGAAATGGAGGCGGAGGCGGTGGGTGAGGCTGGTGAAGAGAAAGGTTTCTGTGGCTGTTTCCGGATCACAATAGCATCTTTTTAATTCCATGGGCTTAGCAGGAGTTTATTTTAGTTTTTATTATTCACTGTATTCACATGAATCATCGCTAATGAGCCAGAGTCGGTACACGCGTGATGATGCTTATTGTACAGGTTGATGATGCGGTTTGATTACGCTAGAGAATCAGACTGAGCTGATTGATATGCAATTTCTTACCCATTTCGGGAACCCAAGATAAAAAGAAAAGTAAATGAACAAAATGAAAGTCATAACCCCTTCGCTTTGGCGCCGATGCGTTGTAGATGCTCCCTGAATAATTTCGTATATCATTAACTCCCCCCTTCATCTCACAATGGCATGACTATGCCCCGCTCACGACGGTATGGTCATCTTGTCCAGAATCTTGTAAATGCCAGCGGCCCTGCCGGACTCATCGTCTAGCTCCGCGACCATCTTGCGGGCCCTTTCGATGAGCGTGGCGACGACTTGGCGGGTATATTCGAAGCTGCCCTTGGTCTCCATGTAGGAGACGGCGTAGCGCTTGACCTGCACGTCTGTGGTCTTTTGCTTGAGTATGTTGACCAGCTGGAGGTCGACGGGGTCGGCGCGGATGCTGTGGATGACGGGGAAGGAGAATTTGCCCTCTGTCAGGTCCTCGCACATGCCCTTGTTGTGGCTGTATTCGCTCGACGAGAGGTTCATGTAGTCGTCGCGGATCTGGAAGATGAGGCCGATGATGTTGACGAGGGGCACGCAGTCGATGGCCGAGCTCGACTCTGCCTGCATCAGCTTGATGCCGAGGCGGAACAGGCCGCCGGTCTTGTTGCCCACCATCTCGAGGTAGTCGTCTTCCGTGGGGCAGGTGAGGGTGTCTCTCCAGAAGAGGTCCATGCCCTGGCCGCGATGCAGATTAATGAGCTCCTCGGCGAAGAGCTTGATGCCGCTCTGGTTGCCGAGCTTGACGAGCTCCTGCAGCGCAGCAAAGTATATGTAATTTGCGGAGTTGATGGTCTGGGCCACGCCGAAGATGTTGTGGGCGACGGGGAAGCCGCGGCGCAGCTCGGAGGAGTCCTGCACGTCATCGACGAGGAGCGAAGCTTCATGGAGCATGCCCACGACCTTTGTGATGATCTGGAGGCTCTCCGGAGGCACGTCGAGGAAGGCGTTGAAGGCGGCGATGATCTGGGAGCGAAAGTCCTTGCCCGGGTGGCTGACGACATACTCAAACGGCCCCCGTACGACGTGCTCCTTTTCGTCAGTCCATGTGCCGCGACTCCGAAAGTCAAAGTTCTCGTGGGCAAAGCGCGCGACGTCGGGCGGCGCCGAGGGGTTGAGTTGGTGCTGCATGTTGAGCTCGCCGTGGTTTGCTCTCTTGCTGCTTCTCCGAGGCGGAGGTTGAGGGTGCAAGGGCCGCTTCGCCATTTGTTCTGGGCGCTTCCCTAGTTTGGAGCGCGGGTCCAGCCACTCGGCTTCGTTCTCAAGCTCGATTAGGGGCTCGGCAGCGGGAGCAGAGCCGGAAGCGGAAGCGGAATTGGAAGACTCCAGGCGTGGGAGGGACGAGGCGAAGGCGCTTGCAAAGGTGAAGCTCTGGCTTTGGCTCTGGCTCTGGCGCTGGCGCTGTCTCCGAGAGTGAAGACGGCTACTGGACTTCCTGGGAGGAATTGCGCTGGGCGAGACGGTGAATTGGGAGTGCATCGTTTCCCAGAGGCGGATTATGGTTCTGGTCTTATACTTGGACGCTGTGGCGCCAGCTGAGGGCCGTGGAGCTGGTGGAAGTGGCGGGGTCTGGTGGTTGAGGTCGAGGTGCGGAGTACATGTGCGTGTGCATACCGCAAGTTCGGTTCGCTTGAGTTCAACTGGATTACAGGCGGGGTTCAGTGATTAGAAGAGATGTGATAGTTGGCCTTTGGTCCTATCAGACGACGCCGAACCGCAGAATGGGGATGCTGTTAATGCATGTTGGTGCACGTTGGCTGCAGTCAAGAGTTTCGGGAAGCACCACAAGGCCCAGTATCAGCCCGTTGGTCACCGGTTTGCCGGTTCGATGATGAGTTGGCCGAATTTTGTTGCCTGCTGCTGCATACGCGGTCCGGTGAGGCTGGAGATGAGGAATCGCATCAGGATGGAGCGGATTCGGTGTGACGGGCTGGAGCCTGGCTAGCCAGAGTGTATTCATTGGCAGCCTGATGTTGAGTTGAGTCGATTGAGCGTGTGGAGGGTTGTTTCAAGCTTGTGATATCAGGCAGTTGCCAAAGGCCATCCATATCAAGAGTATCAAGAGTATCAAGAGATATAAACTGAACCGCGGCATTTGATGCTGAGCGTCCATATCAACGCTTGTTCTGACCTAGTCTTAACAAGGGATGGGCTCTTCATGTCAACTGGGTTCTTGGAAAACGCGTCAGAAGGCAATTGGTGCAGAACACGATCGACGGCGTGGAGCAGGGCAGTGAAGCGAGCTGGCGAGCCGGGCTATGGAGAACGGGTAGGACATGATGGAATCCAATGGATCTGATCCATCCGTACCGACATGTGGGCTCGCTTCCAGCTCTAAGCTCAGATGGTACGAGTAATACGCCATTGCAGAATCGAGTGCGAATGGCCTTGCTTGCCGCTTTGGCTCAAAATGGCCTGATTCTATACGCATGTGTATGTGCGATGATGCATGTGCCTTAGTAATGATGTCTGGGGTCTGTGATGGAGACTGAATTGTTCGCGTATTGGCATAGTACATATAGGTATGCATGTACGATACCGAGCAACATGCATATATTCCCCCCGGATGTTACCATAATATTGTGGAATGCATGTTGACGATTGCGATTGGCGGAGTATAGAATTGGATGCTCGTATGGACAATCTTATTGTTAGTCATCCAATCTCCAGCCATGGGGCGAGCATCTGGACATCAAAATGTCTGGTCGAATCAATCATACCAGCACCTTGTTTGCAAGGTCCAGGGTCCCAACGCCACAGGTGCAATTTTCGTCGAGTTAAATGGCGTGCAGCCGTCGGCGCTGCAAGCACTGCGGTTTCAGGGCCTGGCCATGTCCCTTCGGCGCTCCCGCGAAGCGCTAGCAGGACATCACAGTGGAGCTTAATCACTGTCACCCCGCCTACAGGCTGCTGAGCTCTCCATTGCTGCGTGCTTGTAAGGCTCCCGTCTCCCTGGATGCTCGCCGTTGCCGGGGAAATGAGCGGCGGCAACCACATGATGGCTGAACCAGCCCGCTGGAACCTCTCGGCAGACGCTTTTCTGCCGTTGTCTTGGTCATTGATTGACGCAGTGGCATTTCTCACCACCTCTCCCTGCTTGTTATTCCCCTCTCTCTCTTTTCATGTTGTTGCTGCCAGTCGTCGTTTGATACCCCCAATGCTTTATACCTTCTCTTTCGTCTTGTATTAACATCTCTGCGCCCGTCCTGGCACTCACTTTGCCAGCAGCCTTCTGGACGCCAATCAACACTTTCGTTTTCAAAATTAACTGCATCCCACCTCCCCACTCACTAATAAACAAAGCAAACAAAAGAAAAATAGAGGCCTATTTTTCGTTTCCTCCCCAGAAATTCTTTAGATTCCTGTTGCTGCTCCTCTCTACCAGTACAGGATCAGCCAGTCCTTTTAACCAAATAGCTATACCCGCCGCTAGCGATTACCGAGATCACCATATCCGCCCCCGATGGAAGCTCTCCTGTCACTCGCTTTCGATAACCTCTCCTCCTACGATGGACCCAAAATCCGCAAGGGTTTGCGTCAGGTAGAGGGCCTACTGGCACAAATCTGCTTGTCAAACGCTTCTTCAGGGCGAGGACGATCCTCTTCCCTCTCTTCGACTGTGCCCAACGACGACGACGATGCCTCCGCCGCAGCCCCTCGCAAGGACCTCGCCCAGCTCACCCAGGACCCGGCCTTTCGCGAGTTCTTCAAGCTGCAGGAGGGATTCGAATGGAACGTTGCCATGCGCCTGATCAGCACGCTGGATCGGCTCATGGCCAAGGGCAGCGACGGCCAGAATGATTTACTCATTCTCAGTGCGCTGGACCTTATTCAAGGTGTCACTTTGCTTCACCCTCCAAGCAAATCGCTGTTTGCGCGGGAACAAAACATGAATGTAAGCTATGCCCACGAGGCCTCTGTGATCAATATCCAAGCTCACCATATACTCTCCTCTTTGGCAGCTCTTGTTAGATCTCCTCGAACCCTACAACTGCCCGGCGATCCAGTCTGCCACCCTCTTGACTCTCGTCGTCGCTCTCATTGACACCCCCAACAACACACGAACTTTTGAAGGGCTCGACGGCCTCCTGACCGTTACATCTCTCTTCAAATCGCGAGCCACCTCTCGTGAGGTCAAGCTTAAGCTTGTCGAATTCCTCTACTTCTACCTCATGCCCGAAACGCCCTCGACCCCCCGCGCTGACCAGCGCGAGTCTGTCTTCCAGCGCAGCCCCTCGAAGCTTGTTGGCGCCTATGGTGTCGACGGTAGGAACGGCCGCAGGCGCGCCAACAGCAACGGGGTCACGACGCTGACCACCGCGGAGAAGCAGCAGCTGCTGAGTCGCCATCTTAGTAGTGTGGAAGACTTGGTCAAGGACCTGAGAAATTGCGCGCCCTTTGGCGGCATCGTATGCTGAGCTGGTACCAGCATATGAAGCAACGGACGAGGACAGAAGGAACGTTGGGATTCTCTTTTCGGTTTTGTTTTTCATTGATCACCATTACCATCACCATTTCCCCCAAAGCATCTTTTCAATTTTCAGCACATCACTTTCTATTCTTCTCTTTATACCCCGAGCTAGCCTCTCTATTGGGTGTGGGGGGTTGTGGCGTTCGGGATCTGCAGTCACTTACATGAAATGGCTGCGAGCATACAAAAGATTATTTTGCTTTTTTTGCTTTCTTGTTTCCTCCATTACGATGGAGGACTTTTCAAGATTTTCATTTGGACGGTATCGTGTACTACCAGACTAGGCGTTTTACTCAATAGACGGGCATATAAACCAAAACATTCCTTTCTCCCTGAATGATTAAACCTATCCATCAGCCTTCAAGGGTGCTGACCTTGGCCTGGATGAGAACTTGGATTCTGATCTGGGAACGGGGGACTGGGCAAGGGGCTGGTTATATCCTGATCCGGCAATGGGGGGCTGGGCATGGGGCTGGTTGGTGAAGGTAGTGGCCATAATCCTTCCGACCCGTGCAACTCAAATCGTCCGTCCGTAGTCTCTGGGGTTCGGAGGTCCGTCAAAGCCATGCTGCTAACGCCGGACTTGGGCGACAAGACTTCGGTGCCTTGAATTTCCATGCGCTGTTCCGTCGCAAGCTCGACGGGATCCGGGGCGGATGACGGGGACCTGACGGTGCCTGCGTCAGTTACGGCGCCAGACGGAGTTACGGAAGATACCAGTGTCCATCGTTGTTGCTGCTGGGCCTGAGGCGACGTCGCTGCGTTGGCCATGGCGATATCACCCGGAATGGCGCCGTTCGCGTCTCCAGATTGTAGGGAGGCGTCGTTGTATACGCGGTTTTGCGCCGCCGCTCTTCGTCTTGTGAGATAGAACCACACGGCTGCCGCGACTATGAGGCCGCCGCCCACCACCGCGCCGACGGCAATACCTGCTTCCGCACCGGGGGAGAGGCCCCCGGACGATGAGGAGCCGGAGCCGGAGCCAGAGTCGCTGCCCGCCTCGAGGGTGCTAGTCGGGCCTCCGGTTGCGGTGGAGCAGTAGGCCGACCCTGCGAACGAGGTGCATGTCTGGCCGTTGTTACAGCAGCCGTTGCCGTCCGCGCACCGGAACTGGCTGGTGGTGCAGCCGTCAGCGACAGGAGTGAGGCCTGGAGGCGGGGCTGTCTTCGCCGAGACGCAGTGCCCGCCAGCCTGGCAGTTTGAGTCAAAGGGGCAGCAGTTGCCGCCGAGGGAAGAGGCGCAGAGGTAGAAGCTCGTCTGCGGACACGCGCGGCCGCAGCAGCCGGTGAGGACGGTGGTGGTTGTTCGTGTGATGACGGGTTCTTTGGAGGTTGTCTTGGCGGCGGATGAGGTGGATGTGATGGTGACTGTGCGTGTGACAGAGCAGCGGACAGCGGTAGCACCGCAAGGGTTGTCTGAGGAGCAAGCCTGGCCGATTGCGCAGCATCTGAGCTGGTCGGAGGTGTTGACGTAGCAGTAGCTGTTGTTGTCGCAGCAGAGGTCGCCGTGGCCAGTGTCAAGGCCTGTGTATTGAGGTTAGCAAAGCGAAGTTTTTCGTAAAACAATAAAACAGAACAAAAATAAAAGCGGCAATTGTCATTGAATCTTGTAACTGGAGAGAGAGAGAGCGGAGTCGTGTCTTCTTACAGCTGTGAGCGTTGTCGCCGCAAGCTCCCTCGCGCTTGAACAACGGATGCGACCTGTCGACAAAGTATCGCGGCGTCAGTCCCTCGGGAACGATTTGCACAGCGGCATATCGATCCCTGGCGGCGCTGGCAACGACGAGGCCGCAGAGCGGGAGCGTGAGGAGGAGCCTCATCGTCGGTTGGGCGACAAGAGCATCCTTTCCCTTTCTCTTCTGGTTTGATTTGCGCTTTTCACTGCTGCTCGGATCGGATGCTCCCAGCAACACGAATCGATTCTTCCGGCAGGAAATAAGAAGAGGATGAGATGAAAGAGGAGAGACGAAAAGTGCGGCCTTGGCAATTGCTGCGCGCAGCCTTGTGGCCCCGTCGTGCAAGGATTCGTGGATGATGGATGGGCTAAAGGACCCCGATATCAGCCCAGCGGCTCATCCATGCATGCCGCGACGCCGTCCCGGGCAAATCGTCCCCATTGAGAAAGGCACCATTGTCAAGGAAATAAGAAATGGAAGAAATAAGGCCGAACGGGCTGCATATGGAATCCATCCATCCAACGCTTTCGTCTAAATAAAGCCAAAGGATGCGGTGAGCAGTCACGCTGCGTTGCTGCTGGAAATGGGGTTCTGCTTCGGTCAGATTTGGGGCTCAATCGACGGAAACTCGGCCTTTTTGGCGCCCCCTCCCCTTCCTCTTCGATCAGAGGATGCTGATTGTGGATGAAAGGCTCAATCCGCGGGTGGATGCAGTTGGGGGCGCGTTGTGGATGCGACTTCATTTATTGTTGCATGAACGGGCGTCTGTCCTGGTGCTGCCCCCCCGCTCCGAGACTCACGAGACGCTTTTGGTCAAATGGGAGAGTTTTAGCCATGGTTGCCGAATTTGTTTTTGGACGAACCAGATGTGCTCAATGATGATTAATGTTCTAGGAGTGTTTGGGAATAGGTGCACTGCTACGGCGATGCGTGTTAGGCGATTTAGGCGCAAGTGCTTATTGCGAAGCTCCAAAGGACAGACATCACAGGCTCCAACAAGTGTACTCGTACGCAAGTTCCAGTCTTTTTTTAACTACTAGCTTACACGATACAACACAAACATAGAACCCATCTAACATGGCAATTTTATCATACAAATGTCAAAGCGCAGTAAATCCATCCTGGTATAATCCAAAGTCCCTTACTCTCTTGCAACGCCTCTCTCCGCGCAGAACTTGTCAACCTCCTTGCGCAGAGTCTCCCTCTGCCGCAGCGCCGCCTCCATAATCTCCTCGGCCACCTTGCCCAAGCCGTTCTTGTGCTGGTCCTTGGTCTTGTCGTGCACGTCCACCATCTCCGCCAGCACGGCCTCCAGCTGGTTGGGGAGCCAAGTGACGATGGGGCTGCCGCCGGTGGCAGTTGGGTGAGATGTCTGCTTCAGGATGTACTCTCTGGCGAAGCACCAGTGGCGCCAGCGGAAGTCTCGCACCTCGTTGAGGATCTGGATCCACAGGCTGCGAGACTCGCGGAGGAGTTCCTTCTGCTCATCCGACTCGGGCTCGCCCTTGTAGCCCAGGGCATATGTCTTGAGGTCCAGCTCTTGAGAGCGGGCCTTGACGTACTGCAGGAAGGTCTTGTGGTTGCTGGGACGATACTCGCGGAAGTCGTTCAGGATGGCGGTCAGAGGCGTATTAGGCATGGGCAGCTGCAAGAAGTTGTCCATGAGGGGCACCATGGAGTCGTTGGCGCCAGACTCGCCTCGGAATGACATGGGCTTGTTGTCGTAGAGGCTTTCATAGACGACGCCGTTGGGGAACATGGACTGGGCCGTGATGCCAAAGATGAAGGTGCGGAAGCTTGTGTAGTCTCTGGGACGAGACTTGCCCCACATGGTCTCCATGACGGCGTTGATCTTCTTCATCGCAGTGACAATGTCAGAGAGTCCTTGGTTGAAGGACTTGCGTCCCTCGACGCTGCCGAGGCCAGCGGCAGCCTTAGAAGCTTCGTCCAGGCAGCGGACTGTGGCCGCAACGAGGGGGCCAGAGTTCCTGACCATGTCGATGTGGACAAGAACGAAGCCGGCCTCGGAGGAGGTAGGGTCGAGGCCGTGCTCGAAAGCACGAATGAGGCGGATGTTGTCATACTCCAAACCCCTGGAAGGCTCCTCAAGGCGGTAGTTGTAGAGCGCATAAGAGCCAGCATACTCCATGAAGGGCATAAAGCCAGTGCTGATGATGATGGGTTAGCGTGCTTGTACTCTTAACATGGTTTATATGACATGCGACTTACAGTTCGGCGCATCGAGCAATAGGACGAGCAATGTTCTTGGGAAGAGTCTGACGTCCCAAGCCGTATTCCTCACCCTTGAGGAAGCGCAAGTGGCAAGGCTCAAGGAGGTATGCCGAGGCGAGGAAAGAGTAGTCTCGGTACAGGGCGTTCATCAGGGGAAGGTTGCCCTTGTAGAGATCCATCTGCTCAGTGAGGTCCGGGAAGCTAGTGTCGACCTCATCACCAAGCTTGCCATGGGCAAGGAGACCGGGCTCGCCAGACAGGGTCTTGACGGGCATGCGCTGGAGGATGGACTCGAGCGCCTCGAACTCCTTGGGCAGAGTGACAATGGGGTCTGCGCGGGGGAGGAAGCCTCTGGTGGTAGACACCATGAAGGCAGGGAGGGAGTTGTCATCAGGACGGGCATCTGTGAGGACCTCGAAGGGAGGGACGCTTGTGGCGATGGAACCCATTGTGTAGATGGTGTGATATAGGGTTGGAGATGGAGAGATGGTTGATGTGGCGAGGTGATGTGAGAAGTGTGTAAGTGGTTGACGGTGTAAGTGATATGGTATAAGGGGTATAACAGCTGACTGAGAGGCAGTCTGCAGGGCAGTGAAGCCAAGGAAAGAGAAAAAGTGGTAGGAAGAATAGGTGGCAAAGAGTTCGAATTGCTCTGTCGAGTCTGAGTGTTCCGGGAGACTCTCATCGTCAGTCCGGGTCCGCGCCGCCGCCTAAGTACCCGGTGGCCGGAATGGATTCCGGCCACTGGGTGGGGATGAGGTCACGACGCACGGCGGCGCGAGCGGGTCGAGACTCCTGCTGGAACTGATAGAGGAAGGTGTCGGAGAGCTAATCGCGTAACTTCACGTAACAGAAACAAACGCGCGCCGTTATCTCTCGTCTCAACACCGACAACCGGGCAGATCAAGGGGGAAGCATGACCAGCGAAGGCGTTGCTGGGCCGTGTGTGCTGGACGTGTACACGTACTGTCTCACTTACATGATGCGCAGCTATCTATTAATACTATTTACTGTATACTGTAGGTGTAGAGGCACCAAAGGTTCTCCTATCTATGTCTAAGCGTATAGATATGCATGTTCAACAGCATATAAACCGTGAGTGAAACATTGTCTACTCTCCCCTTTCTCGCTCTCCCTGCAGAGCCTGATAAGCCCCGAGTAAGACAAGCCATTCAGTTTTTGTGGGGGAGGGGCCGGCCTCATTATATCTCGCCCCACAGGCTACCGATTCTGCCCGGCCTTTTTACTGGACCATTGGCCGGAATCATTCCGGCCACAACGAGATCGGACCCGGCCCTTGCTCTCTCGAGTAAGCCAGGTACAAGCTGCCCATAGTTCTGTGGCGCACAGCAGAGGTATCTCGAAAAGTGGGCGGGTTCCGTGCAGCCCCCGTGCGCCCTCCGGGGCTCGTACAGCACACAAAGAGAAACACTAAACGTAACATGGTTTCGGGAGTCGGTGATTAAGCGGGAGCGTTGATTAATGGAAAAGATGTGATTCGTTCGTTTAGAATCGGGGTGGGATTAAGCAAGCTGCGGGAGAGAGAAGATTTTGCTTGTCACACGGGGATGTACATTGTAATCATTACAAACAGGAATTGAAAAGCAAAAGAAAAGAAAGAAAGAAAGAAGCAGAGGAAAATATTCCGTACATCTAGTAGTGTGCATAGACAGAAAACAAAGCGCCGATCCAAACGCCGTTCGTGATGTTTCTCCCCTCCAGTTTTCCACCCAGGTCCTCCCTCCCCCATCATCCCATTCTCCTGCTTATCCTCCTCCGGGTACATCAAGCAGCCCTCCGCAGGGTTCTGAACCCACTCGCGGTAGCCGATAGCGACAAGTGACGGATGCTCGCTGAGGCATTGAAACCCACAGGTGTAATCATAGGCCGCCCCTGTTCTGCATCAAGGTTTGTCGATGACAGGTTGAGAGGCTGGACACGATCACCGCTCAAGGTGGTTCTCGGCAGGGCGGCGCTCGTCGTCCCATTAGCAAAGGGAATCATGGCCTTGAACTTGCTCTCCTAGTCTGAGGTTAGCATTGACAGCTGTTTGAAATGACTACTTGAGGACTTACCTCTGCGGGATTGGATGGGAACGCGGTCACGGTAACGATCCCCGGGGGCACTATAGTCACCGTTCGTGTGATCCGAGTCGTCGAGGTGACTATCGTCGTGAATTTATCGTCAGATACAGCTGAAGCATCCATATCAACGGAAGACTCCTTGAACAAGCCCCCGATGATGGCTGCTGTAATATTGATCAGTGTCCGAACTGGGGTGATAAGAGAGAAGCCATTTCTGATTCTGAAACTTACTTGCTGGAGCGGGTTTTGACTCCCGTGTTGTCACGACTAGCTTTTCGGGATTGGTAGGCGCTAAAGGGGCAGAATTCTTGGAGGCTTGTCTTGCAGGCGTAGATCCTAATTCTAGAGAAGAGTCAGCGTTGGCTAAAATATTGTAGATTTCTTGTTCAAGAGCCTGGAGCTTGTCGAGGATAGTCCCCAGTTGGTCCTTGGAAACCTCGATTGCGGTCTCCTGTATCTCATCTGATGCACGGGCGGCAATCAGCTTCGGAGCTTGGTGAAAATGTGATACATCGGCAGAGATTTGGTGAACGGGCTTGTGGTTTGGGAGAGATGGATGATGATGAGATGATCTTCCGTGGTTATGGTGGTGAGCAAGACCCAAGGCGAGCCCGAGGAGTGGAAGGTGCTCAAGAAGAACCATGATGAGTGTCGTCAAGTTTAACTGTAATTGATATCCACACAAATAGCGAAGTAGTTGTAGTGAATCGAATTGACAATCGTCCAAATCCAAAGACTTTATGCCCATGATATATCTTGTGAGTGCAGTGGGTCGTTGTGAGGAGCAACACATTCCAGCGGCTGCGATGGCGACCAGACTCCATTGTTGCGTGCCCCTGGATTCCAGTCATCCGTAACGGTGCATTGAATGACACGATGTCTCGGATGAAGCAATTTAATTCTCGATTTGTGATTCGTTTTAGTGGTTGTGTATGATGGCTGGCATAGAGCACTCCGTACACTCGTTTCTTACAAATGAAAGGCCATGTGGCGAGTCAGTTAATTAATCATATCTAGGAAAGAAGCTCCATCTTCATTTTATATATCTGCCTTACAACAAGTGATTATCGGCTGTGTGTATGACATGATCTTGACATCAGCATCTTGGCCTCTAACGCCAAATCAAGCCGGATACTCGATCGTAGCAGGCCTCATGGGCTATGCTTTGCTTACAATGAAAGCACAAATGCTTCGTTTGATTGATCGAGCACGTCTGACGCTCTCTGATATAGTTTACAGTTCTCATACCGAGAATTACGACACATTTCCGGCTACATGCAGGTGAGACCTGCAATAATCTAGAGGGAGCTCATACATGAATGTTCTGCAGGGACAATATGTTAGTTTCCGACGCCCTGGTAGGTGACTGAATCGTCGGATCATGTCGATAAACACTTAACTGCCGATAATTCGTTGGCAGAGGACAAATTTACTCCTCATTACCGCATATTGAACCTGGGAGACCATTTACGAAAGAGAAATGGAGGGCATAATTGAAAATTACTCAGCGCATCAGATGACGTCGGCAACTTCTCGCAGTTTGGGAAGCGCGGATGGTGAGATGTCGTCGGTAAGTTCGGACTACGCAATAGAAGCCAGTGGAATAGATGGAGTCATCCAGGAAAACAGGTTGGTTGCGTGTCTGCAAAAGATGATGCGACCGACGTCCTGTAGGTACCTCCTTGGTACCCCCGCTTAGGCGATGCAGAATGATCATGTCCCCGAAATAAAGCCATCCTGGCGGGATTCCATTGCATCTAGCTTCAAAGCTATACCGATACCAAAACCCAAGATTTGGAAAAACACTGTACGGAGGCAAATTGGGCCTCGATAGCTCGAAAATGGCGCGGGCAGTCATCTGGATGCTTTCCGCCTTAAAGCCTCATAGCGCTGCGACCGTTTGGCAAATGCTTGGCGCATCTGGGAGATGAGCAAAGGAAAAGGAATTAAAGTCAAGTTTCATCGCAGTCGGGATGAGATAAGGCTCGCTGCGAGGGATAAAGGCACATGCACCCATCCCGGGTTTGTGCCCTCTGAGCGCGCTGTTAATTGCTGCCGAAACCGAAATTTGGCGACGTCTGCTTGTGATTGCCAGTGGGACGCCGGCTTCGGTTAACTGGAGATGGCTGGGATAAGCCCGTTTTTGGCGGTGGTGAGAAAGAAGGGCCAAAGGATCCAATGCGATGCCCAAGGCGAACTTGGGGAAAATCCCCAAGGCTGTGCTGTATTCTGCTGTACCCTGCTGTACTCTGCTCGCTGAGCTCAACGCAAAGGTACAAAGGAGCGCTCCAACCGCGGCCTTACCTAATCCCTCGCGGCCTATCAGACGCTCCCAAGAGCAACCTTTCCCAGTCCGTCGCAGGGCTAGCCAGACTAGCTCTTGATTGGCCTGTCGGAGGCTTGGATAATGCGGGCAAAAACAAAATAACTGCTTGAGCTGCCACCTAAAATCCCAAAAACGCCCCCTTCGGGACTGGCCTGCCTTACGCGCTAGTCCGCTTCAGGGTCGCCACTAAGCGCGGCACCTGAATCTTCCACCCCTCGCCCTTTGTGTTGGAGCGTCACGGTCCTGACGAACAAGAAACCTCTGGGCTGCCCGATTTTTTGCGTTGTGCGCCGCCGCCCTTCTGGCCCGAAAAAAAAAAACGAGGATGAGACCAAAGCCCCGAACCTTACGAGACAAGACCCCAGAAAATGAAAATCCCTCCGCCTCCCGCCTCTTTTTCCCCCCTCGCCTCTCTCTCTCTCCGGCCGCGATGCACCTGCGCTCATGACATGACACTATCACCGCCGGCCTGCTAATATAGTCCAGAGTTCCAGAGTTGCCTCTCTGCTGCTGCTCCACGCAAGGCCCCCAGACCCCCTGACCACCACGCCGGATCACCACCAACCTTAGGTATTAGCCCATCGCCCGTGGTTCAGAGCACCGCCAAAAAACCTGCGCGGCCTTCCCGTCATCCTCCGTATTTTTGCTCCTCTCCATCATCACCAGCCATCTGCCATCACCACCGCTGCACCCGTCAGCATCGCTCCACCGCGCCATTGCCGACGCAAAATCTTTCATCGTCGTCGGGCTCGATACCATCGTCGGGCCGCTTGACCATCGGCACCACCAAACGGGCTTGCCTAGCCCTGCTCGCTCGCCGCTCTTGCAGAAAAATCCCAATTTCCTCCGCCAGACGCGATGCCTCCCTCCAAGGCAGCCGACGGCCGACGCAAATCGGCGACCAAACACGGTCTGCTCGTCACCCTCAGCGTGCCGCCGGCCCTGCTACGCGACCTCTTTCCCTCGGTGTCTATCGATGAAGGAACTCAATCCCCAGAGTCCAAGAGCTCCAAGGAGAACTCGGAAATCAAAGAGTCGCCGGCCAGCCCCAACGCGCTGGTTGTGTCTACAGCCGCCTCCAATGGCGACAACGCATCCGACTCAAATGCCGCTACCCCGGCCGCTGATACCACGCCTGCCCCAACGCCAATGGGACCCCCCGATGGACTGAAGAAGAAGGGAGTCAAGCGCTCTGCGGCTGCTGCAAATGGCACCATAGACGGCATACCCAAGCCCAGAGGCAAGCCGGGCCCAAAGAAGAAGCCCCGATTGTAAGTTTACAACCACCGCTATACTGTTCCACAGTATCGACTCTTCAACTCTTCAACTCATGTACTAATTTTATTGTCTTATTGCAGGGAGGATGGCACTATCGACCACAGCAGTGCAGCGGCTCGCCCGTCTGCCCATAAGCTTGGTCCCAAGGCAAACCAAGGAGCCATCAACGCAGGCCTTCGAGCCCTCGACCGGTCTGGCAAGCCTTGCCGAAAGTGGGCCAAGGGCGGCTTCAAACTCAAGAGTTTTACGGGCGTTTCCTGGGAAATACCAAGATGGACTGCGCCTCCGCGAACCAACCCTGGATCCAGCGCTGAAGACTCTGCTGCCCCGTCGGCTGAGGGTAGCAACAAAGAGAACAAAGAAGAAACCGGAAACGAAGGCAACAGCGTTTCCAATAGCAACAGCGGTCCTGACGTCGAGATGCAGAGCGCGCCTAGCATCCAAGACTCGTCTCCAGCACCCATTGCTGTGGCGGCGGCATCATAGCGCTTTGCTTCCAGTTTTTTTTCTCTTTTCTTTCCTCACTTTGGGCTCTCGCGCAGCCTACATTTTTCATCTACTTGTTTTGTTTATGACATTGTTGCCTCTTTTACTTTTTTTTTCCTTCTCTTTTTTTTCCCCGTGCTACATGTGGCACTGTTTGTTCGAAACCTAGAAAAAAAAATACTGGGCTTGGGTTCTGCTTTCTGTTTCATTGGCTCCGAGGACGGGACACTCGGGTATCTTTGATAATAGCCTGTCTTTTACAAAGCGACTCTGCTGTCGCTGGCGTTGGCTGGGGGAACATTCTGCCGGTCCTCGAAGGATCTGCGCAGGCTGGAGTATCGGGATCATTGTCGGCGTAATTGCATGTATGTAAGGGTATGCTCAGGGTTCAAGAGTAGATAGGTTGGCATTGTTGGCCGGCTGCGGCAATACAATACCTTTCTTTGTGGCTTATTACCGTCGCTGTCTCCTCTAGTAGCTCTAGTAGTTGACTCTTGTGAACAGAAGCGGTGAGGACACCTTTTTATTTTGAATGTTGAAATTGCTCCAGGCTGCTGCAAACAGGTTGTGTTACGCTACATAGGGATCGGTGGATAGGCTGGCAGCTCTGTGCGATCTCATGTCTCTGATCTAAAACATATCCAAGACGACGGCATCATTGCCATGAGAACCACAGGCCGACATCCGCCGGTTCAATTTCTCATCACATTCACATTCTGCAATGCGTTTGCACAGCAGCGAGATGAAATAGCACTGTCGGGATGTGCCTCAGCCAATATGGGCTCCTTGCCTGACATCCAGCTTACTTTGCGCCGGGGGTGAGCCATTTATCGAACACTTGTTCACACGTTCTTGGCTCAGCTGTCGATGGGGTGGCGTCGTGGCCAGGTAGCCAGCATTCTTCCTAGTTTCAGTTTATTCCTTTACTCGGGTTTAGCTCGAGTTGCATCACATTATCAGTCATAATTATTTTTTTTTAGCCCTCTTACATGCCACGCCGACGGCTGATCGCCTTTTCGGGTCTCTTGTTTTGCATGATTTCCCCTGCATTTGCGCCCGCGACGTGGTAACTGGAGGAGGGGTTTGCTTCAAGTTTTATTCATGATTGAAAGTTTTGGTGATTCATTGTTGTGTGAGTTGGGATTTACTTGGTATATGAGAGCTTGAGATTGCTGGTTGCGCTGCGGACGTTGGACATCGCGTGCTCGTGCGGCTTAGTCATTCGGGTGGCGGACTATGCCAAGTTGAGATGCCATCATAAGGCGGAGGTGGCTGGTGAGCTGGCAAACAGCTGAAGCATGTGCTTTACTTGCTTGTGGCAGGGAAAGGCACATGACCTTGATGGTACTCGTAAAGGGTGAATCTCTATGTCGTCTCTCAACCAAGCAGGCAGGTACTTGCGCCTATCAGATTTGCCTTTGCCTGTACTTTGTAAACAAGTTCTCATTCTCCCCAAGAAAGCCACCCGGTTGATTTTATATAATCCTGCCCACCCCACTATCCAAACCTTAGTCCCCATACCCGTCATACATGGAAATCTCACGGCTGTCGCCATTGTAGGCACGGATGGCAACACGTCTGGTGTCTGGATGTACTCCGGCTGGTACAGAATACAGCCGAAGCAAGCAACGGAGCTGCAGATGCCGGCTCGGATAGAGGATGCATGTACATACAGGCAGGCATACACGGCGCAGCACATGTTTAGTACCTGAGTTGATTGGAAATAAATGAATGTCTCGGGCCGCTGTAGCATTCCATGTCCCCGTGATGCATTGCCTGAAGCTCAAGCTGCTACCAGCATCCGATCAGCGCCAGAAATGCGCCGCTCCAGGCTCAAGCGAGCGCTGCCCACCGGCGGCTCCACTAACAAGACCCAAGTGATAGTGCTAGAGCGTGCATGACAGCGTCTCGACGTGGTTTGATCAGTTGCAACTCCACCCGATCAATGACAACTACGACGCTCCCGCCCAACAGCAGAGCCAGCTCGTCGAGTCTTTTGCAGCCCTCCGCCTCTGCTCCCCTTGAGACTTACCAGAGCCATTGCTGCCGTCTGGGCTCCAGCGCCAGCTCGTTTTGCAAGGCGGCTGCTACCAGCCTGTCCGCCCGCTTCGCCGCTCCCCCTCCCTCGATACGCCGTTCTCTCGGCCGGCCGATCTCTCTTTGCCTCCTCTGATACTGCACATCGCCAGTTGGAATCCTCCCTCCCTTCGTGATTGCGCATCAAATCCCACCTCCCGCGTCATTGCATCCCTCCAGCCATCTGTGTACGGCCTTGTACACCGACGCCGGACCTGGAACGAGTGGCGCGTTGACTGAAGCTAGTTGGAAGCTGCTTCAGTAGCTGAGCTGCTCGCTTGCCAGGCACGACCCCCCCCCCCCCAAACCCTCTCCCCCCCTGAGCCTTTGCCTGTCCCTTTCCCTTCGTCTCTCCCTTTTTTGCCTCGTCATGTCTAGTCCGGAACCGCATGGCTCATCTGGTTTCACAGACTCGGAATCGTCTGCTGAATCCCTCGATTACCAACATCAATATACGTCCACCCACGACCCCGTTCCTCCCGACGAGGGAGGCAGCTACAACTTTTATACGCATCCCGCCCGAACATCCGTGCTAGACGCCAACGGTGAATTGCTCCTCGATCCCACGCTCCCTCTTGTGCCTGCGCCGGCCGCAACCTCGACTGAAATGGATAATCCGGCAGCTCAGGGCGACATGGCCAACGTGTGGAGGCCGACCGGCAGCTTGCCGTCCTTTTCTCGAGCATTCGACATCTTTTCTGTGGATTCCATGGACGACCGGTTCTTTGTGCCATCGTATCTCAAGGGTTCGACATACGTTCAGAAGCTGGAGGAGGTGTACAATACCAAGCTAGAGGCTCAGAAGGAGGGTAAACGGAGCAAAGGGAATGGGCAGGATCTCAGCACTTCGGGTCTCAGCACGACACCCCTCCCTCCTGGCGCACATAGAGGCATACTGCACACCGTCCTGGAGAGAACGCCGTATGATGGCGACGACAGTCTGGCGCCTCTGCCAGTCCACTGGAACCCTGGTGATATGTGGGCGTCTCTAGAGGTGACACCAAATTTGCTCGGGCTCAAATACACTGGACCCAAGAGCCACCATGAGCGCGACCATGAGGCTAGTGCTATTCGAGCGGATAATTTCATGCCTCCTCAATGTGGGATATACTATTACGAAGTGCAGATTATTTCGGGCAAACGAGACGAGTATGTTGTTAATAGACTTTTCTCCCTTTTCCTTTTCCTTTTCAATGCGGATCATACCGTTGATGGACATATCGCTAACAATGACACTTAGTACGACGATTGCGGTTGGATTTTCTACCAAGAACGCAGCATTATCACGGCCTGTCGGCTGGGAGCCAGAATCTTGGGGATACCACGGCGACGACGGCCGGTGTTTTACAGGCCAAAACATAGGCAGGCCTTTTGGCCCGGTGTTTAACAGCGGTGACGTTATCGGGTGCGGAGTCAACTTTCGAGACCACACAGCATTCTTCACCAAAAACGGACGGATGATTGGTACGTGTTTGCGAAATGTCCATGGTGCCACCCGCGTGTATGTAATAACTAACAAGGCATGCTTAAAAACAAATAGGGGTCGCATTTCACGACGTCACCAGGACTAATTTATACCCAGCCATCAGCTTGAAAAAGCAGGGCGAGGAAGTTTCAGTCAATTTTGGGCAGTCACCTTTCGTCTACAACATTGATGACATGATGAATGTACGTGCGGAGGCCACCTTTGCTTTATAATATCTCGGCGATTGCGCAAGAGAGCGCTAACACGAGGTGTAACAGGAACAACGAGAAATCATCCAAAATGCCATTCAGTTGGCAGACACTTCGCAGCTCGAGCCAGGCATGAACGAAACAGATCTCATTCAAGCGCTGGTGCTGCAGTTTCTCCAACATGATGGCTACGTGGAGACGGCTCGCGCTTTTGCAGAGGATATGAAGCTGCAAAAGGAGGCCTTGAACCTAAATCCGAACGTCACTGTTGACGGCCTTAACATCAAAGACGATGAGGATGCAAACAACAGACAACGTGAGTCAACGACGCCCTTTTGCTAGAGTGTGTCCCTTGTAAAGTCTTTGTTGACACTTTGATTAGGAATTCGGCGAGCGATACTCGACGGAGAAATAGACCAAGCGCTCGAGTATACCAATACGTATTATCCGCAAGTTCTCCGCGACAACGAGCAGGTATACTTCAAGCTGCGATGTCGCAAGTTCATCGAGATGGTGCGGAGAGCTGCCGAGCTGAGTATAAAATACGACGCCAAAAGGGGCACTGAGCTCGGTCAAGAGATGGACCTGGATGTTAACGGCAGTCACGGATGGGGAGACAACATGGAGACAGATGGAGGGGATCATGGCGCGGAGCTGACCAAGTTGGAAAATAAGATGCTAAGCTATGGCCAGGCCCTGCAGGCTGAGTTTGCCAACGATCCCCGGAAGGAGATTAGCAAGTCGCTGAATGAGATTTGGGCCTTGGTGGCATACAAAAATCCGCTTAAGGAGCCTCAGGTCAGCCACCTGCTGGATGGAAAAGGACGAGTGACGGTTGCCGAGGAGCTGAATTCTGCCATCCTATGTGAGTTTTCCTCTTCTTTCATGCTTTCGAGAGTACATCTAACATGGGCCATTTAGCATCGTTGGGAAAGTCATCACGAGCATCACTGGAAACGCTATACGCGCAGACCAATGTGCTGCTAGAAGAATTACGAAAGGATGGCGGACCAGGAGCATTTGTCTCGCTACAGGATGTGGTAGATAGCATTCAGCAGTCTCAACAGGTGTGAAGAAACGATACCATGGCTTTTTTTCTGCTGGGAGGTCCACCGGCAGAGCGATTCACATTTTTTTCGTCCCCGTTTCAACTTGCCCCTCATATGGCGTCTCGCATCTTTGGAGTTTTGGCACTAGGATGGTTTTCTATCTCTTCCCTGTTCCTCTTCTTTTTTCCCCTTCTCTCTTTTTCTAAACTTTGTCTCTTCTTACCCCCCTCCCCTCCCCTCTTTCATTATTTTTGATTGCTTTAGGCGTTTAGATCTAGGGAATCTGGTAGCAAGCGGACGCAGTGCGTTCACCCCGTCAATGGGGAAATAGGCACGGGTCAAACTAATGGCTGATACGTGGTTACGGCGTAGGAATCCTTGGGTCTTGTTGTATAAGCTAAAGGCGAGGTGTCATGATGGGTGAGGCGAGCGGGCAGTGTTGATGTCTTGGGTTAGGGATGTTTGAACTTGTCACAAGATAGAGCCAAGGTATTATTGAAGGCGAAGGCAAGAGTTTAGTTGATTTTGTGCTGTGATGAGCAAAATTTCCTTTTGTCTTTCCCTTATTTCCTTCTTTGGAGCTTTTCTTCTTCTTTGATTTGAATATTTTACATGAGGGAGCATTTTGTTCCTTTATTGGGAGAACATTTATTATTGTACATTGAAGGGGTGCTTTAATGTTGGTTTACTTGTTCCCCCTGTGCCTCAGGCCAACACCTCTCATATAGCCGTCTCCTGTGCTCTACCAGATTATCAAACTTGGCCAGGCATTGCGCCAGCGAATAGTCGTCGGCCCAGCCAAACGCCTCGTCCAGGATCAAATACGTGTAAGCAAAGACCTCTGCGTCGAACAGGCCCGGGCCGGGCTGGCCAAAGAACCAGTCGTCGCCGGCGAGGAGGGCGGAGAGCGAGCGCAGGGCGTCGGTGGCGTCTGCGAGGAGCTGGGGCGGGTCGATGAGGGCGCGGCGGGTGGTATTGAGGATCTCGTCGGTGGCGGCGTTGCGGAGGGTGTGAAGGGAGGGGAGATGGAGGATGGGTGAGGGGGGGAGGTAGAGGGATTTGAGGAGGTGGGTATTTGAGTTGTGGAGGTAGAGGGCGTAGAGCTTTTGATATTCGGTTAGCTGACGAGATTTCTTTTGATGGATGGTGAGAGGAGAGAGGGGATATACCCATGCGGGACGAAGGCTTTGTAAGAGAAGAGCTTCGTAGGCTTCGGTGCGGGAGGGAGGAGAGTCGGGCAAGGTTTCCCTGGGGGAGTTGTCTTTGGCGTAGCGGTGGATCTTTGCCCCGGTGAGGGGGACTGTTGGTTTTGTTACGGCATTGCTGCTGGGGGTTGTCGTCGATTCCTTCTCGGATGTGGGTGTTTGTGTTGTCGGGGGGAGGAGAAAGGGCAATGCGCCGGAGGGGGAGGCATGGTTGTTGGAGGGGACGAGATGGACTTGTACGCCGGCTATGCGGAGGAATGTCTGTTGAATCAAACGGTGTTAGTCAAGATATCCGAGAGACTTTGACAGCAATTACATGATGCTTGCCCATTGGGAACAATTGGACTGCGGCTGTATATGCTTACCTGCCACTTCAGGCACTGGGGATTGAAGCTCGGCCGGCCGCTGCGAGCATCCTCCAGCGTCCGCGCAAAGACGTACAGGCACGGCCGCGGACGTGTTCTCTCGGGGGCTCGCTCGGGCAGAGATTCGGCAGGGAGGGTGGTCAAGGGGAACAGCTTGAACAGCTCGCGGACGGGGGCCGGAACGGCGAACCAGCCGGGGCGAGACGGGGGGCCGGCCATGTGGCGGAGGAGGGGAAGAATCTCCGGGGGTTGATGCTCCAGATGCCGAGTGAGGCGGGGTGTGCGTTTCTGGAGAAGGAGCAATTGGTTTCAATACGAGAACCCCCTCTTTTTTTATTATTATTTCTCCGTTCTTGGGGGGTCCTTTCAGTTGGTCGATGAGACGAGGCTGAGGCTGAGCACCAGATGGCGATTGTTCGCTTCCACGGAAGAACAATGGCAGAACAGAAAAATAGGGCCGAGCTTCTAGAAGTTCCCCGGAGGCTTGCCTTGGGTTCGGGAGAAATCTCGGAGTAAAAAAAAAATAGTTGAAAGAATTAGGCCTGTGACGTTACAGAATGGGAACTCTCTTTTCTTTTCTGTTGGGGGAGTGGGGCGGCACAACGGAGTGACGGGCGCCGAGTGGGGTCCAAGGGTCCATGTTTGGAAGCAACTCTGTTTTTTTGTTCCGATTTCTTCTTGTTACAGTACGATTTACAAGGTTCGGCATCTTTGTTTCATCTGGTGAGGGTTTCGGGCAATTTTTGGGGGCGGGCTGCGAGAGTTTGCCTCGGTGCTGGCTGTGTACAGTATGGTCTAATCCTAATGCTGCAAAAAGCTACGGGAGGGCTGTGTGTCGAAAGCTGCTAGTGCCATTGCTGGCTACTCTGCATAAGATATCGTGATTGTCGAACACGGCATCAGAATCAGGTCATGTAGCTGCAACCCACAGCTGCAGCAGCCCGTATCATGCACCATGTAGCCATCAAGGGAAGAAGGGATGGGGGAGGGGGTAACCCAAAAGGAAGAAAGCCGAGAAGAAGAGTATTACTCGTATTCAGTTCGGGAATAAAAGGAAAAGGAAAAAGAAAAACGAAAGAAGAAAAAAAAAAATAGCCGCGCGAGTCGTGCGTGGGCATGCGTTGGTCTGATTTTCTCACCCCTTTGGCAATCGGCCCTAGATAAAGCATATCGTTCGTCGAAACTCCATTTTCCCTCCACACGAGAGAGAGAGGGGGGGCCTCGTCCCATCTCCATTCAGATTTAGTTTCGGGAATTGCGATATCGCCCTCACCGCTCCTTGTGGTGCGAGTGCACGATTCGTTTTTGGTTTTGTGATGAGTAGTAGAACTTGTTTGTCTTGGAGCTGTTTTCGGCTTCATACAGGTACAGGTAGGTACAGGTAGGTACAGGTGTAGGCATGTGTTTGCAAGGAGTGCAGCAGGGCGGCGGTTGCAGGTACATGCACGTGCAAGGCAAGGTAAGGCAAAGACAGCGAAGACCCTGAAATGAGAACCTGCTGCAGGGACGTCCAGGACCCTGGACACTTCCAGCCATTCGCAGATCGCCCGACGGATTTGGGTTGAACTTGTTTGCTAGTAATGGTAAGAGTGCCCAAAGTGTAAGAGCACTACCATAGGCTAGTCGAAGTTTGTGAGGGCCTGGGAAACGCTTCTGCCTAAGCTGGTGGTGGCTGTTGCTTGCTCTGCTCCGCATATCGGGTTCGGTTAATCCGATCGATTTTCTAGGCTCAACTTGAACTGTCTGTCTGTCTGTTTTGCACGGGCTGGTATACACTGTATGGTGCACGTACGAGTTGAGTTACCACGTATCATCCCATGCAAGAGACGGACAATGTGGCCTCGTCCTATTCGGTCGAGCGTGGCGTGTCACGGCAGTCGCATTATAATAATAGCACTCGGGGGGTCGTACAAGCACGGCCTGTGCAGCGTGCAGATGCGGATATTACAGACGGTCAGTTGGAGAACGTTGATGGACATCGAATCACCCCCACCCTTTTTATTACCTTGGGTACTTGGTTGGTTCGCAGGTACCTTTACCGAGTAGCACCGCCTGATGAATACCTTGGCAGTCCCTGTAAGACGTGGTCCAAGGCGTGGGGTTTGTCTTTGCCTGTCTTGTTCTTGCGTGTTGCTGCGCTGATGAGGTCTTGGGTACCTTAGTACTATACCTACCCAGTAGTAAGCAGCACTCACTGTTTAAATCCCCTCTTCAAATGGATTAAATCACTCGACAACAGAAACACAGCAGAAAGAAAGAAAGATACATACACACATAGAAGCCCACAAAAACATCGCCATCGTCCATTGTCCAATCTTGTCACATTTCTTTCTGGAAGCGGTACACTACGGTACATGCCGAGGCAAAGCCGGTGTCCCCCCCAAAGTCCCTTTTCCCCGTAAAAGCGCTCTGAATGTACTCCGTTCCTAGCGGCTTGCACTGTCGTCATAGCTGTAAGAGTCGTAAGAAACGAATAAACCCCCCCACTGCCCGGAAATCGAGACCTCGCAAATCGCCCTCTCAAGGCCATAGATAAAAAGGGTGTGCCTTTCCTCTCTTTTTTCCGCTCCTCCTATCGCACACCCCCCGGTTTATTTCTTCTCTCGATATTCCCGTTGCAATTTTTTGGGCTTTTTTCATCTTACATCTTTTTCCATCTGCTTTTAAAACAAAGGGGAAAACAGAAAGTGAGACATTGTTTGCAGCCGACCCCCCACCAGGAAAAAAAAAAAGGTCACTAGGCACCTGAGAGCGAATCTCCCGGCTGAATTCATCCAAAAGTGCCTTGTTCGGGATAAAAAGCCGTCGCTTTCCACCCTCCGGGAGTCCGTCATACCTCTGGGAATATACTCGTGCCGTTCACAACACACAAGAGGAGGTCCCAGCGCAGATCCCCCAGATTTTCTCCACGTCTAGAACAAACATTCCCTCTTTGGTTTCATCATCGCCGTTTTACACGCAACCAACACTCAAAACTCCTCAAGTACACCACTCACCACCCACCAAACTCACATCATCACCATCATCATGGACGCCTCCTCCTCCTTCAACGCCGCCTCAAGTGCCTCCTCTTCATCATCCTCGTCCACCAGACAATCCCCTAGCACCTCCGCAGCCATCATGGCTCCAGCCCCCGTCCAGACAAAGGCCCCCTCGACCGAACCCTTCCTCAAGGACTTCACCCTCGTCGCCGAGGCCGCCAAGCGCGCGCAGGCCGCCGTCATGGTGCGCGACTTTGCCGATTTCAACATCTGATGACGGATCCGGCGTGTTGGCATCTCTCATTTATTTTTATACATCTACTTCTTCGCCGCAAGATCGCCTGTGCTCGGAAATCCCCCCCCGAAAAAATGTCGAGCTGAAGGGCATTTTCGTCGGACTTCGGCTCGACTCGCTGGATCATTTCGGTACCATGGCTGCGAAATAGGGCGATGTTGAGATGGCCGTCTTCTTTTCATGAAAGCATGATCTGGGTTTCGATAAACTTGGTCCATTTTTTCTTCTTTCTTCTTTTTTCTTTCTTACAAGTTGCGATACATCTTGTGTTTGTCGTTCCATATACACGGGAGATTTGGCGTCGGAAAGTGTTAACGCCTCAGTGTTTGTGCTGTCGGTTTTGGTTCATGGGTTCTATCAGATGGATGAGACGGTGTTGGTCTACAGGAAAGACAGGGCTTGTATATATATACGTTTGCTGTGTTGGGTTTCATTTCTTTTTTCCCTTTTCTTTTGTTTATTTCCTCCCCCATCTCTCTCACCTTGCATATATATAGCCAGCTATAAATACCCGCACCTATGCTAATAATGGAATTGTACGAGGCTGTCATGGACGCCTCCTAAACCAGCCCTCATATCTCTCTTTCCTAATCTGCATGACGCTGCCTGTGAACAAAAGTAAAGTAACAATAGATTCATCATACATGTCCCGTTTACAGCTTGGACACATGAGACACACCACCATCCACCCGGATCAACGCTCCGTTACAGAACGCTCTGGATTCATATTAAAATCAGTCTCCTTGACTTGCAACATGGAAAGGGAAAAATACTCACCCGGCTCGGCTCGCCAAAAACAAACTGGCTCCCGCCACATCCTCTGGTGTACCAATCCTGCGCAACGGCGCCTCACTCCGAATCATGTCTCCAGCTACCTCGAGCGTCGCCTTCATCATCTTGGTAGCAAACGGCCCGCACGCAAGGACGTTGCTGGTGATGTGTCGCGGGCCCAGCTCCTTGGCCAGGACGTTGGACATGTGATGCAGCCCGGCCTTGCTAGCGGCATAGGCAATGTTGGACACGGTGGGCACGCGGATGCCGTCGATGCTGCCGATGTGGATCAGTCGCGCCGGGTCTTCTGCCGTGGCCGTCTTCTCCAGAAGCGGCAGAAGCAGTTGCGACAGGGTGAAGACGCGGTGCAGGTTGAGCGTCAAGACCTTGTTCCACGCGTGGTCCGGATACGAATCGATGTCGGCGCCCCACGCCGCGCCGGCATTGTTCACCAGCACATGAAGACCGTTAGGCTCGAGCTCAGTGAGGCGCTTCACGAGGGCCTGGCACTGGGCGAGATCCTGGAGATCGCCGGGCAGGGCGTGCGCAGAGCCGCCGTTGCCAGCAATCTTTGAGAGCTCCGACGCAGCGGACGAGCAGGCCGGGGCGTCGCGGCCGGTCAGGTAGACTTTGGCCCCGTTGGCGACGAAGCCCTCGGCGATCATGCGGCCGATGCCTTTGGCGCCTGTGGGCGAGAACGGGTTAGTTTTTCGATAGGATTTGGCTAGGGGAATTGGGTGTGAAACGGAAACGTGCCTCCGGTGACGAGGACGACTTTGCCCTGTTGCGAACGCGTTGGTGAGCTGGCTTGAAGGTGCATCAAAGGGTTGCTTAGCGGGATACTTACCTTGACGCTGAACAGATTGGTGACATCCATGGTGACAACACAGTTCAATTATGCTGTTGCTGTTATTCTCCTTCAATTGCTTTGATTTGATAGACACACAAAAGATAAGATCAACAAAGGAAGAACATCACTTTGGGAATGCTTGGAGATGGTGTTATGTCATTCGGGCTGACAAGCCGAGGCTCACAGCTGTTGTACCGAGAGCGCTTGCCGCTTTGGGTAGGCGGTACCCTGACATTCCCATTTGGGCCCCACCTAAGCAAGCCGTGGCGTTATCGATACGCGGCTTTGGCTTGTACTTTTTGTGTGGGTGAGCAATTGGCGTTGAAAAAGGTGCAACTGAGCTTGATAGGTACCTTATCTCACGGCTTGAATACACGCAAACAAGGGCATTTATTTGCAATGGAAAGGATATATGTAGGTTGATATCAATACCATGATATTCGTAGACATAATATACAGCTGCATCTCCAAGTTGTTACTGTAAAAGCAGTCAGTCCTCAATACCTATAAATCCAAGCCCTCGCATGTCACACATCCCGAGCCCCCAGATTCCGTCCCCGCCACGGCAAACATCCCCAGGAAAATCAATCACCTCGAGCTTCAGCCAAAAGGGCAAATGCTGGGCTTCATTTTAACCCCAACCAGGCTACTGTCGCTTCCTCTAGCAGTGGATCAATGAGTGGCGTCTGTTTATTTGATTTGCGTGTATTTAATAGTGTTTACTATACGTCCCTTCATCCGCCTACCTACATGTGATGCGATGCGGCTACTAACTAATCATGCTACTACTATTTAGCTAATCAGCCCGCCGGCCTCGCCTCGTCACAACTCCATGGCTAAGCATCATCTTTACCACTTCTACTATCCTCCTGTCCATATCGCACCAACATCTCGCCGCTCTCCTCTGACCAAAAACAGCATACATCATCCCTAAACCCTCATTCACAGCGCCGCAATGGACCCCCCTTCCAAACTCCGCGAGACCTTCGCCTCCAAGCCCGTGTCCGCCCACAACGACGCCTGGGATTCTCTCTACGCCCAGTCCTTCCACCCCTGGGACCGCGCAGGCCCGTCTCTGGCCCTCGCCGACCTGCTCGCCCAGCGCACCGACCTGATCCCGCCGTCTCTCGAGCGCGACCCCCGCGGCAACCCGCTCCGCGACTCCGCCGGCGCTGTCATCCGAAGATCGGCCCTGATCCCCGGCTGCGGCCTCGGCCACGACGTGCTGCTGCTGAGCTCGCTCGGCTACGACGTCGTCGGCCTGGACTACAGCCGCCGCGCGCAGGAGCTCGCCCTTGAGAACCAGCAAAAGGCCGCCGCCGAAGGCAAATACAAGTCTGTCGAGGAGGGCGTCGACTGCGGTCGCGTGACGTGGGTGTCTGGCGACTTCTTTGGCGACGCCTGGGAGGGCGGCAAGGGCCAGTTTGACCTGATATACGACTACACGGTGAGCAAAGAAAAAGACGCCATTTCAACGCTACATTCTATGGGAAGGCTGACAGCTCCAAACCCCCCAAACAGTTCCTCTGCGCTCTCCAGCCCTCAGAGCGTCCCAGGTGGGCAAAGCGCATGGCCCAGCTCCTTGCCCCCGGCGGCCAGCTCATCTGCCTCGAATTTCCCTCCGGAAAGCCCCTCTCGCTGCAGGGCCCGCCCTGGGGCGTCTGGCCCGAAGTCTACGAAGCCCTCCTCGCTCATCCCGGAGAGCCCATCGAATACACCGACGACGGCAATGTCAAGCCTAGCGCCGCTCCCGGACAGCCTCACCCGGATGCGCTGCACCGCGTGTGTCTCGTCAAGCCGCCGAGGACGCACAAGGCGGGCACAAATGAGGATGGGAGCGTCAGGGACTTCATCTCCGTGTGGTCTCGGTAGTAACGATACTGCTGGTGTTGACGTTGAAGCGTGCTCTGCCCCAGGAGGGTGACGAGAGCTCCGTATATATATGTAGGTAAGACGAGCAGTAAGATTGAAGCTGGCCCCCATAAGCTCCCTTCTTCTTTAGAAGGGGAAAAGAGAGGACAAACACGCTCTCCTGATAGACCTGTGAAATAACATGAATACGCAAATAAAAACTCCCAAGATGTTGTCATGATGTTCAGTCCGCCGTCGTAGTCGTCGCTGCCGTCGCCGTCGCCCTTCTCAGGGAGTTGTAATGCTCTCCCAGCCCATATCCATGCCGATAGTATGCCAGCCACAGCGTCTTTGCTTCCTCTCCCTCTCCCTCTCCCTCTCCAATCCTCTCTGTCCTCCCGTCCTGTATCACTCTAATCTCGACCCCGTACTGCCTCGCCACGGCCATCAGCTCCAGCTGCCCGCCCCATTCCGCCGTGTCCCTCATCTTCTTCGCATAGCCCTCCAGATCCTCCTCCAAAAACGGCGCAAAGTCGTCTGCGTGCGCCTCCATAAACCCGGCCGCTTTCCTCCGCACCGTCCGATATGCCGGCTCCTTGTCGTCGTCGCCATCAAGCGGGATGCCGTTGTGCGCAAGCTGGTCCGCCAGCGCCGCGAACAAGCAGTGGCCGTCTGGCTGGATATCCTTTTCGCTGAGCCCGTGAGCCGTAAACTCGCCCTTCATGTATGTGCTCTCGCGCGCCCGGTGGTCTGTCATGCTGGACGCTTCTTGCTCGGCGTGGAGCATCGCTGCCTCTTGCTCGGCCGCACGCCGCGCCAGCCGCTCCTTTTGTCGGTTTCGCTTCTTGCCAGGCTGTGGGCCTTGCGCATCGTTGCTTTCCTCCAGCTTCAGCTCCGCAGTCGCCGTTTCCAGTACTTGCGTCCCGTTGGTCGTCGCGTCGTTCTGCTGTGCCTCTTGTTCCGGCTCTTCATCCTCCAAATCCTCTTTCACCTCTCCATTCAAGGCTGCAATTTCAGAGGTTTGCTTCTCCCTTAGTTGACGCTCCATCTCGGCACATTCATCATTGACCCCCTTGCGTGTCTTCTTGGTGGCATTCCTCTTCTTGCTTGTGATTCTTCCCTGAAGATCTTTGAGCTCACGACGGTGTCGCGCCTGCATCTGCTCTAATGTCTCGGCCTCCATTTTATTGTCTTTTTTGTATGATGGTTTCTGTTTGCTTAGTTGCCCTTCTCGTATTTTTTTTCTATTCCTATTTTAATAAACAACAGATGAGATAAAGCCCGAAGGAAAGAAGCAAACAGTCGTGAGATGAGGTGGCAGCACAGGTGTTGATGGCGGGGTCAAGTTCAAAGTTCCTTATCCGACTGATAATCTTTTTTCTCTGGCGGGGCCGGCGTTTGTCCTGGATCCGACCATGGAACAATGCATGTGAGAAATTGTTGATTATAGTAGCATCATATTCGCGACATTGAGGATTAATTTCGTTGTATTACGAGCATATTAATCTCAGGTTTTACTATCTAATGCTGGCCTTCTCTCAACATCTCCATGTTCCCAGAGAAAGGCCGCCCAATCTTGTCTATTGAAAGGGCATTCATTTCGCCATCCTGCCCACCGCATCTCCACGTCTATCTTGTCATATCCAGACCAAAGACGCCTCCAACAGCGTGAGATCATTGTGGAAATTGCTCCCTCCTGCCTTGTATACACCCCTTTTTGTATATGTTTCGGAGTCCCCTAAATCCCAGCATCCATCCCCAGACAAAAAAAAAAAAAATTGTCGATACAGACATATATATTCAAGGAGAAAATCAGCGCCGTGCACCGCAAAGATGAAGAATGATGGAAAACAACAAAGGAACAGCAAAAAAAAAAAAAAAAATAGAGCGGCAATGACCGTAATTCATATCAATACAAGGCTTGAAGCAAAATGTAGGTGTTTATAGTGTCGAAAAAAGAGGGTATCCCGTCGTGGTGTTGCTTGATCCGCTTTGGATCGTTGGTATATTAAAAAAGAAGTAATGAGTGTGTGGTTGATGTTTGGTTTCTTTCGTGGTCTGTGTCCTTTTCGCACAGTTTAAAAGCCCCTGAAGGGATCGTCTCGGAAGAAGTCTTCCTCTCCTGCTGTCTTACTTCCGCTGAAGAATTCGTCGGATCCTCGGGTGCTCCTTGACAGCTGGGCCCGACGACGATTCCGGCTGCTGCGTCGGCGAAATTCTTTACTCTTCTTCCGCGCAAGCGCTCTGTAGTCATCATCTCCCTCTTCTTGATATTCGTGATACTGCTGGTACGCATGAGGGCTAATAAACGCCTCCATCCTCACAGTGCCTATTGCATCAAAGAAGTTGCCTTGCTGAGATGATACTGTCGACAATGGTGTTTGGGCTATACCCCAGCTGGCAGGGGTAGATCCCTGTGATTGATAGATGTCAGAAGAGCCAGTGGTCTCGATGCTGGCACCTGCCGTGCTGTTTGAAGAGTAATGACTGCTTTCACCAAGAGGGCCTGAGAAGCCTCGGAAAGACAGCGGCGGGGGAACACGGCCTCCCGTGTTGCTACGCTTGCGGCCATGATTCGTTGGCGTGTGACCCGTCCGATCGTTGAAGCGAGGTATCATAGGTGGTTCGGCGGCGTCCACGGAGATTTCTCTTGAGTGCCCTGGCCCAGTCACAGACTCTGCCACTCGAAACCTGGCAACATCACCCATTCGTAGCGTCGGAACATCGGGAATGCTAGGCATGCTCGCCAGTTCTGTCTTTGGCGCGGCCCGACCCTTGGCCAGTCGAATGGAATCTCGTATTCCTCCTCGCGTCAGCTTCGTAGGGCGTGGCGGTTCAAAGTTCGGGAGAGGGTGTTGCTTAACCGAGAGGTGTTGTTGTGGAGGGGCAGGTAGGACATCGGGGACGGCTTGATAAGAATGGGCCAGGAATGACAACGCCGTCAGCCAGAGATAATGTCTCTCCGCTGTAGGCGCCGTGAACTTGAGTGCTCGCTGTGGTGTGAGAATAAGGATTGATCGGTTGAAAATGGGTGTTGTAACACCCCTAGGTGCTGGATTGTCATCTTTCACATCGAGGACCGATTGAATGGCCACTATTCACCATGTTAGCACTCAATGAACATATGCAACTCAGAGGCATACACTTACGCTTGCGACCCGTCTTTCCTAACAAAGCACTACCGGAAGACGGCTGCTTGCTGCTCCATAGAATAGCTCGCTCATATGGTGCTACCCAGACCCATCGCTTGTGCCTATCGTTGCTGTTCTCATCCTTGTGGGCAGCGTCACCAACGCCGAACGATTTCCTTCTACGAACATACTTGAACATCCATTCTCCAACCATGGTCTGAGCAATCGCATCCACGACTCCCGGCGTTTGTGAGCTTGCCTGGGATACAGCCTCAGATTTGGCGGTCATGACGGTGTTGTTGGATAGCTGATGGCGATGCCTCTTATATGTGCTACCTTCCCGGTTGCGTGGCGTAGTGATATCATTCTGAGGCAGGGGAGGGAGGCCAGGACTTTCAGGGGCTTCGGTGGAGGGTGACAAAGGCGGTGTTCGACTGCCTGTCCTCTGATGACGTTCATGGCGTGGCAGAGTGTTTGCGGAGCGAACCCGACGAACGTGAACACTATTAGCATAATAAGTACGGCTACCACTTCGGCGATGCCAGCTAGTGCTTGATGGAGTGCTGCGTCCATCACTTGGGATACTGGTGCTGATGGATGGCTTCCGCGAGCTGGCTCGAGCAGGGATGGGGAATGGTGCCTGATTCTTGGGCTCAACAATGGTGGGATGGTTAACCAAGCCGGTCTGGGCCATGGTGGCCTTTCGCGTGACGCTGTTGCGGCTTGATGGGCCCGGCGCTGGCGCTGGCGATTTTTCATTGAGCCTACTCGATCTTCCTGACCTGGTCTCATTTTCACCAACGCTATACAGATCGCTGCTCCTTACCGATCTTGCAGACGTCCTACCAGAGCGCTTAGAGTATTGATCTGGAGAAGTTGCCACTGTACCAATCGAACTTCGCTTCCCCGTTCGGCTCAAGTTAGATGGAGGTCTTGGGGCCGTCAGGGCCGTCCGGTACTCAGAATCGCTCAAATCCAGCTCACCAAACTCGTCTATCTCGTCCGAATCGGTGTAAAACCCAGAGAACAGGCTGCTGAAGCGACGAGGCGGGATTATTGGAGCGCGTTGGCCCGATAGGAGAAGATCATCGTTGTAGTCATGCAAATCATGGTCATCCACCGGGAAGCTGATGGGGGAAGACGGAAGCTCGGTGCTATAGCGGCTGCTCTCCAGCCGGCGAGGGTTTCGAGGAGGTAAGCCACCAGCAAGAGGATTGACGCTCTTGTCGGGAACAGCAATGCCCGAAGGATGAGGCGAGGTAGGGCGGGAAGTGATAGAAGAGGGCTGAAGATGGGCTGGAAGGAGAGCCAGTCTCTTGTCTGTCTGGATTGCCTCTGTTTGAGAGCATGAGTCAACCATATCGCCTTTAACAATAATGTTGACTTGGCAGCCAAAGTTTTTGAAATGTTGGGGTAGCTTCGGAGAGTGAGGCGAGGTAGGCCGGCTAGTCGGTGGTTGAATGCTGATGCTCGGGATATCCAATGGGGGTAGCGGAATAGGAGAAACAATAGGAGCAGGAATCTCAGTCTGTGTCGAAGAAGTCGTCATCTTCGGTTCAGGCTTTGGCACTTCGACCTCCATAGGTGAAACCTCGGGCAGCTCGAATACTGAATTTGGTGTCTTCGGGGGGGTTAATGGAACCTCAACCGTCTGCGACGCTGATGACACCATACGCCGGGGCGTGGCAGGCGGTTCAATGGCAGGGGGTAGACTAACTCTCTTCTTTCGTTGATTTGCTTCGACTTCGGATGACCGTGGAGGTGTCTCTGTGTACTTCTTTTCAATTACCTCGGAAATGTCAGAATCCGGTTCGGGAGATGTCATCACTTCCAGTATAGGGGAAGGAGGTGGAGAAAATTGTATTCCTGTATCGGCGTATGAGAGCTCAGAGGTAGGCGAGTATTGGACTCCTGTATCAGCGTATGTAGATTCAGAAGTAACTATGTGCTGAACTCCCGCATCAGTGTATGAAGGTTCAGAGGTAGGTGCGTATTGAATTCCTGTATCAGTGTATGAAGGCTCGGAAGCGGTGGAGTGTTGAATTCCTGCATCGGCATATGAGGGCTCAAGAGTGGGAGAGTATTGAATTCCTGTGTCGGTGTAAAGAGGCTTGAGAGTAGGAGTGGGAGCCGGAGTAGGAGCCGGAGCCGGAGGAGAACACTGGACGCCTGCATCACTGAATGTATGCTCGAATTCAGGAGAGCACTGGACTCCAGTATTGTTGTATGTATACTCGGAAACAGGAGAGCACTGTACTCCAGCGTTGTTGTATGTATACTCGGAAACGGGAGAGCACTGAACTCCAGCATTGTTATACAAAGTCTCGGAAGCAGGAGAAGACTGAACTCCAGCGTCAGCGTAAGATGGCTTAAAGGTAGCGCGAGTACGGGCCGGAGCAGAGTCTTCTCCCTCCGTCTCTTCGTCTTCGCCTTCAAGAGCCTCTAGAACTGATTGGTTCATGAAAACCCTACCGCGTGCGACGCTGCCAGGACGCTTCACACTTTCTATGCTCTTTGTCCTTCGGTGAAGCTTGCTAATGACACTCTCACGGCTAAATGTTCGCCGATGTTGTTGTCGTGGACTTGAGAAGACGCTTTCGCGTCCGTCGACGTCTGTTTGATCATCGGTATCATCAAATTTGAGCTCATCTGCCAGTGAATAGCCGTTGAGAGAAAGGCCAGGCCCGTTGGCCAGGGAATAACGAATGCTGCTTGTGAGACTCATTGTTCTGACGCTGCCTGTGTCGTTCTCTCTACCGCTGTCTTCTGCCTCGCTCTCGTGGCCACGGCCCTGTTGAGCAGCTCCATTTGCGTGATTAGCCTGATAGGCTGCCACTTCATCAAGCACCATCTTAAGGCGGCTTTCCGCCACATGGATTCGGCGCTCATATTTGCGCTTTTCATCTTCCCAGTTCTCCTTTTCTTCCGCCCACTGGTCATGAACTCGCTCAGAATCTTCCTCTTGGTTACGAATCTTCTTCAGGGCTGCGTCTAAGCGCTTCTTTGTATCAGTCGCTGAATCGACAGCCTCGTCTCTTTCTCGTGAAAGATCTCCCAAAGCTGAAGAAGTTCCACCCTCGAGCAAAGACAGTTGCCGTTGCAACGAGCGTGTCTCTTTGGCTGCGGCATTTAAACTGTCTTGTAGAGTATCCTGCTCCTCCCTACTTGCTTGTAGTGCAGTTTCGAGACTCTCAATAACCCTGACCTTTTCTTCTTGGTCTCTCCTTAGTGACAAGATTTCAGACACCAAGTTGGCATGTAGCGTGGGGGTGAAACGTCGTGGATCGAGGATGCTTATTTGCTCATCGGTTGTTATATCCCTTGAGGAACGCTTGGAGGCATTTCCGTTTCTCGACGGCGAAATCTTCTTCTTTGCTGGAGGGGTGATTGACCGTGCTGAGCGTCTCGACTTCCTTGACTTGGTCGAAGGTGTTCTGTAAGGAACATACTCTCGTGGAGGCAGCGAAACTGCGGCCTGCGCATTCATGTACTCGTCATCTGTCCAGGCCGACATTGCTGCTAGTTGAGTTGAATATAGTTAACTATATTAGGCCCGTATGTGACGGATACCAGCCGGTTGATAACCAGCCCCTTTCATGGGCGAAAATTATCTCACCCAGCCTCAGCCTCTCCCGTTAACAAGTTCTGATTCCAATGTCAGTATTTTGCACGTATAAAATGATAGCTATTTCTGGTGTCTCGGGCTGCACAAGGGTTCGCTGCCGTGAGACATCCAATGCAAGGGGAATGACTTACAAGACGGCCCCTTCTTTTCCTGGTGCTCTACAGTGCTTGCAGACCCCACGCAATGTCTGACAGGTAATCCCTCTGAACACTATACACGCCACAAATCGTCGTGAGCCGGTGGCTGGTGCTAATATCAATGGCTAGGCGTCCAAGTGTAAGACGACCGACAACGGGCTGTTGATTGCGTCAATTTGTCTTCGAGGTATAAGATGCGCAATTCGTTAAAGAAAGGAAGTCGTCGAGACTGTTGAAAGAAATCCGCCTCAAATCCAACGAAATAGCACTGGATATCAAAAAATGGAGGATATGTCGACTTCTCAAAGAACGGCTCGGTTACTCGATCTAGTCGAATGCGAAAGGGATTTGGAATGAAACACGGAGATGCCGAACGGTAGCAAAAGAGTTTCGACGCCGGTATTCGCGATGAAGTGCTAATGCAACAATTTAAATAAAAAAGACGGAGAGAACTGAAGCAATAAACCCCGTCAGTTTGTCTTGAGGTTTGTTGGCAGGGCTAACAAGAGCAGCTGGCAGCATGAGGGCACCTGCCGCATGAAACTCACCTTAGGACGCAAGGGAAAGAAAAAGGGAAGGAAAGAAGCAAAACCGCCTAGAAAGGCTTCGTGGGTGCTTTTCTGAGTGTTTCTTAATCCATTGAAACACACACCGAGACCGGAAAAGAAGAAAAGCAAAACCGGCTTCTAGTCGGGCAACGCTCCTCCGAACTGTGTGGTGGATGAAGCTGAAGATTGTCGCTCGAGCAGCCAGCAGCACGACAAGACACGACAAACGGCGATAACGACGAGCGCAGAACAGGAGACGGCGAGACGAAAAGATAATGACGAGGTATTCCGCCAGGGTACCGGGAGAGCAGGAGGCAGGGAGTATTAATTGTCCACATCCACTTTGCCTGGTTGGTTGACGCGCGATCGGGGTCGACTCTGCCCATGTGGGCCTGTGATTGAGGCGATCCCAGGACGCTGGAAGCTTGGGTACAAGGGCCAGGCAGATGGAGGGCTGTCTGGACTGGCTACGGACTTGCCCAAGCAGAGGAGGCTTTGCTACTGCTTGTCCGGGGCTACGAGTGTCAAGTGCTGGGAGCAGGTATGTCTGGTGGTGCTCGCTCAAGCTTTCGAAGCAGCCCCCATATCATCTCTCGTCCCTTCTCATATCATTCCTGCAATCTAACACTACCTTATACAATACAGCATCTGAGCTTTGCTTCGTACGAGAATACGTCGGCAGATGGCCGCATATGCGCGCCACTGCAAGCTGTCCGACAGCGCCCCCAAGCCCCTCCCAAATCTGCCGCAGCAGCCATGATTGTCTCTCCTTGGAAGCTGAAGGCAAAGGACTTGCTTGTTTCCTCTCTTCACCCTGTCCCCCTGCAAGCCTGTTCCCCCTCTAGAGAGGGAGCGCGCTGCATCATTGGCCAGGGGCCTGTGTCGGTTCTATCATCCGCGATGGCCCAAGCGTCCACTCCCAGCATGCTACTCCCAGTCCTGATTAGCGGTCCTCAGTCAACGCCAAAAACGCCCACCATACGAGTGGCTAATACCACTCCTAATAACCCGGTGGCCTGTCAGGTTCCCCCCTTCAGCTCAAAGGCACCAGTATTACAACTGCTGTTGGTCTGGCAGATGGCGCGGTGGCGTTTCTTTCCCGGCCGCAAAGCGTAGGATTCCGGCCAGTGGCTTTTTTTATTTTGTTTCACCATTTTCCGGTTCGAGACCAAATATGATACGGCAGCATGAGTGTGCCCGCTCCTCGCTCGTACGGGATACGGTTGGCTACCAACGCACCCGGATTGGTGACAGACTGAAGACTGGTAGAAATTGTCTCCAGCATGGGGCTTCCTGCTCTTACCTTGTATGGGATAGTACGCCGGCCTTTTCTTATGAAGGAGGAATGTTAAATTATGTAAAGAGCCAACAGTCTTGGGGCGGCATAACATAATAATAGCAGCTTGCGAATATACGACTACTCCGTGCCGAGCCCAAGAGCTAATAGGGAGGACCCTCGCCCACGTACCGTTGAAAGTGGACGGCGACGCTTGATCTTGCGGAGGCATTCATACCTGTAAGCCAGCGTGGATGCACGGCAATATCACATATGCAAGGCTACCGACCGGTGTCACCTTGTTGCATCCCTGTCAGGGCCACCCTCACGACATTATCCAAAATCGTGCCAGTCCAAGTGCATGCGTGGACAGGAGGAGCACCCTGGCTAGAGCGAATATTTCTAGACCACCATGCTCTGTACCCATCCAAGTACTCGTATGGAGCTCCAGGATGATTCTCGCCACGGCGGCCGATGAGCAGCCACTATACATTGCTTCACCAGGAAATGATGGGAGGATTCGCAATTGTTGGTCCAAAGCTAGTCTCAATATTCGGTCGTCATTCAAGGCCCGCGCGAGCCGTCATCATCATTATTATTGGTACCCCATACGACGGACTATGTCTACCTTATTTCCCCCCCTATACGGTACACGTCGCCGAGTCACCTACGCTACGGCCCGGTATGGTGAGACTTTGCTGTGTCAGTTGCCCTCTCAACAGAAGCACACGGGCATGATGTTGCAACAGAGTACAGGTGCCTGCGCCAGGTTAATTATCAAGTCTCCCACCATGGCGGTGCTCGGCTATTTTCTCGCTCTCGACACCTTAACGCGTACCTTGCAGCGTCCTGCAGATTCCACGATACTTGAACGATATTTGCTGTGCTCCATTCTTCCAAGGTTACGGGGAATGTTGTCCGTAGGGGGCATAGCACTGCTGGTAGATCATACACGTGCCTAATATGGCGCTTGTATGGAAGGCATTGGTATGGGGTACAGGTTGGCTCATTTACTTTAGCTGGCCTCCCTGGCTGTTTTGGAAATTAATCGGGACCAGGGCCACCTACTTCGATTTCACGAGGCCCGAAACTATGCTGGCCTAGGAAGCGGGCCGAGCTTGGCAAGCCAGCCCGGTCCTCGTGCTCTTTTAGGGGAACCAACCTTACTTGGTACGGCCATCCCCAATTAATTGAGCAGACATGGGGATAAAGGTCGTGCTGATGATTTTTTTCTTTGGCCCGCATGTTCATCGGGGTCGGCATGACCGAAACCATGAACAGATACGAGTGCAAGCGCTTCGTACACGGGATATTCTTGTGATGATCTTTGATTGTCTGACAGCAAGGCTATCCATGGCGAGGCTTGGCCGGCCATCAGAACGTTAACAGAACGATATGAATCTTGCTCCGTGCACACGGCATTTGAGCCTCTCTCCACGGAGGCAGTCAACTGACAGATGGCGCCGGCGTCTCATCGAAGCCCCTCAATGGCACAGGCAGATGACTTGAACGAGATGATAAGTGGCAAAAGCTGATATTTGCTTTTTATTCCCCCCCAACCCCCCCCCCCTCTGCCGTCGAATCTAGGCCGTTGCGGTGGTCTCCAAGACTTCCTCCACAGGAGGCCGGTGCCGATCATCAGCGTTTTTGGCCAACCTACTGTACCCACCTGGTATTAGTTGTTGACGAACAAGCTCCCGCCAAATTACGGAATTGCCAGACTTTTTTATTCCTTCATGCAAACCTCATGTCATCTAAGGGTCTCTCCAACCGATGGTTAATTAGCTCAGCGGGCCATATGCAGGGGAGCATCACCAGCCGGAGCGCAACAACATACTTCTCTGCCTTGAAGGGAACTCTCACTACTGTAGGGAGCGCGGCATACTCCACACCTGTCCAATATGCCGCCACCACATCAGCTCTCTTGGTGCTAGTCCAGCAACAGCTCGCTCCCTCAGGTTAGCCTGAGATGTGATGAGTGATAGGGCGATGAGCATGCTCCTGCAATTTCTCCGCTTTCTACCAATACCCCACTTCAATTCTGAACGACTTACACTACTACAACAGTACTACAGAACTGATTTTTGCTCGCCAATTACATACCTGCGACTGAAAAAAGAAAAGAAAAGCAGCAAGGAAGTGAAGTTGTCGAGCGGCTGGGCCTGATATTTACGAGTACTGTTGGGCCTTCTCCAGTCCAAGAACAAGTGGCCCTCATCACCACCAACACGGCTATAGATATGGTATATTCGTAGTCTCTTCTCATCTGCTCACAAATGCAGGAATATGAGGTGCTCGGATAGATCTTGTTTATCTTACAGGGCTGCTGGTATTGACTGAGAATGAATGTCCAGGGCTCAAGCATCAAGCGGCCAACCTTGAGATGTACCGGAAAAGCAGAGAAAGCTGCGAAATACTACCCCCGCCCGCCAAGTCTATAAACTATGGCTTCTTAATTGCTCCGGGGATTCAGATCACTTTCCCAGGGTGGCAAGATCAGCGTTCAATAGAAGCCACAGACTACTTTCTTACATTCAGCTGAGTACAACCAAGACAGAGCTGAATTGCCCTGGACACCGAAGCAGCGCCACCTGGTACAAAGTACTTCGGACAGGGAATCAATCCGTACTCTACCATGCTATCTCTAATATGCTGCCATAGCCAATAATTCTCTGTACTCACCGAACAATCTGATACTAGCAGATTACAAAGGTGACTTAATCCGGGACATGGGTATCACGGAGTGACCAGGCCATATATAGCAGCATGCCGGCAGCAGTAGCCGACCTAGCGGGCATTGCCTTGAATATTTCACCCAATCGGTGGGCTTATCGCCTCAGTCGAAGTTTACCATTGAGGCCATGAGACATAATAAGGAGACCCAGGCCATCTTAGACTCTATCAACCACCCATACCGCGGGACGTTAGCCACCATTGCTCCGGGCCGTCCATCCGCGCCTTCCTAAGGGCGCCACTGTTATATCAGTGTATATCCGTCAGCAACTGTTGCGGCATGGGCTTGACTGCCAGCCTGAGGATAGCGATATATCCCCGGAGATGCCGCTGATATGGAAATACGTCGAAAATACGCCTGTAGGAGTTCTGGGACGGGTACTTGTCTGTCTTGATACTCCCCTCGCTTGCCTGGGGTCGGTATTTGGCTAAGATTTCCTCCACATCTCCGCATAATCACGTTTTCATTGGGGCTGGTCGTACTTGTACTGTATGATGGCGCATCTCTTACATTTTTGCCGTTGGCAAGCTTGCCGGTTATGTTCTTTTGTTTTCTTTTCGAGACTCCACGTGCTCTCAGCACGAAGAAAGGATCACCCCCCAGTCGTCACTATCACAGTCACACAACATCTACAATGATACTGAGGGGAATTTTTTGGTTTGAACCAAAAGGTCCGTGGATGTGTTGTACCTCGGTCTAAGGAACAGCATGGCTTTTGTTTCAGCTATCTTGGTAGCTTGCTGGTCACACGTGGAGCCTCCTTCGGCCTTGGGCAGTTTTACAGTATCACAGTGCTGGTGACCAGCTCTATGCTGTATCACGGCGTGCTTTTCAGGTACGATTGTATTTCGATGGGGCGCCGGGCAGCAAGCATTGCAAAGGATAGCCGCTGTGACATCCACATGTCAGTCAACTTCTTTCAAGTCTTGACTAGTTGTGCATCGACTGCTAATATTGGGTAGGCTAAGAGCCTAACGGGACTTGACATGGCTTTGATAGCCTTCAGTCCAACGGCAGTGCGATGACGAGCGTTTCGAATAAAGAGCTGGCCCTTGCACATATAGCTTTATCTCCTCTAGCTTGTGCTTGCGTAGCAATCTCCCTGGCAGATTGGCACGTAATGCTCCCTCTCACTTCAAGACAACTCTGTCGTATTCCGGGTTCGTGGCCATCCTTCGCCTGACCAGCCGCCCATCAAGACTCGGTTCGTGATGGCGGCTTGCCGGAATACATGCGGCAAATGTGCCATGTGCAATGAGTTGCATTCGTCACAGTGGCATGTTTGATCTAAGCGCGTGGCACTCGGCTGCAAGTTGATTCGAGGCAATATCTCTGCAGATGATGAAACTCGGTTATGTTCCGGTAGGGAGTGCATGGTGGCTTGGGCCAAATCCTGCCGAGGTTTGCTATTAAGCTATTACAATGCTTATCAAAGCTTAGGGTCTTATTGCGTTTGGAATAACACCTACCCAGGGCGTATGGTAATGGAACAGTATGTTGCGCACAGTAAGTCGTATCATGTGAAGATGCCGACGTTACTATCCAGGGGCTCGTATTGCCACAACCATTCAACTTATCTGTTTCTCGTTCATCAAAGGCATTCTTATCGTGCCAGTTGGCCCGCGTACATCGCATAATATGCATGTCTTGATTCAGAAAGCCGCAGATTAATGGCAGAAGTGGTCACGTACGTCTCGTAACTTCTCGGTTCTTACCCTACAACAAGACCCGGAAAAGTCACAGCATTCGCTGCGTGTTTCTACACATTTAAGGATGTCATTAATATGGTGACACATATTTTGGGTCGTTTTATTTACATTTCGGTGGTTGATAGCTTTTTTATGGGAATTTGGTTGAGTGTCGATGGCGACATGCAATCATGTGATTTGTAGATCCAAACTCTAACCTCGGCGATGCTTCATGAGTTGCAAACGTCAGACTTATGACTCAACCAACACATAGTGTTGGCTACGAATACTGATACTGAGACAAGTTCTTAGCCAAACACAAACTCATGTTAGCAAGTGGGCTCAAACAGACATAAAGAAAATACATACAAAAAGGAAGAAACAACCATGCCTTCAAAAACCTCACCCCTCGTCAACGTCAAAGCTCTCCTCTTTGACATCTTTGGCACTGTCGTCGACTGGCGCTCCTCCGTCACAGACGAAATCTCCCTTCGCACGTTTCGCAAACTCTCCTCGCAAGGCATCTCACCCGCTCTGAAAACCCGTCTTGAAGGCCTCACGCAGCAGGACTGGGACCGCTTCATCCAAGAATGGCGTGACTCGTACGTTGCCTTTACACGATCCTTCAACCCGGACACGGACGCCTGGAAGAGTGTCGACCAGCACCATCGTGACAGCCTCGTCGAGCTTCTCGGCAAGTGGGATCTGGATGGTCTCTTTACTGAGACGGAGATTGAGAGCCTGAGCCTCGTCTGGCATCGTCTCACTCCGTGGCCCGATTCTGTAGATGGCATTGCGCAAATGGGACGCAGATACACCACCGGCACGCTGTCCAACGGAAACACCAGCCTTATACGCGACCTCGCCGACTTCGGCGGCCTCTCCTTCGACAACATCTTCTGCGCCGAGACGTTCCACGTTTACAAACCCGACCCGGCAACGTACCTGGGCGCCGTGCGAGCGCTGGGCTTGCAGCCGGAGGAGGTCGCCCTGGTGGCGACACACCTCGGGGATCTCCATGGCGCGAGGGGCTGCGGCCTGCGGACCATCTACGTCGAGAGGGATAGGGAGGAGGCATGGGGCAAGGAGGAGGCGAGATATGGCGAGGCGAAGACGTGGGTGGACTTGTGGGTGACGGAAGAAGAGAAGGGGCTGCTTACTATTGCGGAGAAGTTGCGGGAACTGGAGTGAGAGCATCTGATGAATGACGAAAAGCGAGTGTCTGTATACATGGAAACTACAGGTCTTGATCGATCTTGGAGCCGGATTGATGTTGTAGGGGTGTAGAGTCTAGAGATCAGAGTCTCCAATTTGCATTAAAAGATGACTCACTTATAACATGCTATCAAAGATATCATGATATTGGAGAGGATATAATCTATGTGAACGTATCTGCTCGCCTGAAAAAGCATATACCATAGCCTACCAGACTCCTGGCTATCAGTACCTTTGTAATTGCAACACTCTTGTTGGATTACTCAAGTGTGTCAATTCGGCAGCCTTGAGGTAGCGTATGAAATACATACATAGGCTATAAGATTACGTATAACTTCAGTCAACGGCATGCTTCTACAAACTCTGACTGACTGAGCACCAGACTGATATTGAGAACTCATATCATTTATCATACGGCATGGGTCCCAAAAGCAGTAGCACGTGGCAATGTAGGCTCACAGCCCCCAGTTCACGCCGATGCCATGTTATACACACAAGTGTCTACAATACGAAGCTGAAAGAATTGTCAGCTCAGCCACAGAATGATACATGATACAAACCCAGGAGCCACAGTCTGTCGGCTTGGCTTACAGGTCAGGGCTTGTTCCCAGTCTTCACAACGGACTGCATCTTCTGAGCCCTCATTGGTAGCCGCCCAATTCTCTCACAGCCGTTAATCTCGCGAGCCGAAGCCCAGACGGCACGTCTTGACTCGTCAAGGTCATAGTAGTCTGTACTATTGGTTCCCATTCGGGAACACCCGAGATTACAAGATACAATGTTGATCCTGGGGCTGAAAATTGGCAGGGTTTTTCGGATACCACCGCCGACACAGCTGAGTCAAACGTGACACCTACTGTAGGCACCATGGACATGGAGATTTCTGGCGGTCCATTTCGTACGGGTTATTGTTCATATCAAGCGCGTGATACAAGGTTGCGAATTGTATTGCGCCGACGGCCAGTTAAGTTGCTCCAGGTGGACAAGACATGCATTTGTGATACGCATACCAGTAGCAGTCGAATACTGGCACACTCATCCATCCTTTTCTCTCGACGACGGCAAAGAAGACGAAAAACCGCGACCCCCACTGCAGAGCTTCCTCGTCTCAAGGAGGTGACCGACGACGTTGGAGCGACAATCCTTAGGGCATCTCAGTTTGCCCGAGTGCTAGCACGAGGAATAGTGATGGGCGGGCTCGGGTGGATGAACCTTGCATTCGGGATCGACTTGTTGCTCGCGGGTAAGCACCATCCGTGTCCCGGTATGCAGGAAAGACGTGGGATGTGAGGGTTAGCCAAAACGTGTCGCCGGATAAGCCCGGCTGCCAGGCCAGGAAAAAAGACCTTGACCAGACGACATGCTTCCCCGCGCTGACGCAGTGGTACAGTAATCAGAGCAAAGAATGGAGGATTCGCGTGCGTACAATGGAGTAGTAGCAATAGAGTAAGAGTCAGAGTACTCGTAATAGGAGCATGTTGTACGAGTACTAGCATGTCCCTCGGCGAGTATTGCGCAGCCAATTGGTGAGGACGGCCATCGATAGCTGCCAATTAAGGGTGGCAAATATTGCTCTACCCATAAGCGAGAAGATGCAGATAATCCCCGACGGGCGTGACTTGTTTGGTTGCTGATTTGGAACAAAGTATAAGATGAGGCTATGCAAGCCTAGCTATCTTTAGCATCCCGTCTGCATGAGATGAGAAAGCAGAGTGGAAGAGCGACCAAAGAAGCAAATATGATTTGCCAACGCTCGTATCACCGGTAGCCACAAGAGCAAGGTCGTCCAAGCACCGTTGCCCGTAATAAGACTAATAATGCTACTTGTAGAGCATCATATCCACCAACGCTCTGGTCGGCCGCGTGTTGAGCGGATGTGGTTTGCGGTCTGCCGCTGCGGGTCGTGCTCCATGTCTCCATGTCCTCAGCAAGGCTAAGCTAGGCTCCCACGCACGCGGCGGGTGGTTGGCGGGCATACGAGCCCAGATATCGAATGCCGTCGTCGCCTCTCGGAGACAAAGGAAGGAAAATGGCATCCTACTGGCTGAAGACGAGGCGCCGCGGCCTGTCCTTGTCCTTGCTGGGCTGGTACAGTCGAGTTGTGGCGGGCTTGGATCTCAAACCGGAGCCCCATATTCTGTATTCCGGACTGCCTTAGTGCGCTGCGTTGACTGCAGAAGCACTTGTCTCGTGAGCTTTCAGCCTTCAGCTTGGATGGGGTACCAAAGCACTTGCGAGGGTTGCCGGTCGTGCGTGTAAAAAGCTGACGACTTGATAGGCGGGCACTTCCAGAGCAAGGACATGGCAGCTGTCATCTCACAAGAGAGACAGGCTACATGCCGACTCTGGCAGGATGAAAGAGGAGACTGCATCCACAGCTTACTCTGCGGTGGGTTCGTGCTCTGTGACCCCCCGTTCACGCACGGCCATATGCATAAATGTGCGAAGCTGATGCGAGTGACTTGATGCTCTCCAGAGGTCAGTCAAGCACGTCAGCAAGAGTCGCCAGTGCTGGAGCGGGAATGGTTTCCCAAACGAGATGCTGATGTGGTCAAACGCTGTCTGTCCGTATCCCGGTGCTTGTATGGAGTGCAGTAGAGAGTCCTCGCAGCTCACAAGATGACAAGTGAGTGGTTCTCGCCCGTCTCTCTTTTCGTCTAGCCTCTGCCCGTCGATGCTGGCCAGTACCGTACAAGTACAGTAGTAGTACGAAGTATTATGGGGGCAAGCAGCAAAGAATCAGGCCATTGATCTCATGGTCCTTGTCTGGTAGCGGCATTGCTAGGATTTTGGGATGCCAACATAGCTAAGTCTGGAGTACGAAGCACGACTACTGCTAGCACCAGAACGAGCAGTCGCGCTCTGTCCATGTACGACTAGTGCCTAATAGTACAAGTAGGCGCTCAACGGCCAGCCGAGTGTGAAGCTGCGGTTCCGACCGCTAGCTCAGCCGGCGCTGCAGATCGATGGCTTCTGAGAGGCTCGCTGGTGAAGCTGCAGCCATGCTTCCGGCTCTGTTGGCATGGAGGACGTCGCTTCCGCAGTCGCCCCGCGCTACAGATGCAGCGTTGCTTTGGCCGGCCTTTGCTTGTACGAAGCCGCTGAGTACATGTACTCGTAGTACGCACAAGGACCTGTATGTCCTCCAGCTAGGCGGGCAGGCACTCTGCTGGCGGACAAGTGAGGGCAGCGGTAGCATATCAGCCTCAATTGAGCTTGTCGGCCATTGGATTGGGTGCTTTCCTCGGCGGCGGACAAACGCTCGATGCCATCGGGTCGCCCCGGCAGACTCATCTCACGGATGCTCGCCAGGCTTGCAGAATTGCAGCCATGCTTGCGAGCGACACAGGACGCGACTGGGACTGGACTGGCTCCTTGGCTGGGGGTTTCGGGCCCCGCAGATTGGCACATGTCGTGCTCGTGTGATAGCAGCATCTATCCCATGAGGAGCTTCCGACTGGTTCGGCTCGCAGAGGCGTCAATTGCGGTTGGCTAATATGCGACTGGATGATGTAAAGGCAGCGGTTGGAGGTCGGCCAACCAGGCATGGGCGAGGGAAAAGTGCTGCCCAACCGAAGTGGTGGCTGAAAGCTTTAAGGTGCCAAAGGATTCAACAACAGCTTGATCCGGAGAGCCGTACCGGCAAAACCCACTCACTAATAACAGCCCGATGGAAGGATATACTACTACTAGGTAGGTACCTACCTAGGTAATAGAGACAAGGCGCATTGTCTGCTGATATGTACTGATACTGGTGTGCATTTAATAGCACTCAAATTACTCCGTACCTAGGTTTGTAGGAGTACTTCCATGTCGGTATATTTCCGTGCAGGTATACCTGGCTCCTAGTACTCCATACTCGTAGTACCATTGGCCGTTTCGTACGTTGCAATTACATCGCAAGTACGGTAAGTGCATGTGATAGACCTCCAATATCACAGACGTTGTACCTCAGCTTTACGAAGCACGGCGACTAGAGAACAAAGCTGTTGGGTAGTACCGCTTTGAGGCCGAGGCGAGGTCTTGATACTTTGCTGTAGGTCGTTGTGCCACCGAAAGTCGGAAGTAGGGACATGTGCCCTGCAGGTTAGTGCTGGCAAGACCAAGGTAAGGGCCTCGTTCCATGGCCTGGTTGTTTCCGGCTCGGACTTTATCTCGATGCAACCTGCAGCCCATTCTGCATTTACAGCAGTCCTCGTACAGGCAGTGTATGAGTGAGGTAGTGTTTACTTGGCAGTAAGTACCTTAGTACAGTAGTACTCGTCTACTCGTCTATATCGACATGATGCTTGTACTCCCCCGTGCTGGACGTTGACGTCTTCTTGCCTTGCCCGGTGATAAGGTACAGGTAGGTACCTACCTAGGTACCTTAGTACTTGACTGCACTATCATCTTGGCAGATCCTTTCCGCTGCCTCCATTACTCAATGGCGCTTGAGATGCGCATACGTGGATTCCATGGTCCGACGTGCCGATGGTTTCCCGTGCCGCGCACTCTGACATAATCCCAGCGTCTATTCGTACAGGATTGTCTGTTAGTAGACAAGTGACAAGTAGACAAGCAGAGTAGGAGCCCGTACTGTACAGTATTCCGTACGCAGGCTAGTTTTGCGGGCTGCATGCTAAGTACAAACAAACACCAGGCCTTGAATCGCTCGCTCGCTCGCTCGCTCGCCACTATACTAAGGTACTGGGGACAATGTGAACATCCCCCGTCGCCGCTACTCGAGCTAGCGTCCGCAACGCAGCCAGACAACGCCCCAGACGCCTTGACCGCATGGCTGTCGGGGCCGCAAGCTCCATCCATGTCTCTGTGCGAAAACCCTGTGCGAGAGTCGGGTGTGTGATACGATACCGGCGGACGCAGGCTGCAGACGGACGCCAGCCTCCTGCCCAGGGGCCTGTAGGGGAGAGAATAGGGGATCATTGGCCGCCGAGATGCCTGCGCGCTTTGCATTGGAACGGACGGGCTGCAAGTACCTGTACGAGTACCTGTACCCGTGCCTGTGGATGATAGGTACCTCGACCTCTTTAGACGAGACGGGTTGGCTGGCTCCAGGTCGTCTCATTGATTGAGTCCCATCGTTGGCAGTACAGTACAGTACCTACCACTGTCCTAGGCACTACAGCAGCACTAATCCACGAGTAGACATCAAGTTGTAGGTACTAGCGCTGGCCAGAAGTACAGTATGGAGGAGCCATGGACGGCAAATGGGCGACGGGGTCAGCATGAATTGATGGATCAACAGTAGTGGAGGCTTTGCTACTTTGCCATGGATGGAAACAATCAAGTTGGGCTGATCCAACAGCATATTAGAATTTACCAGGTAGTTCTTCCCTAGCCCTACCGCGGCGCTCAGAGCGCATCCTGCTGCTCAAAAGTTGTTGTATGTGGATGGGGATGGATGGGGGAGGGGATGGGGGGACCTTGGCGTCCGCTGCTGCTAGCTCCGGCGCAGGCAGTCCCAGTCCCAGTACTGTACCTGTATCTGCACCAGCGCTGGTACCTCTACTCCTCCTCCTCTTCTCCTCCTCAGCGCTTCGAATCAAGCGTGCAGGACCAGGCCAAACCAGGCCAAACCAAACCAAACCAAACCAAACCAGTGCTAACCTAAGCCTCTCCGCACGTACATATGCTAACTCCAAACTCGCCATGCACTGTTCTGCTCTGTTCCGCTCCGTGCATGCAACTTGCACACGAGTTGCATTGACCTGATTGATTGATTGATTGCTCCATTGCTCCAGGCCCCCCCCCCATCGCATCCCATACCATACCTGACCATACCTTACCTTACCTTGACCCTTCCCATCCCCCATACGGCTGTACATCTGCGAACGGCTCTGAGCTTGAGTCCTTAAAAGTACCGCTGCTCCGGCCTCGAACCCCTATCAGCAACCCTCTGCTAACCAACCTCGACGCCTGCAAGCCTGCTATCCCAAATCCAAAGCCGGACCCGCCAAATCCACACTTTGCTTCTCCACCAAGAGCACCAAAAAGTCCACTCGACCAGCTCCAAGGACGCCCAAAGCATCTCGTCTTTTGGCCGTGCTAGACTGGCACAAACATCCCTCCCCAAACTGCTTCTCTGATCCCAATTGCATCTGCACCGCTCGCACAGCATCTTCCTCGCCCATCCCATTGTGCAGTCACCGCGCGTTTTTGGTCGACTCGCTGCCCTTCTGCTCAATCTCCCCCTCCTCCTTTCGCTGCGCCGCTAGCGGGCCCTTTGGAATCGCCGGCCAAAAACCCTAGGATTGCTTGTCTTAGCTCGGTCGCTCAACCGCTAACTTTGCGCCCATCATGGCGGGCAGAATGGTGCTGTACAAGCTGGTGGTGCTGGGCGATGGTGGTGTTGGCAAGACGGCCTTGACCATCCAGCTGTGTTTGCAGCATTTCGTCGAGACGGTAAGCATTCGCCCTTCCCTTTCCAAACACCACCGAGACACAAGGAGAGAGCGCGCGAGAGGCCTAGAAGAGAGAAAACACGGACTCTTCTTTCCCCTCTCCTGACCGATTGGGCGACAGCCTCGGACAACGGCGGTAGCGCATGAGGGGCAGAAACAGGAGCTCTGTCCACCGATGAGATGCATGTTATTTTTTTGCTAACGCTCTACGCCTACAGTACGACCCGACAATTGAGGATTCGTACCGCAAGCAGGTTGTTATCGATGGCCAGCCCTGCATGCTCGAGGTTCTCGACACGGCCGGCCAGGAGGAATACACAGCGCTGCGAGACCAATGGATCCGAGACGGTGAAGGCTTTGTTCTAGTCTACAGCATCGCATCCCGCTCGTCCTTTACACGCATCAAGCGCTTCCACCACCAGATCCAGCGCGTCAAGGAGTCAGTAGCCTCTTCGCCCTCATATCCGGGCTCCCCTCTATCTGCTGCCAGCCCGCAGCTGCCCGTACCCATTATGCTTGTGGGCAACAAGAGCGACAGAGTCACCGAGCGCGAGGTATCAACCCAGGAGGGACACGCCCTGGCTCGGGAGCTTGGCTGCGAGTTTGTCGAGGCCTCGGCCAAGAATTGCATCAACGTCGAAAAGGCCTTTTACGACGTCGTCAGGATTCTGCGCCGACAACGCCAGCAGGCCTCGCGCCCCGCTGCGGGCGCAAGCGGCCGAGCTCGAACAAGCAATGGTGATGTAGGCGGCGGAGGCCGAGACACGCACAAGTATCGGCGCGGCAAGGACGGCGAGAAGGGCAAGTCCAAGTGCATCGTCTTATGAGCAGCTCACGCTCGTCACGTCTTCCAACTCCCGATACATCTTTGAGGGCTGGGTAATGTTGGATGAGGCGCACTTGGTCTCGCATGCTTGGTTTGCTTTTTTTTATTTGGTGCTTGTTTCTACTTATCGAATCTGGCATCCTGTCGACCAGGACATTGTTCATTCCATTGGGAATAGAATGGACGCTGGCATATGTCATACGCTGGCAAGAAGAGCTGGTGCTCTGATTTTTGGCTCCTCTTCTGGTTGTTGGGTGGGCCTGCAATACTGTTACATGATGACGACGACATTCGGCAACAAGAAAAAAAAGCATCTTTTTTTTTTTTTAATTTTTTTTTATTTTTACAAACTCACGGCCCCTCGATTGGCGCATGGCGCAAGACCACTTACGGACGCCCAAACGCACATCAAACAAGGGTGGCATCATTCCGCGGCGCTGGATTCTTACGATGTTTATACTGCTACTGGACAGCCTGATGGTGCTCATTGATGAATTCTGAGAGGCAACGACCTGTTTCTTCTGACTTACCCGACCATTCGACATGCACCCGCCGATGCCAACTGCGCCTTCTACCTCTCATCTCCTGCGTCATTACCAATTCTTACTCTCTCTTTGCGTTCGTTTCCCCACAGATATGGAATGGATGGTCGCGGGTGTTATTGGAGTCTTGGTTGAGTCTGTTTTTCTCCCCCTTCCCTTTCCCACTTCGACAGTTTCATCTCTACTGCTCCCTTATCCTTTTGGGTTATAAAAAAGTAAATTACCGTACACGTCTTGGCACATGTCATGGAGGGGTGTTGATAGCGATATCTTGTTGGATCTGTCAGATTTTTTTTTTTACATCTTTTTTAACCTGTTATTATCCCACAAAGTGCTTATCTGTTTTTTGCCCTTATATCTGGAGAATCCGGTTTCTAGACGAACATGGTATGGAAGAGGGGGATGTTGGATGCTAGAAGCTACTATTTTTTTTTTCTGTTTGTCTGTTTTAAAGAAGCTGTCTTTTCCCTGTCTCTCTTATCCCTCTCCTTTTCTTTTTCTTTGTAAACGAGAGCGAATTTGGGAACGGCCATTGCCACCTTTGGCCGACGGAAAAAAGCAAGAACAAAAAGTCAAACTGCATTGATATTTCGAAGACGGTGACGGGATTTTACTGGGAGGTGTTGCGAAGTCGGTAGACTATTACTACTACTACTACTACAGTACCTGAAATTGACGGAATCCCAGTGTCTCTTTCGATGTCTCTCTACATGAGCAACCACTTACTTAATTCCTCAAGGATCTACCAACTCAGTAGTAGCGCAAGGGGTCTCTGTACAGTCGCCGAGGGAGACTTGCAAGTCGCAATGATGTAATAATGCGGTGTACGCGTTTCGACCATTGACAGCCCGACAACCCCTTGCTCTTCGAAAGGTGACAAGTATATACAGTAACAGAAAAAGGGACACTTGATGTGTCATAAGAACCGGCAATTGAAAAGGTAGGGCGAGAAATAAAACTGGAGCTTTGCAACGGTGATCTACGTTGAAGACCGTGAGAAGTACGGAGTATCGACACGCTTTTTTTGGGGAGGAGTGATAAGCCAGAACGTATGCTATTCCTGGAGCAGTAGGGATGTGCACGGCAAGTCGATCCGACGGGAATTTATTGGTGGAGTATTTGGGCATGTGAACTGGATTTGCTCTCGGTGTAAGGAGAAGTTGGATAGTCTTGACTCGAGTTACCTTTTTTTATTTGGGGTTTGGGGTTCCTTGAGTGGCCGTAGCTGTACATGCGAGTTGGAGTTTGCATGTACTCTGTTGGGGGATTCAAGGGAGGCTGTGTGAAGGCCTAGCCCAGTGGAGGATAGAATAACTGAGACAGCAACTTGCTATAATCAAAATGTAGCCTCGACTTTACAACTCAAAGTGCCTGCATATATATCTACTATATATACTTATATTTTCAGGATCTGACTTCTATTGTTGTCATCTACCTCCTAACAATAGCATTCTCTGTTTCCAGAATCTCTACTGAATAGATCTTCTCTTCGCACTCCCTCACATCCCATCCACCGCCTGCTAAAAGCCACCTTCTTTCACACTGTAACACGGACCTCTCTCCATCTCCAGAGTTTTCTATTTAGCTCCTTGCAGAAATTTGTCTTCTCTTCTATCCCTCCGGCTAAAGACGGGACAACTGGCACTTTTGTCCAAAAACTCAATGATAAGGCAGAGAGGTACATACGCTCGTTTTCCTGTTGGTTCCTCTTAGCCGCTCCTAGACACCGATAACCTGCAGAAAGTGGATGCCCTCAAAACGCATTAAAGGGAGACAACATTCGATGGCGTGTAAGTTTTTTCTTTTTCTTCTGTTTGGCAGTTTGAGCCTTCTGCAAGAGTGCGGGGTAGTAATTAAAAGACAACATGTAGTTTTTCTGCTCTGTACCTTAGTATCTTTTGTCTCTATTTGCTTTTCTGTGAGGCCTTTTTGGACCAGCACCTGCCCTCTTCTTTCGTCTTGGTTTCGAGGTGTAAGCAATTAGTTGGAAACCGTTAGTCTAGGCAGACTTTTGACCTGTGGTTTTGACACTTGAACTGTCACTTTAGTGCTGTTTGTTGGCTGGGTTTACTAAAGACAGATAGGATGGACGCCGAAACCACCCACCCCAGCCAGCTGTAACTAATTTCCAACGCTTCTGCCCATGTGCATCTCGGTTAACAGACGATGGCGTGCTAATTGGCAAATCTGCTGTTGTTGCCCAAGCAGCATGTCTGAGTTAACGATAATAGCGTTGCAGAGTGGCAAAATATGCTTTTGCCCAGGCATGTCTGAGATGCAGTTGATGGAACGGCGCGTAAATTAGCAAATCTTCCGTTTTTGCCCGTTCCCTTTTATTGCGGGTTCCCCGTGGTGACATCCTGTCAATCTGGTGTCAAAGCACTTGGCGACGTAACCAAAGCTAACCACCAAAAGGGGCAAAAAGAAGGAAGGAAAGAAAGGTCCGAAAATGAAGAAGCCCGTCTGGATTACGCGTATTGTTAATAGTATAAGCCACCGACTATTGGAGAAAGAGAGAAAGAGGTTATTGGCTGGGCTTGGTCATGGCCTGTAATTAGATGGACAGAATAGACGAGACTGCAGATTGACAAGCGAGGCATCAATTAATGTTACTTGGGAGAGAATATCGCTTTATACACATCTGCTACACTCATTTTATGTAAATGCTATGGGCTAATATTACTTCAAGAATATTATTATACTTCGGAGAGAATCTCCTTGTACAAACATCTCCACAGCCATCTCATATAAAAGTGACCTCTCTCTAAATACCTGATTTCAATTCTAGCAATCACCCCCTTCTCGCCGCGCTCATTTCACCCACCGCTTCACCGGATTTACTCGTTCATCTACTCCGTAGACGTATCCCATGATACAGCACTGCAAGGGAGTCGAAAGTTTGTCAAGCAACCCAGTGTCTAAGTCAATCTCCCCCTACCGAAAAGGCAAACACTACTCCGTGCATCTCATGAGACAGCTTCATCGGCCATGGCCGGCTTATCGGCTACCATGTCAAACACACCGAGACTGTAGGTAGCCAGCCAGCACCAGAATCAGACCATCAAGTCCTACCGCCAATTGCTGGGTACTATGGTATCCTCGATCTGACCTCAATACTGAATCTACATATATATCAAAGCTTATAGAGTATTGGACTCGAGTCGTTGGCCACAGGGAGACGCATTTATACTACTACAGGAAGTGGCAAGTTAATCATGTTCTATTCAAGTGATAGTCAAAATCGAGCACACAAAAGATGTCCACATTTTGCTGCTTCAAACCATGCCGCCATCTGTCATATCAATCCCTGCGACATTTGTCCCGATAAAAGACGCCATAAACCCGTAATTGAAGATATTCTCTCGTCGCTGAAGAAAGCAGGGGTCTCCAAAAGTATAACACGAAAAGTAGAAATCAGATATATAAAAAAGACAACAAAGAAAATAATCCCCACATCATTGACCCATGCGACTGAAGATTATTGTATAAATCACCTACAGTCTACTTGATCAATCCTTGGTTTCATGCTCATCGCCAAAGGGGCTAGAATCGCGCTTTTGGGATCCAGAATCCCCCTCCTTGGTAGCCCCCCTCTCCCTGCCGGGCGAAGCAGGAGGAGCCTCGACGGAGATCTTGGGGCTTGACTGGTCCGGAGGATCAGAGAATGGGCCCTGGTCTACTGTCGATGATTCTCCGCGGCTTGTCGGAGGAGTGCTGTCGCCTGTTTTTGGCGACTTGTTACCAAGTGTCGTGGAGGATTGGCTTCCCTCTGGCTTGGAGGCAATCTCCACCATTCTCAGTCCAGAACCTCCCACCTTGACGACTTGTGCACGGGCTTGAGTTACGGTATTGGCGTTGTTTAGGAAAGTTGAGCCGACACTAAAGTTGCTTGCCGCGCTCTGGGGTCGTAGGGTCTTGCCAGGGTTGAACTTGTCGTAGTCGATGCTGGGGACAGGAGGTGTGCTGGGGGCGCTTGTGCCGGACTTGACGCTCACCATTGTTGGCTTGGCACGCATGACAGTCTGGGCGGGAGTCAGGACCTGCTGTTTGCCACCACCAAAGATGGTAGATGCAATGCTAGAGCGAGGTGGAGCAAACGAGGTCCTGTCGGAAAAGGCGGAGATGCCGGAGTACGTCGAGTCTCGCAGGTTGCCGGGGACGAAGAAATGGGGGTTGTCAGCACCGGAATCGCGGTACCCTTCGGTGTGGTGCATGGGGATCGGCGGAACAGGGGGGACCAACACGTTGGGTGACGCAGGCGTTGCTCGGTTGGTGACGCCGGGAATGTAGGCGATTTGGATAATGTTGGAGGCTCGCGTGAGGACGGTAGAGGCAATCGAGTGGACAGTATGTGTAGATCCGCGGCGGGTGACCCGGTTGCCGTTCTTCTCGCCGCCTTCGGTGGCGCTCTCTTCGACTCCGTACACCGACTGAGAGAGCCGCCTCTTGGGCTTGATTAGGAATCTCCACACCAGGTAAGTGATGATGGCGATGGCAGCAATACCGCCGACAACACCACCAGCAATAGGTCCAGCACTGGGCCCGCCGTTGCCTCCGCCTCCGTTGCTGGGGGTAGGCGAATCGTTGACCGCACAGAAGGACTGTGGGCATTGCGTGCAATCGAGCGGAACCGTGAACTGACAGCTCTCATTGGAGGCACAGGACGGGCATTGAAGCTTGGACGTGTCGTCGCACTTCACACACTCGCCTTTTCGGGGGACCAGTCTCATCACTGACATTGCCATTAGCATTCGTCACTATGCCGAGACGCGGCTCTTTCCATTGCTTTCTCACCTTGATGGAGCTCCGTCAGGTCCCTCGCAACGAGGTACGATGTCGTATCCATCTTTGACGATTTACTTATAGCGATGGGCGATGATAATAATAATAAGCAGTAGACACTCGGCGATTGATGTTGGCAAGCTCGATTCGGTCAAATCGGAGGAGTAATTCGGCTGAACTGGATGACAGGGAGTCAAGCAAATTGTGACGGATGACAGCTGATCGACGCTTCGGGATTTCGAGATTCTGGTTGAGTATCCTGGATTTTTCTTCTTCTGTTTCTCTTGGACGTGATAACAGCCGGACGATTCGGATTTTTTCGGCAAAAAATAGAGTACTTGTCTCGTCGTGTAGAGGTCGAAAGACAAGCGGAAATTGGGAGAAAGGAGTGGACTGAGTCTAGCTCAAACAAAACAAACCCAAAAAAAGAAGAGAATAAAAAATACAATAAAAAATAAACCACAGAGAGGAAACGAGAGTGAGTGGTAACAACAAGATGCTAGATCGTAGACGAATGGAAAGACATAATCGGCCTTGGCGACAGTCGTGATAAGAAACGAACGGAGGAGAAAAACTGGTTCCTGTTCGTCGATTTTTTTTTTTTCCCTGGTGGTGCTGATTGTCGCTCGACAGGCAAAAAGAAGGCGAAGCAACGGGGTGGTTGAGAAGCGAAAGAGGGAAACTGCGCTTGTTTGGGGGGCTGCGGCAGAGCGACATACGAATAAGCCGCTGGACACACTAAAAGTACGAGCTCTACAGGCATCAGCAGCGCCAAGTTTGCCCTTGCAATGGCGATTCTGCTGCAAAGAACGCAGAAAGATGGAGCCCCCCCCCAGTTGACGATGGGGGCGTTTTCTGGCGCCAGGGGTAGCATCAGGGAACTAGAGCCGCTTGGAGACTAGCCGCCCTAATTTATCAGAGGGCCGAGCACAGTGCATATAGTGCGGGTGCCCACCTCTTGTTTTGAGCTGTTTTGGGGTGGCCGGGGGTGTCTGCGTGGCGCTGAGAGGCGCTGAGTGGCCGCGGCACGGAGGCTGGTGGGGCGTCTGATTGGTCGAGGGACAGTACGTGTACAGTAAGCATGCACTGTAGCCGCCTCCGCTCCTCCATTATTGTTTACTGGCGCTAGTAACTCGGCCGTGGTGTTGTTTTGAAGCGTTGCAACGGTGTGGATTTTTAATGGCCTGCCCGATGCATCGAATAAGATTCACGACAATGCACCACCAGGATGGATCTCGTTTTCTTTCGATTTTTTATTCCCACCGAGCTTTGCCGCAGTCCGGATTCACTTGATGCTGGTTCCGCCGCTCCCGTGTTTGTGTCCAGGTATGAAGTACTACTAGGTAGGTACTGGGTAGTATTACTCCGCGTGCCGACCGACAAATACTCTCCAGGTACTTGCTGATATTGTACGGAACATGGCGGATGCCAGGGTACAATATGTGTACATGTACTGTACTTGTACGTGCAGTAGCCCAGACTCCGTATTTGTTGCCCCGAATCTTGTTCCGTGGACACGTAATGCAGTCAATCGCCCTCTCCGGCACAGCTGACTCCTCGTATCACCGAGCCGCCGGCTATCGCCTCGATCACGCCAACAAATAAAATTCAGAATCAATTCAACCAAGAAGAAAAAGAAGAAATGAAAAGAAAAGAAAAAATACGAGTAGTTCGCGCCAAGGACGCGTGTCTCGCGTGCCAGTGGACAAACGACCTGGTGCCACCAAGCACATACAAGTATAACCCAGCGCCTCGCAGCCCGCGTGGGACGAGAGACCACTCGCACTGATTCAGCCCAGCCCTCTGGATCCAATGGTTTCTCGTCTAAAGGGCGGCCCTGCGCGAGATTCTCCAATCAGGCCCGTGAGACTCTGCAGCTTCTAGAGCAGTGACACAGTATGTAGCGGATGAAGAACTTTTAATTGGCGAGCATATCAGCAAAGGTGACATTCACGGTCTCCAGACCACACCCGCTATCGCCACCAAATGAAAAGGCAAAGTAAAGGAAAAAAAAGAAAAGAAACGCAAGCCATCGTTCTTGGCCTTTCCATCCCTTGCTTTCCGTCTTGGGCTAAAGAGAACCACACTTGCAGCCCTCACATCCCCGTAAATTAACAATTTGCCAACACAGCAAATCACGCTCCCTCCCCGCCATCATCGAGCATGACACTCGCAAATGAACCGTCCCTCGAGCAAGGGGGGGCTGCAGACACACGTTTCGCACGTGCAAGTACACTAACACTGCCCAGCAGGTACTCTATGCGGAGTACTACTTGGAGCAATTGTAGATGGGACGAATCAATCGCCATGCCCTGCGCTGAGTATTTTTAACCTGCTCACACCAAGTAAAGCAGAGGCAGCCTCACCGCAACGTGGTCTGTTGTATATAAATTCCGCAATGCGTGGGCCGCTTGTACGAAGAATTGCGACTCTAAAATATTACAAGGCTGCATCGTGCAGATCCTTCGTTCTGGAACATGCCCATTCTTATTGCAAGCGGAGAATCATCATTTTTCGGGACAAGCCCGTTACAGATATACTCTGGAATTTACCTGCTATATTCATCCAACGCACAGAGTTTACATAATACTACTCGCGTGATATCCTTATTGATTTTGAACATGATGAACAAGATGCTTTTGAAATCAAGTCGTAATTGTCATGACGAGACAATGCTATCATTAATTCCTGACCTCTTCCACACATGGGTCCCAAAAAATCTAGAGTACAATCCCACAAAATCTATAGCTTCCCAATAGTAGCATGAATTCTCAAACTCCAACATCCTTCCTGCTCCGACCCTTCTACCGACAGTCTTTTTTAAATCCATGATCCAGGGGTTTACGCATTTGATGCGTCATTGTTACTCTGAGAGCTGGCGCTCATGACTGGCTTGTTGGTCACTGGTAGCGACATCTTGGCCTTTTCACCCTGGCGAATCTTGCCCCAAGCATACACGAGACCGCTGACGAAACCAATGAAGATGGCAGAAACACTGCCAAAGGTAACAGGGGCGTCGAAGAAAATGAGACCGCTGACGGCGATGGGCAGCTTGTTCAGGGCTCCCACCATGGAATAGGTCGTAGATGAGGTGACACGGATACACCAAGCGGATGAGTAGGAGATGAAAATGGCGCAGAGACCCGAGTACACCATGCCGAGGATGAGGTTGGTTCGCGTCTCCTCGGGGAAGTTTCGTGCCAAGTTATCAGCAGACCAGTCCTCAACCAAAAGAGAGCCAATAATCAGGACAGGAATAGTCAAGAAGTTGTTGTAGAACATGGCTAAAGGGGGAAAAGTCAGCGGTTGATACATCTCAGTGCCTGTAAATAAGGGGCCACTCACTGTCCCAGTCCTTGAAGCCCATCTTCTTGATGACCTTGCGCATGCCCAACACAAACGCAGCTTGGCAGATAACGTTCAAGCCCATCCAGGTGTAGCCCACCTGCAGAGTGCTGAAGGATTGAGATGCCTTTGCTGAACGGCCCGCGGCATCAGCATCAGCCCATGCAGCAACCATGGAGCTGAAAATGATCAGGCCAAAGGAGAGAAGAATGGTGGGCGTCACGCTTCCCCCAAACCAGAGCACCTCTCCGTAGGCGATAACAATGATGGTAAGGTTCTTGAAGATGGTATACACAGGCACGGAGATGTACTGAAGCGCCTTGGCACCAGTATAAATCATGCCAACCAAAAGAACAGAAACAGGGAACCCTAGACAGAATGAGCAACTCTGCTTGCCATGGAATTGGGGCATAAATGCTCACATCTCTTTCCCTTCTCCGGATCAAACGGAGAAAGGTTGGTGATTAGGCCAGCCTGCTTGCAGGCTTGAATGGCAACTACGCACACAATGGACTGTTTTGCCAATTAGGAAACTGTGCCCTGGAGAGACGGGGGAGATGATGTCTTACCTGAATAGCAAGGTAGAGAAAGTTCATGTTCCATGAAGAGCCAGAGACAACGTATTTGTTGACGACGGTCATGCTAATGGAAGCCAGGCAGTAACCGAGAACAGACGCTCCCGGGCTGTTGTCAATCTTGGACCAGTCAAAGCCGCCATTGTTGCCTCGCGGCGATGGTGAGCGGGAGTAGGCCGCCTCGACCTTACCGCCATCTCCATTCTCCGGGTCCCGGACGCCGTAGTCGTCGTTCTTCTTGTCAGACATTGTGAGGCTCACTGAGATGGACGCTCAGGCAGCTAAGAGGTGACAACGAGAGTGAGTGAAATGAAAGGCTGGTAGACAGAGTCGCTAAGGGTGGGTTCCACGCAAAAGAATCAGGATCCCTGGGGGGCTAGAGATGGCGCGATCTGCGTCAGAAGGGAGAAGGAAGATGTATCAAACGAGAGGCTTCTTCTGGAATAACTGAAGAGATGAAGACTATGCAAGAGGCGCGCGCGCGAGGGTCGCTGTGAAGACCGCTCTTTGCCAGACACGTACTCCCTAATACTACTCCTAACTCCGTACATACAATTCAGGAGAACAAATCCTGTCCAAGGTTGGGAAATTTCATCTCGATCCCTTTGTGGGGCTGCTCACCGAAAGGGGCTTAGCGAGATAGGCGCACCGCCTCGCACATGTACGAGGACATTTGGTGGCGATTAGAGTCAAAAGGCCTCACACTGCAAGTGTCTCGTATCGGAGTGTATCAATTGTGTACCATTGGAGTACGAGGTACGGTACGAGGTGCAGGTGACGGGGCACGCGCCGCATGAGGCCATGATAACCAGATAAGTATGTATGTGTATGGCCAGTGAGGTGAAGCAGCACAGACTACTATCAGGTAGGTAGTGATTGCAATTGCCCGCCATCTTCAACAATCACCTGTACCGTCTTCCTCCTGTCACAAGAGTCTCCGGCGGGGCCTGAGCCAATCTAATCGCCCCAAGATGCTGAGATTAGTAGCATCCTCATATACAGGTACTGTGCTCTGCCTGCAGGGTGGAAATTTGGCTGTCCCACAGCTGCTGGCATGTGGCCCCTAGATGGGAAAACGCCCTGTTACAGGTTCCTGGAACAACTGCCGGGCATCTATGCCTCTGAGATGCGGCATCACTGCAGGCGTTGCACAGAAAGCCGGCAGCGTGCCACTCGACGATACTCGTATAATATGACTGCTCATTGTTTATCTATTTGTCTTTGTGCGGAGTACTTAGCCCCGTAGATCAATGGCTATTTTGGAAGAACGGGCAGACGAACTTACAGAGCAATTTGTCTTATGTACAGTGCTTTTTGTTCTCGACGACAAATCGAATGCTGCGCACGGGCACCGTGCACTGTGCACACTGTGTGAAATACCCGTCAGATCAGCGGAAAGCCTTACCACTACGGCGTAGCAAGGCAGCAAACATTCCATTAGGAGAATAGCCATTTGGCACCGAGGCTGCACCGCCTCCACAGTGCTGCGGACGTAGGGCGCTGATTGGCCTCAGCTTTAGCTGGTGCTATTTTTGGTAATGATCAAGAAGGCATCGGTAATGATGAGATGAGAATGGCCCTGTGGCTGACGCTGGCGATGCTGGATGCTCCCGAGCCGCATTTACCTCTTTGGACATAGCCAAGGGCGGAGAGTAAGCAGAAATGAAGAATGTCGCTAAGAGCGATGCTAATATGCAGCAGCAGATGGAATCTCCAGGTACTCCCGTCTGTAAATATAGACTGGACGGATTCCATAAACCACGCTGTGGCTGGAATCAGGAGCGTCCGTTATTATTAGTGAGATGAGCCGAAAATACACAGTGACCTACACTGTGCATCGTTCTCCAGCATACAGTGGGACGCAGTCAGCCGCGCTCCAAGGATTGGACGTCAGCAACTGGGCTGGGCTCCAAAGCGGATACCGCCTTGTTTTTTTTCTGCCCACAGACATACGAGGTTTTGACACATGCGGCTCGTGCGAGCAAAAGGGACGCAGCACCAGGCCGTATTCCATTTAGAGCCAGCGCTGTCAGACTTCAGCCCTCTTTGAAGCTGGAATGTGGGCTGGCTGCCATAAACAAAAGAGGAAGAGAAAGAAAAAAGTTATCGACGTCAACACTGTACAAGTAAAACAATGTACAAGTAACACGAGAGCTGTTAGACCCTCCTGCACAAGGGAGGGGCAACGTGATGACGACAGGTGATACTCTGCTGCGTCCGGCCTTTATTGAGGTGCGCTGGACCGCGTCTTACAGCGAGAAGAGCAGCTTTGGTTCCCTACGGCTGTCTCACCGCAGACGCTAAGTCAGGCTGATAAGGCACCCTAAGCCAAACGTTGCCCAGCGGATGTTGGTCTGTTTGAGAGTCTGCCAGTCTGTCCTGGCACAGTGCATGTGAGGTGGCTCAGCTTGCCCCCAAATCCCCTTAGCGTCAATCTCCCCTATTCTGGGCCACTGCCCAAGTGGCTGGACACTGTATGCCTTTGTTCGTACTGTCCGAAACAAGATCCTAGAAGCAAGCTGCACTTGGGGCATCTCCTGAATCGTTCGCGAGAGCCTTTCCCTCTCCTTATTATCTTTTTCAGCCCACTAAGCTTCGTCGGTCGACAACTCTCTCTCCTCCATCTTCCCCAACCTTCAATCCTACCATTCGAGGCTGGTGCCTCATTGCTCGCATCGTTAGGGGTCGGGTTGCTTTCCGCAAACAAAGCTGGCATTGAGCTCAATAGATTTTTTTTCTCTCTTGGAGGTCCCCTTTTTTTTCTCCATTGCACCTATTGGGACCTAGGCGAGCCATCTAGACACGAATTACGAACCACTTTATCCAAAGACGCTCTTTAGCACATTACGATTCCACCAGCCATCGTCTTGATATCACTTTAGAAATAGGACCATCATGGCATACAACGGTCCCGGCGGTGGCCAGGGCGGGGGACACCCGCTACAGGATCTTCCCTCGGGCAGTAGCGTGAGTAACTACCATATCAGGATGGGAAATGGGGAGGGTGAGTTGGACAAAGGTTGGCTAACGCGGCTTGCTTTTTTCGTCTTCTAGTATCACCTGCCCCCTCACGAGGAGGAAGAACAAGCTGGACGATATCTGCTGAACGAGCCTGGCTCGCATGGCTACGAGCATGATCGACTCGGTGCAGGAACTCCTCCCGACCGTCCTGTCTCAGCTTACAGTCTCACCGAGTCTTATGCTCCCGGAGCCTCGCCCATCGGCACTCCTGGCTTGGGCAGTGACAACGGATACGGCCAGTACGGACAGGGCCAAGGATACGATTTCCCTCGCCCCGCCTCCACTGTCCATGACAACGATGACGACAGCTGGGTTCAGAGACAGCAGCAGCCCGCCACCGGTGGTGGCCTGAAGCGTTACAACACCCGAAAGGTCAAGCTTGTCCAGGGTTCCGTTCTCAGCATCGACTACCCCGTGCCCAGCGCCATCAAGAACGCAGTCGAGCCCAAGTACCGCGATGTTGAGGGCGGCAACGAGGAGTTTGTCAAGATGCGATACACGGCAGCCACCTGTGATCCCAATGACTTCACCCTGAAGAACGGTTACGACTTGCGGCCGCGAATGTACAACCGTCACACCGAGCTGCTTATTGCCATTACATACTATAACGAAGACAAGGTTCTGCTTGCCAGAACTCTGCACGGTGTGATGCAGAACATCCGTGACATTGTCAACCTCAAGAAATCGACTTTCTGGAACAAGGGAGGCCCTGCATGGCAGAAGATTGTCGTGTGCTTTGTCTTTGACGGTATCGACAAGGCCGACAAGAACACCCTGGACGTGCTCGCCACCATTGGTGTGTACCAGGACGGTGTCGTCAAGAAGGATGTCGACGGCAAGGAAACCGTTGCTCACATCTTTGAGTACACCAGTCAGCTTTCCGTCACGCCCAACCAGCAGCTCATCCGACCTTCTGGTGACAGCCCGCAGAATCTGCCCCCTGTTCAGTTCATCTTCTGCTTGAAGCAGCAGAACACCAAGAAGATCAACTCCCATCGTTGGCTGTTCAACGCCTTTGGCCGAATCCTGAACCCCGAAGTCTGCATTCTTCTTGATGCCGGTACCAAGCCCAGCCCGCGTTCGCTGCTGGCTCTGTGGGAGGGTTTCTACAACGACAAGGATCTCGGTGGTGCTTGTGGTGAGATTCACGCCATGTTGGGTAAGGGCGGCAAGAAGCTGCTCAACCCCCTGGTCGCTGTGCAGAACTTTGAGTACAAGATCTCCAACATTCTCGATAAGCCTCTTGAGAGTTCATTCGGCTATGTCAGTGTGTTGCCCGGTGCCTTCTCGGCCTACCGATTCCGAGCCATCATGGGACGCCCTCTAGAGCAGTATTTCCACGGTGATCACACCCTGTCCAAGATTCTCGGTAAGAAGGGTATTGACGGCATGAACATTTTCAAGAAGAACATGTTCTTGGCCGAAGATCGTATTCTCTGTTTCGAGCTGGTCGCCAAGGCTGGCCAGAAGTGGCATTTGACCTACATCAAGGCCGCCAAGGGTGAAACAGACGTTCCCGAAGGTGCTGCCGAATTCATCTCTCAGCGTCGTCGTTGGCTTAACGGTTCGTTTGCTGCCTCTCTGTATTCGCTGATGCACTTCGGCCGAATGTACAAGTCTGGCCACAACATCATCCGCATGTTCTTCTTGCACATTCAGCTCATCTACAACTTCCTCAACGTTATTTTCTCTTGGTTCTCCCTGGCTTCTTACTACCTCACAACCACCGTCATCATGGACCTTGTGGGTACCCCCGTTATTGCTTCATCCAACTCGTCTGAGCACCACGGCTGGCCTTTTGGAGACGAGGCAACACCCATCATCAACACGCTTCTGAAGTATCTCTATCTTGCGTTTGTTATCCTACAGTTTATTCTTGCCCTGGGTAACAGACCAAAGGGTTCCAAGTTCACCTACATTGCTTCCTTCATGGTCTTTGCGTTGATTCAGGGTTACATCTTGGTTCTTTCCGTCTTCTTGGTCGTTCAAGCGTTCAACACTCCTATCCAAGACCAGATCAACTTTGACTCTGGAGAAGACTTTGTCAAGAGTTTCTTCTTTGGAGCGGGTGCTGCAGGTGTCATTATCATCGCTTTGATCACCATTTACGGTCTTTACTTCATTGCCTCTTTCCTCTACCTCGACCCTTGGCACATGTTCCACTCCTTCCCCCACTACCTGTTGCTCATGTCGACCTACATCAACATTCTCATGGTCTACGCGTTCAACAACTGGCACGATGTGTCTTGGGGTACCAAGGGTTCCGATAAGGCTGAGGCTCTTCCGTCTGCCAACGTCCAAAAGGGCGAGAAGAACGAAGTCGTTGTCGAAGAAATTGAGAAGGAGCAGGAGGATATCGACAGTCAATTCGAACAGACTGTGCGACGAGCTCTGGCCCCCTTCAAGGAGACGGAAGAGGTTGAGAAGAAGGACGTTGAGGACGGTTACAAGTCTTTCCGTACCGGTCTGGTCGTCTCTTGGCTGTTTTCCAACATTATCCTCATCATCGGTGTCACTACCGACGACTTTGCCCAGTCAGGCTTGGTGGTAAGTAACATACTCGGTTTTGCTTCGCAGAAAGAGCTTTATAAACTAATTATTTGCAACAGGGATCCTCATCCAGCCGCACTGCCAACTTCTTCAAGTTCCTTCTGTACGCTACGGCCGTCCTGTCTCTTATCCGCTTCATAGGTTTCCTGTGGTTCTTGGGTAAGACGGGTCTCATGTGCTGCTTCGCTAGAAGGTAAATTATTGAAAGGTCGGATTCGGCCCCGATCGGGTGTGTGGGTGGTGGTTTTCCAGGAATATTACGGGCCTGCCCAGTAGACAAATTATTTCATATACAGATACCTTGGCTTGTAACGTTATTAGGGCATTAATGTTTTTAGCATGTTTCTTTGTTCATGGGATGGAATAGGCGACTTGAGACACCAAAAAAAGTTTTGCAGATAGCTGGGAAGAATGTTTGCTGTGTACCTACAGAGTAGAGAATGGAGGGATAGAGGAAACAAAGGAACCTATTCAATTGATGACCAAACGCGGATGATCTGGTGCTCAGTGAATGTCTTGATGGCTCTGCTGTTGAGTAGAGTACGGTATGAATACGAAGTGCCAAAGTGTGCCTTGTCATTTAGTAATTCTAAGAGCAGCCTAACGAAATTCGGAACGCTCAATTGCGCCGCTTTAAGTGATTATTAACCCGCTGTAATATAGTGCCCATCCCACCGTAATATGGCAGCTAGCCTGCTAAGTTATAGGCTTCCAAATACCATTGCAGTGCGCTATCCGCCTTGTAATAGATGACATCCATGGATCTATAATAAAGCAGCACCAAGGTCTATTCCTAATAAGGCTAATCTAAGAACTCGTTCCCTGGGCAGGGGGCAAATACCACTTCTAATAGCTACAGTAGTAGTTGCATGCCACTGTAGTCGCGCCTTATCTTATCGTCATTGTGTGACAGCATTCAGTCATCTTCGGCAGACAGGCAACGAGCACCGAAGCGCTCCCCGCGGATAAGGCTTCTTTTTTCCGTCTACGAACGTCACTTGTGCAACAGCTGAAAGCTCTCTGGCCCCCTCCGATTCGGCGGTCTAGGCCTCTTCTCCCACCCATCCAACGTTTCTTTCCACTCTCTTTGTAATCAGGCAGTTCAGGATACCGCTTCTCGTCTCACCGGCGATCCCCGACAAGCCAAGATGTTGAACATATGGTCTATGGTATTTGGATATGCGGTAGCTTCTATGTCGCCACAAAGAGTCCTAACACGAGTCACAGAAAAAAAAGCAAAAGGAGGCTGAGAATGCTGAAGGGCAGGCTGCTGGAGGCAAGAGGAAGAAGGTGACGGCGGCACAGCTACGAGTACAGAAAGGTTTACCTCTCCATGTCCCGATTTACTGTTGAATGGGGCGGGACGGCTAACGGTGCAGCCAGATTTGTCAGAGCTATCTCTCGGCGCGACGATGCAAACGAACTTCCCTGACCCTGACAATATTCTCAACTTCATCTTGTCGATCGAGCCGGACGAGGGGATGTACCGAGGCGGAAAATTCACATTCGACTTTGCCATCAACCAGAACTTCCCTCACGAGCCTCCTAAAGTGCTGTGCAGAGAGAAGATATATCATCCCAACATCGATCTCGAGGGCAAGGTTTGCCTTAACATTCTGCGGGAGGACTGGAAGCCGGTGTTGAACCTGAATGCTGTCATCGTGGGGTTGCAGGTATGAAACCGCACGTGCTCTTCTGCTCGAGGGATTGGCGGAAGTGGAAAAATATTTGAGCCAAGATGCTGACTTGAGGAAATACAGTTTTTGTTCTTGGAACCCAACGCTTCGGATCCTCTGAACAAGGAGGCGGCTGACGACCTGAGAAGCAACCGAGAGGGGTTCAAGCGGAATGTACGAACGGCCATGAGCGGAGGATCTGTCAAGGGAGCGCCATACGACCGAGTATTGAAATAAACTATGGGTTAAAAAAATAGGGCACAGCTTTGTGTAGATTGTCCAAGGCCTGTGCCCAGAGCCTGAGGAGATTTGGGGAGTGTGTGGAGGGAAGGCGGGTGTGACTACGACGACGAGCAGCCGACATACACATAGAAGACGTACTTTGTACATCATCCAACATCCGGCACATCCTTCATTGAAGAGATGGCGCCATAACAAAAAAATCCCGGTCTTGGCTAGTGCTTGAGCCAAAGGATGGCATGTTGCCGTTTTTTTGTGTTTTTGGCCTGGGCCTAGCCACGGGGTTACCCTATCTATATACTACCTTTCATTAAGTCGACATTACAGCATAGAAATACATGGCGTTCATTGCAAGAAGAAGAAGGATAGTGGCTTGGCGTGATTGTTGAATAGAGCCAGTTTTAACCTTGACAGTAAGGATAACAACCTGTGATGGCAAAGGCTGTATTGTAGTATTATAAAGCTATGCAAGGTAGTCAGAAATATTTTGGTAGATATAATAGCGATTTGCCAGCCAGCACCCTAAGCTGGCTATCTAGCATCCTGTATCACAAATTTACTAGCAATAATAGCAAGATACTGTATGTTATTACAGCACTTGGACTGTAGTCGTCGAGGTTGTATAGCCAAGCTGGGTTACTGAATAGCCACTACCATCAATATGATATCAGTGCCTACATGTACCTATCGTACACCAACTGAATATGGTGGGCAGGCTGAGGCACGCGCCTATGACCAATCTCCCCTTGCAGCTTGTGTTTCCAATGATTCCGCAATAACCATAGTAGTAGTCATTAGCCATGTCTTAAATGTTCGGATGTGTTCCGACATGGCCCGACGTGCTTCGTATCCCGTCAGCATACTAGGTAGGTATGCAAGCCGTGCGTTCGCGTCACAGCGAAATATGAAACCTGAGCAATTCCATGAGCACACGAGGACCTGCATTCAGCTAAAATGCAGTCCTTGCATGCATTCAGGGAGAGATGCAAGGACGGGGGATATACGGTGACGCTCTAATGGCCAGTAGATCCAGCGATGGGACTAGCTGCTTAGTACATGCATGTAGGGAGTCAATCAGTCATACTTGGGGTACATGGTAAGCTCCCTGTGCGTCTAGCGAGCTGGCTATAGTATTCTAGTGGGAAGAAGGCAATCCGGGTATTGGAGGTAATATGGCTCTGTTTCTACGGAACCCGTACGGAACCCGACTTGAGTGAGATGGACAGCTCGGAAGATGAGGTTTGACGGATGTGGGATTGGCGGGGCTTATGCAGCTTGATGATGAGATTTGGTGTATTTCCATGAAGCGATTCGAGTGCAATTGTGATTACATTTGTACTTTAGACTAGGATTTGAGATCGAATGGCCATGGATAAAGCAGGCATGGCTACTGTAGAGATCAGCACACAGCATGAATAAGAAACGTTCCATTGGTCGGGCCGAGTATTACGAGTGCTTGTCAAGAAGCCAGATTTCGGCGGCCATAGTGGGGGCTTTTTAACTATTTCATCCCCCGGCAGCGCTGGCACTTGGTATTAGTGCAGCTAAAGATGCGTCATCTCACTTCTTGGGGCCACGAGAATTCAGCTCCGTGTGGTTTTGCTGGGCACAAACGCACAAGCCCTACCTTTGTATATAGTGCATAAACGCGGGCTTGACGTGTTTTCACAGAAGTATTAACCACTATCAGAAATGGCCATTGAGCTCTGCTTGCTCTGCTGTGGCGAATTGGCCTCTGCAGTGGGTTGGAGTGCATGTGCTATTACTGTAGGTAGACAATAGAGTAATACCACTGCAACTTGGTACAGTAAGCCAGTGGAGGGCCCCTCCCTCGCAGCTGCGCGTGTACATAGTACATAGTATACAACGTCCTGGTTGCTCCGTAAAGCGCAACGCAATTCAGGCAACGTAAGGCTGGCCATTGTGCTCGTCTCTGTTACTCATCGCACTGACTGTATTTTTTGATAATCCCGGGGCTTTTCACATGTGGTGGGACAGGGGGGGACCGGCGCCGTTGAGACAAAGTTGCTTGTAGCTGTGACCGAGATCGGGCCCTTGAGAGCTGAGGCTTTTCCCCCACCCACCCTTCAAAAGTAGACTTTCTGTTGCTCATCCCAAGCTTTGGACTTTTTCTTTTCCTTCTCCAAACATTTTCTCCCGGCTCTTTCTTCTCTCCCCTCCATCCTTCTCACTCACAGCTCCATCCACAATGGCTTCAAAAGCTTTCTCCAAGACCCTGCGGGCGCCAATTGCTCGCCAATTGATTGCGCCTCGCGTTGCCCAGCGCTCCTACATCGCTGCTCGAGGCGCCACTCGTGCCGTCGCTGCTGCTCGCCCGGCTCTGGCTGGTCTCTCCCAGCAGCAGGTCCGTGGTCTTAAGACTGTCGACTTTGCCGGTGTCAAGGAGGACGTCTATGGTAAGTGCAATTGCTCCTCTGCGTGTGTAAACCTGGAGACGTGAGAGCTCTATTCTGACAGCACCGTTATAGAGCGTGCCGACTGGCCCCAGGAGAAGCTTCTGGTGAGTAACTGGAGATTTCAAAGAGTCATACACGGGCCCAAAAAGAGGCTTCGCATTGACTTTGGGCCACCAATGGGTGGCCATTGGAATGACTTACAAGACTGACTCAATTGCCTGCAGGAGTACTTCAAGAACGACACCCTCGCCCTCATCGGCTACGGCTCCCAGGGCCACGGCCAGGGCCTCAACCTCCGCGACAACGGCCTCAACGTCATTGTTGGTGTCCGAAAGAACGGCAAGTCATGGAACGACGCCATCCAGGATGGCTGGGTTCCTGGCAAGAACCTCTTCGAGGTTGACGATGCCATCACCCGTGGTACCATCGTCATGAACCTTCTCAGTGATGCCGCCCAGTCCGAGACTTGGCCCTCCATCAAGCCCCAGCTGACTGAGGGCAAGGTACGTAACCCCTCAATTTCGTGGCGCTATTACATCTCCAGCTGGGACTAACACGGGCTCACGCCGCAGACCCTGTACTTCTCCCACGGTTTCTCCCCCGTCTTCAAGGACCTCACCAAGGTTGATGTCCCCAAGAACATTGACGTCATCCTTTGCGCTCCCAAGGGCTCTGGCCGAACTGTCCGCTCCCTCTTCCGTGAGGGCCGTGGCATCAACTCCTCATTCGCCGTCTACCAGGATGTGACCGGCAAGGCTGAGGAGAAGGCTGTCGCCCTCGGTGTCGCCATTGGCTCCGGCTACCTGTACAAGACCACCTTTGAGAAGGAGGTCTACTCTGACCTGTACGGTGAGCGTGGTTGCTTGATGGGTGGCATCCACGGCATGTTCCTCGCCCAGTACGAGGTTCTCCGTGAGCGCGGCCACAGCCCCAGCGAGGCCTTCAACGAGACTGTCGAGGAGGCCACTCAGAGCTTGTACCCTCTGATTGGTGCCAACGGCATGGACTGGATGTTCGAGGCCTGCTCTACCACTGCCCGACGTGGTGCCATTGACTGGACCCCCAAGTTCAAGGATGCCCTGAAGCCCGTCTTCAACAGCCTGTACGACAGCGTCAAGGATGGTTCCGAGACCAAGCGATCGCTCGAGTACAACAGCCAGCCCGACTACCGCCAGAAGTACGAGGCCGAGTTGGAGGAGATCCGAAACCTGGAGATCTGGAGAGCCGGCAAGGCCGTCCGGTAAGTCATGGACTTTTACAACACTCATTTGGATACAGCTAGCTAACTACGTCTCTTCTTTACAGCTCCCTGCGACCCGAGAACCAGAAATAAGCCAGCGCAACTTGGCGCATTGTTGATTGATGGGTGTTGAGGGGAATCTTTTAGGGTAAAATGTCGTTTTATTTTTCTTGTACTTGCATCTGGAATCTCGGCAAAAGATCATGGAGATCTGGGGTTTGACGAGGGCATGCCGTTGTGTTAGTTTAAAAAGTTAGGGCCTTTTACGATACCGCGCATGGGAAGACAATGAATTCTCGTTTCACACACATACACACGCTCCTATACTCACTCGCACGTGTTTGTAGAATGATTCACAAAAATTTGTGTGCTCTCTCCTCCGTATTCTCCCGCCAAGCTCTGGAATAGCTGATGATTGACGTCTACCCTGAGTCGAGGCTTGGTTCAAAGCGGGTCTCTTGGTCTTGAAGTCTCCGGCTTCGGCCTCTCAATTCGATGTCGCGATATGGAGTAGGCAGAGCTCCCAGACTGGGGTTCGTAAATTAGTAGAATCCATCCATCGGCCAGGCAGCCGTAGGGCCGGATGTCGCGACTATTGTGGCCGGCCCGGTTCGAGTTTTCTCGGCGGCACGCCAAGACCGGATTCTCTGAGGTATGAGGGCCGGATGGTGTATTTGAGTAACTATATGAATACAACAATGTTTTCAGGAGGAAAGGTGGGCTATATATATATAGCGGTGATTGCAAAAAGAGCTTGATATTGTTCATATATTTCTCTTGTATTTTCTTTGCGTTATTTTATTTTATTTGGTAACGCCCAACGTACATGGATTGCCTGGCGGGACGTGATGTTTCGATCTTCATGCAAGCGTTTTTGCGCCTGTTGGTGGCTAGCATTTTGTTTGCTACTTTTTGGCGCTATTGTCGATTTTCAAAGAGGCGCTTGAGTTGGGGGCTTTGACTAAGCACGTCTTACCCTACTATTGTATGCAAACCATGTCTTGAATTCAATATATGTGACTAGATAGGTTATAGCAGGAATTGATGGGGCAGCATTTTCATGGATGAGACATTATCCCTTCTTCCTCTTCTTCTTCGGGCGCGTACTGACCGTACAGTAGTACTAACCTTACCAAGTTCAGTCTACAGATTGCAATAGATCTTACACCGATGCTATTCTTGTCTGACACCTGCCTAAGATGGTGTTGCTTATGGGAATGGGGAAATGCAGCTGCCCTGATATTGAGAATGCATACTCCGTACGTAGCCAAGATTACGGGGTACATGCGGCGCCTATGGCGATCTGACAAGGTCGAAAATAACGACACGTGATGGCTGCTCAAGAAGAGCATCAAATGCGGCAACGTGTCATTAAATCCACGACGGTCGAGATCAATAGACTGCCCAGACGAGTCGTCAATTGTGCTCTCTAAACGAGGTCCCATGTTTTACACCTTAGCAAAAGGATCCTCTCGTAATGGATGGATACTTCCGATGCAAAAGTATCGACTACCGAATGCTTGGAATTCGTCTCACTAAATCTTGGCTACATGCCGACTAAAGCCAAGTATAAGGTACATATAAGCACTGTTTCTTTGGGCAACTGAACGTGCTTAGACCTTCTTAAGCTGCGTTAGTGGCGCGGCATCCAGGCTGCTAGTGCAACCCCCTACCTGAAAGTGGTAGCAGTACAGAAGGAGTGTCGATGCTGTGAGGGACTGAGCAGCTAAACGTCGAGGGGCTGGGCGTACCTGTACTTGAAGAGGAGGGATTGATAGTTCTATTCAAGGGCCGTTTCGACGTAACGGCCACGACAGCTGCATCTCAAGCCTGCCAATCTTTTTTCTTTCTTTTTTGTCTTTGCTTGCGCAATCTTCATATTTTTGCTGCTTTGTTCTTCTAGGCATTTTTGGCTGTTCCAGGCAGAGAGAGGCAATATCGCATTGCGGATTCCTATCATTTGGTGAGTCTCGGAAGCGTCGCTCTCGGCATCTACCCACTTGATTTGGCTTCTCCTGAGTAATTGGCACTTTTGCTGCGGATGGCGCAGGCTTGCCTCGGGGGCGCCGCTACGAGTCAACTGTGGCGAGTTGCGACACATCTCAACTCCTGAACCTGCATTTGCAATCGAGCACTGCGTTTGTATGCCAGCTCGTCACTTTTACTAACGACTATTGCGCAGACGTTATTCCTGCTTATCTGCCCATCTGCAGGGGGGAAAGAAACAAGACAGCTCCATGTGCTGGTAGCTCCAGTCGCTTTCTCAAACGCGTGTCCATCCCTTTCCTGCGCCGGCAGCTTCGTGAGCGTCCTGCCATTACATTCACCGCCATGAAGGTCGCTTCTGTTCTTGGGCTCGCCGGACTGGTGGCCCTGTCGCAGGGCGCCAGAATTGCCAGAGACTACGACAAGAATGACTACTATGTCCTGCATCTCGACCGGTCCGTACAGCCTGGCGACGTCGCCATGCGTCTAGGCTTGACGCACGAAGGCCAACTTGGAGAGCTCACCGACCACCACGTTTTCCGCGCTGAGAAGCATGAGCGAGATGTTGTCAGAGAGGAGGTTCGAGAGCGCAAGAGGAGGAAGCGAGATATTGGCGGATACGATGTCCTGGACGGGGTCCTCTTGACCACCAAGCAGAAGGCTCGCAGCCGTCTACAAAAGAGAATCATTCCGCCACGTCCACCCATAGATATGGTTCAACGCTCCCCTCAAAAGCCAGACGATTCGGCGGTCCGTACGCAGGAGAATGTCATGAGGGACTTGAGCATTGCCGACCCGATATTCAAGGAGCAATGGCATCTGTTCAACACGGTGCAACTTGGCCATGACGTTAATGTTACCGGACTCTGGCTTGAGGGCATCACCGGCAAGAATGCGACTGTTGCCATGGTCGACGACGGACTTGACATGTACAGCCGAGACTTGAAAGACAACTACTTTGCCGAAGGTTCTTGGGATTTCAATGACAACGACCCGGAGCCGAAACCAGAGCTGTCAGACGATAGGCACGGAACGAGATGCGCTGGCGAGATTTCTGCAGTGCGCAACGATGCGTGCGGCGTTGGTGTTGCATACGACTCCAAAATTGCCGGTATTCGGATTCTCAGCAGCCCTATCAGCGATGCGGATGAAGCCGAAGCCATGATTTACAAGTATCAGCAGAATCAAATCTACTCCTGTTCCTGGGGACCTCCAGACGATGGAAGATCCATGGAAGCCCCTGACGTCTTGATACGACGAGCCATGCTCAAGGGCATCCAGGAGGGTCGCGGAGGCCTTGGTTCCATCTACGTCTTTGCCAGTGGTAACGGTGCGGCTAGCGGCGACAACTGCAATTTCGATGGATATACCAACTCCATCTATAGCATATCCGTCGGCGCAGTCGATCGTGCTGGCCAACACCCCTACTATTCGGAACACTGCTCTGCCCTGCTTGTTGTTACCTATAGCAGTGGTGGTGGCGATGGCATAGTAAGTTCTTCACCCTTTTCTTCTCTTTCCAAATCAATGTCGGTGGCTTACCATGGCAGCACACAACTGATGTTGGAGAAAATGCCTGTTACGGCATGCATGGTGGTACGTCAGCCGCGGCACCCCTCGCAGCGGGTATTTTTGCCTTGGTCTTGCAAGTTCGCCCGGATCTGACATGGCGGGATATCCAATACCTTGCTATGGATACCGCCGTCAAACTGGTCGACGATACAGAAGCTGAGTGGCAGACTACTGCTGTCGGGAGACAGTTTAGCCACACGTTTGGCTATGGCAAGATCGACTCTTACGCTCTCGTTGAGAAGGCCAAGACGTGGAAGAAGTTGAAGCCCCAAGCCTGGTACTTTTCTCCCTGGCTGCACATCAAAAAGGACATCCCCGAAGGCAACGACGGATTGGTTGTGAGCTTTGATGTGACCCCTGAGATGCTCAAAGAGGCCAACTTGGCTCACGTGGAGCACGTCACCGTTACCATGAATGTGGCACACACTCGACGTGGTGATTTGAGTGTGGATCTGATCAGCCCTGAGAACGTCATCAGCCATATTTCTGTCACTCGTAAGGGGGATAATTTTAAAGGCGGATACGATGACTGGACGTTTATGAGTGTTGCCCACTGGTAGGCCCCCCCCCCCCCCTCTTTTCAAAGCGTTACTGATGCCACTCGCTCGATGCTAATCATTTTTATTTTATAGGGGCGAGACTGGCGTTGGCAGATGGACACTTGTTGTCCGAGACACAGAGGTGAACCACGAGAAGGGCAGATTCATTGACTGGCACCTCAAGCTCTGGGGCGAGAGCATTGATGCTAGCCAGGCCAAGATTTTGCCCATGCCATCAGAGAATGACGATGCCGATCACGACCAGAGCCTGTCTACTATATCCGGTGCAGCCTCAACCAAGACGATTGCGGCAGCAAGCTCAACTAAGACGGCGACTATCACAGGCAACCCTACCGACCACCCTGTCCGACCCACGAAGCCTGGAGCCAAACCCACGGAGTCAACAAAGCCTCAAGAGGGCCCTGTGGATGAAAAGCCATCCGATACCGAGCACGAAGTCGCATCCGGCACTTCATCAGCTCAACCATCTGGCACGACCAGTGCGTCCTCATCGTGGGTTTCCTGGCTTCCAACCTTTGGAACCAAGGCCAAGATCTGGATCTATGGCGCCATTGGCTTGATTGCCGCCTTCTGCTGCGGTCTCGGCATCTACCTCTGGATCGCCCGCCGCCGCCTTCGCAACAACTCCCGCAACAACTACGAGTTTGAGCTCCTCGACGAGGAGGAGACTGAAGGTCTGAATAGCGCGGAAAAGGGACCCAATGCGGGCAAGAAGACCCGACGAACTCGCGGCGGAGAGCTCTACGATGCCTTTGCGGGCGGCAGCGACGACGACGATGAGTTTGACGAGTACAGGGATCGATCGGCTGACCGGCTGGCGGGCCATAACCCCGATGAGCCGGAGCACTATGCCGTTGGCGAGGATAGCGACGATGATGACAATCTTACGGAAAAGCAAGGATTACGGCAGTGAACATAGACGTTGCTTTGTTTTGACCTTTTTTTCTTTTTTTTGGGGCATGGAAGAGGAATTGAAGATGATTGAAAGCCCAGTACTCATTAGACGGAGTATGTCTTATCGGTTTTTTTTATAGGTGCTTGTGACTTTTTATCTTATTGGTTATACATTTCCGATTATCTTGATTATTGGCCTTGTTCATGTTTGAGTGATCTTCTCGGATGAGAGAGCTATTATTCTACCTCGTTCCATATCAGGGCTATATATCGTGACATTATGCTGAATGACGAAGAGCGTTGGTAGTTCAAATATTTCTGAAGAACCCTTCAATAACGCAATTCAACTTATGGTGGGTATCTGCTTTGTTCGTTTCACAAGTCACTTCATTTTCGTCTTGTGTGTGTTTTTTTAAGCACTTCTTTATTACAACGCCGCCAATAGTATCCCAAACGCCCGAAAACTCTCGATGCACCACGCTTCTTTGTGCCTGTCCCTTGAACCCCTCCCTTGTCTTCAAAAACCGCCCTTCCGTTCATTATTTACGCTTCAAGTTCAAGTCAAGCCAAATGCCACGCCTCAGCCAACCCGCCATCAAAAGTGTATTTTAGCTCCAACATGCAGACACGAAAAAAAAAGAAGAGAAAACTTTCAAATAAAGTTTTCACGCTACAGGAACAACGCCCTCCTTCTCCATCTCCATGACATATGTCTCCCACAGCTCAGCGACGTCGCCGTAGAACTTGACGTGGGCGTCGGCCAGGCCTCCGAGCTGCGTCTTCATCTCGATGCGCTTGATCCGCTCAAAGTCGGCAACCTCGCGGATGACCTCGTCGTCGAAGCGATCGCTCGTCAGGCGGGCGTTTTCGACCTCGGTGCTGAGCTCCTCGACTCTCAGCTCCAGCTTCCTGGTGCGCTCGCGCCGGGCCTGCTCGTGGTCCACGCCTCGGACGTCCTCTATCTTGGCGCGGATGAAGCCGCCCGGCCCGCTGGGAGCGCCGTGGCCCGAGCGTAAAGAGTCTCTCTCGGACGTGGATTTGTTGAGGTACTCTGTCAGTTGCTCGTAGTCAAGCTGCTTCTGCTCTCTGGCCTTGAGCAGGTTCTTGAGGGCGAGAGAGTAAGCCTGCATATCGCGTAGAGAACCAAGGTAATCTTGGTCTGTAACCTCCTTGAGCTGATGGAGCTGGGTTGCTGTGTCCTCGATGGAAGCGGCGAAGGCGTGAACGGCGGACTCAATGCCGGGCTCAAGGGTAATGAGCTTCTGGAACTGCTCCGCCAGGTCCCGAAGATCGGTTTCCAGGTCGCCCTCTCGACGAGCCACACGGGCAATGACCTTTTCAATGTGGCCTAGGTCTTCGTCAAGCTTGTCGCTCTTTTCCTTGACCTCGATGAAGCGCCTGTCGGGCTGGTGGACCTTGGTAAAGGCATTGATAAAGGTATCGGCAAAGTTGTCGAAAACGCCGCTGGAGCCGCTAGGATCGCTCGTTATGCTGCCGCGAGCTGTGCGGCTCTTGACCGTCGCATTCCAGTCGGGGCTCTCGAGGAAGCTGTGCAGGATGGTGCTCCGGCGCAGGACCGGGTGCAGCGACAGGCGGTTGAGGAAGCGCTGCAGCGAGTGGCCGCGCCGTGAGGTGAAGTCGTTGCCGAAGCGATCGCCGCGGACGTACTCCATGCGCTGCTTGTCCGGGATGGGCGGGACGGCGCAGGCCGGATAGTCTCGCATCAGCTGCTTGAACAAGAAGGCAAAGTCCGTGAAGCGCCGCCTCACGGTGGTGACTTCTTTCTGGAAGGACGGGAACGTAGACTAATAAACGCCATATTGTCAGTTTGACATCAACCAACAGTAACCCATCTGCCAACAGCCTTGCAACGGCGTCGTCAAGGTGAGGCGAGGCGGGGTAATAAAGGGAGAGTAAGAGAGAGGGCGAGAGACAAAAAGAGCCGTCTCTAGTTGCGCCTGGATGTAGATGTAGATACACATACGTGCGTGGTGACGAGATACGACACAAAGGCGTCCTTGGTGCCGTCATTCTCCTTGATGGGCGACCCGACGGTGCACTCGAGCTTCTCACGGCCGATGCCCTGCGAAGAGCTGTTTCCGGCCTCGTCCATGGCGCCGCGCGCGGGAGTCTCGACAGCGGCGGCAGCAGCAGAACGCACGGCCTGGTCGTGGACGTGGTCGCTCCAGGTGACGTTGGAGAAGTCGTCGTTGTCGTTGTCGTGGTGCGTCGTCATGGTCGAAGCATTAGACGACTTGGTTCGGATCCGAGCGTTTGCGCCTTGCGGGAGGGGCTGTGGCCTGAAGAGATACTCGACGGCGTGTGTTGCGACAATGACAATTGAATCAAGGCTCGCTCTCGGCTTCTGTAGAGGGGCGGTGCGAGTGAATGAAGGGAGACAAACGGTGCAAGTATGTCGAGACGAGAATCAAAGGTGGCGTATGTCTGAGGCTAGTCGAGAGGCGTGGACAGGCAGTTGGTTACTGACGGCTGGTGTGGAAAAGATGCGCGCAATTAGCAGGGCCCAAGTGCCTAGCAGGTACATGCAGCAGCTGTAGCTTGTCTCGAGTACCCGAGCAGGACGGGAGTTGTCGAGACTCCAACCATCCATAGGCGGCAGATGATGACAACTGAAGAGCTAATAGGTTAAAACAACAATGGGAATTATGAAAGAAACAATTATATCTCCTTTTTGAAACTGTAGTTCCATGTCTGCCGCATAGCATTGTTTCGTCGCGTAAGTCACTTTCTGCTGCCTCGGTACCTGTGAGGGATTGATGACGCAACAGCTTGGCCGCATCCAGACAGGACAGCCTTGGATTTGGCACGGCAGCCTGCAGGCGGGTTTTTGCCCTTTTTATCCTGGTCTTTCGGATTGATCAGTTTCATGCTTATCAGTTATCGTCAGGTAGTGCTACTGTGTGTATTACCCAGTACTAAGTACCTACCTAGTAGATGGTAGGCATGTATTATATGGTACTTCTAGTAGTAGCTGACAGTCAAATCGGTCTTCACAATACAGTAGTAACGGCAAATGATTGTATGCGTCGTCTATTGGTTTGTTTCCTGTGTGTCGAGATGTCTATACCGCCCCGGCTCCCTAACTAAGTAGTTTCCATGTTCCTCATCATCCGGCTTACTGTTAACATGTTTCCCTTATCCTTTCGGGTATGCGGTACCCACTGTACATATGAAATTGCTAAGATTAACAAGTCGTTTGACTGCCGGCGCTCTTGTGTACGCCATGATTTGTTTCCTTTATGACCTTTTTTTGGTGCTTTGAGCTTCCTTCTTTTTTTATACTTTATACAATTGCTGGTTCGTCATCATTTCTGCTCCTTGGCAGCGGCCTTGTGCTCGGCCTCGACGGCTTTGATCTGCTCCAGCTCAGCGTCAACCATCTCGCCGGCAGGCTTCTTCTCGAGGCCGCTCTCGGCAGCCGTCATTTGCCGCTCCTCCTTCTCGTCAATGTCATCGACATCACGAGGAGTGGCAAAGCCGGTCGTCTGGCTCTCCTGGTTCTGCAGCTCCTCCTCCTCAATGAGCTCTTGCTGCTCCTTCAGAACCTCAAGACGCTGCTTGTTGGTGGCGGCGCCCTCAGCATTGTGCACTTCCAGCTCAATCTCGTGGAACAGCTCCTCGGGGATAGAGGACAGAACACCAACAAGAGCCTCAATCTGGCTTGAGCCCTCGCCAGATCCTTGGCCGTACATGTAAGCATTGCTCAGGACCAGCAGCGTGGAGGGAACACCTTCCTTGAGACGCAAGTCAAGCCACGTCTGCAAGTCGGCCCTCATCCTAGCGGGGGATACGCTGTGCGTGCGAATACCACGGGCGGCACATGCCAACTGCAGCTCGGCGACGGTCAGGCTGTCAATGCCCTCGAAGGCAATGGCCTTATCATCGCGCTTGATCTGACGCATGCGGTGGCGAATCTGGTATCGCAGCATGGAGTCTGTGCCAAAGGTGTTGAGACCCATGTATCGGCACATGGACACCAGCTGAGGGCGAGACAAGTTGTCCAGAGTCATATCGTCTCTGAAGATCTTGCAGACCTTGATAACGTCCTGGTCGGTAGGCGCCTCACCGGTGGATCTGACCTTGCGGAAGAAGTTGGCAAACTCTTCCTTCTGGGCAGTCGCAGTCGCCTGGCTCAGGGGAAGGCCAGTCTCCCTGAGTGTCTGCTGGATAAAAGAGCTGACTTCCTTCCTCGTGGACCGCAAGAGAGTAGCTTTGGCCTCCTTGGACTTTTGCCCCTCAAATGTGCTGGGGAGCATGTTGGGGAAGAGCTTCAAGGCCAGAGGAAGCAGAGCCTCGCCCAGGGGAACGATGATGAAGATGGAAAAGGGGACAAGTCGGCCGAGATCCTGAACAGTGCGCCGAAGCTGCTTGTTCTCTCTGCGGGTAAGCTCATAACCGGCGGCCATCTTGAGGGCTAACCGCCAGCTGATGCGGATTTCTGTAGCAAGCAGCTTACTTCCATCCCAGTAGTGCTGAGCTTCCTTCTTGACCTTTTGCCAGATTGTCAATTTAATCTCCTCCTCCTTCTTCTTAGCAAGCTCCTTTTGGCCAGAGACCCCGTCCTTCTTCACAGCCAGCTCAGTTAATGAGGCGTCATCAGCGGCCTTGTCGGACTGCGCAACGGCAGCACTGGCCGATCCGTCTTTAGTATTTGCCTCTGCATCGGGCTTTTTGGCAGCGCTCGAGGGATCCTTTGGCAGAGGCTTCTTAGCCAGCTCGGCGTTGAATCCGGGGGGCGGTCCAGACGGCGCATCCGGTCGATGAGGCTCGGTTCCCAATTGGCGCAATGGAATCAACAAGGCCAAGGCAGGAATCTGAGTCTGTCGAGCGATATGTCTGGTAATGAGAGCTGACGAGGCGCCTCGGGATAGGTTTCTTGCTATGAGAAAAGGTCAGGAACCATGGCGGTCTGTAAGGGGTTTTGCATAATCTCACCTTGTCCCAGCAGGGGGTTGCGAACCACTGCCCTGCGGGCAAGGCTGGATGAGGCGCTCATTGCGAGCAGATGTGGGAATTGCAAGGTAACACAGGCAAAGAGATGATGGCGACACACAGCAAAGACACAACAAGAGCAGAACAGAGATGGAAGAGACAGAATTGATGTCGACGCTGGTGGATGGAGGGATGATGAAGGAAAGAATATCGATGGGTCCAGGCCGGCATGGAACAGACCTTGAACAAGGGTTGACAAAGAGGTACGTACCGGTGCTGGAATTTGGTGCGCCACATGTCAGAGGCGGATGCTGGCATGCCATAGGCTGGATCAGAGTTTAGATGGGGCTGTTGGGCTGAAGCCATCCGGCATGTAGAGTCACGTGACATAATCTCTCCTGGACCCAAAGTTAAAGAGGCCTCTAATATTACATAATGCGTGTGCAGATTGCGCTGGGTGTGTTCGCTGATTTGATGCTGATTTGATGCTGATTTGACTTTGGTGTGTTCTCGGCTCGGACACGTCGGACTTTGGGGACGCATGCAAGATGCTCATGTATGCTTTGCTGGCAGCATATGCTGGTTTGTCTGTTCAATCGTGGGGACGAGCGCCATGATTTGTTGTGAAGAGGCCTACATGTGCATGTACGAATCGCAAGCGCTGGCAGACTGCTGTCATCCGTGGAGAGACATGCACGACAATCATCGTTGGGCTGCACACGGCCTTTCCCCAGCTTGAGGAGTCGATGCCCTACCAGCTCCCCACGAAGTACGTGAACATGCGATGCCTCGTGCGAAGGTCATGATTTGGCATTGATTGCGAAGCGTGAAGCGGATACAGTCGCCGGCGGTGGAACAGCATTCATCAAACTACCGGGCAGCAAGCAAGTGTTCAATGGGTCGATTCGGGGTTCAAGAATTCTCAACTCCGTGATGGGAAGTCCGGCATGGATTAATACTCTTACTCAAGCGCTGTTCCCAACCGTCTACAGCGTATATAGCTGTCCCATCTTGGCTCACGTCGGGCATCGCTCGCTCTTTGCTGGAGATTGCTCGGGAAATGGTCCCCCATCCATCGGAGCCTGAAGTGAGACACGACTGTCCAGAAGCATCCATGTATTTGCTTGCCTTGGCTGTGCTGACAGCCAATTAGCATCTAGCAAGGACTTCAATTTTGTCTGGTAGCTTTGTCTGGTAGCAAAAGCAGGAGCAGCAATAAATAGTAAGAGCAATAACAGCCCGGCCATGCCCTCGTTCATTGCCGTTGGCCAACGCAGCTAGAGCTGGTCCAATCAGTTGAGGTGCCCGTAGGTGTAAACAGAAGACCATGGAGGCGCCGTCTTCGTTATATACTTCAAACGATGAAACCTTGGCTTGTACCTGATCGCAGTAAGACTGCAGATATGCCATATGGTCAAATGGGACATTGATCAGCCCTTTCGGGGTCGGACCGCCGCGGACCGACCTGTCCGCACTGCCATCAGAGCCCATTTTCTCTTAGAATTACTGCTTTCAACCTCAAACGGCAGAATGACGCTCGCCGTCCAGGCCAGAATGCTGCTTGAGCCGAAGACTCGCCCAAGCAGCGGCGCGACAGAATCAGGCAGACGCCGGCTAAGTCGTAGCTTAGCGCCTCTTCGCACCACTGCAGGGCCCCCTCGTCCCCGGGTTTAGCGCACGTGCCGGCCGCTCCCAGGCCGCTCCCAGGGCACTTCCAGGGCAGTCGCAGCGCTGTCCATTTTCCGGCGGGGTCGCAGGCACAAGCTCGTGTGTCCTCGACCTCGAACCGGAGTTTGGAGCTAAAGATTCATCGCCTGTCCATCAACCTCGATATCCGTCCATCCCACCATCTTTTTTGCGCTGCCCACAAAGTGCCGCGTCCGGCTCAGGACTGTGCCATTGCGCCCATGAATGGCCTGCTCACGCCGTGCGGCGCTTCTTCGGCTCGCACATTCAACGGTTCTGGGCTCCCCCGCCCGTCCCGCCATTGGCAAGACCGGGCCATTATCAACACTCAACATTATTAACACCTTTCCGTCCCACGCGCTCGCTCATGTCCTCCTTCTCCCGTCTCTTTCAGCTGTTTGCATTTATATAATATCCTTTCCTTTCTCATCATTGTAGGCTGCTCGTATACCTTTTGTCACTGCAAGGCCAGGTCTGGTTGATTTCCGCTCTACGTAAAGGAAGATTTTTTTTTTTTTTTTTTGCTGGCCAGGTTACCCTCAAGGATCCGCGTTGTCCGCCTTCGGCATATTGCTTACGCAGCAACACCGCATTCAAATACCTTGCTATCCGCAGCTTCTGGACTTTCCAAAAGGATCTTTTCTACTGTCCCTGTTTCAATCTCGGCGTCAAATAGACAATGCAACTCAAGAGAGCGGCGCGAGTAATTCTAGTTGGTGCGCCGGGCGTGGGCAAGGGAACCCAGAGCGATAGGCTGTTGAAGCGCTTCCCCCAACTCAAGGCCATCAGCACCGGCGACCTCCTCCGTCACAATGTCAAGAACAGGACACCTCTTGGTAAGCAAGAGAGACGCCTTTGATGCTATTCTTACCGCTGTAGCTAATCATCTAATCAGGCATAATGGCTGAAAATACCATCAAGGCAGGAGGCCTGGTGGCCGACGATCTGATGCTTCGTCTCATCTCAGGAGAGCTTCGATCCCGAGGCTGGCTGCGACCTCCCGTCATGACGCTCTCAGCTGAAGCAACCTCAACCGAGGGCTCCTTTCACTCCAGTGCCTCCATGGATGCTTTCAACTCACTGCCTTTCCAACTCGACGACCACGCCGTTCCCCAGGCTTCAGAGGATCCTTCTGCTTCTTTCATGCTGGACGGCTACCCCCGGACTGTCTCCCAGGCCATCACCCTCGACAAGATTGTGCCCATGAACTTGGTCGTCTCCATTCAGACTCCCTTTTCTGTTATCCTCGAGCGCATCGCCGGCCGATGGGTGCACGAGCCCTCCGGCCGCGTGTACAACACAAGCTTCAACCGGCCTCGCGTCCCCGGCCGCGACGACGTCACCGGCGAGCCCCTCGTCCAGCGCCCGGACGACAACGAGGAGACGTACCGTGCGCGCTTCCAAAAATTCCAGGAGAACAGCGAGCCCATCCTCAACCACTATGCCAAGAAGGGTGTCTTGCTCGAAGTCGAAGGCATGAGCAGCGATGAGATCACCCCTAAGCTGTACAAGGCCTTTGAGAAGCGTTTTGCTTAGTGAAGGCTCTGTGCTGCCTAAACCACGGAATACCTACGTTTTATTATTGTTTTAACAGCCTTTTTCCATACTACTACTACTTGGTTGGCCCCTTGCTCTATTCGGCGACTGTTACGTTTTGTTATCTTGGCTATTAATAGGAGTTTACATGTGTGGTTGGGAAAATCATCATGCCCTTGGGTATTGACTTATTGGGTTATTTTTTTCATGTCGAGGAGGAAAAAGAGGAGGACCCCATGACGGAGCTATTGCCGAGAGTCTTCTTCCGCCTTGTGTTGGGCTTTTCCTATTTCCCTACTACCTAGGTAGTTATTGTTGCGTGTGCGAATAGTGTACATATGGGTGACGAAAAGTCCCCGGCGTTGAATTTTCATCGGAGCATTAATACCGCGCATGCTGTTCCTGTCTATGTATGTGCAAATGACCTGACGTTCACATGCTTGTCGTGCGACCTGGCGGGACTCAGCTGGATGCTTGCATCCTTCTCCGCACCCGGGACGAGGTACCGATACCGAGACTCCACTACCAGGCCGAGAGCCCTTGACTTGCGCTTCTCACCTCCTCGGGCTTTTATCTCGGCTAGGACGACAAATCAACGGCCCGCGGCTCAAAGAGTCTCGGAAGCACAAGGGGAAGGACAAATTCCATTGTAATACATTCATGCCACTAGCCATACATGACCCAGCTATTGAAATCAAGGACTAAATCAACCTCTCGTCATCCAACTCCCCACCACAGCTCCTTGAATCCCGTAGATACAAAACCACAGACCAAACTAGAAATATCCCAAACATGCCCAGTGTAAATCAAAGGAGAATGGTCGAATGACCGCTACTACCTGTCCTCAGGGAGTTGAAGCTAAGGACGAACTTGTGTATCTCAACAAGAGATGCGATATCCAGGAAACCAACCCTGCTTCAATCGTCCCATTCGTCTCCGCTCCGAATGCCTGGCGGCGTATTGTTCGAGCGAGAGGAGCTCTGCCCGGCACGCAGTGGTGTATCCTCCTCATCATCGTCGTCGTCCATGGCCTTGGCCAGTTCATCGGGGTCGTGCATCTTGGCATCGGGGTCTACCGCTCCGTCGAGTCCCTCGTGGTGATCGTCATCGTGTCGCTCACTGTCCAAGACACCATCGTCTGCGCTGACAGAGATGCCGCGGGAGCCCCACCTCGCGCGACCACCGCCGTTGCCATTCAAGTTACTCTCTTCGTCCTCGGTGGCGGCGTGAACGTTCTTGCCGAAGATGCGGCGCAAGAACCATCCACGGTTCAGATCATCGGCATCAACAACACCACCGCCGCGAAGCTTAACTCGCTGTCGTGTGTAGTAAACCCAAGCAAAATCTACATAGAGGGCAGTCTGGATGATACCGAAGATGACGGAAATGGCATCGGGTTTTCGGTCGTTGACGTCGAGTTCCCGGATGAACCAGTTTATGCAGTAAAACGCACGGTAGGAGCCCAGTGCTAAGAGATAGAACGAGTCGATCACAGTGGGAACGGTGGTCTGTCTCAACAGCAACAACTGGGGTAGAACGCACACAGATTCAAGGATTTCAGAGAAGGACCACATCCACTATCATGACAATCAGCAAATAGACGCTTCCACAGTGAGAGCGAGCCAGGACATACAGTCATAAATCCCCAACGGTATTTCGGTTCGAAAATCAACATCGCAAAGGGAGAAAGAGCAAGAGAGCCAACCAGGATAATGGCGCCAAGCTTCCAGGAGATCTCACGCTCTCGTGAGCGGGGGAACACCCACTGCATGACACCGAGGATGTAGAAGGACGTGACAATGTATGTGACTTTGAATATCGCGTTCCATGCCGACTGCTCTCTAAATAGATCGAGGTATCGCGAGCAGAAGACGACGGCGTAGAGGCCTTGTGTGATGAGGGACACGCCCTCGGCGCTGCGGTTTCTGTGGATGGAGAAGATGAGGATGCCCTTGGAGAGCATGTGGACGATGTCGCCCAAGAGGCGAAAGATCTGGGACGCAACAGTTAGCCTGCGGTATTCTCTGTTCCATCTCGAGAGCAAAGATTGGGGTCAATTGTACATTCCAAGCTCCCATGATGATGGCTCGCGGCACAGCCTCGCCGCCGCTTCAGAATCGAAATAGAAAGAAACTAAGAAGGCCAGAAAGGAGAAGAGATAGGAGTGCAAAGAAAACAAGTCAAGAGCTTTTATAGGACGAAAGTCATCGGGTCTATCCGGTCGATCGCAGAGATCGTGGATAGGGAGATGCTCAGGGCTTGAAGGAAGAATCCGAAAGCATGGAGCTGAAGCTGAGCTTGCGTCAGATGCCGAGTCGCAGGAGGCACGACACAGCCCCACATCTGTGACGAGTGCATATTATTGGCAACGTGTACCTGAGATTGCTAGCGTCGATTGCTGTGGTGTAAAGTACCTGGTAAGTACCTGTAATCAACGTTTTCAGCCATGTCAAAGCTTCATAGGTGCCTATAAAAGTATGAGTGCCCGTGCAAAAGCTACGCTGCAATGTGCCACAGTTTGGAAATATTAACTGTATTTGGCCATCAGTGGAAAACGAGATGTGATGTTTTGCATCTCCAAGAGAATGGTTGGGGTCATTATACTGAAACCATGTACGGAGTACTACCAGGTACCTACCTGTAATATCCCCGTGAAATTCCCCGCAAGGGACGAAGTAGGTACCTACCAGGGCAGCATTTATACGACATAACACACCTTCGCATCTGTTGAGTCCGTACTCCGTATTGGGACACGCAATGCCAAACATCCTCTTCCCACATCCAAACCTCATCAGACTGTGCATCTACAATGGCTCAACCTGACCCTACAGGGCGCAGAGCCAGACCCTGTGCTAGCGTAAGCCTTTCCCTGGAGAGCCCCGTTTTCAGAGGTACCTCTTTGGCCACCCAAAATCGCTGTCGCGTGATGTCACCACGGTGTGTTCTGTTAGGTACCGCGTGTGCCGGAATTTTCACCAGTTAGCTCCAGGGGGTTTGGCAGCAAAGGGCGGAATCATCAGACTCAACAAACAACAGCATGACGTCTTCTGCCTCCCTGATAACGCGCCTTGAGAGTCTCGAGGTATGACTATATATTCAATCTATTTCCATCCCAAATAGGATCGATACGCGCGTCAACCCCATGCACTCCTCCCACCGCTGCCGAAACATTCGCTGCTGAGTGGTGGCTTCCTAGGCCCTTTCGCGGCATCGAATTGCCGGCGCCAGAGCGTCACCAGTTCCACCCTGGATTTGATTTCCATTTTAATTCATGGTAGTGCTAGGATCTGTAGTCTTCCTGATATCCATTCAAAAGGGGGATTCTTGAGGAGACAAGAAGCGAGGCTGCGCCTCTCTCGACGAATATCAGAATCTGCCCCAAATGAAGTCCTGCACTAGCATTATCATCGCAGCCACCTGGGCAGCGCTGGCTTGGCGTATTAGTGCTGTCCCGGCGGCAAAATCCAACAAGGCTCCTGAGCCCAAATATTTCCGTGAGTGGATAGAATGCGTGATTACGCGGCTTCTGCCCTTCTCAGCGGCTGCCATATACTAACAGGAATCTCCCGTAGATGAGCATCCGTGAGTATCTTGGCCATGGCTATGCAGCTATTGCTGCCCATAGTCTTCATTGCACTCTTGTCTAACACGGACTTGATAGTTATGATGTTCACTATGATAATCGCTTCGCTTTCACACTCCTCGATGACCCAGAGCAGAGAGAGACCATCAAGATCTTAGTCCAGACGTACCTGGCAACTTTCCGAGACTTGGGCATTCAAACATGGCTGATGCATGGAACTCTTCTCGGATGGTGGTGGGGGAAGAAGGTATCTTCTACCCAGCATCTTTTTATACTTACTATATTAGTATTTTGTCATTCTAACCTGCAGTCTTAAGGTCATGCCGTGGGACTATGATGCAGATGTCCAAGTCACAGAGGCAGACATGTATTTTCTGGCCGCCTATTACAACATGACCATATACTACTACAAGTACGGTGCGATGGAAGAAGGCCGCTTCTTTCAACTCGAGGTCAACCCGTATTTTGTTCATCGAGACCAAGATGATACATCCAACGTCATTGATGCCCGGTGGATCGATATGCATAGCGGACTCTACATCGATATTACTGCGGCAAGATATGCTCTGGATCATAAGGAGGGCGAAGGCGTTTTGTATGACAAGTATGGCCACGAGTATCGCGTAAGGACAAGTTTCATATCTGGACAACTCGCCACTCATACTAATGAGCTCTATAGGATACATATGTCTTTCCCTTACGAGACACAACGTTCGAGGGAGTGCCCTGCAAGATTCCCTATCGATACGAGGAGATGCTGGAAGCAGAATATGGCAAGAAATCTCTAACTAATACAGTATTTCACGGGTAAGTTTAGAAGGTCCTTTTTCTTCACTTGCATCCCTCCTGACATTCAATTTAGCCATAGATTCGACAACGAGACAAGGTCATGGGTTCCCCTTGAAGAAAAGCCGGAAGAAGACTTATAGTTTGCCCATATGGATCACATCAGCATGTATAGGCGTTGGTACTCTTGATATTCATCAGACAGTTTTGGCATTTGGCAACTTTTAGAGTGTGAAGGGGTGGCGGGATTGCCGGTAGGCCCGGTGCATAGCTGGGGATTTTGACGGATTATTTTAGGAGGTATTGGGACTCAAATCATTAAAGGGAATTGGGGTATATAGGCATTAATTTTTACAACTACGCAAAAAGGATTTATCTTGTGGATGAGTTCCATGGCGAGATGCCCTCAAATGTTCGGGCATTTCCTGTCTGAGTACCTGTACTTTATATGGTAAGCCACACAAGCGTCTGCTAATGTACCAGTGCCTAGAAATTTGCTGCCCTACGATATCGAAGCCCCCCACTGCATTAATCAACGCGTGTCTCGAAACAGTCGCGTCCCAGCTGCCGCTAGAATCCACTTTTAACACCTCCAACTCAGAGCTCTCAGATTTGCATCAGTCAGTGTCGCAACCTCCAATTCTTCTCCCCATATACCATAGTCCAACGCTCTCCGTACTCGCACAAGAAAAAACCGCCGATCGATCGATAGCTCTCAGATTCCATATGTAGAAGCTACATGGCGCAATTGCCCCCTTGCCTTTAAAAATGGCCACAGGCATGTCTCACCGAAACAGCTGCGTTGCGCCGCCACCTAGAATTTTATTCTAATACGCAGACAGGACGACAAACCCGCGCAGACCGCTTGAATGAGCGCCTTCGAGGCGCGCAGTATGTTACACCTGATAGGTGCTAATGGTCAGTTTGCTCATTGCTCTGTAGGCGCGCCAACGTAGACGATGAATCCTTCCATCTCGACATCAACAGCCTTGACATCGGAGGCCTTGCCATTGCATCATCCATCGCATCAGCCTCGAGTCCGGCGGCCCGGAACAAATACTCTCCCACTACCTCAGCAAAGAGAAGGAAACTGGATAAGAATGCGACAGCTCCTCCAGAGCCTAAATCGAGTTCCACGCCTCGACGACGGCGGGTCAGGTCCCAGCCCACAGAGCCACTGATCGAACTGCCAACTCTGCCGAGCGAACCGATGGACTACGACGCGGCGGAACAGGAGGATGGCGATGATGACGGGGCTACACCCAGGCCGAGCAGGACATATCCGGTACCGATGTCTATGAGTTCTGTGCGGACCGTCGATCCTCAGGTGGCAGACGAGCTTGAAACTTTGCCCCCACACCCTGGCGTTCAATCACCTGTACCTATGCAATCTCCTGGCTCGGTGCGCAAATCCGATATGATGATCATCGAAGAGGTTTCAGAATCTCCCGCGGATGCGCCAGGAAGCGGAAAGCGGCGCCGGGTGCCTATGAGCGAGACTCTCAGCTCTAGCGTGAGGTTGATGGGTGTGCTATCTTCAGACGACGGAATTCCTATGCCCTCGTCACCCCTTAAGAACAAGGCGCGTCGCAATGGTGCAGCTACAGTCCGATCCTCGCAAAGGTCAGCTGGAAGAGTATATGGCCAGGATACGAGCCACTTGGCGGATGAACTGTCGTCGGATAACTTCCCCCAACTAGCAGGAATAGAAGAGGAAGCGGAAATTGAGGAAATTGAGGCTGAGGCTACCGACTTGGTTATTGAGGAGAGTACCTTGGCACAAGATGAAGAGGAGCAAGAGGAGCAAGAGGAAGACCAAGAAGAGGAACAAGAGAACGACAATGGCATTGACATGGAAAAAGTGGCAAGAATTTTAGAGAGGGAAAGCGTGAGGCACCCACGAGAACCATCTCCAGAATTGGGATCACAGGAATTGGAGGATGCAGAAGAAGTCGAAGAGGAGGAATTGGAACTTGAACCCGAACCAGAAGAGGAAACTGAGCCTGATGTAGAGGAAGCAACTGAGGCCGAAGAAGAAGAGGAGGAGGAGGAGGAAGAGGTGACAGTTCTGCCAACACCTCCCAAGCGAAAGCGCGGACGGCCAAGCAAGAGCCCAACCGTTCAAAAACAACCTGCTGCCAAGCCGAAACCTGCTAAACCACGAAAGCGCGTCGAGGCACAGCCGCAAGATTCCAACGACGAAAACGACGAACGGCAACCTAAGAAAGGCAAAACGAAGAAACGACATAGCGACCAGAGTGAGGGCGATGGTGGAACGATTGAAATCACTGTCCAGCGATTCGTTAACCATAAGAAGCGTGGCCATGAGGATGACGATGTAGATCCTCTGCAGAATGAGATGGCATTCGTCAACCACGGAGGAGAAAGTGTGATTGATGTTTTCGCTCAGGTCTGCGACGAGGTGATTTCCTCAACATTGGAGCAGTTTCAGGAGGTGGCTAGTGGTGCAGATGACCCGGCAAAGAAGAAGGAGTATCGCATCAAAATGCGAGCTATTGAGGCTTACCGAGAGGAGCTCAAGTCTCGGTTCCTTCAACACGTATGTCTTGGGCAAATGCGGATCCGAACCATACAAAGCGATGCTAATGAGGAGTTCTTAGGCTATTCACTTGAACCACTGGCATTCATTGCGGAAACGAGTTCGACACGTGCAGAAAGAGAGGATGGCTTTGCGCGAAGAGATTATGCGTATCAAAGCCGAGCGAGAGCAGGTTGCTCTTCGCATGGATGCTATTAGAATCAAGCACGAGGCTGATTCTAGAGAGTCAAAGGTAAGAACTAGTTGAGGCTTGGCCGAGGTGTTGTAAAGCTTTGGAGCATAAGCTAACGAGCGTGTTGCAGTATTGTCTCGACGCGTCTTCTCTCATGCACGATGTAGATCTTGCCGTGGAACAGGGCCGGGAAGCACCAGAGCTTCCACGAGCGGCGCAAAGGGAGGCCGAATTGGCCAATCTCGAGCTGCTTGTGTCTCGCGTATCAGAGCAAGCTAGCTCGTCAAGCTTTACAGGCGGGATGCTCAAACAAGTCAAGGAGTTTAACTCATTCTTAGAGCGGGCTGCGATGGCACTTGAATCACGATGATACCCCCCTCGTTATTAAGCAATTGTTTTATTCATTATTTTGTACAATACCCCCGCGTTACTGGATCTTGGCCTTACTGAAATCCATCTCTGGGTGTTGCTCCTGGAACTTTTTGAGGATATCCATCTTCTTCTGCTCGTCCGAGGTGGGCAGGCCAGCCTCCTTCTGTCGCTGGTCAAACATCATCTTCTCAACCATGCCCCTGGTCTCGCCGTCGAGATCGGAGAGCTTGGAGTTTTCGGGCTGGATCTTGGTAACATCGATAGTGGGTGCGCTGGTGACGACGTGTGCCCACCACTCCATCTTGTTGACCTTGTCGAGGTGGATTTCTACGGACTTGGTTCCGTCAGAGTTGGTGGACAGGGTCCAAGTAGAGTCGTCGACGCGGACCGCATGGGGGAGATCGCCCTGTTGGTAACACTCAGAATGAGTACATGTATATAGATAGAAAGCTTTCGCCTCGTTTTGGTTTTGTATAGAAGGAGAGAAGAGGGTAGCGTTGGGATGAATCATGTAGAGAGGGACAACGACAGCGGCGCAATATGGCAATAGAAGAGGGAATGTCGTACACTTATGATGGGCTCCTGTCCCCTGATACCCGCAGTGAGGGTCAACTTCTTAATATCGACGACGAGGTCTCTCGACTTGAGGTTTCCGGGGACGTTGAAGGAGAGATCCAGCTCGCCGATGGTCTGCGTCCATTTGTAAGGCAGCGCAGCCTGTTCCTCAGCCTCCTTCTTGCGCGCGGCGGCGTCTTCAGCGGGGGATGGATCTACAGGTAGCCGCAGCTTCGTTAGCTATTTGAATATTGAATCATGAAGCTGTATGAAGCAGCACAGCTTGTGAAGTCGGCGGTATCTTACCCTTGTCAGCCATGGCAAAGCACTGTGAAGCTTGTGAAGGACTTGTTTGCCTGTGATATCAAAGCACCGAAAGGTAATGGTAGATGGTGGATGCTGGTGGAAGTTTAGCTGGCGTTGGAGGGGCAAATCCGCTAACAATGAGCCTGGCAGATGCCAAACAGGCCTGCAAGCCAATGGCATGGCGGGGATCTTGCTTACGTACGTCCAGTAGCCCCGAAGCTTGATATGCAAGGGCGGAAAGCTATCCGGTCGATACTCTGGTCACTCGATAAAATGAATTGTCAGCCACTGGAATCATCCTCTCTCTCTTGCATGTCGCGTGCCCCAGAACGATTGTCGTTGATATAAACACATAGACCGCGTCAAAATATCGCCACAGCCAGATCGAAGATCCATACGACTCAGCGAATACGTGGTACCAACGCGACCGCCGTGTTTGACCGCCGTCAAGCCATCTGCACATCCATCTTGAAGACCGAATCTCACACCCCCAGATCGCAGTTCCATCACCAACTCGCAAGCGCCCACAAACACCCGAGACAATGTCACGTACAGGCGGCACCAGCACCGTCTCGGTGCGCCATGCCTCCAATTCTGCCTCTTTCGTCTCCGCTCCCCTCCCTCCCGCAGACCAGGACGAAGCTTGTCCCGTGTGCAAAACCACGCGCTACTTCAACAAGGACATGGAGTTTCGAATCAACACTGAGTGCTACCACCGCATGTGCAAGACTTGTGTTGAGCGAATTTTCAAGGACGGTCCCAACCAATGCCCCTATGCGGGCTGTCACAAGACGCTCCGCTTGAGAGGCTTCAAGACGGCGTTTTTCGGAGACTTGGGCGTTGAGCGGGAGGTCGACATCAGGAGAAGGGTGGCAGCCGTGTTCAACAAGGCCGAAGACGACTTTGAGAGCCTGGATGCGTACAACGACTATCTTTACATGGTGGAATGTCTCACCGACGACCTCGTCAACGGAAACGACGAGGCCCGTAAAAAGGCCGAAATCCAGCTCTCTGAATGGGAGGCCCAGCACAAGGCTGAGATCGAGCGCAATCGCAAACTCGCCCGCGAATCTGACGAGTCACGACAGAAACGTCTCGCCCTAGAACAAGAGGCCGCTCGTCAGCGCCGTCTCCAGGAGCTGCAGGAGGATGCCGATGAGAGAGCTAGTGCCGCGCGGTTCCGGGAGGAGATGCTCAATTCCCTGCAGAACGCAGAGCTTGGCCATGCGGAGGAGGCAGTCGATCGGATCTTGCTCAAGAAGCGAGGACAGCAGAAGCGCGATGCTACGCTGGATGCTGTTGCGACGATGGGAGGCAGCGGCTTGTCGATCCGTGGTCTGAGAGAGAAGCGTGCTGTCGTGTTGGACGATAAGCCCTACGATCCGTTTGGTGGCCTGGATCTGGCGCCCCAGAGAGTCGACTTGGCCAGCGAGAACCTGTCGCAGTACAAGAGCGAGTGGCTCGACATTACGCGCACCAAGGAGGATTACATTGTGGGCGGATACAGCTCCGAGGAATATCTTACGAGAGCCCTGTTCGAAGCATTCTCTGGCTTGGGCGTGTTTGTTGCTGAAGACAAGGATATCAGAGAAGAGGCAACGGTGGCGGCTTCTTTGGAGGCCGGTGCTGCGGTGCCAGTGGGCGGGAAGATGGATGTCGATGATCCATTTTGAGAAATGAACTCTTTGAGGGCCATCATTTATCGAGATTAAGAATGTCTCGACCCTGCAAGATTTCGGGTTCTTTACTCGGTCTTCCTTAGAGGATAACTGTTTTGCATTTTCAAGGCGTCAAGGTGGGGGATTATATGGAGGTGAAATTATAGCAAGACAATATGGGTTGGCGTTTGGAAACTGGAGGACTTTTTTACATCTTCTTTCTTTTTTTTCTTTTTAATCAAGATCGATACCATGACACATCATACTAGGCTAGATAACAGACGGTTTATTCAAAGGGAATTGGCTATTCAGCATCTCAAGTTTTACCCTGGCTACATTGCTAATATGCTGACGTATAGTCTCTTGTTACCATAAGATGATAAACCTTGTATCCATAATGATAAATGTTAATGGTCAACAGAATGATTAAAGCTAGTCGGTATTTTATTCCTCTGCATATCGCTACAGCATTAATACTACCCCAACTCAGTGGTGGTTAGGCCACTTCCATGAAGAAAATGCATTTACAACTTAACAAATATTCTTTGCATCCTCTCTCTCTCAAACGAAACACTCCGCCCAACACACACGATACTACCAACCCAAACATGCCAGTCTGCCCAAATCTTCCCGTCCCATCTTAGCAAAGCATTGCCCTTCTGTGCAAATCCCCCCCCTTTAATAAAAGCTGTGTGAACTTGCATGCTAGGAAATAAATCCCTCTAGAATTCCGACCAGTAATAGTAAATTTCACGGTCGAATCCTTTCGTCAACTGAACAAAGAAAGAGAAGAAGGAGAACCAATGAACCAATGAACGCCTCGCTGCTTAATGCGATATGTAAGAGTAAAAGGAAAAAGCGGAAACCCCCCAGCAACGATGGACCCATTAAAGGAAAATAAAAAGATAAAGAATGACGAAATCCAGACTCCCAGATCACAAGGGCTTTACATGATTCAAAAGATTGAAGAGCAACGGAATTTATTGCTGCCAGGGCGTCTGCTGTGCCGGACGAGGGAACACCGGTACAGTTGGGATATGGTCGATGCCGCCGCCAATCGCAGTCTGGTTATGCTGCCACCCCATGCCGGTGGCGTGGTTGACAAAGGCGCCCTGGCGGAACGGATTCGTGACACCCGTCGGCTGTGGAGCAAGCGACGAAGACTGTTGCTGTGGGTCCTGGAGCTGTTGCTGCGCCGGGGCTTCGGTGGGAACGTTGCGAGCAAAGGGGTTGGTGCTCGTAGGTTGAGGCTGTACGGGCTGGGCCTGGAAAGGGCCTGTGTTCTGGCCCGGAGAGTTTGTCGACCTGGCAAAGGGATTAGTGGATTGGCGGGTGAGGGTTGGCGTGCTCGACGTTGGTGTTGACAGCTGAGACGAAGAGGATGTCGGCTGTGCAACCAGCATTGACTGGCGGAAAGGGTTGGTCATTCCAGGAGCGGCGAGAGACGGCTGAAGTCCAACAGGCTGGAGACCAGTGGGTTGGAGACCGGTGGGTTGTAGACCAGTGGGCTGGATACCAACTGGTGGTTGCTGTTGGATAGGAGTCTGGAAATTGGCAACAGTGTTCTGGGGGATAGGACCCAGTTGTGGCCCGAAGCCGCTGAAGCCGGTGATGGTCGGCTGTAGTTGCGCAGGGGGCTGCATGAATCCAGCGTCCGGCTGTGGAAATCCATTGCCCTGGACAAAACCAGCAGGTTGCTGGACAAAGTTGCCTGGCTGGAAGCCCAGCCCAACGGGTTGCGCCTGGAAAGCCAGATCGGGCCCCTGAGTTTGCATGGGCACTTGCATAGGGGGCTGTTGGCTGGTGACTTGCATCGGTATCTGGTTCTGCTCAATCGAATCAAAGAAGTCGATGAGGTCAGGGTCCGGTCCTTTGTTAGCTTGAGGCTTCGATTCAACCTTGGCAGCTGCATTTCCGCTGCTGGGAACGGGGAATGGATTGTTAGCCGCAGGAGAAGGCGCCTTGGGAAAGTCGACTGCGCTCTTCGTAGACTTGGACTTGGATCCCTTGCCACCCTTCTTGGCCTCCTGCTCTGCCAGGTACTGCCGCCGGTGAATCTCGAAATCCGGGTCGTTGAGATACTCCTCAAGCTGGCGGCCCAAGTTAACGGGCGCATGCTTGAGCTTGGGAACCTCAACCCTGGTGTGATGCTGCCACTGCTTCGCAGTGCTAAGGTACTGGACGACGGAGTCGGTGTGCTTAGTGAAAGTCCGATAGATTTCCATAGCTCTGTCGGCATCCGGCTTCGACATTTCAAAGAAGTGGCCTATAGCGATAATGTTAGAATAGACACAATGCACAATTTCAGGGGGCACTTAAAGCTGACCCAGAATGTTGATAAGTCCTTGGTTCAAAACCTGGAATAGAGGTAGAAGGTCAAGGACTAGTAATCGAAATACGGCAATCGTGATCTCGGTCTCTGGTTCTTGGTCGAGGAGCTGCGAGAGGGGTAAGCTTCACTTCTATTATCAAGAAAGGGCTTAGAATCTGACGCACATCGCATTTCAGCAAGGCCGTAAGCTGATGCTGAACAACTTCTGTCTCGCGCAACAGACCCTTCTCGACGGTGAGTCTCTCCAGCCTTGATTCCGGGGCGCGCACCCAATCAGTCTTGGTATCGCGATATGCGCGCACTCGCTCGATGAGGTAATTGGCATAGTGACGGATGTTTCGGCCTTGGGTTTGAGCTATTGTACACTGTCAGTCCTCACGTGTGGTTGTAGATTGTAGATGGCTTCAGTTGGAACGGACCGTCTGCGAAGTTGCTAATGGCCAGCATGTTTCGGTGTCGCGCAAGGTACGCCAGTGTCGCCTCTGGAGATCCCTCGCGGATCATGAGGTGGACCGTCATCAAGCTCTTGAAGACGACGGTCCATGTTGAGTCGTGCAGTCGGTTTTGGAGAGCGCGAAGGACCTCGGCGATGCCAGCCTCGCCGGAGTGAGTGCCAACTAGGATGTGCTCGATGTACTTGGTCTTGGGGGGAGCATTCTGCAGACGCACATAGACGAGGAGTAGTTAGCCATCTGGTTGGTCTGTCTTGGGGTTGACCTGCTTCTGCCTCCGTGTTTGGTCTGGCGCTGGGGAGCCCAAAGATGGAGAGATGCCCCATCGCCATGACCATAGCATAGTCATAGCCATAGCCATAGCCATAGAGAGAGGCAACCATCGCCATCGCCATCGCAAACAATAACGCCTGAGCTGAGCCGAGCTGGAGAAGGCAACTCACCTTGATCTTGGTCGCCCCCTTGACGGACTTCTCAAAGGAGCTCATGGCTGCAAGGTATGGTCGGGGGCCGTGCTCGAGGGAATTCTTCCGGCTGAGGGACAATCGTCAAGTCGTCGGTGGTGGATAAGAAAGTTGGGCGACTGAACGGAAGTCAGGCCGAACCGGCAGCCGGGCGGAGCTTTGGTTTGGGTTGGTGGGAAGATGCTGGTATTGCTATTGGATTGCGATTGGGCACCAGCAAGTTGAGAGTTGGGTTGAGGTTATGGCGATACCCCAAGCGCTGCGGCACGTGGCGGCGGAAGCAGCGGAAATATGGTGGCTGGGCAGGGAGAAGAAGGTCACTCACTAACGGGAATTGACTTTGGACGGAGAGGTCTGCATGCCTTACGGCGCTGTACACATTTCAGCATGCAGAGGCGTTATATGCAAGGCTACGTAGTGCGTTTGCCCGTTTTTCTCCAAGCTGGAGGAATCGCGAAACACGGCAGATCCGTGGTTTTACATCAGTGCGCATGACGTTTCCACTCAGTCGCAATTTGGCACGCGGCACGGATATTGGATGTTTGCCAGCAGTAAATTAAGGAACATGAACCAGGCTCTGTTTTATTATACAGCATCTCGGGACGACGGAAGAGCTAAGCCCTACGTCGTATCAAGATGCAAAGATGCTACAAATGCGAAATCCATGGAAGAGGTACATTGCAAGGCAAACAAAAAAGGGCAGCGTAAAAATAAAAATAAAAAAATCAGAAAAAAATCAGAAAAAATCAAACAGACAAAAAGAAAAGCCTTCCACTCTTCATAAGTCAGAGCTTTTTTTTCATCGCGTCCGATGCAATAACAAGGTCCGTGTGTCGAACGCCCATATCATGGAACCAGCCCTCCATCGCTCCCAAACCCTGAAGCCCCGAAGGAAGAGTGTTGAAAGGTCAGGAAGGCGGCTCCAGCATCATATTATGCACGCAATCTCATCACCTGCATTCTTAGTTAGCAATTGCACGCATCGTAGAGTTTGGCAGTGGTTGGGGTGCGTACGTTTATTTGAATGGAAGGGATAAAGAAGAAAAAGAAAAAGAAAAATTCTAGCTCGCCAAACGCCAGCAGAAATTTAAAGCTCTGCGCAGGCGTGGGGTATCCGGGAATTCATCGGCTGATTGGGCGGCTTCTCTACGAAGGTCCATCTTCTATCTTATCGGCATCAGTCGTGCCATATTTCTTGCGCAGGTCATTCTTCTATAATTGAATGCCAATTTCTGACTGATATTAGGCAATGGGGCCTCTCGTTGGTTCCCGTGGCCTGACATTGCGTCGTCATGTTTGTTTCAACGCCTTTGCCGCAGCGATTCCCCGGCAGGTGATTTACAGGAACAGCCGACTTTACTCACAGGTGGTCAAGGATGAGGCAGAAAGCTCGTCAAAACGCGCCAGTGTGTTAGATCTTTGGCAGAAATGTAAGCCTTTTTAATAACGGAATTTTCCAAGTGTCAAAAGCGTCTAACATACAATAGATGAGGCCAATGACGAATTACTTGGGCTTGGATCAGAGGATGTGTACGTGGGATTATTAGGCAAGAGTCGCAATGTCTCAAAGCACCTCTCATTCGCAGATCTCACCACGCCGTCCGGTGAAATTATTCAGGTCTGCTCCAGCTCAGAGAGAGACAGTAAAGCCCATGACGACTTCCGCCAAGTCCCAGCTTTCAGTCCCGTTCTTATTCGTATAAAGCAGCACGAGGCTGCAAACGCCGTCGAGCCAACTACCAGTGATGGCTCATCAAAGAGAACCGTCTACCTTGATAGCATACGTGCCCTCAACAGCGTTCCAAAAAATCTCATAGTAACACCAGAAGTCCAGTTCCCGCCAACAAAGCGCCATCTCCAGATTCGATTTCACCCGGAACTGCAAGCCAGACTTCAATTTAGATCATGGCTCAAGGGAATGCTGAACCAAAGCTTGCTTCAGAAGGGGTTTACTGATATAGAGACGCCAACTCTATTCAAATCTACCCCCGAAGGTGCCAGGGAATTTTTGGTTCCTACTCGACAAAAGGGTACCGCTTATGCTTTAAGTCAAAGCCCACAACAGTACAAGCAGGTCCTCATGGCTAGTGGCATTATGCGTTATATGCAATGGGCTCGCTGTTATCGCGATGAGGATCTCCGCGCTGATCGGCAACCAGAATTCTCACAAGTAAGGCAGACTTCAAGACATGCTCCAGAAATTTGGCACTGACAACTTCGACTAGCTCGATATGGAGTGGGCTTTTGCTGGGGCCGAGACTGTGCAAAAGGATATCAATGATATCATCTTAGGAGCATTAACCGCTCTGCAGCCGGCACAAAGCTACAAGGAGATTCGAGGAGAAGTGATTCCAGTTGTCGCCGATATACCTTCCACTCCACCGCCAGCAGACCAACCTGTAGCCCATCAGTTCACCAATATTACATTCGCAGATAGCATTGCTGCATACGGCTCTGACAAACCAGATTTGCGTATTCCTCTACGGGTAAGATGATGAGATGTCGCCGCTTTAACAAAATACTAACCTGTCATAGATACATGCTTTACCGGATCCCGAACCTTTCCGCAACTTTGTTGGCATGATAACCCATCTGTCTAACCCTCTTATAGAGGCTTTTGCATTGCCATTGAACGGTTGGTCCTCTTCGGATGCGCGCAAATTTATCACCAAATTTATGGACGAGCTTCCTGCCTCTTTGGCAAATAATCCAGATGGAAAACCTCAAATTCTCATCCACGACTCAAGTCAGCCACTGTGTGGATTCTCTTCGTTGGGCTTTGAATATGAGAGCGTTTTGGATTTGCTTTCAGAAAAAGAGGGCCTACAAGATGGAGACCTTGTTATCTTCCAGGCCCGAGAGAAGCCTGCTGGACAATACTACTCAGGCTCAACTAGAATTGGAGACATCCGCAACTTGCTGTGGAAGGCACTTGTGGAAGCAGGTCATATGCAAACCCCGCGACTTGGTGAGCCAGGATCGCTACAGTTTGTGTGGGTTACAGAGTTTCCCATGTTTAAGCCTGTTGAAGAGGGCGAACCCGGCCAGGAGGGCGCAGCAGGAATTGCGGCGTCTCACCACCCCTTTACTGCCCCCCTATCCCAGAAAGACCTAGAGCTACTGTTTACCGATCCCCTAGAGGCAAAGAGCGCTGCTTATGATCTGGTTCTCAATGGAATTGAGATTGGTGGAGGTAGTGTGCGTAACCACATTGCCGACGTCCAAGACTTCATCATGCGGGACGTTTTGAAGATGACCGATAAGAGGATCAAAGACTTTTCTCACCTGTTCGAAGCCCTCCGCTCAGGATGTCCTCCTCATGCTGGTTTTGCACTCGGATTTGACCGGCTTGCGGCACTGATGACCGGCACGCCGACTGTCCGAGACGTCATAGCCTTTCCCAAGACGATGAAGGGCGAAGATCCCTTCGTCCAGTCACCTAGCAAGCTAAGCAATGAGCAGCTTGCCCCATATGGCCTGCAACTTCGCTCAAAATCTGGATAAGATGAGAGAGGATTATTCCACACTACTAATATTTAAAGCACTGGAATTATCCAAGACATCATTCATATGGCTGATTCGAAAAGACGACACCAATCCATAAAACCAACCATGTAAGACAGAACTGTATGACCACTGCGTGAACAATCTTAGACGCAGAATTTTGTATAATAGATGTCCAAACACGACACCATTTAGAAAACATATATTCCATTCAATGACATTATGAACCAATTGCAATATTTTTATATACGTCTTGAAAACTGAATATTTCCCCCCGCTCTTTTCTTTTATCACAAACTCATTGTCTGGGGCATTTCTCGATGCGCTCTCACTAGCGCCGCTCTTCAAGGCTCAACGGCGCCACCAGGCACTAGCCACGGCTGCTCTCACCGCCAAAAATCTCAGAATTCTGCCGCTCTGCCACCAGCTTTCTTCAGACTGCGGCGACCTCTTCGCAGTCGAAGCCGCCAGAATCTCCTTGGTCCACCAAATATCCGTACAGAAACGTCGCAATCGCAGAGATGTCGTCTTTGCGAAACTCGATTCAGCGGCGCCCCCATCGGGAGCGTGCGCAGCCTCTCGAGCGCCGTCGCCTAGGTCTCCTCGAGAAGCACAAGGTACGAAACAAGCCGGCAGTCCTCGATCTCATACCCAAGTCTTGAAGAAGTTGTGATTTGATGAGATTGTACTGACAGGAATTTTAGGACTACTCCAAACGTGCAAAGGACTATAACCAGAAAAAGGCACAGCTCAAGGCCCTCCGCGAAAAGGCTGCGGATCGCAACGAAGATGAATTCTACTTCGGCATGATGTCGCGCAAGGGCCCCGGCGCCAAAATCAATGTCGGCAGGAAGTGGAACGGAAGAGTCGAGGGCGATCGCGGGAACAACAAGGGCATGGACCAGGACACGGTGCGGCTGCTCAAGACACAGGATCTGGGATACGTGCGCACGATGAAGCAGGTCGCCGTGAAGGAGCTGGCGAGGTTGGAGGAGCAAGCTGTCTTGACGAAGGGCTTGGATCAGCTGGACGAGGAAGATGACGACGAGGACGACGGTTTTGATTTTGACGACGAAGATGAGGGCCCGTCAAGACGGCGGTCAACCTCAAATGGCCCCCGAAAAATCGTATTCCTAGACAACGAAGACGAGCGAGACGAAGCCCTACAAGCAGCCGAAGACGAATCCTCGAAAAGAGAAGACCAACAAGACGCATTCGAAAGATCAGAGAACCTCCGCGAGCTCAAGCGCAAGCTGGAGCACTCACGCAAAAAGGTCAAGTCGCTCATGACCGCCGAGACCCAGCTCGAGGTCCAGCGCGCCAAGATGGCCAAGACGGCGACATCGGGCGGAGCGACGAGGAGAGGGAAGAAGATTATGGTGCGGAAGAGGAAGAGGTAGATGCGAAAGGCGAGCGAGCAAACAAGGAAGAGCTTGGTGGGAGAGTCGGAGGATTCTTTAATCATGAGCGCTGTTAATGCATTGTGCTGTGCAATTACGAGATGGCCCTGGTGTGTACATGTATGGATATTAAAGCATCCCGAAAACGGATTTTAAAATGGGTTTTTCTTTTATTTACAGTTTGTTATAAAGAGGTTGTTGTTTAGCATCAAAATCATGAAATAACTTGACATGAGCGTATACTATTTCCACAAGTACTTTGAAACAGATATTCTGGTTGCTCGTTATCATTAATCATAATGCATCGTCGTATTAATACTTGGATCCCACACATTTATAAAGAACCTTGAAAACTCCCTTGACACATGCAAACCCAATCGTAAGTATCCATATAAAGCAGTTAAACACTCCCTTCACCAGCTTTACAATAACTCGTAGTATAAAAGGCCCTTTATCCTCCGCTGATGCCTTTTTACCCCCCTTGCCCAGGCTGTCATTTTGGCTCTCGATGTCAATCTCGAATTGTTCCATCCGTGTGCGCTTCTTATCCTTCTTATCCTTTTTCTTCTTGCCGTCTTCATCGTCACGGTGTCGGCTAAGAGCGCTGCTAAGGCTTCTTGATTGTTTGGGAGGCTCCGGTATTGGCGGCGCCTCAAATGCCTCTATAACGGTGTTTGGCGAGCTTCGATCCTCCATGGCGGCAACAAGAAGCAACGCCGTAACAGCCACATCGACAATATAATATGATTCGATTTTGGATGCAACACCAGTGTCGACTTCTAACCACCCACTACCGGTGCCATCTCGCGTCAGCTTGGCAAGGTGTTGTGGTGATTCGTGGTGCTCCAGTGTGTACTCAACACGAGACCAGGCAGGAGAATTCTCAATTGTAACGCAGAAGGGTGTAGCCAGGGCCGGATGCACCAAATAATAACTTGCGCTGTCATCATCCCACACAAGTCTTCCGCACTCTCTCTCTGCAGCCGCAACTGTGGCGGGATCGTCCGCCCTATCCAAGACTATCTTTGTTGCGGCACAGGGCATGAGAAGGGCAGCAAGGCCATCGTTGGGGGAATGCTTTCGAGATTCCTCTTCAAGTGTTGTATTCAGTGCCTCTTGCCAATATTTTCCGTCTGAGGCACGGTTGTTGCCACCCATTACACCATTTAGAATGCTTGCAGGGGAACTTGACGCTGGTTTAGGAGCCTTGTAGGCTTTGCTGGGATCGTGTCTACTAAGTGACACGTACGCCGATGCAGATGTGGGATCCAAACGGAGGTTATAGAAAGGCTGTGAGGTGGAAGAAAGTGTGTAAACAGGGGCATCTTTCTGCTGCGTCAACTTCAAACAGTAAACGCGCCCCTCAGATCCAGATGCTTGCCAACCGTTTGTAACTTTCCAAAGATCTTGAAGTTGCTCGGTTGTGCAGGTGGCAGGAATAATTGGGGGGTTTTGAGGGCGAACGGGAACTCTGACAGGAGGCTGCTCCGGCGCAGGCTCAGCGCTTTCATAGTAGCTCTGGCGACTGACAACAGCCCGGGGCACTCCAGACGGGTTCATTTGAATCGGGCCGTAGTTTTGCTGATCCAGGGGCAAATCGGGATTGTACGTTGGGAACATGGATCGCAAGGGCGGCGGCTCAGAGGACGGTGGAGCGTCGAATAACAGAGGGGGTTTGGCGATGGAATTTCTCGGCTGGTTAACGCTATTACCCACGAACATCGGAGGAGGTGGAAGTATATTATCCGTCCCTCTAGGGACTTCGATGGTCAATCGTGGTTGCTGGGGCCGGGCAGGGCGACTGGCACCCACGCCAGGTCCGTCGAGTTGCTCTTCTGTGTCCATGGCTGGTAGAGCATTGTGGTCTGAAACGACTTCTGATGCTTCTTCAATTGGAGGATTGAACTCTAGAGGCGTGTGGGCTCTCTGTTGCGGAGTCTGTCGGCCATTTTGAGAGGGAGATGATACAGGAGCGAGCACCGGCGAGGGCGAAGCAACGGGTGTTGGAGCACGACTATCCTGAAGCTGCTGCTGCGGCGTGGCCGCTCGACGCTCATGGGACTCTGAACGACGAGATCGAGGCACCTGATTGCCACGTGGGTGAGGTTTGGAAAAGTTTGGATTTGGGAAGAGCGAGAAGCTGGCGCTGCCAGATGGTTGATGTGAGGCCATAGTTTAAGCACGAGATGGTGTATTTAGTATACACCCGCAGCACTCAAGAACGGCCCTCTTCACGGAAGAGGCGTGGGGTATCGAGTTGAGATGGAGCACTAGAGCACCGAAAAAAACAAAAAAGAAACGCCTAGGGTATCCAAAGGGTGAGAACAAACGTTGGCAAGATGCTATGGTTTCATTGTTTGTTGGCTGAGCGTCGCATCGTGATACCAGCAGAGCAGACACAACAAGAACAACAACAAGAGGAGCACTATGCAAGGGCAGGAGTAAAAAACAGCGCTACAAGACCAGATATAACAAAAGAGCACTCCTCTTGTCCAGGTAGGCCAGCCTTGTGAATGGGTGGGGAGGCGGCCGGCGACCCAACTAGATAGCCAGAAGGTGCCGCCATCAAATCAGTCGATTAAGCGCCTTTGGCTAGACAGCTTAGTCGAGTCGGCATAGGAATCGCAGCCGGTGTAAAGGGACGAAAGCACATAACACGGCGAACCAAGAGAGCGAGTGGGTGACACCATGATCTCTGCGCCCCCAAAATAGCACTTTGATCTTGAAGGGTGGACGCCATCGATATCCAGACAGCCAATGGGAAGCCGCATCACACTGCATTGGCGTACTTAAGCGCTGGAAACGCAGGGGTGGGTTGAAGTTTGAAGGCACTGGACGAACGCCATAGGCCACTCAAAAGGCCTGCAGCTTCGCGTCTGGTCGCATCGAGGTGGATTCCTGATAGGCCGGAGGACGTTGGCCGCGGCAGGAAGGGCGCTTAATTTTTTCGCGACGGGCGAATGTCTGTCAAGCATGCAGCGAGAGCAAAGAGATCTTAGGGGGAAATGAGATTGCGGAAGGGAAAATTGAAGATTGGGATTTGCCATGCCAGATCTTTGACGTGATTAAGCGAGCCTTCCATTTCTTTTCTTTTTTTTTTTTTTTTTTTTTTTTGGCTTCTAAGCCAATGGTTCCTTCCACAAGCCCTCCATCTTACGCCTGCAGTACCTTGGCAAGTGCAGCTTCCAGGAATCACAAACAGGCAGCGCTACCCCGCTTATTACAGGCGTCGATTCGGGAAAGAGCTCCACCTCCTAATTTAGTATCGACTTTAGCATCAAACAATTGCCCAAGTTGACTTGCTGATGCAACCTCAGTACTTTTGTTGCATGTTTCAAACTTGTCACTCCACAAAAAGCTGTATATTTCAGAGAAGGGTGCTTGATAAGAGCCTCTTGACAGACAGGGGAGCTTCCAAGGTAAGAAACGACAAAGTCAATATTGCACCTTTACACACATCAGCACTTCAACTGGACCTGTTCCACGCCAACTTCAAGCTCTCTCTTTGGTTGCATTTACAAGCCATTAGAAGGGCAGCCATCGTTGACAAGTGTATTTGAGGGTGAACTAATTATCTGGGCGGCGTCAATTTTTTTTTCCCAACGCGGCCTTAACGACGCACAATATAGTGAGCCGCGACACGCCCCCGACGATCCGCCTGTCAGATCCCAACGCGAATCGATTGGTCGTATTGCAGATTAGCCGCCATCTTCGCCGCATGCCTCATCTTCAAGGTTCACGGGCTTGAAGAACGTCATGTACTATACCCGACAGGTTGGCGCTCATTCCATAGCCTATCATGCCTTGGCGTAACTCCCTTATAGAAATTCGTAACAATATGCTTCTTTGTGACGGTTCTTCGCCTGGCTCCTGATGGAGACCCTGGAGACTTATGCATACCTAGTAACTATTCCGCCGACTACTGGGGCTTTAGATGCTGCAAATGCTGATTCAACCAATGATCGGAGCCTTGAAAAGAATCTGCAAGCGGCAGCGCGGACTCTTGTTTAATGCCGATATCATTATACAGACGGAGAGTCACTCTATTGCAAACGGCTTTAGCGGCTTACTGAGATTTGTGAACCTGCGATATATTGTCTTTCCCACGCCATATGCCATCATCAGTCATTTCTGTTGTCTAGCTTCGTGTTACGAAAGCTCAAGGGTCTGTTAATGAATTATCATTGCGAGGGCAAACTATCTTGCGCGGAAGTTATTAAACATCCGCTATTTTTGTGCGGCAGTTATTAAACGTCCGCTCTTTTGGCGCGGGAGTTAATACACGTCAGCTCTTGTTGTGTGGAAGTTATTGAGCATCCGCTCAACAAACAACATATACATATTTAAAGGGAATACTTTTATCTGCAGAGATCAATTTTTGATATCATTAATCAGCTCCTTCATCAAGCCCAAGTCCTTACTATCCGTCGCATAGATTACCTTTGTGGTCCATTTGTGATGCAGCCCCTTGGTGCTCGGCACTTTTCAGCCATGGCATTCACCAAAGCAGTGGCTTACTCTGTTCTTTTAGCCTCTCCTGCAGTTACAACTCCGTTGTCAGATTCATCTTTATCTGCGGACACTTTACTGAGCAAGGGTATTGATGCTCTTGGCGGCGCAAACGCTATCAATAGCCTCCATGGAGTTACCTACCATGTCTCCAAGTATAACTCTTCCCCTGGAATTACCGGAATCTAGGTCTAACCAGTTTCCAGCATTTTCCGCTCGAGGAGTCTCATGCAAAGCTATGAGCTCAATCAAGCCGATACTGCAGTAGCAATCAGTGGCCAACAGAACGTTTCCTTCTCTTTTACTTCCGACGAACTAATTCAGCGCATCGATAGGCGCTGGACTCCCTCGGGTTAGATATATTTAAAATCAATGTGGTGAAAATTACTAACCCCGCCAGATTATTGGTCCTGGGGACGGCCTGCCCTCGAGCCTCTTGACTTCTCGCTTGTCGTTCGTGGAGGTCATGATGGCTTCGCATGCTTTGTGCGCGGAAACAACCAGATCTGGCTGCCCGGCAATGAAACATCTGGCTATACTGATTGTAAGATGTTAATATTCCTTTTTATCACATCAACGGGGAAATATTAATCTAATGTCTCACAGCCGCGCTTGCAGAATACTTGGTTCTGCATGGTGAGATGCTGTCTCCAATACTGCTATCCAAGGTAATTTCATGACCCCTTTTTGCGTAAAATACTCTAACATTTGGAAGCTCAAATGCAGTGACGGTGTTGAAGCTTCCAAAGTTCAAATTAATGGTATTGAGTATCCTGCTGTGCAACATGTTTCCCGCGACATGACTGTCATCTTTGACCCTGTCAGTCACCTTCCATACATTGTTCGTACAATCGAGAACCACGCCATTTACGGCAAATCCACCAACGACTTATACCTCACCGATTATAAACCTGTCAACAGCGTATACTTCCCACACAGGGTACAGACTGTGTATAACTCGACGTCTCAGGCTCTGAATTCCCCACTCGAGGACTTTCAGATTGATGAAATTACCGTCAACCCCAAGTTCCCAGCCAACTATTTCCAGGGCCTTCCCGAGAGCCAGAGCTGGTCTCCTAAAGCCGCACCCAAGAAGGTTGACGGGATTGATCACTGGTGGCTAACGGAGTTTTCTGGCAATGGTATTTGGACTGGCCTTAAGAATTCGACAGTAGAGGGAATCAAGGCTGAGCAGCCTGTAAAGGGATTGCCCAAGTTACACTGGGTTATTCTGGACGACAATGTTCTTGGTGTCAAGCAGATGATTCTGGAATTCGAGGAGAGTGTCATTGTCTGCGATGCACCTCCTCAGTGGACACTCAGCGTCATTCAGTGGATTAAGGAAAATTTAAATAAGCCCATCTCCCACCTTTGGGTGAGTTTTCCCTATCAAAATTGCTCCAAATGCCGAACTAACATCTATTGTACAGCCCACTCATCACCATCGTGACCATAGTGGAGGCGCCAATGAGTATGTAGCTATTGGGGCAAAGCTCATCGTCCCAGAAATGGCTGTCCAGTACTGGTCCAGCATTCCCAACGCCACTTTCGTGACCTTTAAGTGAGTGCATTACCAAGTTTATTCATGAATCGCAACTAATCTTCTCTAGCGATACGCATCCCTATGTCCATAAAGACAACAGCATGCAGGCCTGGTTCACATGGCAAAAACATGCCACGCATGCATCTGACTGGTCTTATGCGCTCGTTACGGAGAAATGCACCAGTGATAATTCTGCAGTTGCTGTGCTCGAAGCGGATGCATGGCAGGCTGGACTTCCTGCTGAGGAGTCTGACCAGGCTCTAATGCGGCAGTGGCTCGACCAGCTACTCAAAGATGGCTTAACTGATAAAGCAATGTAAGTTCTGTTATTATTATTGTATAGCAATACCTATCTAATGTCTGTTAAGTGTCTTTCCTACTCATGGACAAGTAACACCTATATTGGAGCTTATTAACATCACCGGTTATCCTTATCCTCAATCTTTTTCTGCCACTAGTTGGAAAGATGGCATTACTGTGTGCTAGGCAGACTCGTTATAAGAGCAATCCAAATGAACACAACTATCTACATATACTTGAGTAATTGTGTACTCGAGTTAGTGTGTGGGAATCATATTGCTTTCTTTTTGTATAAATATTTGGTAATGAATAAATTTTATATTAAACATTAGTTGCACGTGCATGGAAAGACTGTTGAGCATCGTCAGAAAGAAATGGGTAGTGATACACTCTTCTTTATGAAGCCGGCCATGTATTAAGGCCATCTCTCACAGATTTCTTCAGGCTATCTTTGCGACGATTACTTAGACTTCCGTGTTGATTTACTGGTTGGGCGACAATACATTCTTCAGGCCCATTGCGACCTGACGTCTTTCACTACGCTCAGGTATAAAGTCGAGCGCCCTCTATTGCATTGATGTCATCTCTGCATGTTACAGGGTAGGCGTCATTGGTATAAGAGCAAATGGAGTTGCTCAAGCTACAGATAGTATTGGTCTCGTACGATCATATGACGCATGTCATGGCAAATCCATCTATCAAAAGCAATCGGAAAGCTTCCGAGTACATGCATCGTTGGCGTAACGCATATCCCATGGTCATGCTATCTTAATTCCCAACACTTGCACTTGCTACAGCACGTGGTTTGGCAAGAAAAAACAAATGTGTGCCTAACTACACCACCGAAATCGCTGGCGACGGAATCTCCAGTATTTGTCCAGCGCTTCTCCCATTGGCGCGGCTATTGTCACCGGTTAAATTGCCATTGGTCCTCTTATAATTGTGGGCTGCGCCGCAAATAGTGTTGAAAGTTCCTGTCGCGCAGGAACCTGGAGTCTCTGCCAAAATACTAGGCGCGCAGAGTAGCACTGCGCGGGGTCCTTCGAGATGAGCTTAGGCTTACGGAGTAACGCTCCTGGCAGCGTGATCCGTGATTCTCCAATTAGCTATCGTGGGGCGTCGGTTGGGAAGAAACTCGTCGCGGATGGAAAATGTCATATGGCTGAATCCCAATGCGGGGATGAGGGATTGCGTATATAATGGAATTGCCATCTGGCTGCGAGAGGATTTTTCTTCCTCGCTCAACTCTGTTTCAACGGCATTGTGACTGAGGATCTCTTGCTGAGCTACCCCGCCAAAGTTCAATTGTTTGCTCATTGAATCCAGCACTGTTTGAAATGGCGACTCAAACGATTAACAAGGATGCGATCAGCGTAAGAGGACTCACCCAACGGAGAGGCGATTGGTGTTGAGAAGATAGAGGATTGGAACTGACGACTGGCCCAAACGGAACAGAACCTTTCTTTCGTTCTCAACAAGCCCGGAGATGTCACCTTTGAGGAGCGTCCCAAGCCCACCATCTCCGACCCCAACGACGTCCTCGTCGCGGTAAACTACACCGGAATCTGTGGCTCAGACGTCCACTACTGGGTGCACGGCGCCATCGGTCACTTTGTTGTCAAGGACCCCATGGTCCTGGGCCACGAGTCTGCCGGAACCATTGTCGAGGTCGGCTCGGCTGTCAAGAACCTCAAGGTTGGCGACCGAGTTGCTCTGGAGCCTGGCTACCCATGCCGTCGATGCTCCTTCTGCCGTGCCGGCAAATACAACCTCTGCCCGGACATGGTCTTTGCCGCGACGCCGCCATACCACGGCACTCTGACCGGACTGTGGGCCGCCCCGGCCGATTTCTGCTACAAGCTGCCGGACAATGTGTCCCTGCAGGAGGGTGCTATGATTGAGCCGCTGGCGGTGGCGGTTCACATTGTCAAGCAGGCCCAGATCCAGCCCGGCCAGTCGGTCGTGGTGATGGGAGCTGGACCCGTGGGTCTGCTGTGTGCTGCCGTGGCCCAATCCTATGGCGCAACCAAGGTTGTCAGTGTCGATATTGTGCAGTCCAAGCTGGACTTTGCCAAGAGCTTCAGCTCAACACACACATATGTGTCTCAGAGAATCTCGCCCGAGGAAAACGCCAAGGCCATCAAGGAGCTTGCAGACCTTCCTATCGGTGCGGATGCTGTCATTGATGCCAGCGGCGCAGAGCCGTCAATCCAGACGAGCTTGCACGTCGTCCGCGTGGGAGGCACTTACGTGCAAGGTGGTATGGGCAAGAGCGACATCACATTCCCTATCATGGCCATGTGCTTGAAGGAGGTGACGGCCCGGGGATCGTTCCGTTACGGTGCCGGAGATTACGAGCTGGCTGTTGAGCTTGTCAGGACTGGCCGTGTTGATGTCAAGAAGCTGATCACGGGCATTGTCAGCTTCAAGCAGGCCGAGGAGGCATTCCAAAAGGTCAAGACCGGAGAGGCTATCAAGATTCTGATTGCCGGACCCAACGAGAAGGTGTAAACAATGAATGTGCTAGGATAAAGAAAAAAAGTCACATAATGCACAAAAAAAGTTTAAAATAAGACTTCAAAGAAATCAAAGGAGAGCCGAAAAAACAGTGAATAATATGAGTAATGCAGACTCTTGCAGCGTCAAGCCTAGTAGTGAAACTAATGGATTGCATTCCATTTGATCCATGCCAAAGTGGCGCGGTGATGCGTGTGATGAAAGCGAGTGGCGGCCACCAAGAACCCCCAGAATTGAGGCTCTACTGGCTGTGGATTCACGGCTCGCCAGTCACACAGAAGCGCCCCTGGGCTATCAACTGTCACAGGCAGAGATAGCAGTCGTAGTCCGTATAGGTCCATGTACAGTACTCGTACTCATAAGTACCTGTAGTGGTACGGAGTTCATCCCCGAGCATGTACGAGTACGGCACAGAAGGAATCAAATTGCAGCTAGCAGCACCTCCATGTTGGCTTTAGCGATGCTGGCCAGCGCACAAACAGGACGAAAGCGGCTAACGACGCTAAACGAAGTGAGGCTGAGTTGTGAGAAGTTGGACAAGGTCACACTCACAGTCACAGCTTTCCGCGGCGGATCCCTGTCTGACAACCCAATCTCTGGCTGCTGTCAATGCCCAAAGCCGCGCTTCCACGTGCTGGAAGAGGCATAATACGGCGGAACCAATCCCGCGCACTGCCGATCGGGCGATTTTGGGAAGAGCCCGGCAAACTCGATCGATTTCATTTCACGAGCTGCCCACTCTGTCCAAGCTGGGTGAAGCAAAGGGCGTAATACAAGCACAGACACAAGACAAGCTCAGCTACTAGTACTGGGCCGTGCAAGCTAGGTAGGGGGGCAAAGCGCCTAACTGTACTGCACCTGTTCCAGGCAAGGTAGTATTGGATAGAGACCTCTGCCGATAAGTGTGCCAATTCTCTGCCGTTTGCTTTTTCTGAGATTCGATAGTCTTATCCCGCCCTCAGGACCGACAAATCGGCTGCTTCTGTGCGGCGGCAGCAGTAGTTGATCCGAGGCGTGGCTTACAACTCTCATTTAACATCCAGCATCCTCATGCAAGCCACATGTTCCAACCCAGCCCACCCTGGCCTGAGCTTTTACCGCATCTCCTCTGCATTGCTGTGTATCCCTGCCCACTCACACCTTTTCCTCCCGTCCACGTCGTTGCATTGAGGCGAGCAAGGCCTTCGGGATGGGGTTTGTTTTGCCGCTCCACAGCGCGATCCTGTGCTCAACAGCTACAGGCACATGTGCCACCGATTAAGCACCTAATAATGCCTTAGTATCAGTGCCAACACCAGCTAGCAGACGGTTCCTCTGCGGGCCCAGAACGCCGTCAAGAGCCTTGGGCTGCCACAGCCGCACCGGCTAGTGACTGACATCCGAGTCCCTGATCAGCCTGGTCCAAGCTCTCTCAAGCAAAACCTAAACACCACCCTGGGCTGCGGCTGAACCCGAGGGGACACCAAGGTAGCTAGTTCCATCGTTGGCGCGGGCAGAATGGAGCGACTTTGACAGACGATGGAGACCAAGACCCGGCAGTCTGCCTCACCGACCGCTCTCAGGCTGAGAGACGTGCCGGTGGCGGAGATAGAGATTGAAGCGGACTTGCTCGGCTATAGCCCTAGCAATGTTGGCGCCAGCAATAAGAATGCCGTGCTGTCCTGCTGCCAGTGTCTGTCTTGGTTCCTCGGTTGTTGTACAGTAGTCGGACTCTTCGCTTGATTCGCCCTGTATAAGACAGGTTGCCAATCTTCCCTGTCTCAAGGTTCTAGGATATTCAAGAGAGGCACCCACAGTCATTTGGTTTACACCTGGTAAACTCGCCCATCATGCAGCAGCCTGAAAACGAATCCGGCCACGTCTTGGTCTCACCCCTCTGGGTGTTCATCTGCCGTATCTTCCAAGTTCTCATCTCTCTCATCATCCTTGCCTTGGCTGCTCGTTTGATGCACGATGCCTACCTTGACGAGGAAGGTCTCGCACTGGCTATTGTAAGCGATGCCTTATCCTCTATTTCCAAACATGAATTTCAAAACATCTAACAACGAGCTAGGCCATCATCACTTGGATCGTCAGCATGTATGCTATCCTTAGTGAGAAGCTGCCAACGCTCAACGAGTTCTACCACGTCGTTGCCGTCATCGTCCTTGATGGTGTCATGATGATCCTTTGGCTTGCAACCTTTGCTGCCGTGGCTGCCAAGCGCGCCAAATTCGTCTTCAATGTCCGGGTGGACGGCTGCTTCGATGATGGCAGCTTGTTTAACAGCAAGACATGCTTCAAGAAGCGCGACGTTATCCTCTTCAAGTCTGGCGGTGACATGCTTTCTGCCATCGCTGGCCTTGGCGCTTTGGTGTGGTGAGTTTAAATGAATTCCAATTCGATTAACTGTTCCGTAGCTGACCAAGTACAAAAGGCTTCTCTTTATCGCAACCTTCGCCTGGACTCTGTATAGCTTCCTCAACGGCCGCAAGGCTGGTCGATTCTTGTTTGACCACGAAAATGCCCCTGTTCAGACGATTGCCATGGAGCCCAAGCAAGACCAACAAGCTCAGCAGCAGCAGCAGACGCTTATCCCACCCCAGGGTGTTGCTCAGCCCAATACTCAGTACCCCCCACAGGACCAATACCCGCAGGGCCAGTATCCTCCTCAGACCACTAGCCCGTACCCACAAGCTCAGTCTCCTTATCAGCCGCAGACTGCCTACTCTCCTCCTCCCCAGGATCAGCAGACATATGGCCAATACCCCCCACAGCAGTATCAGCAACCACAAACCTACCATGAGGCGCCTGCCCATGATGGGGTTTCACCACCACCTCCTCAGCAGGCTTCCTATTAGTCCTAATAAATAATGGATATATAAAAAAAACAAATACTCTGAGCTGGGGACGAGTAGATGAAGTTGGATAAACGATATGTGGGGCGCAATGTGTTTATGGATATCCCATGGGGTAATGGCTGGATTAACGTAATGAACTGGTTGGAACACGGTAGATACCTCTGTAACGAAGCATTTTAGGCTAAATAACAGCCAATTTACACACTCATTTTTATTGATATCCGTATTCAATCTCATGAAATAATATGAAATATGAGCTCAGAAAAAAAAAAGTAAAAAAAAAAAAAAAAACCACCTATTGTTGACAATATTTGGTTGTAAGTCAAAATAGGCAGGCGGTGAGAGTTCTGCCGCATTATCAGCCCAGCTCAAACCCCATTTGACGATTACCATTCGAGATCTGATCAAGCTCAGGTTCAACCAACCTCCATCGCACGTAAAACCACTTCCGCTCTCAAAACGACGAAATCTCTAGCTCAAATTCTGCCTTGCTGGCTGCGTTGTTACTACTACCCAGAGATTGTGCACCTCAATGGCCACGATGGCCGCGGAAACCCCCAACATCCCTCAGCAACGGCTCGGCGTCCCGTCTCGGAATCCGCTGCCTTTATCGGCTTCGCAAGAGTCGCAGGTGCGAGACATATACTATGCCAGAGTGCGCAAACAATGCGCCGACGAAATCAAAGGTAGGCGAATCCACTGTTTTCTTTACTTGGTTGCGCTGGAAGAGCGCATGAAGCCTTCGTGGGAGTGGCATGATCCCCCCTCACTTTTCTCGGCCAATTGCTAGCAACCCTCCCTTCGGAGCTGTCACAGAACCCGTCTGCTAAGAGAAGCCAAACAGCATTTGCCGATTGCGCCCTCGGCCGAACGTTTAGCGTCACGTTTGCCTGCCGAGCTGAACACACCGCTATGAATGCCTGCATGAAGCTCCGGGCTACGCAGGAGGAACAGGACGCCGCGCGAGAGGAATGGTTCGCACTACGAATGGAACGACAGCGGCAGCGCGAGAGGAAAACCAAGATGGCAGCCGCCCAAGAAGAGTTCATGCGGGAGTGGTGGGGTCTGCCAGAGGATGTGAGGCTGTCGAGACAGAAAGAGATGGAAAAACGAGGAGAGACGGTACCGCCCCTAAGACCCGATGGCAGCACGAAATAAGATGCACTTGTGGAAAGAAGAAGAAAATCATGGTTTCTGTTGGCGTTTTATGTTGGCGCAGGGAGTGTGTTTTTGCATGGACCAAAGACTTTGATGGCTTTTTGTTTGAGTATGAGTTGATGAGAGGGGGCATGTACAGATATAGATAACGGGGACTTGTACGATATAACGTGTTGAAAAAAGGAGAGGCCGCTTTCTGAATAGCGCAGCGGCCGATTTATAGACGACTAGAAACTCACTGCTTGACAAGCAACAGAACCTCTTCTGCTACACCCCACGAGAGCTCAAAACCCCTTCCACCGAGGCCATACGCATGCACAACCCGCCTCACGCCTTGTCCCTTCACGCCGATGATTTTTTCAGGGTGTATCTCCTCTCTCTCCAGCCTAATCCCGCCACGACGAGTCGGTCTCCGTCCAACAATGTCCCCCAGCGGCTGCAAAGGCCCGTCTGCGACGATGGGCGGATAAGTGGCAGCAAAGGCGGAGAGCAGTCGGGCACGAGTCTCGGGGCTGGGCTCGGGGTCCCAGTTGTCGGGCTCTTTGGTGCCGCCGATGACGGTGCCGCCGTGGAAGTTACGGGGTACGCAGAATGTCCATGACCCGTCTGCGTTTTGGCGGGTCACGGTGGCGTCACAGGGGTTTGCGACGAGGCATGTTTGGCCTTGGGGATTTGTAAGTTTTCGACGTGTTTATATGATGTTCAAGCAGAACAGTTGAGTTAGAGCAGGATTCGTGGTATAAGGACTTACCTCTTGTGGGGAACACGTCTGGGTCGTTGAATCCCTGGCCGGAGCAGTTGACGACCAAGTCGACGTCCTTGATAAGGAATGCTTCGTTCGGGGTACGAAGCTCCATATTTATAGCCTTGCCTCCCAGAATATGGAACCGACGAAGAAGAAATGAGCAGTAGACCATGGGATTCACGCACCACGTCTTGTACTCGTATCCCCGGGTCACCTTGTCGTCCGGAAAGTCCTTCTTCTCTAGCAACTTGAACTCTTTGATACCAAGCTGGAGAGCCTTCTCTGCTGTCAAATCACGGTATACCGGTGGTGGATTCTCAAAGTACTCAATACCCTTCATGAAAGTGATACCCGCTTCAGGAAACTCCTTCAGCGTGTCCTCCATATGGCGAAATGTCGTGAGAGAATACCCATGCTCAAGCGTCTCAGCGGGATTCGTAGGGAGAACGAAGCGATTATGCGCGCCACCCCATTGCGAGGTGTAGTTGATTAGGGCACGCTTGTCGGCGGCTTCAAAAGGGGTGGGAAACTCTTTGGCGACGATGGTGACGTTGTAGCCCTCTTGTTGGAGGCGGAGGGCGGCGCTGAGGCCGATGACGCCAGCACTGAGGTTGGAGGTTGTGTCAGTTTGTGGTTTGTGATTTTGGAAGATGAGGGTTAGAGGAATCTTCCTACCCGATTACGACGATGTCAGTCATGGTGTTGTGAACTGAGATATTGTGCGTATAAGTCGTGAATGGTGGGTTGTTGTGATTCTATGAACGATTATCGCACATCCGCAAACACGCTACCATGAGCGCGCTCTCTCTAAATATATATGTATATTCGCATACAATCAACAAGCAACGTTACCCAAATCTTTGAGCCTCATTCCAGTTTCCCTCCGATAACACCCTTGATGACGCAGCTATCGTCTATCGCAAGTGTCATGCGGCGAGTCTTGAATCTGCCTTTTTGGGGGACCCAGTCTCCGAGTCTCGGCGCTTGGATGCGGGGGGTGGAGTTGGGCAAACCGGAAAGTGAGGCGGCCAATCATCGGCCGTGCGGAACGTCGAAAGAGGGTGTCGTGAAGATTGTTCAGACGTGTCATATTTTTTTAACAGACTATTTGGTCTCTTGCATATTAGCTGAGGTGGAGGTTGGACAGGTAGGCTGACTTAGATCCGATTATGCGGGATGGATAAAGTCGTGTCAACGTTCTTGTTATATCATGTTGGACAATTTAGGCGGCGGACTTCAGCCATCTCACAAGAGAGCGATTTCAAGTACCACAAGTAAGGGTTTGTAACGAAAATATTTGTATAACAGCTGGCCTCCGCATGCAATCCTGTGTCTATACAAAATTATGACATTCCTCATCATCTCCTGGTGCTCTTAGACTCGCTTCAGAATCGTATACCTAGAAGCTGCTCATCAACCGTAACCATGACTGTTTGAGACCTCAAAACTTCAGTCGCAGTCCACGTGAAACTGGGAAAAGTTCAATCCCACACCGATTACTACCTAGTAGTAAACACTAGATAGACCAACTCATGACCAGATCAGTACGTCAGATTCCAGGTCGTCATCAAAATCTGGAAGCTCCACATAGCTTAAATCAACGACAATGGGCTCAAATTCCCCAGGTTGTTCTTGATCAAGCCACTCTCGCTCCCGTAACTGCTCCAGTCCAGACGCAATTTGTTGGCGCAGTTCATGAGGACTGAGAAGGTCCATGAGGATGCGCAGTGATCTATTGCAAAGCCTGAAATAGGTAGCAATGCGGACCTAAGGAGTGTTAGCTATACCTAATAACACAAAAAACACTGTCCCATTTTCATATCTACTTACTCTGTGCCTACGAGCAATCCGTCGACTTGCAAGGTGTAGATCACGAAGATCGCGCATATCGCGAGGGGTCCCCCGAATCTACAAACCTCATGCCGTCATCAATATCAATAACTCCAACTCAAATATGTCGACGTAGACTCACGCGACAACATTCGGAGGTGATGTCAAGTATATCACAAGGAAGACAAGCTCTTCCTGCTTCAATCGGTAACCTAAAGTTAGCTATAGTCTATTAGAACTGACCAAGATCCTTACACCAATGAATATTGCACAAATAGCCGGGAACCATCATCATCCTGATAAGGCAGGGCACACATGGCCTAAGGTAAGGCTCGCGCTTTATGGTAGGCTTCAATTTCAGCATAGCTTTTGGCCATATCATGTTGCTGACCTACATAAGAATGATTGAGAACAGGGTCGGGAAGATAGTGCCACGCAAATCCGAATCTACGGCTGCTCATCTAAGAAGAAAGGTGAGTGATGGAAATATAGAGATAGATCAGGACCGATCTCAACTCACGGTAAAGATAAAGTTTCTCAGAAAAACCGATTGGAGTGTTGATGAAGCAGCGAGAATCGTTCAGCAGAAAACTGCCGTACGGATTGAACTTGAGCCGCAAGAAAAGAGAAGAAACATCAATGGAGCAGACGAGAGCAATTGTCTCTAGTATCTGGGTACATATAAACACGCGTAGCCGAAAATATAGTGGGAGTACAATACTAGAGGCAGGCGCTGTTCCATATAGGCAAATATAAAACAAGCAACTGTGCCGCCACAGCAACCATAAGAACGCCGCAACCTCTATTAGAGATGCAGAGAATATTGGCTCCGTGCAGTTTTAAAATCCCATGATAAGTAATTTGGGACAGTCCAGCGTGTCTGTGAAGATAAGCAATGTTGAATCTAGCCTTCATTATGGACATCATAATTGGCATTTGATATCACATGCTTGTTGACACTTGCATCATATCCAAATGGCGTTCGTCTCCTTTCTGCAGTGGTCGATTTCTGGGTATCCAAGGCACGTGCTTATCACATCCATCAAGCACACTGCCGACTAATCAATTCCAAGGTCAACATTTACAGGTATAATTCCAAGTAAGTACCAACGATGCGTACTTAGATACTATGCGTACCTTCCGAGTATCATTACCTGGAAGCCGCTGTTCTAAGGGACTTTGACAATGGCAGCTTCCCTCCCGATTTCTAATCACGTGGAGAATGCAACCTCCATCCTCTTAACTTTCCATACCTATCCTCACGCATTGCCTCAAGCTACAATAAACACAATTTTCACCACGGGGATAATTTGTCAATTCACCTTCATTGCCATATCTCGGAGCTGGCTTATTCGAAAATGTCCGCCCGCGGCGGCCACGAACCCCGGCCACCGATCGGCCCACATCTCCGGGTCGTCGGCGACGTCCAAGTAAACTACAAGCTCCCTTCGGACGAGTTCGCGACATATATTTCCATATCTGGCCACTAGTCCTCGAACCATGAAATTTGCTCATGCGGAACTTTTGCCACCTGGTTTGCGGACAAGTGGACGGAGTCTTTTTAGGGTCGAATGCTTTGTAAGGACGCTATATACGGTCTCACCATTGCTTGCCACCAGCTTACTCACCCCGCTAACGGTTCTCACTCTTCAGTTCATCATCCAAATCGCATCTAGCCTCTAATGGGAAATTGTACAGAGTCATGATAGAGAGATCGGAGCAAACGTCTGCTTTACTGTTCTCTAAGTGGCGGTACGCGTCGGATCTATGCGTGGATCAAGCGTTCGCCCCTTGCTTTGACGAAAGCCGGCCCTACCCCGCCAGCCAAGCTGTGATTCCCGACTTCAAGCAGCCCAACCCTCATCGTCACTCATCCTACGTGAGCCGCCACACAAGTGAGCAGCACTAGCGCCAACAATTCATTGGGGCAGCAACGCGTATGTCTGACGAAAGTCGGAGCTTGCCCGCTAGCCTCGAATAAATAGGCTATGGATGGAATAAGCTCCTCGGACGCTATGAATCATGGGATTGGTCTCTCCTGCAGCATTCATGCGACGTGCTAGTTGAAGCGGGCACTGCTGTTGTTTGTTTAAATAGGAACACATATCCCTAAATTGCTGCCTTGGGCTCAATCACCTCCTCATCTTTGCGTAACCTCACAGTGCTTCAGGCTCACTGTGGTGAATATCTCGTCAGGTACAGCAAAATGGTCGTCCTTAGAACGCAGTCCGACTTTGGCCATGCGCCACCTCCTCAGACCCCGTACAGCATCATCTCCAACTTGCCCGGATGGAATATGCTTCAGGGAGTCCGTGACGGAGACATGTCTCCCTTTGCCAAAGTTGTCCATGTCTATCCGCGCTTTGGTCCAACTCAATTTGCTGCTCAGGTGAGTTTCACAGCATCTTCGCCAACAATGGACAACTTGTCTAACTACGCGTGTAGCTTGGCCAGGAGGTTGCAAAGAGACTAGGCCACGAGGGCAAGTCTTGCATGCTTTATCTCAACCCCATTATGTGGCCTTTTACGGCTGGCCATGTCCAGAACAAGGCCCGAGAAGAAGCTGCCATTACCCCAGACAAGCTAACATTCAAGTGCATCGACGTGGCTGGCCACCGCGTCTATGCTGTCTTATTTGAGCCAATGCACACCAAAGCTCTCCTTCTGAGTTGGGGAGCTCCCGGCCTTGGACTCTCTATTCGCATCGCCGAACACTTGTTGAAAAACATTGACACCTTGGTCGAAATCCCATTTGAAGATTACAAGAACCCACCCAAGCCAACTTTCACACCCGCTGGTCCGGCCCACCAGCTACTCCGCGAGCGCATCCACCAGCTCGTCCACCGCGCCTCCATCGATCCAGAGCTGGTCAAAAGCCAACCCAGTGATGTCTTCCTCTTCCCCACCGGTATGGCTGCCGTCTTCCACACGACAAATCTCATCCAGGAATACCGTCCTGGAACCAATATTGTCCTTGGTGTCGTCTTCCACAACACGCACCATCATTTACACGAAGAGAGTCCCAATGGGTTTAAGCACTTCGGCACGGTTGATAAAGAAGGTCTCGATGAAATGGAGACATGGCTCGATGGGGAGGCCAAAGAAGGCAGAAAAGTTAGCTTCGTCATTGTTGAGTTTCCTGGGAACCCAACCTTGGAAAGCACAGACCTGCCTCGCCTCAAGAAGCTGTCCGAAAAGCACGGCTTTGTGCTGATTGTCGACGATACACTGGCGGGTTTTGCAAATGTTGATGTGTTGGCCTATTCGGACGTCCTCCTTACCTCTCTTACCAAGTCGTTTAACGGCAGGGCTGATGTTCTTGGCGGCTCAATCATCCTCAACCCCCTCTCTACCCACTACAGCGAGCTGTCATCTCGATTTGCCAAGTTGCACAACAACGAGCTCTTCGCTGATGATGCAAAGGTGTTGCTTGCCAACTCACACGATTATCTCCAACGTACGCGCCTTTTGAATCGTAACGCGGAAGCCATGGCAACCTTCCTACACCGAACAATTGGCCGCGATGATTCTCCCGTGGTCAATGTCCAGTACCCTAGTCTACTGCCTGACAAGTCCAACTATGATCTCTTCTTGCGGCGCAGCACCACTGATCTCCCCAACCCAGGATACGGCTGTCTCCTGAATGTCGAGTTCGAGAGTGTGGAAACCGCTCGGGCGTTTTACGACAAGTGCGGGTTCTACTCCAGCCCACACCTGGGCGGTCATGTCACCATCATGTTGGCCTACAATATGATGATGTTTGGTAAAAAGGCTGGGGAAAGGGAGGCGTTTAGAGGGTTTGGTGCCATTGAAGAAAGTATAAGACTTTCTGCCGGTTTGGAAGATGCAGAGGATTTGATTGACACGCTCAAGGATGCACTCGATGCGGCGATTGAGGTGAAGAAGAAGGCAGCCCCGAATGGCACCGAATAAGTGGCGAAGACATGTTAATAGCCATACTTTAGATGTGATGACGCAATGATATCAATACCCCAAAGAGTTTATATCTGCTCTACGAAGAGATGAGTGCGCGACAATGACAATAATCTGTATTGATCCACTTCCACAGAAGAGTAGTAATATCTCGATGGATGAGGCAAGTATCAATATATATTCATCTCTTAATTACATGCGAGTCTTGTATCAAGCGGAGTGGTTATCCGGCTTCCTAAACGGGTTATCTAGCAGTGAAAGTATTAACATTGATTTCTCTATCGTTGTCAAAACAACAGTCCCGATGCCGGCCTATACTTTGCCCAGCTACAATCTCCTCTCCCATCCAGCCAATCATCCCACACAGCGATATTAGCCTATCAGCGCCTCCCCCCAACATCCATCCATCAACATCACCATATTTCTGTACAATACAAAATATGTCCGTATAACAAAACAACTCCTCATTCATTGTCAATTCACACCAAGCCTTTTCCCCCATCATTTGTTCTCCGCCGGGATTTTGGAGACATTCTCCCCCCATGTAGCGGAGCACTCTTTCATCCTCTCTAACCACATCAGGTTACTATCCGGAGAAGCAATCGCCGGGGGAGACGCCCTCCGGCCATCGAATCTTCCCCTCTTGGGGAAGGAAACGACATAAACTACATATACCTTAATGTTTTAGCCCAGAGACCACCCCCCGGGAAAACCTTTCCATAGTAGTGCTTTCTCGGCTTTCTTGTCTAGGGTCCGATCTCGTCGTCTTTCTGGGTTTTTGGGTTTCCCCCCCCCCATGTTGTGACTTGTCATTCTCGATGTATTTGCTTGGATTGGCAAGGTGGCAACACCTTTGTTTTCTCTGGCTTTTTCCCAAAGAGGGCTCTCAAAAGGGAGTCTAGATCGGGCAGATGAGATGCCTTTATTCGATGAGATGGCGGGCTGCTCGACGAAGATAAAAAGGGAAACGCACGCCTTGATTTCGTTCAACTAGATCTCTGTCACTCTGTTGATCTGGACTCTATTCAAGCCCACCATCTGCTGTGCTAGTAAAGCCATCTATCCATCTTGGAAAACAATAAAATGACCTGCACTCAGCATTACGCTACAGACACATTTCCCTCCGAAGCCGGCAAGGAAATCACCACCGTCCGTGCCGACGACCCAGCTATAAATGCCGCCCTGCTGGAGTCTCTCCTAGAGAGGGACGGAGCCGTAATCGTCAAGAACCTTATCCCCGAAGAACTCTGCGCCCAGATCAAGAAAGACCTCAAGCCCATCTTCGACTCGGATAAGCCTGATCCCGCTGGCTTCTTCCCCAGCACAACAAAGCGTGCCCATGGCATTCTCGCTCACTCGCCTGCCAGTGCTAAGCTGGTAGTGAATCCGCTCTTTCAGTCTGTCGCAGAGAGAATGTTGACGAGCAGATACACCTATTGGGAGGGTCAAAAGCAAAAGAGCGTGGCGGCAAAACCACAAATTGCGAGTATCGTAGGCTTCCGTGTTGAGCCCGGCGGCAAGCAACAGCCTCTCCACAGAGACGACTCGGACTATCATACTCGAAACTGCGACATGCCTGTCATGATTGGCTGCGTCACGGTATGTGCCTAGCTCCTATGTCCTTCGTACAATAGCACGAACACCTTACTGACAACGGTGGCAAACTCTAGGCACTATCCAAGACAACAAAGGAAAACGGCGCGACGGTCATTATTCCAAAGAGCCATCTATGGGGACCAGATAGGTGCCCGCTCGATGAGGAAACCATTTCAGCAGAACTCGAAGTCGGAGACGCAGCCATATTCGTGGGCAACGTATATCATGCAGGAGGCGCAAATGTCACCAAGTACTATCCCCCCTTAAGACATTCCTGTGCAACCCCCATCAGAGGCAGTGATGATGCTGACTTTTTACTCAACCGTGCTAGGGACGATGCACGTGAGACAATCGGCGTGTTCATGTGTAAAGGAACTCTACGGCAAGAAGAGAATCAGTATTTGGAGCTGCCACCGGAGGTAGCAAAAGATCGAGGCTTCTCACCACAATTGTTGCGTCTTCTCGGGTATGGACTCTGCCCACCAGCGTTGGGCTTATACAAGTATAAGGACCCGATGGAGGAGATATTCAACGTCTTAGACGAAGAGACAATCCGCAGATAAGACTATCATGCAATCTCGATAAGAATCTCTTAATGCTTTACACAACAAGAATTCTAAGTCCGTTAGCTTGCAGCTGTTGTGCAACCGGTAGCCAGTTAGGTTCTGTGCCACTCCAAAAGGCGCTAAGAAAGCTCCGGATGGTCTCGTACTGATTGAAACCTGTCGTTCTAATAGTCTTGTCGAGAATTGTGGCAACTTTGTGCTGCCTCTCTGCATCGCCATGACACTCAGTGCCCGCGATGAAAATCGGCCACGGGAGGTTCTGGATGCAGAGCGAGATATTCTCAATCTGATCTAGCTGGTCAAACAGCTTCGTAACGGAAGCCAGCCAGTCAAAATTGCTGGGCGTCGCATAACCCAGGCATCTGTACGCGTAGACAACGGCAGCGTGGTGGTATAGGTCCACAAGTCTGATAAAGTCACGGCGCACAACCGGGGGATTTATTTGTAGTTTCCCCGCAATCATCAGCGTCTGACCTCTTGCTTGCTCGAAGCGTGATTGTACTTCGATAATGCTAAAGCTCTCGGGCCAAAGTGATACGTCAATATCCTCGTTAACGGCCATGGATCGGCGTGACGCTAGCGTGATTTGGTGCAGAAAAGAAAGGTACTCGGAGAACAGCACATGACTCCCAGAGTTTGGCGTGGGGAGAATGGTTTCTGCAACATCAGCCAAGTCAAAAGACGTGCAAGAGCCGAGAACTTCATGGATCGCGAGCTGGTTCCTCAAAAACGCAAACAGGCCCTTGGTGCACGCCTCATACTGCCCAAATATGTTGACAATGGTCCTTGCCGCAAGCCGATGGCCCTCAGCAGCCTCGGAGTGATTCTTTGCCATCTCGTAATTCGCAATCACGAGGATACAGGCCAGCATCCATTCTGCGTTAGCAACATCAGCTCGGGTATTAAGTTCCGCTCCACTGATCAGCCGGTTATTCATTTCTCGAATCTGCCTCTGGAGGACTTCCAGGCATGCGTCTCGCGCCTCCTCGTGATATCGGGACAACTCGCTCGGAAATTTCCTGGGTCCATGATAGAGGGAAAAGGCGGCAATGGCAAAACGAAGACCTGGGGCATTGGCAGCCATGGGCAACATCCGACGCCGATAGTCATTTTCATCCGAGTCGATCCATACCATCCGTCCCGCCAGGTGCTTATCGTAGTATTCGATGATCTCTGGTGAAGACGCCCACTGCGTAAAGTTCAGCAAGTCCGAAGGAGTGTTCTCGATAGACGTGATAGTCGTGTTAAGGCTAATAGCCGTCTGGCCCATTACTTGGAGGGCCCCGGACATAGGGACAGGCGCTGGGACGGGAGCGGGGATAGGAAGAGGCAGAGGAGCGGCATCGTCAATTGTCGGCAACGACAACTCCATGGGCATCGAGCCCGCCACAGGCAGTCTTTGGCCCTTCAACTTGCCGCGAACCGCCACGCCATCAGCCCAGCGAAGATGCCGCCCATATCCGGGGCAGCTCAGGCCCTTCTTGATGCATTTTGAACAGGCCGGGCGTCCGAGGTCACATCGAATGCGTCGCCGCATGCAAGTGCGGCAGCCTTCGGGAAAGCGAATCAGCGCTGCGTCAAGCGGAAGGGGAACCAAACATGGGCCGGAATGCCTCCCTCACCTTTTGATGCGTCAGCCGAGCCCTTGGAGCTCATTGCAGTCTGTGCTTATAATGATAGACGCATTCATCAATCCTGCGGTTCGAGAGTGGAATGGCGTTGGATAGCAAAGATTAAGTGGGCGAGCACATGGGATTATAGAAGACAAAAAAAAGTGGACGGCATCGGAGAAATAAATTCTACCAGATTAGTTATGCCATTTTACGTACAAAGAACCGCCTTATCGTTAGTACCTACAAGTAGGTTGCCTGTGCTTCCATACGAGCTTTAGCCGCGGCGCCGTTGAACATTGATCCGCTAGAGGGCCTCATCGATTGGGTGCTTGTAAATAGCTTCAACTTGCAAAGGTTGTGGGAAAGTATATGTAAGTGGCAGAAACAGCAACAATCCGAATTAGATATCGATGCATTATTTCCGTTGTTCTAGAATACGCGTCTTTCTAACTAGATAGCCCGCATTAATACATACTAATTTATTATACAAGTACACGCTTTGGTACCAGCTACTAACCTCCTCCTCACTCCCCAATAAGAACAGAAACTGAGTGTTATTAAGAAAAGCAGCAAAATGTCACACAATGCTCGCACTAGTAACCGTTTTATATCTGCAGCGATTAAACGTCCCCAAATCGATGGTTAAACCCGCCTTGCACGTCACACACAGGTGACACAGCAACAATAGTACCGAGCCGCGGATTTGGAACTTAACAGTAGGGTCAATGTCTTCAGAAAAAAAAGGGGGAAGAAGAAGAATAAAGTACCAATAAAAATAATAGCTTAAAGTCGTCGGATATACTCGATTCACAAGAGTCGTTGCGCAGCCCAATTCGCCGACTCCCAAGCACCTGCAGTGCATCAGTGACAGCAGTTGTCCCTCCTATCTCTCCCCAAAAACTCCATGCCTCAAATCACCCTCTTCCACTCCTTCTCCCCTTCACCATCAACGCACAAGTCACTATTTAGATCCTCCTCATCGTGCCGCGCCGGGCATTCGGGTTCACCTCTTACTATATCTGTATCCTCCATATAGTTGCCCGTCATGCCAAAGGACTTTATCAGCGTGGTACAGGACCTCGAGGACCTCCTGTGCCACCACATCACCACCTCGACCCCAGCAGATTTCATAGAGGAGCTCGCCGATATCCTTAAAACGGTGTTGAGCATGGATCGCAACACTCACTGGAGCATCCAATCATTCCTCTTCGATTTCCGAGAACAATACTTTCGCCAAAGTATGTCCTCCCTCTCCCTCTCCCTCTCTCGCTTCATGATTGTCCAATGCAAACCTCTAACCAAAGCAACTCATTCCTCCATCACAGAGCTCACAAACGAACAACCCGGCCCTGTCCGTCCTCACAACGACATCTGGCCTCGCCTCAACCGCTCCGCCGTCGAGCCCCTAAGCAACATGCCCATGACCCACGACGTCGGCCCCGACCTCTGGGCCTTCGCTGTGCGCTACGCTGACCAGGTCTACAACGTCCTGCGTCTCCAGGCCAAGATGCTGTACAAGCCCTTTATCGAAGTGCTCACCGAAAACGGCTTCATCAAGGGCCTTGCCGACACTGAAGACTTAGTCATGCAGGACAATGCAACTGATGGCAGCGACCACATTCTGGACCGCCAGGAATACGACGTAAGCCTCCATTCGAGACTGATGTTTCTAGAAGACCGCGTCATGATCCTTGAAAAGAGGGAGGAGCTCTTAGACGGCCAACTTGACCGAGCCACTCAAGCGATGGGAGCTCTGCGTTCTACAAACCTGGACTTGGCCAGAAAGGTGTCAGAAGTGCAGCAACGAAACCATGACCTACGCAGAACTTATGCTGTGTAACTTGTTCAGCAAGGGAATGTCTACTGGTTGACATACACAAATACAGGAGAATACGGCAGCTCGGTATCATTTGATATATTCGTCGTCTTATTTCCGCTAACACCAGTCCAACCCTTGCCCACATCTTGCAACATAAATCGCCGCCCCTCAACATCATCATAAAGAAGAATAAAAACTACACAGTGAATATATGAAACAGCTCGTAGATAGTTGAGTGACAGTCAATATCAGCAACCAAAATCCAAACAAGCTTCGCAATTAGAATAAGTCCATGGTTATCTTTTGACTTTTGTACATCGTCATAATCATAATCATCATAAGAAGGAAACGAAAAGGGAATCAAAGAAGAAAAAAAGGAGCGGGGGGGATTGAAATATCAGCAGATAGCTCTCTCCAACCCCGGTTCATTAGTTTGAAGAGATTTTTGCTGCAGAAGCTCAATCCTAGTGCGAAACAAATCGTATCATCGTAAATGGTTTGGTGTCAACAAGACCAGAAAGAAAGAAGAAAAAGAAGGAAAGGGTGACAATATTGCCATTAATGTAGCCTCTCCTTCACATACACCATGGCAGCATAGCCAGCACAGCACTTGGTGCTCATCTCGTGGAAACACCACGGGCACTTCACAGTCATGGATAATGCCCCGGTGAATCCTACATTGCCCCTCGGCCGAATAACAGCCTCTGGGTTGGCCATGGCTTCGTAGATGTTGCTAGGCATGTCGTGGTAATATTTGCATCCGCAACACTCCACAAACATCTTGGCAATCGGCTCGCCGCCAACAGGTGAGCCAGTTGTATGTCGCGGCGCCTTTGTGGGCGCAAGGTCTGCAGTGGGCGACGGCTGGCTCCGGATCGAGGATGGCGGTGTGACTTTGGGACCAAGACGTGGCGATCCCAACACCTGAGGAGGCGGAGCGAGGGGAGCTGCTTTTCGAGCTTCTTCCAGATAGGAAGCAGGCCATGGGGCAGCAACTGGCTGAGCTTTGCCATTTACTCTTTCCTCTCCAGAGATCAATGCAGTGGAGGGAGAGTGTTGCCTTGGCACTATTACATGTTCCACGACCTTCAGGGGTTGGTGCTTCAATTTCGGCAGAAAATCAATTCCAGATATCGCATCCACATCCGTCTGAGACCGACGGTGCGCAGCTTGGCCTGTGGTCACAGTAGTGGTCTTGGTAGAAATGACGGCGCTCGACGTGCTAGTGTTTCCCACAGGTCGTGTACTCTTTGGAGGGCTTGAGAAGCCCCCGCCACCAATCTGGAGGAGGAGCGGCTGTCTGACTGGGCTTGTGGAACCGTTCCTGACGCGAGGTCGCTCTGTGGCTACTCGTTTACTCTCAACATCTTGCGTCATGGGGGGAAGACCCTTTTCAGATTGAGGTCGGGAGGTGTCAGGCGTACCAGGCATTGATGGCGAGTGGAAATCGTCAGACGAATCATCATCAGTCGATGTCGTTGGAACTGAATCGTCCGTGAGGCGGCGAACAGTAAAATCACTGTCATCTCGAAGGGAGCCTCGAGATTTACGGATTGGAGACAGCGATACCTGTGTGTCGATGACCTTCATAACAGAGGATTGAATATCGTCCCATGTCGGAATGTCTATCGGCTCTGGCTTTTGGCCTCTGGTGATGCGGCCGGCGTCCCGTGGAGTGGTTTGGAGGGATGCCCCGCCGCTTGTTAGTTCATTGCTCCCAGGCGCATTGTCTACCATCTTCTTGGGCCTGCCCGTGGACGGATCATGATTGCCGTTAGCAGACTCGGAGCTGCCAGGTCTTGGTGTGCGCGGAGATGACATGGATGACACTGAGCCATCCAAGCTCAGCATGGAATTCCGCTTTGAACTACGACGAGGCGGTGCTGGAGGCGAAGATGTCGTCAGAAGGGTTGAATCAGCGACATGGCCGCTCTTGACAGCGCCGCTGCCTTCGTGTTGAACCTGAGCAAGGTTGGTTTGGCTTAATTTCTCATTGGCTGGCTTCTGTGCAGTAACGGGACTGCTTAGCTGGAGATCGCTTGTAGATACACTGAGCTTGGGCTTTGTGCTCTGGTTCCCGTTGCCCGACACTGGTTGAGGAGAATTTTGACCAGCAGCCATTTGAGGACGAACATCGACATTTGGTCCAATGATTGCATTAGTCTGAGGGGGCGGCAATGCGGACGCGGATTTGGTTGCCTCGCTAGTTAATGCAAGCTTCTTCGACTTGTCTTGCTGCGCGGCGGACTTTGTTGGTTCTGCCGAGTCTTTTTGTTTCAGGCCAACGAAAGCTCTCCATTTGCTCTCCATTGTCCCTGTTTCCTGAGCCTCCATCTCTGCAGACGAAATGAGAGATCTTGTCTTGGCCGCTGCAGCCGGGTTCCGAGTGATGGGAGGATAAGCTCGGCGCTGGGACTCAGGGATAGGGCGAGCTGGGGGCGCAGACCACTTCTGATTGTGAGCGTTGTTTGTTCGAAGCGCCGGGTGGATTTGAGACTCGTCCATATCTTCAGGCCCTTCCGCGGTCTTCTGATTCGCAGCATGTCGTTGAATCTCCAGTTTGATACCACCGATGAAGCCTGTCTCGCTCGGGCGAGCCGTGTCAGCGGAAGCACGCCGAGACTCGAAGGGTGACTTGATCAAAGAGGTGAAAGAGCCGGATCGCCTGTGATGAGGGCGAACAGGCACATCATCTTTGGTAAATTCTAGCGCACTCGAAGGTCTCTGCTTATCTCTGGCAGATGCCAGTGCCGCCGCCGATGATCGATTAGCTTGTTCCAAGGCATGTGCCGAAGAAGGGGGAGGTTGCTTGCTCAAGCGCTTCTTCTTAATTAAAGCATTCCTGAGCGCAGTTTCCTCCTTTTCACGCTTCGACGCCTTCTCCTGCTGTTCTTTTCTCTGCTGTTCTTTTTTCCGCTGCTCCTTTTCTGCCTGCTCCTTCTTTAGCTGCTCCTTCTTCAGCTGCTCCTTTCTCAGCTGCTCCTTTTTCAACTCCTCCTTTTTCAGCTGCTCTTTGCGCTCTTGCTCCTTTCTTTCTTCTTCCTTCTTCAGCTGTTCCTTCTTCAACTGCTCTTTCTTCAGCTCCTTTTTGTGGTCCTTTTTATCATTCTTCTTGCGACGGCCATATGCCTCCCAGCTTGGAGACTGGCAAATCGATCTCCGCTCCTCTTCATCACTCAGCGGAACATCGAAAGAAACAGCCTTGAGAACGGGCTTGTCCACCAGTGGAGGGTTATGCACAACCACAGCGCTCCTTTGTGCGTTGTTGTCCAATTCGGGTGCAAAATCCAGTTTAAGCTTAGGAGAACTAACGTTGATGGTCAGTGGAACTATCTGGGCCACTGGCATGCTCTCTTTGGTGATATTGGCACCCATGGGAGCATCCTTTCTAGGAGGCGCTTCGACACGGTGAACCTGGACTGCAGTGCGATTTGATGACGGAGGTGGTGGCCTGGAGACAAGGGCAGCTATGGAAGCTGAATTGGTGGACAACACATTCGGTTGCGCGGTCTGGAGTCGCTCAAGCTATATTTGGTTGAAAAATCGGGCGCATTAGCTTTCCTGGAGCTATTTAAAGGCATCTGGCGGAGAACCGCAACGCGACAGGAGAAACCGCTCTTACCATGTAGCGTCGCTCGAGCTCGAGCATGCGCTGCAAGCTGTTTGAGCGAGCCGGTCGAGTCTTGTGGCTAGACATGATTGTCAGGCTGCGAGTTGGGCGCTTTGGCTAATCCTGCCCGACGAAATGGAGGAATGCGTGTAAAAATAGACGGTCAACGACGAGAGTTGGCAAGGCGGCACAAGGGAGAGACTTCGTCAGTGGCTACGATGTGGCTGGTAAGAGGATAAGCTGGCGCACGGCTGCGAGCATGCGCCTCCGTTGAGGTCCACGGGTGGCCAATTCTCACGAGCACTGTATCGTGACGGATGTTGGACGCTTCGATTCGAGCACAGAGCTCACCCACCGTGGAAACGAGTGACGATGGAAGACAGGAAGAAGAAGGAGAGAAAAAAAATCACCCAACGGAGACATGCATGAGCTGCCCTCGGCAGAAAAGCGGTTGGGCGTTGGCCCTTTGAGGAAGCATTCAACAAATGCACGTGGGGGCTGGTCGAAGCGACGACGTTTGGTAATCCAAGCTCCTGGCCCTGCTCCGTATTGTACAGGTGACAGAGTACTCGTAAACGCAAATACTATTCCAATACTGTACTATCCGTACTAGCAAATGGTCTAAGGACCGGGAGCAAGCGGATAAAGGAGGCGCCAAAAACCAAGCCAGCGCCCTTGGTGCCCGCAATACGAGCTGGGGAAGCAAGGTTTGGGGCAGTGTGGTGTGCAAAGCTGAGACAGGCGATGAGGTGGTCCAATAGGCCAAGCAGACGAACCACGCCAGCTGAGCAGGCGGCAGAGCAGTCGGACGATTGATTGACGCCTAGAAGTCCGTATTCGAGCATGACAAGTCCAAACTGGTCCCTGGCTCACCGTCAACGGTGCGACCCTGCAGGCAGTGCTAACGGAGTCGGGCGTAGGCAGAGTCCACAAAGAGCAGAATTCCGGCTCCTGGGGCTGGCAATGGAGCCTTTGGGCAGGTGAGATTGAAAGCACGCGGCGAAGCGAAGATTGTCGGGTTTGCAGGGGGTCCGTCGATGGGATGGGGATTGATGAGGGAGGTGAGGCGAGGATTGGGTTTGAATACCAAGCAGCCAAGCAAGCCAAGGTCGGGTGCCCAACCGCAGAGAGGCGGCCTCGACTACTGTAGCACCAGCAGCAGCGCTTCGTACAGGCTGGGGCCGCTGCGTGGGGACGTGCATGTACGGCGGTGGGAGATGCCCACTGAGGGCGCTAGCGGGTTAGTGTGCTGTAGCTTGCTGTCGCTGATGGATTCTTCCTCCAGTCCATTGAATCAATCGCTGACCCATGTCCACCTGCAGTCAGTGCCTGACCCGAGAATGCCTGCAACGGCATATACTTCAGCTAAGCAGTGAGGGAAAAAGCCACTCTTTGTTCAATACGAACCGCTAGAGACGCCAACCCCTGCTAGCCCCGGTGGCTGTTGAAAGGGCTCAACTTTGATCTCGCCGATCGTCGCCATGGATCGTGACTTTGTGGCCCGCCGGCCGCTAGCAGACACTAGCGCGCCAACAACACGTTGTTCCACCTCGTTTTTATACACGCCAGCATAAAAATAGGATCAATTTCCATGGGCCCCGTTTTAGAAAACGAGCTTTGTTGCAGGGTAGGCCATGACGTTGCATTGCATTGCATTGCTTGATATCCAACACGAAGTGTTTGACCACCCGGAGGGAAGGAAAGAAAGAAAGAAATAATTGTGTGAAAATGGGCTGGAGCAAACCAGCCAAGAATTCAGCGGGCAGTGCGAGCCACGGTTAAGCTGACTGGTGGCGATATTCAACTGCCGCAGATCCGTCTTCTTTGCTATAGATAACTCTACTTTTATAGCTCGGGGTCCGTGGCTGACGGTCTAAAGACATCGTATACATGCAAGGTACCACTAAGGGTTCAGCCCATGCCAAGAGTCAAGAGTCTTCTTTGGCCATCCCCAGAGACTAGATGATGGTGTTGTTGTTTCGACCAACATTGTCTCTAATATATATATATATATACATACACATCTGCTATACGTCTATAGAATATCTATCGGTATATCTCGAAAGCCCCAGTTGCTACTGCATGGATATTTACACGGACGATCGAGATCGGTAGGCATGGTGACATGTTATTTCTCACCTACAGTAGATCAAAAGCGACAGGGTCCTACCTACATGTACATGTAGGCGTCCATATACGGGTCATTACTTGCATACTGCACCATGTACATCATTGTGCTTTAAAATGTATCCCATAACCTTAGAGGCGCAGATACCTAAACTGCCGTGTCTAATAAAGCCCTGCCCAAGCCACACTGACAAGTGGATTCAAGTGGTATACATGTATCCGGGGGTGCACCTCCGGGATGCACCTCCGGGATATTCATGATATCTGGAAGGGGCGGGATATCGGAGCTAGTCATGCGAGAAGCCGTGCGGATAGCTGAAGCGGACACGAGCTTTAATCGAAGGCGGCTGTCTCTTCTCGGAGACGGTGGCTACGTGAAGATATAATTCGCCGCCACCGTTGCCCTGCGTACTGCACACAGCCTCGATTTGATCTTACTAAAGAACTAGAAGCTAGTCCAATCCATCTTGTAAAGTTCACCTACCCGCGCCTCTATTATCTTTACCGCTCGTGACCTTTGATAGAACGAAAAGAGTGGAACTTCCACACACCCATGAGTCTCACTAGTAGTATACGGAGTACTTGTATATGCTATGCAAGGCCTAAGGATCATTGGCGCCTAGTTTCGTGGTCATCTTCTGTCAAATAGTGGCAGAATACTAAAGCAGCTGAGATACTTACATCAAGTACTTGCATATGGGCGCTGAACTTTGCTCATCTGTGAAGTAGCCACTTGACTAAAGAGAGATACTCGAGCGCCAGTTTTGAGCACCTGGGTGTAACTACAACGAATAATTCTCAAATGGTGGTGGATATACGAAGTAGAGTATAGTCAAGACAAGCATTTATCCCCCTTCAGGAAGGCTATGGTACCCAAAAGAATGATGAGAATATCCATGATTCAGTTAGCACAGCAATACTGTAAATAACCATTGAACAGCTATACTCCGTAGAAGCAACTCACACCCTGTATATCTGGCATATGAATCTGATATGGTACATCCCTGGATGATTAGAACAGGCGATTGATGCACTAGGAGCAGCGATATGTTTATCTGCACCTGATCCCGGAGATTTGGGCATAAACAACTGTGTACTTTGTAGCCATGAGAAAAACACATCTGCCTGCATCTTCTACACCTCAACTCTAGAAGCCAGCCATTGAGCGTGAAGTACATGCGACTAAAGTATATAGTCGGAATGTCTTTCCACGCAAGGAGCGTATCTACTAATGTAGGGATATCTGTCTAAGCCATTAAATGAAGATTTACTCCGTACAGCCAACCAGGTAGTGCCAGGTATTGAAACTACTCGTACGACAAAATGAGTGTGTCTCAGACATTGCCACTTTAGTTGGATTTTGCTATTCCGCACGGAAAGAGTACTTGAGAATCCAAAGGCTATTCAATGTCTCAGGACTCCCATTCCTCCCAATTCAGGGCCGTTGGGAAATGTGGAGGTTGCGTTAGTGTCACAACTGAGACTGGCACCCTTCATCAATACTATTATTTGCTTTGTAAGTTCTAGGTCTATTTGCCGTTGGCAAAGCATTGACAGTTAGGGACTAATATCGTTTGCTCTCCCTGCAGCGCCTCAGGATTTCTCATTGAGCTTAAATTTTGTCAATAATCGTTATGAGGTACCTAGTACCATTACATTACGGACGTTATAATTTATATCTAGTATGAGCTGTGATAGCTAGTTCACCGAAATACTCTGCCCCAGACTTTATCATTGCTTCCTACGGGAGAGATGTCTATTTCGTGCTGGATGTATACGATCGATATGAAACTCATTGCACCATATATGTACTTATTATGTATGTATTCTATCATATGAAACAGATATTCCGCCAATTAGCAACTTGCGCCAAACTCCTAGTGTTACTCATACATTTCGTTCCATGCATCATCATTCGTAACGTACAGACTTCATTCATCGTAATGAATCATACCATTCCCCCTTTTTGGTGAATCGATCAACATGAATTATACAAGCGATTTCATCGAAATTGGTTCATGTATTCCTCCACAGCCTCGTGAGTAGGGCACATGTGCGTCCAAATTTCTTCCTGCTGCCCGAAATCATGCAAGCCATGGGTGAGGTCAGCGACCTCACGCCCTGCACAAATAACGAACCTCCAAGTATGGCGAAACCATGCCCTGAGCCGTACCGAGAATTCATTGGGTATCTTGAGGCGTACGGCAACCCACTTTTGATCAGGTGCGTGGTCCGTCCGAAGAGGCTCTGTGGGTTCGGGTGGTGGCTCTGCAGACTGTAGCAGCTGTTCGTCTGCCCACATGTTGTATTTGGTCTGTTCTGGAGGTAGTACAATTTTAAGGAACTCCAAGGATGTCGTGATGGTGAGAGAGACTGCCCGTAATGGGTTCACCATGGACTTCATTAGTATTGACATCCACTGTGGATAAAGGACAGCGAGATCAGTCATTGCGAGATGAGTTGATCCGACGATTGTAAGCATCCAGCATAATGTCCCAGATTCACGGGCTTCATTACTAAACTCGACAACTTTGTCAAAATTCTCCTTCCAGTGCATGAAAGCTTCGGACGAGATTGATAAAATAGGCTTCGCGATCCTTTCCTTCGAATTCTCTCCAGCCGGAGGTGTTGCCTGACCCCAAGCGTCAAGAATAACTCCCTGACCTAGCCATTTTAGTGAATGATCTCGGCAAATCTGGACTGTAGTTGCACCACCGAACGAATGTCCCATCATAGTGACATTGTTTAGAAACATGTTGCCTTTCCAGTCTTCCCAGTTGACGCCTTTGAGGCCCATAGAGCTAGATGCCACATTCCCGCTCTTTCGGAGGTTCAATGATGCAACATCATCTCCATGACCAGAGTTAATTAAGTCGAGAATATAGAAGGCTTCCTTTATCTCTTCTTGTCGTAGTTCAATTTGAGCTGATCTTAAAGTGTGATCAACACCTCTGCGGTTATGAGGAGAGGTGTCTTGGGCATTGTCTTTGGGAAGAATATAATCAACAACATAATATGGGTTTGATCCTTCCTTCCTTCGGCGTTGCACTTTTTTATCTTTGGTATAACTCTCCTTGCCCTCGTTATTTGTGTGTAATTCGGCTGTTGACGATTCTATAGCCGCGGCCTCCACGTTGCTTGGAAGACTGACATATGTCCTGGCACCGCTGCCATCGCGATGTTCCAACGCTACGACAATAAATCCGAAGCTTGCAAGCTCTCCACAGATTGAACTATAGCAAAGTCGCGAGCCGCCAAGTCCATGACTGAATATGATGACGGGGAATGTCGGCCGACATGTAGAATCTGCCTCTTCCTCCCTGGCCTTCTGTCCAGTTGGACCAGAGTCATTGCGTATGTCTTCTGGCCAGTGGGCAGCCAGTTTGGCGTTTCGAAATGCAGGCAACTTTGTGAAGAGAGAGGTGCAGGCAAGGTAGGCAGTAACCGGGAGCGCTGGGATCTGAAGATATTTAGCATAGCCCTTGGCAGTTGCAGTTCGTGGCCGTGGCATCCAGTCGACGCGGCGAGGCTTTTCTGCGTTATTATGAGATTGTAGATCGCATGGATAATATATTCCCATCAGGACTGTGTCCAGTCGAAGGACCGGTTTCCCATTTCTTCGAAGGTTGGAAATTGGCCGAGGATCGCGAACCGGAACTTCGATGTCCATATATCCAACATTGTAAGGTCCATTGTAGTGAGGAAGTCGATGGAGAAATAATTCTCTGAACGTCTTTCGTGGTTTGATGGCTGACCTACGAAGAGGTTCAGTGGTTGCTTGTGGAGGAGTTGCCATTGCGTTGATGTATGAATGAAGATGATGCCAGTGAAGTACGATGACAAGAGTTGAGCATGATGTTTGTGTCTTTGTTCGCTTGTTGCGTAAAAGTATGTTCGATCTCGCTGGATCAGCAGGGGATTTATGTGGTTGATGTGACTTTGACTGAATGTTTGGGTTGTGACGTCAAGACTACATATACTCTAAAGGCCGAAGCAGGCTTCCCTGCGGGTCTGCGATGATGCACATCGTCACTGCAGCTTTCACATGCCTCAAAAAAGTTTATTACAAAAAGCGCTTGCTGTTTTGTATGAAAGAGCTCAAGGAGATTAGAAAAAAGCCAAACGAAACTCGGCTGGAGCCTATGTCACTCCCATTAGGTAGTTTTTTATGCATAGCATAAGTAAATGCGACATGGCGAGTTGGGGCGCTTTTGTCTATTCCATCTGTTTACACGGCTCCTTACAGAGAGACATCTGTCGCTCTTTGCTTGTTTCGCAGCAGCCGACCACCATAAATGTATAATCCTCAGACATGTGTAAAAATCATTTTGTCTGACTGCTTCATTATGGGCAAGAGATGCTTGGATTCCATCTTGGTAGTTGAGATCAGACATTCTTGAACTTTCTAGTTCACGCGAGCAGTAATAAACAACTTGATGACGACATAATGCAGCCAAACATATGGAAGTAGCGTGGCACCGTTGAACTATAGGTGGGGCCAAATATCGTCCAATAGGAGGGCCTGGGCACAGAGTCCTAGAAATACGGCGCTGGCTGACTCATTCGCCGAGAAAAGCAGAGGTGAGAGTCGGGGCTAGATTAATCCGGGAGGGCACTCCCCGCTCACGTGATAGATACTTCTCGCCCACAATCATTTGGCGAAATCCCCCAAAAATCTCACCGCGCCACTGCAGATTCAGCGTCCACACATCATCGCCAAATCAATCTATCACCATGGGTAAAGTTCACGGATCTCTTGCCCGTGCCGGTATGTGCAAACTATCCCCAAAAGTTTCGCCTTCCTCTTCATGCCCACTGACTTTATTCTTTTCCAGGCAAGGTCAAGTCTCAGACTCCTAAAGTACGACGAAACCGACTCGCCCATCCCTCGCTGACGAATCCAAAATACTGATCATTTTCCACTCTACAGGTTGAGGCCCAGGAGAAGCCCAAGACCCCCAAGGGCCGTGCTCTCAAGCGCCACAAGTACACCCGACGATTCGTCAACGTCACCCTGACCGGTGGCAAGCGGAAGGTGAGAATATTGGAACAGACGGCGGTATTCGGGATTACACTGCTGACGACGGCGACAGATGAACCCCAACCCCGGCTCTTAAACGGACTAGACCACGGTTAGGGAGAGAAGGATGTAAAGATTGACAACGGGGCCGTTCTCCGATGGTTGCTTGATTTCAGCAGAAGGGAAATGGAATGAGTCGGGTCGATTGGCAGGCTGAGCATCATCCACAGTTTGAGAGATGCGAAGAAGCGCGACGACTTTGCTCGGCGTCTGGTGTCGTTTGTCAATATAACGAAGATTCGTCCACGATGAAAAGTTCCACTTGTGATAATATTCGTGATGTTATGATGGGTTGAAATCACAGCTGCTTCGACGACAAAACCAATCGCACCTTCACCCTGTACCGGTTTGCGGGCTGCCTACCTACTAAATATGTTTTTGTATAGACAGAAGTTGCAATTTGATGCGCTTGCCTTTTTACTCTTCCTTCATCATCGGCCTTCAAATCTTCTGGTACAAGCTAGCATCTCGTTGTCCTTGGTTCCATGCCCCTATCAGGCCGGCACACGTAGAGAATATTCATGAAACTCGATCACGGCAATAAAGGCTGCTACATGATTTATGCGCATGTGATCTTGCTAGTAATTTCTTGACAAAATCAACGTAACTCTGATGGCGATGACCTGTGCTATCCCAGGGATGAAAGCACACAGAGCTGTTGCAGTCACGTGATACATGATACAGCAACCAACTTCTCTGCCCCGCGGACTGTAGCTGGTCTGATCCGCAAAGCTTCAGCATTCACTCCAACATCATTCGCCTCGCAGATACTAGCCATTGTCCAAAATGGCAGACGTAGATATGGAAGTCGACGACGTTGCGCCGTCATCAGCGCGAAACGAGTCCGAAATGCAGACGCATACCAAGGCAACGGCGGTCCGGTCAATCGAGGGATGGATCATCATTGTCACAAATGTTCACGAGGAAGCCGACGAGGAAGCCTTGCAAGACAAGTTCGGCGATTATGGAGAGATCAAGAATCTTCACCTGAATCTTGATAGACGTAGTGGTTATGTCAAGGTATGAGACATGTCGCAAAGGCAAGACTTGCAGACAGAGCACTGATTCTTTCCCGCTAGGGTTACGCCTTGATCGAATACGCAACACTAGAAGAAGCTCGAGCGGCAATCGATGGGGCGCACAACACAAAATTGCTGGATCAAACGGTTCAAGTCGACTTTGCCTTTGTCAGACCTCCCCCGGGCAAGGGCAGACAAGGAGGAGGCAGAGCCGGGGGTCGGAGAGGACGCAGTCGAAGCAGAAGTCCCGACGCCAAGGGCAACGATGCGTGAAGATTCTGAAATAATACTGGGACAATAAGTGTGCGGCCGATGTGATGGCCCGAGGTCATAGCACGTCGGCATATGTAATTTAATTCAGCGAGGTATGGGTCTTAGAAAGCGAATGATTGTCTGGTTGGTGGCTGACTGTATCTCTTTAGGATACCGGAGTCAAGCCCGAAACCATTTGGATCTCATTATCACCACTATTCAGATGATAGCAAGTGGGCCGTCTCGAGTTTACTGGATAGTGAGCACGATGGCTTTCAACTTGGGCTTTGACTCGTCCAGAAGCGAATGAAACCGTACAATACAACTAATCAGAATACTGGCTGCCCTCAGGCTAGAGAGTCTTGGGTCCAGAACGATACGATATCCAGAAACTCAACCTTGATAAATTTAACTACCTCATAACATGAATAGAAGATTACTACCCGAGGTGTATGCCTTATACCCGAATGCTATAGATCGTGCAAGACCTGCAGCAGTTTGAAACATGCGATACCGATCACACAAAACTTGATATATGTAGCTCGTACACGCATGAGGTCTACCAATGGATGTTATATTAAAAACCACAATTATGAGGTGATACGAAACATCATTATTGAGAGAAATTAACACAAATACAATGCAAGTATGTTTTACCTGATGCTGCCCAACCTGACCTGGGTAAGAAGCCCCGAGTTCATTATTGTCCCGTCCATGTACTTTGTCGCGTACTTTGCACGCTTTGGAACTTCCCCCGTCAATTGGTGGCCCCCACCTGGCAACTGAAAGCCCAGGATTTCCCCACTACAGCGTTCGCCAGTGAGCGTCGGGTTATTACAGAGGTACATGTACCTTGTCGGCGCAAGCTGTAAGCCTCTTCAGTGACTTCATGCCCACCGTCGTCAGGCATGATCGCGACCACTCTCGATCCCAAGCTCGCGCAATCCAAGATACGCAAGCATTCCTCTCCGCGCGCCTCATCGCAATACGCAATTGAGTCCTAGAACAAGCCCTCCTCCACGCGATGCGCCATTGAGCCGACTGGCATGGCACGCCAGGCGCATTTCGACTCGAGGATCATGCGCAAGCTTCTCGGCAAGGCTGCGCCAGATGCCACCAGCGGCGACCTGGCCAACAGCCAAGGAAACATCCCGACCGTCTTCCGGCCCTCAAAGTCGCAGAATGCCGTGCACCCGGTTGGCAGCCCCATTGCCTGCCTCGACATAACGCCCGATCACCGTGCCGTGGTCCTGGGCGGCCCTCACATACTCAAGACGATTGTGTCGGATGCATCTGTCGACTCCAGCTTCAGCTTCAAGTTCACCGACGGCGTGGATGTCAAGGCAGCGATTGCGGCGCAGAAGCCGTCCGGTGCGGGCGGAAGTCTTGTTGCAGACCAGCTCAACATCCGCGATGTCAAGTGGCAAGGCGCGTCAACAATCTTCACAGCTTGTGCGGCCGGGAGGATCTTCGCCTACGACGTTGCCAGGCTCGGTTCCGGCGGTGCGTCTGATCCTCTCGACTATATCCAAATCCAAGAGGACTCGCGACAGGTCAACAGTTTGGATGTGAACCCTCACCTCAAGAGCTGGGTGCTGTCCGGCAGTCAGGATGGAGTCGTTCGCGTCTTTGATGTCTCTGCGCCTCTGCAGACTCGGGCCGGCTTCCTGACCTTCAGGCAGCGATACACGCAGTTGAAGACCAACGATTCAGTTAGACAGGTCAAGTGGTCGCCCAAGGTCGGGCACGAGATGGCATGCTGCACTGATTCTGGAGTGATTATGAAGTGGGACGTACGGCAATCAGCAAGACCTCTACTGCGGATCAATGCACATGAAAAGTCCTGCTCTGCCATTGCCTGGCATTCGGATGGTGTCCATCTGATCAGTGCCGGCTGGGATGCCAAGCTGCATGTGTGGGATTTTGGAGGTTCGGCAGACAAGCGGCAGAAGCCCAAATGGAGCATCACCACACCAGCGCCCGTGACCACTGTTGCCTGGCGGCCCGGTCTTTGGTCTGCAACGGCCCAGACCCGACGCCTTGCCCAAGTCGCCGTGACTTACGACGAGACGAGCAATCGACGATACGGTACCTCGGTTGTCCACATCTGGGACTTGGCAAGGCCCGCGATGCCATACAAGGAGATTGAGCGGTTCGACAGCTCACCGTCGGCACTCTCATGGCTGGATCAAGACATGCTCTGGACTGTGGGGCGGGACGGCATGTTTAATCAGTGTGACGTTGCCTATGCGCCAAAAGTCATTGATCGGATGTCTACCTCTGCCATGTCTTTTTCGTCCCGGGGAGATGTAGTCATGTTCCTTGATGAGCGACCGCAGCCGCCTCGGCCACACCCGTCTGTCGGCCATGATTCCGAGGTGGTGCCCCGAACCCCATTCAGCACAAGCCCCAACACTCCAATGCTCAGCGTTAGTCGAAGCGACTCAGAAGAAGATGTCCTTGGCAGCTTTCTAGGACCACGAAGGCGAACAATTCGCAAAAGGCGGTTTAGCACTAGATCTGGCTTGCCAATGAGCACCACCCCACCATCCCTGCCCAGCCTGTCAGATGATGGAAAGCAAGTTCTCGGCTTGGAGCAGTCAATCAACGTAACTGGCATGTTCAAGTCCCAGCAGGGTATGGCGTCCGGTCATGTTCCGGCCGCAAAGTCGGTCGGTGTGTACCATTACCTTTCCAGTATTTACCTGGAAACCCTTCAACGAGAATTACCTCTAGACAAGGGCGACAAGCCATTAATCCAGCGAGTGGCGGGCATCATGGAACAGTATGCTGTGGCAGCTGAGAATGTCCGACTGTATCGACTCTCGCAGACATGGCGTATCCTTGCTTATGCCATGTCCTTATTGATGGAGAAGCGTGCGGACTACCACCTGAGGCTTAGGACAGCCCGATTCCGTAAAAGGAGTCTTGACGAAGGAAAAAGTAGTCTTAAGAAGACATCTAGTCATATTCAGATTAACCGCCTCACCAATGGCGAAGACACGCCACGAAGAGCGTCAGGTCAAGTTGGCAGTGTTGACGGCCGGTTATCAAAGTCGAAATCGCTCCTGTCGGAAGAGATCGAGAGCACGTCCAACGTGCCAACACCGGTTGCAAGGCCTGTCGGCGAAGGCGATACAATTGAGTGGGACGAGCGGCACTATCTACATGGGAAAAAACTAACGCCCATCATTGAACCTGAGAGCCTCAATTTGGGGCCTTCTGCTCATGGATCCTATCGTCCTAGCCCACGCCAACGTCATGATTCAGCCCCGATTTCGGAGATGAGCCATGGCAGCGAAACATCCAAGGTATCCATCACTGAAGGGTATGATTTTTATGACATGGAGGCTTTGGCACGGGCTATTGATGTGCCAATGACCAAGGCCTCATACAATGAAGCTGAACAGGCCCACCGAATAAAAGCCATAAGGCATGATTCGACCGATAGCTTTGCTCAAGTGTTTTCTGCCTCTGATAGTAGCGATCACACTTCGCCGAGGAGAGACTCGTCCAATCCCCCAAGCTCTCTGAAGCCCGACTCATTAAGAATATCGGCAGTCGGCAACAAAATTGGTGCTGAGTTTGCTAGTCTAGCTCACGAGGATGGCGAGCAGCAGTCTCCAAAACAGACCAAGGGGTCGTCAAATGGCCCTGCAAAGCGGGCAGACTCCCCTGAGGAAGTCTTCATGATCTCTCAGACGACCGCCGCCACGGACGAGACTTTTCCATCTCAGACATCGTTTGCTTCGCAAACAGACTCGGAAGTCCATGAGGGGTTTGCCGGTCGTCGCCCTACTCCATCCCATGACATTCAGATGGCAAAACCTGCCAGCCCTGCTCCCGTGGCGACGGCTCCCGAGTACGATCCCAGCCCTCATGTTGTTGTAACCGACTATTTCCCTTGGCCAGGTGACGGCCCCTTCCCTTTCCCCACGGAACCATCAGAATTGAAAACATTCAAACCGCCTAGTATGCCTGCATGCCCGCTTGATCCCTACTCTCTCTTAACGCGTGCCCTGGAGTTCGAGTCGCGGACTTCGGCACTCAATGCCTCCGCAATAGTGCTCCTACTCAAGCCACTAGTCCCGGAGTCTGTCATTGACATCCATCAAGCAACTGCAGTCTTGCGGCAGCAGCATTCCCGTCTCATGGGAATGAGCCTCTTCGTCGAGGCTGCTCTCCTGCGCAATCTAGCAATCAAGGGCTGGCCTGCTGGGCTGCCCAACTGGGGCGAGAATTACACCTCCTTATTTACGCCGGCCCAACAGGGCGTCAAAGCAGGCTTCATGTGCTCAAACTGCCGCAAACCCCGAGAAATCGACCGCAGCAACGGCGACTCCGCCCTTTGGACATGCGAAAAGTGTCGCCAGGTGGTGACGCCCTGCGCGGTGTGCGGCCATCGGGATGCGGAAATCGCCAGCTCGATGCCCACCGAGGTCGTCGACATCCCTAGCATCGAGTCCTGGATGACGGAGTGGTGGTACTGCCCCAGCTGCTGCCACGGCGGCCACGCTTCGTGCATGCAGACCTGGCACGCCGCCCTCCGTCCTTCCGAGGCAACCTCGTCGTCGACCGTATACAGCGACGGGTGCTGTCCCGTCGACGGCTGCGGACATGCCTGTCTTCCCGGCAAATATAGGGGCGAAACGGCGACTGCCCGGGCTAACGAGCTTGGCCATGCCGTAGTGGATGGCAGTCGCATACGGGACGGACTTACGGGGGCCAACACTAGCAGGAGGTCCAGTCCTGGGCGCGCTGGTCCGAGCAGCATGGGCATGGATCGCAGTATCAAGAGCGATGCCAATGACGTGCTGCAGAGCAAGGCGGTCGGAATGGCGAGGGAGGCGCTGAATAAGGGCAGTGGAGGGATCTTGAGCTCAAGTCCTGGACGGGCGACCATGACTGGCGAGAGGGAGAGGAGGAAGAGCGTCAAGTTTGCTAGGACGGAGCGTTGAATCTAAAATTAGCGGACTATGCTTTGTTTTCTTTTGCAACTTTGTCGGTTTTTGTTTTGCTTTATTTCAGCATGGTGTTCTGGAAGAACTTTTGGGTTTGCTGTTGAAGGGGAAAAACGAGATATCAGGTGATGGGGCTTGTTAGTAGGCAGTTAGATGTAGTGCCTTAAACCTGTACAACTAACTCGTCTTAAAAATTTGAACATTCACTTGATTGAATACCAACACAATGAGAATAATCCATCAGGCTCTATTTGATCGCTTTCGTGGTACGCTGAATCTATGAGAATAATGGCTACTGTCACCGCTAAGAAGGATATCTCAACCCTTCCCCCTTTCAAGATACCAATGTAAGTTAGTGTTCCAGACCTCCTTTTAGGCTTCATCCTGCAATGTTCTCTCGAAGGCCCTTCGTCCTCAACGTAAACTTGACATCACTAGAAGCAAACGGCAAGCCCAGGTCTCCGTTCGGGCTCCACGCCTCATCAGCCACATCCCCCCCCGCGCCATTACTATTACCATTACCGTGGCCATTGCCATGCGCATTATTACTCTTAGCAATGGCGTTTCTCAGCGCATCAGCGTGTTGGCCCGTGAGATCGCTATCCGAGCTCCCACGCCTACTGCCTGCAGCACTACTACTCTCTCCATCCATGAGCGACGGCACAGCCGAGAGCCTCCCCTTGAGTCTCCCTGCCCAAAGGCCCCTGACGCCGCCCTTTTTCCGCGCTGGAACCTCTTCCGTGCCGGCGCTGCAGACGTACAGGAGGTACTTTAGATTTGGAAGCGTTTGTCGAATGTCGACCACTTTGAGGCCTTGGGAGGCACATAGAGCTTCGATATCCTTGTTGAGGAGGAACCAGGCGTATTCGAAGCGCCATTGAAGAGCGGTTGAACCTCCCCTGGGAAGATAGAGCGGAAACTCCCTACGAGAACCGCTCTTGTCCGAGAGAAGAGAGATGTCGTCTTTTGCGTAGGAGCGAGAGCCATGATGATACAGCGGATAAGGCAGCGCATGAGACAGATAAAGCTGTAAGTGCTTGGTGAGCAGCGCCACCAGTCCCAGCCCGGCCGAGAGAATATCCTCGTTGAGGGTCCTGGCAGTGGCGGCATCGTATATCGAGTTTGGCAGCGGCACGTCGCAGATTTGGAAGGAAAGTGGCGGTGCGTTGGGTATCGGAGTAATGGGGAAGATGTCGGCCAGCTCGGAGCAGATGCGGCGGCGCTGGCCTCGGATTTGCTGCTGCGTCTCTTCCAACAGCTGCTTGGCAGCCACGAGAGTTTCACGATTGTTTCTGATGTCCTCTTCTACCTTTTCCTGAAGCTCTCTGCCTGTAGCAATGGCAGCACTCCGTTTGCGCAGCGACTCTTGTAATTCATCCCTCCTTGCCTGTGTAAGTCTATTTGTGCGCCGTTGCATGGCGACGTATTTTTGAGCCAGAGCAACCTCCTGCTCGGCCACGTCCGGCGCATCGGTAGTAGAGCTGTTGAGGATTTCATTGATCTGCTCCATAATTCGTTGCTGGGTCTGCATGGCGTCTTCAATGGAGCTCTCGAGATTGGCCAACTTCATCAATGCATTATACGAGGAGGTTGCAACGGGAGGAGCGTTTCTCGGCGCGGACTCTCTGGTTGGAAAGTCAAAAGAGTAGACGCCGTCGTCAAGATGGAAGAGGAGCGCATTTGGGGGATACTGGCGGTCCAGCAGCGTGCCAATGAAGTTGAGATCCCTGAGATCAACGAGCTCCTCCAGCAGAAAAGTCCATGTCGTCTGCTTCAGCCGCCTGGCCCATACTCGGATGACGATACGGCACGATCTGGAGACATCGGCTGCCTGGGAAGCGAGATCGAAGAATTGGAAGTTGAAGTTCTAGAATGGACAAGAAGAAAAGCAAGTCAGCGTCGGGGCCTTTGCGAGCTGTCAAGAAGCGCAGAATCCGGTTGGCTCATACCGCCGATCTCTCGCGCACTTCGCTGACGTAGACGGGCTCGTCGATGCCGCCAACGTGCAGCGAGAAGAAGACGTCTCCGAGAGTGTCGTCCAGCAGCTGCTTCAGCCGCTTCTGCCTCTGGGCCGGGCTCGTGCTGACGGTGCTGAGGCTCGTCCTCCGAGGCGGCTGCGACCTGGACCGTTCGGGCCGCGAGTCGTGGCGCAAGTTGTCCGACGATCGCGAGCCATGCAGCTGTCCCGCCTCCTTAAGCGCGCCCAGCTTGTTCGGGCTCCGGATCAGGGCGACATCGTCCGAGGTGCGCAATTGCACGGGGGCAAACGACAGGTTCCGCAGCGAGAGGCCCTTGAGGTGACGGAGCTTGCGGTTCTGCGGTAACAGACGCGGCCGGCGGGGTTCGGAAAGCGTGGACATGGATGCGAGGCTCGAAGCATGTCGTCAAACGATCGGATACGGGCGGCGGCTCTCGCGACCTGCACGATGGTGTTGCGCTCTACTGGAGCATATCAGGCCCGGCTTGGATGAGGTTCGTCACTATTAGGTTTACGTCCGCACTTGGGTGAAATGCAGTTGGCGAAGCTCCAAGACCCGCCCATAAGCATAGCAGTAGCTACTAGACTAGGTGGTAGTTGGTGTGGCATGCCTTGTAGCTCTGGACTGATAACAGAGAGCTAGGTACCTACAAACTCAGTTAGGTACTTGTACTTTCTACGATACGGCTATTTGCATACCTTAGCAGACTTGAGCTTCACGATATGGCTGAGTTGAAGAGAAGAGAAGTAATAAAAAAAAATTGATAGAGCGTCGAGGTAATCATGTGAAGAATGAAGGATAATTCTACTAAAAATAGCCTTGCATCATGCCATGCGAGTAAGAAGCATCCAATTAATATCCTGCATGCTGATGCATATAGTCAGAGCACAGTACAGCCTTGTTTGTATATAATGTACACACGTGCAGCCTTTTTATTAGTTGCTGTCATCCTTGGATCATATATACATAATATCAGCAACAAGGCCTCAATGAGCACAAATTTCGGATCATGCTCCTCTGAATTACCAAAGTACAATTTGTAGTCACAAGCAATCTCACACCATACATGAATGAAATCAATGGCTTGATGCCTTTTATTCTTTTTCCCATCTCAGTCCGACCCTACCCTATAGGGAAAGAAAAAAGATAAACAAAAACAATCCTGATGAAACAAGCATGCCTCCCTGCCGCCCATGGTATCTATGGCCCTAGATAATGAGTACTAGTAGAATAAAGCAAGATTAAAAAAAACCTGAAAATTTGGTTGGAGAGAACAAATAGAGGCAAAAGAGTGGCAACGTAGCGGAACCAGACAGGGCAGCGTGAACTTTCCGGCTCAAGCAAGCAGCTTGTGGATGTCAGGGACCTGTTCCACCAGATGCAACAGAGGCAAAAACAAGGCGTCAGGCCTAGAGTTCGGGTCAGGCTTAGAGTTCGGGTCAGCCTCAGAGTATGCTTTCCAGATCTCGTGAATCTCCTTCAGCTCCTCCCACGACTTCCAGTGCCACCCCTGGCACTTGTTTGGTTCCAAGAGCTGCAAACATGATTAGCTACCTCATCTACCATGACAATCCGTACAATTGGTGGCTGGAAAAAGGGGTGAAGAGGCCATGTTCTGGGCCCCTGACTCCCTAGAGTCTTACCTTTGGCTCTTGGGTCTGGTCAAGCATGTGGCACTTGGTGAAGACTGTAATGTAGTGCCTGATCCCCTCCTCCTCCTCGAATATATCCTCGGTAACTTTAACGATCTCTGTTGAAACGATCTTCAAACCCGTCTCCTCTAGGGTTTCCCGAGCAGCGCAAGCGAAAATCCGCTCCCCCTTATCTAGATGGCCGCCAGGGAACTGCCAGGTACCTGTAAAAGCCCCCTTTTGTCAGCCCTCACGTCAACAAGTCGCGTGAATATACGCTTTCCACCCCGTTCCAAGGCAATCTGGAACACGGTGCAGAATTCCGTAAGGGTGAGGCCAGTAAAAAAAGGAGAGACTTACCCGCGCCATGGCTGCCGATTCGCTTGCCGACGAGGAATTTCCCGTCTGCATTTTGGATGATGGCCGTCACGCCAGTCCTTACAACTTCCATAGTTTGGCCCGACATTTTGTTTTCGTAATGGGCTGTCAAAGTAGAAACTGCGGAAAATAAGATTGGAAAAGATCACAGTTGCTTCGATAATGATTTACTTCCACTCAATCGCAGTGAAATAGTTGCCGATAACGGGCATTTATATACATGAGCGAGTGAGCAACACTGCAATCGCACAAGAAGCTTATGTAATACAAGGCGGTATGACCGGCTTTCTCAAGATCAAGGCAGCAGCAGTCTTTTTCTTTGTCTAGCAGCAAAACTCCATAAAACACAGCAAGGGAACAAAGCAAAAGCAGAAGCCCATCCGCGATTCAATTAATCACTCATTCACTGCCTGGAGGCAAGAGTCTCGTGCCGCCACCGCAAACAAAGCGCTCCCCAGAATTTCATCTACACAAACTGCATTAGTCCTACTTAAACCCTGCCTCATTTCGTAGCCCGAGGGGGGCTGTGCCTTTTTTCCTTGGATCCTTTTGTGCCACCAGGTGATATTCTTCCACTGGTGGGAGTGCACTGCCCTCGAGGCGGCCATTGCCCGACGTGGCTTTTTCTTTTTCTTTCTCTGGTCTGACAATTCTCGGTTGCCTCTGGCTTTCATCTCTCTTTGTTATTTCTTTGTTGCGTTTCTTTCATTTGGCAAACAGGTGGCCGAGTCTCATGACGAAGTGTCGTATAGGACCTTGCTGACGCGGCGCACATTGACCGACAAAGTGGAAGAATGAAATGCACAAGATAAAGAGACAGGAGGCCTACTAGTGCTACCGGTCCCGATCCCATGCTGATGAGCAGTTCTGGCCGAGACGAGGCAGCAGCTTCAACAAGAAAATGATAATGAAAAGGCATCTCGCCCCCTTCCCCTCGCCCTCAGGCCAATGGCTTCGACAGGAGCAAGTACAGTAATGTTACTTGTCTCGGCCAGTAACCCAGTGAGACATGGCAACCCTGGCGGAGGATGGAATTTCGTGCTGTTTCAGAGCTGCACCAGGGGAAGCAGTGGCTTACAGGCCGTTGCTGCTATGCGTCGTGACTGGTATTCTCTCGCTTACTCACTCTCGCTCTCTATCTCTCCTTCAAGGCGTCGTCGCGTCTGCTTGAAAGTTTGATGTGACGTGGCCCGTGTTTTGCGTAGATGAACCCGTGCACATTGATCTTACTCCAGCCTCAACAGGCGGCCTCAGTTTGCCTCTATGGCTCATTGCGTTGGGGACAAGACGTGTAGCATCAACACCATCGGGATAATCTTCACGCTACTTTAAGCATAAAGGAAATTTACGCCACTCATCCAGTGATCTACTGCTCCCAAAGCTCTTCTATACTAGGTAGTTTATTTATAAACACTCGGCAATAGGAATGGTGCCGTAGTACATACTATTCCATTCTGTCTTTACACACCCCAGGATCTCAGGTGGAGAGAAGAATATCTATAGTGCATAGATAAAAGCCAAATGTCTGGTCTACAGCTATTCGAAAGTAGGCTATATAAGCCATTCTGTTCTAGACTACTCGCATAGGGAGTGTTAGCCATTAAATAGAATGTAGGCTAATGTGGCCAAGGCATATCGAGACAACAGCTGAAAATAGGAACACGGTATCGATACCATGTCCTTTGGAAGGGATCGCCTGCACCGGTACCTTAGACACCGACCGTTTCTTGCCATGAAGAGCGCCGAGCGCCCGAGACATTCAGGAGAATGCAAGCAAAGGGTGCTCCCGTAGCCGTAGAAAAAAGGAGATGGTTGAATAGTCCTGCGATTGCCAATCAATGTAAAAAAGCGAGGTGAACCATTAATAGAAGACTACCGGTGAGAAAACATACAGCTATTGCATTTTGGAGCTAAGAAGCGAATATCCAGTCTGGGGTCTTACTGCTGTTCTCGGAGAGAGGCACTGCGATTTGGATGATAATTTGGAAAAATTCCTATGAATCCGAGTTGAAATATTCCATATATCGAGCCTTGGAATACTGTTGAGTAAAAGCAGTGCTATGCTGTAGGGTCAGAGTTCATTGGGCATCAACGTCTGCCAATGAAGGGGTATGTGAATAGGAGAAGGGGAATCGTGAGAGGGAGCTGGAAAATAAATATTTCCGCGCGGTTCGAGTGCCAAGAAGGGCCTACAGTGAGTTTTGAAGCAGTTTTAGCAGATAATTACTCCGTACAATCAATCTTACCTATACATAGGCAAAGCCTGTTCAGGGCAAAGGCTCAACTTGCACCCCAATAAAGGGAAAGAGTCTGAAACCCCCAGCCTAGCTTCGCAAATGTCTAACGTCCATTTGATCGTGGCAACCCTGAAGCGGAAGCAGCAAAAATGCTTCATTTAAAGTTGGAATGCATCGCTGTTCGTGTTGATGTTTGTAGCTCAAACTAAGGTTGCTATTGGTTGATCGCTGCGATTTCTCAGCAGTCACGACGGTTTGTGCATGTGCTTAAATACACATACGTTTCTCTACTCTCGGCTGATCGGTCAGATCGTGCTGTTGCATCTCAACACTCCTTCATCTTGTTTGTTTCACTACTCTCCTTAATCATTTGTTAGTTCACAACAGCATGTCGCGGTCCTTTCGCCGCGGCCTCCTAACGGCGGCGGCCGTTTGGGCGGCATCGGCGGCGGCCGGCAACGAATGGAAACAGACGCAAGACAATGACAACCAGTGGCTGGCCTCGACCGTTGTCGTCACGAGCACCGTCTTGGTCGACTTGAAAGACGCCGGGTTGAAGTGCAAACGAGGAGAAATCGTCTGCAATCCCACTCCGCCACCCATTCCCGACCCAAAGCACTGCCCTGAGTGTCAGAAGTGGCCCAGGGATCCCGTGGATGTGTTCCACGGTTTATGGGAAGGCTGCTCTGGTGATCATCACTGCCCAAATGGGTGCAACTGCAGCTCTAAAGCTATCTGCGAAACCGTCTCTGACGGGTCTAAATGCAAGAGCAGCACGGCATGCCCGTACGGTTATATGTGTAACTCCTACGGTTTCTGTCAGCCCCTACCTGGCCCTCGATGTCACGAGAAGGCTTGTGTCATCGATCATGGACCTAAGTGTACTACCAACAAGGACTGTTCCCATGGTGAGGTTTGCAATCACTGGGGTTTTTGCCAAAAGGTTGTTTTCCCGGACTGCGAGAAGAACTCGGACTGCAAACACGGCCAAATATGCACCCAGAGAGGCATTTGCAAGACGATCGATGAGCCTCAGTGCAGGCGTGATTCAGACTGCAAAGACGGACAAATCTGCAACTCACAGAGAATCTGCCAGGATGCTGATTGCGTCAAGTGCAAGCAGGAGCATGAGTGTCACCACGATGAATACTGCAAAGAAAACGTCTGCAAGCCCAAGGACAGCAAATGCAAGGACAACAGAGACTGCAAAGACGGCGAAATCTGTGATTGGGAAGGCAAGTGCCGTCGAGGCGAGCATTTCCAATGTAGGGTCGACTCGGATTGCAAGTTTGGACAGATTTGTGATATTCACGGCAAATGTCAGAAGCGCCCGGCTGGACCGATTTGTGGATCTGATCGCGACTGCAAGGACGATAAATTCTGCAATGCCTACGGATACTGCGAGAAGAAACGTCTAGAGGATTGCAGCGAGGATATGCAGTGCCTCCCAGGAGAGATTTGTTCCAGTGGCAAGTGTCTTCCTAAGATTGGCTGCCACACCGACGGTGATTGTCGCAAGAGCGAGGTCTGTGAGCACCACATTTGTGTCTTCCACAAGGTTTGTAAGACCGATGGCGACTGCAAGGGAGATGAGCAATGCAAAGACCACAGATGCAAAAAGGAGACGAAGAAGGAGGCCAAGTGGTGCAGGGTCAACTCCGACTGTGGTGACGACGAGAGCTGCAAAGACCACAAGTGTCACAAAGAGGAGAAGACCAAGTGGTGCAAGGTTCACTCCGATTGTGGTGACGACAAGATTTGCAAAGACCACAAGTGCCAAAACAAGAAGAAGACTAAATCTTGCAAGGTCGACGCCGACTGTGGTGACGACGAGAGCTGCACCGACTATAAGTGCGAAATAAAGCAAAAAGCCAAGTGGTGCAAGCTCGACTCCGATTGTGTTGACAATGAGGTTTGCCAGGACTATAAGTGCGAGAAGAAGCACAATGTCAAATGGTGTAAGGCCAACTCCGATTGTGGCAACAACAAGATTTGCAAAGATCATAAGTGCCAAAACAAGGAGAAGACTAAATGGTGCAAGGTCAACTCCGATTGTGGCAAGGACGAGATTTGTAATGACCATAAGTGTGAGAAGGAGAAGGAGAAGAAGAAGGAGGCTAAGTGGTGTAAGGTTAACTCCGATTGTGGCAACGACGAGATTTGCAAGGACCACAAGTGTGAGAAGGAAAAGGAGGAGGCCAAATGGTGCAGGGTCAACTCCGATTGTGGCAAGGACGAGATTTGCAAGAACCACAAGTGTAAGAAGGAAAAGGAGAAGAAGCCGCATGATAAATGGTGCAGAGTCGACTCCGATTGTGGCAAAGACGATATTTGCAAAGACCACAAGTGCGAGAAGAAGAAGGAAGAGACCAAGTGGTGCAGGGTCAACTCCGATTGTGGCAACAATGAGATTTGCAAGGACCACCAGTGCGAGAAAGACAAGAAGGCCAAGTGGTGTAGGGTTAACTCCGACTGTGGTAACGACGAACTTTGCAAAGATCATAAGTGCGAGAAAGAGATAAAGAAGAACGCCAAATGGTGCAGGGTCACCTCCGATTGTGGTAACGACGAAATTTGCAAAGATCATAAGTGCGAGAAAGAGATAAAGAAGGAGGCCAAGTGGTGCAGGGTCAACTCCGATTGTAACGGCGATGAGATTTGCAAAGACCACAAATGTAGAAAGGAAACGAAGAAGGGGGCTAAGTGGTGCAGGGTTAACTCCGACTGTGGTAACGACGAGATTTGCAAGGACTACAATTGTGAAAAGGAAACGAAGAAAGAGGCCAAGTGGTGCAGGGTCAACTCTGACTGTAGCAACAACGAGATTTGCAAAGACCACAGGTGTGAAAAGGAGAAGAAGAAGGAGGCTAAGTGGTGCAAGGCCAACTCCGACTGTGCTGATGATGAGCTCTGCAAAGATCACAAGTGTGAACTAAAAGACAAGGCCAAGTGGTGCAGGGTCAACTCTGACTGTAACAACGATCAGATTTGCAAGGACCATAAGTGCGAAAAGGAGAAGAAGAAGGAGGCTAAGTGGTGCAAGGCCAACTCCGACTGTGCTGATGACGAGCTTTGCAAAGACCATAAGTGCGAAAAGGAGCCAAAGGGAAAGTGGTGCAAGGTTACTTCCGACTGTGCTGATAAGGAGGTCTGCAGAGACCACAAATGTGAGAAGGAGAAGAAGAAGGAGGCTAAGTGGTGCAAGGCCAACTCCGACTGTGCTGATGACGAGCTTTGCAAAGACCATAAGTGCGAAAAGGAGCCAAAGGGAAAGTGGTGCAAGGTTACCTCCGACTGTGCTGACAGGGAGGTCTGCAAGGATCACAAGTGTGAAAAGAAGAAGTCCGAGGACAAGCACAAGGAGCATACTGACAAGAAGCTTGAGGAGAAGCCCAAGTGCAAGCTGAATTCTGACTGCGACTGGGGCCATATCTGCAAAGACCACAAGTGCGAAAAGGAGCCAAAGGCGAAGTGGTGCAAGACTACCTCCGATTGTGGTGATAATGAGGTCTGCAAGGAATATAAGTGCGAAAAGAAGAAGTCCGAGGACAAGCACAAGGAGCATTCTGACAAGAAGCCTAAGGAGAAGCCCGAGTGTAAGTTGAATTCCGACTGCAAATGGGGCTATATCTGCAAAGACCACAAGTGCCACAAGGAGCCAAAGGCGAAATGGTGTAGGGTTACCTCCGACTGCGACGATAATGAAGTCTGCAAAGACCACAAGTGTGAGAAGAAGGACGAGCATAAGAAGGATCCTGAATGCGAGCTGAATTCCGACTGCAAGTGGGGGTATATCTGCAAAGACCGCAAGTGTGAAAAAGAGCCAAAGGCGAAGTGGTGCAAGGCTACCTCCGACTGTGGTGACAATGAAGTCTGCAAAGACTATAAGTGTCAAAAGAAGGACGAGCATAAAAAGGATCCCGAATGCAAGCTAAATTCCGACTGCAAATGGGGCTATACCTGCAAAGACCACAAGTGCCGCATGGAGCCAAAGGCGAAGTGGTGTAAGGCTACCCCTGACTGCGGTGACAATGAGGTCTGCAAAGACTATATGTGTATAAAGAAAGATGAGCATAAGAAGGATCCCGAATGCAAGCTGAATTTCGACTGCGAGTGGGGACATATCTGCAAAGACAACAAGTGTGTGAAGAAAGACGAGCACAAGAAGGACCCTGAATGCAGGCTGAATTCCGACTGTGAATGGGGACACATTTGCAAAGACAAGAAATGTGTAAAGAAAGATGAACATGAGAAGGATCCCGAATGCAAGATGAATTCTGACTGTGAATGGGGACACATTTGCAAAGATAAGAAATGTGTAAAGAAAGACGAGCACAAGAAGGATCCCGAATGCAGGCTGAATTCCGACTGTGAGTGGGGACACATTTGCAAAGACAAGAAGTGTGTGAAAGACGAGCACAAGAAGAACCCCGAATGCAAGGAGGACTCCGACTGCAAATGGCACGAGGTCTGCAAGGATTACAAGTGTGAAAAGAAAGAGAAGCAGGAGAAGAAGCCCGAATGCAAGGTTGATTCTGACTGCGAATGGCATGAGGTCTGCAAGGACCACAAGTGCGAAAAGAAGGAAAAGGCTAAGTCGTGTAAGGTCAATTCTGACTGTGATGACAATGAGACTTGCCATGAGCATAAGTGTGAATTCAAGCACAAGGCCAAGTGGTGTAAGTCTGATTCCGACTGCCAATGGGATGAGGTTTGCCAAGACCACAAGTGTGAGAGGAAAGAGAAGTATGAACACAAACCTGAGCATGAACACAAACCCGAGCACGATAACTGGCCTGAGCATAAGCATAAGCCTGAGCATGAACACAAGCCTGAGCACGACAACTGGTCTGAGCACCAGAAAAAACCTGAGCACGACAACTGGCGTGAGCACCAGAACAAACCCGAGCAAGACAACTGGCGTGAGCATAAGCATAAGCCTGAGCACGACAACTGGCGTGAGCATAAGCATAGGCCTGAGCACGACAATTGGCACGGGGATAAGCCTGAGCAAGACAACTGGCGTGAGCATAAGCATAGGCCTGAGCACGACAATTGGCACGGGGATAAGCCTGAGCACGACAATTGGCGTGAGCACCAGAACAAACCTGAGCACGACAACTGGCGTGAGCATAAGCATAAACATAAGCCTGAGCACGACAATTGGCACGGGGATAAGCCTGAGCACGACAATTGGTCCGGAAACCAGAATAACAATTGGTCCGGGAACCAGAATAACAAACCCGAGCAAGGCAATTGGTCCGGAAACCAGAATAACAATTGGTCCGGGAATCAGAACAACAAGCCCGAGCAAGGTAATTGGTCTGGGAACCAGAACAATAAGCCTGAGCAAGGTAATTGGTCCGGAAACCAGAATAACAATTGGTCCGGGAACCAGAATAACAAACCTGAGCAAGGTAATTGGTCCGGAAACCAGAACAACAATTGGTCTGGAAACCAGAACAACACTGAGCAAGGTAATTGGTCCGGGAACCAGAACAATAAGCCTGAGCAAGGTAATTGGTCTGGGAACCAGAACAACACTGAGCAAGGTAACTGGTCCGGGAACCAGAACAATAAGTCTGCGCAAGGTAAGGAGCACGAGCATAGCAAGAAGCTCAAGAGCGATAAGGAACAAGAGCACGGCAAGCCCAAGAACAACAAGGAGCAGGAGCATGGCAAAAAGCCCATGAACAACAAGGAACACGAGCATGGCAAGCCTAAGAACAACAAGGAGTACGAGCACGGCAAGCATAAAAACAACAAGGAACAAGAGCACGGCAAGCCTAAGAACAATAAGGAGCACGAGCACGGCAAGAACCCCAAGAATAATAAGGAACATGAGCACGAGCACGGCAAGAAGCCCGAGAACCAGAACAACAATTGGTCCAAGCATCAGAACAAGCCTGAGCACGGCAAGAAGCCCGAGAACCAGAACAACAATTGGTCCGAGCATCAGAACAAGCCTGAACAAGGCAATTGGTCCGGGAACCAGAATAACAATTGGTCTGAGCATCAGAATAAGCCTGAGCACAGCAAGAAGCCCGGGAACCAGAATAGCAATTGGTCTGAGCACCAGAACAAGCCTGAGCAAGGCAATTGGTCCGGGAACCAGAATGAAAATTGGTCTGAGCATCAGAATAAGCCTGAGCACGGTAAGAAGCCCGAAAACCAGAACAATTGGTCTGAGCATCAGAATACGCCTGAGCAAGGCAATTGGTCCGGAAACCAGAATAACAATTGGTCTGAGCACCAGAATAAGCCTGAGCAAGGCAATTGGTCTGGGAACCAGAACGACAATTGGTCTGAGCATCAGAACAAGCCTGAGCACGGCAAGAAGCCCGAGAACCAGAACAATTGGTCCGAGCACCAGAACAAGCCTGAGCAAGGCAATTGGTCCGAGCATCAAAATAGCAAGTCTAAGCATCAGAATAAGCCTGCGCAAGACAATTGGTCCGGAAACCAGAACGACAATTGGTCTGAGCATCAGAATAAGCCTGAGCAGGGCAATTGGTCCGAGCAACAAAATAGCAAGTCTAAGCAGGGCAAGGGACACGAGCACGGCAACAAGCCCGAGAACCAGAACAGCAATTGGTCCAAGCAACAAAATAGCAAGTCTGAGCAAGGCAAGGGGCACGAGCATGGCAAGAAGCCCGAGAACCAGAATAACAATTGGTCTCAGCATCAAAACAATAAGTCTGAGCAGGGAAAGGGGCACGAGCATGGCAAGAAGCCCGAGAACCAGAATAACAATTGGTCTCAGCATCAAAACAATAAGTCTGAGCAGGGAAAGGGGCACGAGCATGGCAAGAAGCCCGAGAACCAGAATAACAATTGGTCTCAGCATCAGAATAAGCCTGAGCAAGGCAATTGGTCCGAGAGCCAGAATAAAACTGAGCAAGGCAATTGGTCCGAGCATCAAAACAGCAAGCCTGAACAAGGTAAGGGGCTCGAGCACGGCAAGAAGCCCGAGAACAATAAGGAGCACGAGGAAGAGCATAAAAAGTGCAACTATGATGCCGATTGTCAACGGGATGAGACTTGCGAGGACCATAAGTGCGAGAAAATGAAGTCCTGCCACTATAATGATGACTGCGCACGGAATGAGATTTGCAAAGATCACAAGTGTAAGAAGATGACATCTTGCGACTTCGATGCGGACTGCAAACGGGATGAGACTTGCAAACATCACAAGTGCATCAAGAAGAAGTTCTGCAACTATGATGCCGACTGTGAACGAGATGAGGCTTGCAGAGATCACATGTGTGACAAGGTTAGATCCTGTAACTACGATGCTGATTGTGAGCGAGATGATGTTTGCAAAGAGCACAAGTGTGAGAAGAAGAAGTCCTGCAATTACGACACTGAATGCGAACGGGATGAGGTTTGTAGAGAGCACAAGTGCGAGAAGTCGAAGGCCTGCTACTATGATGCTGACTGTGGACGGGATGAAGTCTGCAGAGAGCACAAGTGCGAGAAGTCGAAGGCTTGCTACTACGATTCCGACTGCGCCCGGGATGAGAATTGCAGAGATCACAAGTGTGAAAAGAAGAAGGCCTGCTACTACGATACTGACTGCGCCCGGGATGAGAATTGCAGAGACCACATGTGTGAGAAGAAGAGGTTCTGCAACTACAACAATGACTGTGAACGGGATGAGATATGCCGGGAAAATAAGTGTGAGAAGAAGCCTTGCAGGAATGATTCCGATTGTGGACATGATGAGACTTGCAGGAACTACAAGTGCGAGATAAGGAAGAAGTACTGCAACAACAATGCAGACTGTGAAAGGGACGAGTTCTGCAGCGACAATAGGTGTGAGAAGAAGAAGCAGACCTGTACGTACGATTCCGACTGCAAACGTGATGAGGTTTGTGTACCGAGGCTTCCAGTTATCGGGATCTTGGTCACGAGAGCAGATGGGCCAGTTCCGGATGGTGTGTGCATAAGGAAGAAGGCTTGCAGATACGAGACCGACTGTGATAGGAATGAGACCTGCAGGAATGGCAAGTGTGAAAAGAAGCCCGACGAATGCAAATACGACAGAGACTGCCACTACCCCAATGAGATCTGTAGAAACGGGAAGTGTGAGGAGAAGCCCGGATGCCGATTCGACAGAGACTGCAAATTTCCTGATGAGGTTTGCAGACAGGGCAAGTGTGTCAACAAGAATGAATGCAGATTCGACTTAGATTGCAAGTTCCCCGACGAAGTCTGCAGACAGGGCAAGTGTGAGAAGAAGCCTGAATGCAGATTTGATCCAGATTGTAAGAACCCCGACCGAGTCTGCAGAGAGGGCAAGTGTGTCAAGAAGCCCGATGAGTGCAGATATGATATCGACTGCAAAGATCCCAGGAAGCTTTGCAGGAATGGCGAATGCTTCATCAAATGCAACTACGAGCGAGATTGCAAGGGGAATGAAACTTGTGATGGCGGAGTTTGCATCAGGAAGAAGTTCTGCGACACTGCGATCCACTGCGACGATGGCCAGATTTGCTTAGACAACTACTGCGAGAAGATTCCCAAGTGCGGAAATGACTTCTGTAAGGACGATGAAAAGTGCGTCAACGACAGGTGTGTCAAGAAGTGCGGAAATGACGTCTGCAAGCAGGATGAAAAGTGCATCATCGACAAGTGCTTTAAGAAATGCGGAAACGATGTCTGCAAAGACGATGAAAGGTGTATCATCGATAAGTGCTTTAAGAAATGCGGACTGGATGTCTGCAAGGACGACGAAACGTGTGTCAACGATAGATGCTTCAAGAAGTGCGGACTGGATTTCTGCAAAGACGATGAAACGTGCGTCAATGATAGGTGCTTTAAGAAATGCGGACTGGACGTCTGTAAGGACGATGAAACCTGCGTCAACAATAGGTGCTTTAAGAAATGCGGACTGGATTTCTGCAAGGACGATGAAACGTGCGTCAACGATAGATGCTTCAAGAGATGTGGACTGGATATCTGCAAGGACGATGAAAAGTGCGTCAACGACAGATGCTTTAAGAAGTGTGGACTCGACATCTGCAAGGACGATGAAACGTGCGTTAACGATAGGTGCTTTAAGAAGTGCGGAGATGACGTCTGCAAAGATGATGAAAAGTGCGTCCTCGACAAGTGCTTTAAGACATGCGGACTGGATATCTGCAAGGATGACGAAAAGTGCGTGAACGATAAGTGTGTCAAGAAGTGTGGAGACGACATCTGCCGGGACGATGAAAAATGCGTCAACGATAAGTGTATCAAGAAGTGTGGAAACGACATTTGTACGCTTGATGAAATCTGCGTCGAGGGCAACTGCAGGAAGAACCCTTACTGTGGCGATACTATTTGCAAAGATGATGAAAAGTGCATTAACAACAAGTGCGAGAAGGACCCCAAGTGTGGTGACACTCTTTGCAAAGAGGACGAAAAGTGCATTAACGACAAGTGCATCAAGAAGTGCGGCGATAGTATCTGCGGGGCTGATGAGACTTGCGAAGGCATTGTGTGTCTCAAGAAGAAGTGTGGAATTTTTATCTGCAACGACGATGAGAAATGCTTTAACGACAATTGTGTCAAGAAGTGCGGCGACACTATCTGTGGGGGTGATGAGACTTGCGAAGGCAATGTGTGCATTAAGAACAAGTGTGGAATTTTTATCTGCAAGGATGATGAGAAATGCCTGAACGACAATTGTGTCAAGAAGTGCGGCGACAGCATCTGTTCGGCTGATGAGACCTGTGTCAATGACCAATGCCAGAAGAACAAGTGTGGAAATGACATCTGCAAGGACGATGAGAAATGCATCAACGACAAGTGTGTTAAGAAGTGCGGTGATAACATCTGTTCAGCTGATGAGATCTGTGTAAACGATCAGTGCCAGAAGGATCCTAAATGTGGCGACACCGTTTGCAAAGATTTTGAGAAATGCATCAACGATAAGTGTGTTGAGAAATGCGGCGATTCTGTCTGCGCCTCTGACGAGGCTTGCGTCAACAACGAGTGTCAGCAGAAGCCTCAAAAATGCGGCGACAATACATGCACGACCGACGAGAAGTGTATCGACAATAAGTGTGTCAAGAAGTGCGGTAACGACGTCTGTCTCTCCGATGAGGTGTGTGTTAACGACCAGTGTCAAAAGAACCCCAAGTGCGGCGACGATGTTTGCAAGGACGATGAAAAATGCATCGGCGATAAGTGCGTGAAGAAGTGTGGCGACAATGTTTGTCAATCCGATGAGACCTGTAACATCACCATCTGTGAAAAGATCCTGAAGTGCGCCGACGTTGTATGCAAAGACGATGAGAAGTGCATAAGTGATAAGTGTGTTAAGAAGTGCGGAGACAGCATCTGCCAAGGGGATGACATTTGCGTTAACGATAACTGCCAACCAAATCCCAAGTGCGGCGACACTATTTGTCAGGACGACGAGAAATGCATCAACAATAACTGTCAGAAGAAGTGCGGTACCGGTGCCTGCGGCGACAACGAAATTTGCGTCAGCGATGAATGCCAGCCGAAATGTGGAACAGCAGTTTGCCTGAACGATGAGGTTTGCGTCGCCGACGAGTGCAAGAAGAAGTGTGGCAACAGCGTCTGTAAGGCTGATGAGCAATGCAGCAATGACAAGTGTGTCCAGAAGTGTGGCGACATTGTTTGCGAATCCGATGAGACCTGTAATATCACCGTCTGTGAAAAGAACCTGAAGTGCGGTGGCATTGTCTGCCAGAATGATGAACTTTGCGACAACAACAACACTTGTCAGAAGAAGTGCGGAGATGCTGTCTGCCAGGGTGATGAGCTCTGCAAAAACACAAAATGTCAAAAGAAGTGCGGAATCATTGCCTGCGAGGACACTGAGGTTTGTAGTAACGACATATGTGTCAAGAAATGCGGAAGCGGCGCCTGCCAAGTGGATGAGACTTGCTTGAATGACAATTGTGTCAAGAAGTGCGGTACCAGCGTCTGCCAAGACAACGAGACCTGCGTTGAAGATACGTGTCAGAAGAAGTGCGGAACCATTGTCTGCCAATCCACTGAGGCATGTGTAAACGACCAGTGTGAGAAGAAGTGTGGTGACAGCGTCTGTCAGGGCGATGAGACTTGCCTTTTCGACAAGTGCGAGAAGAAATGCGGAACCGCTATCTGCCTATCCACCGAGGCTTGTGTAAACGACAAGTGTCAGCCGAAGTGCGGTGACAGCGTCTGTGACGACAGTGAGCTCTGTCAGAACGATAAGTGCGAGAAGAAATGCGGTACCGTTATCTGTGAGTCTACTGAGGCTTGTGTAAACGACAAGTGTCAGAAGAAGTGCGGTGACAGCGTCTGTGAAGACAGCGAGGTCTGCTTGGACAGCAAGTGCCAGAAGGGGTGTGGTTCGAGTGTCTGTCAGTCTGATGAGACTTGTGTAAACGACAAGTGTCAGAAGAAATGCGGCGGCACCATTTGCCAAGATACTGAGATCTGCGAAAATGATCAATGCAAACCTAAGTGCGGACTCTCAGTTTGTTTGAGCGACGAGAGTTGTGTTATCGACATATGCGTCAAGAAATGTGGAACTTCAGTTTGCTCGAGTGATGAGAGCTGCGTCGATGATAAGTGCGAGAAGAAGTGTGGCAACACCACTTGCGGCAGTGATGAGACTTGCGAAGTTGACGTTTGTATCAAGTCGAAGTGTGGCACTGCAACATGTGGCATTGACGAGCTATGTGTCAATGAGTCTTGTGTTAAGAAGTGCGGTGACACCACCTGTGCCTTAGACGAGAGCTGCGTCGCTGATAAGTGCGAGAAGAAGTGTGGAAACACTACTTGCGGCAGTGATGAGACTTGCGAAGTTGACGTTTGTATCAAGTCGAAGTGTGGCACTGCAACATGTGGCATTGACGAGCTATGTGTCAATGAGTCTTGTGTTAAGAAGTGCGGTGACACAACTTGTGCTTCTGATGAGTCCTGTGTCAGCGACAAATGTGAAAAGAAGTGCGGTGACACAACTTGTGCTTCTGATGAGTCCTGCATCAACGACAAATGTGAGAAGAAGTGCGGACTTACAACCTGTGCTTCTGATGAGAGCTGCGTCGGTGATCTGTGTGTCAAGAAGTGTGGAGACACGACCTGCGCCTCTGATCAATCCTGCGTCAACGACAAATGTGAAAAGAAATGTGGACTTACAACCTGTGCTTCTGATGAATCCTGCGTCAACGACAAATGTGAGAAGAAATGCGGTGACACAACTTGTGCTTCTGATGAGTCCTGCGTCAACGACAAATGTGAAAAGAAGTGTGGAGACACGACCTGCGCCAGTAACGAGTCCTGTGTCAACGCCAAATGTATTGAGAAGTGCGGAGATACCACATGCGCCAACGACGAAGCCTGTGTCAACGACAAATGTGAGAAGAAGTGCGGAGATACCACATGCGCCAACGACGAAGCCTGTGTCAACGACAAATGTGAGAAGAAGTGCGGAGATACCACATGCGCCAACGACGAAGCCTGTGTGAACAGCAAGTGTCAAAAGACTTGCGACAATACTAGTGAATGCTCAGGCGGCCTTGTTTGCATAGGTTCTCCCAAGTCGTGCAGTCCTTGCGACAACAACAACCAGTGTACGACAAACCAGGGCGATAAGTGTATTGACGGAAAGTGTCAACAAGGTGATGTCTGCACCCCGGGTTTCAAGTGGTCACACTACAAGCTTGCTCGATCGACCGATGACAGCAAGACTTTGAAGGGTATGATTCCCATCCATAACACGGATGTACAGTCGCTTGAGAACTGGCCGATCCTGCAATTCAAGCCACAAATTGCCCTTGATGGCCAGATCCCCGACTTCACGGGCCTGACAGACACTCTGGGCATCGAGGAGACATGTCCTCCCGAGCATGCCCATATCTACAACACCGACGTTGGTTCTTCCGTTGATTACACCATCGTCCAGCACATTGGCTACTTCATTCCCAAGCAACTAGGAACATACAGCTTCAAGGCTAATGCTCCTGTTCCTGACCAGAGCTTATATGTCTGGATCGGTGAAAAGGCGCAACAGGGCTGGATCAATACCAACGCGGACCTCATCGCTGACGCAACCTGGTCTGCCGGATCTAACACTTTCTTGAAGGTCGTCCTCCCTACCGACATTGGCAAGTATATCCCGATCCGTATCCTGTATGTCAACGCTCAGGATTGCGGTGAGTTCGCCCTCACCATCCAGGGACCTACAGGAGAAGTCCTCGTCTCGCGTGATCAGAAGACTACCGATGGGCAGTTCGTGTCTAACTGCCCCGAGGCGAACGATATACCCCCAATTGATTTTTTGCCAATCCTCGATATCAACCTTAGCGTCGACGGCGGCGGCATTGACATTGACGCGGGATTGAATCTCGGCGGGGGCAGTCTGAACGTTTCTGCGGACGCGGACCTCGGCGGCGGCGGCGGCGGCCTCCTTAACGCCACTGCGGATGTGGACCTCGGCGGCGGCAACGACACCGTCGATGCCGGTATTGGCGGCGGTATTGGCGGCGGTATCGGTGGTGGCATCGGTGGTGGCATCGTCGGTTTCCTCAACAAAACTGTTGCCAAAGTAAATCGCGGCGCGACGATCAATCATTGATCGTTCCTAAAGGTGTAGAGGCGTCAGCTTCGTCATTTGTATTATTAGTTTAGGATTATGTCTTTGATACTTTTCTTTTGTCTAATTGAGTTTTTGGTAGTTAACCAAGTTCTTCAGTGAAACCCGATGTGTGCTGTAGTCCCAAATCAAGACCTCATTAGTTACCCATAAGACGGTAGTCCGCCCATTCCCTATATGACGAAGATTTTGAGACCATGTGATGGAAATCCACCCTCATAGATCATGGCGCGAGCCCAACATCTGGAACTTTGGAGGAGAATCTCGTGGGACTGGTGAATCATGATGGAAGCCACTCCTCCATCCAGGAAGGGCATGTCTTGGCGCTTTGAAAGAAGGTGACAGCCTGGATCTGAAGACCTCAGTAATATCGATATTTGCCATTGTGGATGATCAAGATGTGATCCTGTTGTTGTTTCTGGTTTCCCTACACATCCAGCAAACAGAACTGGATGTGGCGGGCGGCTCAATATTGGCTTTCTTGAAGCGTGCCGTTATTGAATCGATAATATTATCTGGGTCAATAGTCATCTTGATTTTGTTTCATCTCAGTTTTTTTGCCGTTGGAAAACTTGATGTTGATCCGCAGTTCATCTTGGTGATACATGTCGATACATGTCAACTAAGGATGGGGTGACGTTCAAAAAGAAGGCGCGTTGTGACACGCGGAAAGCAACGCCGGCTTCCGGCAGCTCTTTCCTAAATTGGATAACCGCATGGCTTCAGTTCGAAATTGAATTTCCGTATGACGTCATATGCCATTAATGGGGGTTTTGAGCTCTTTGTACCACACATAAGATTACTCAAGCTTGCTGAATACTGCCTAGGTAGGCCCCTTTAATTTAGAAGAAGATCTATGAATGCTGCTGTGTCTCTTTTCACAATACTGCAGACAATCACTCAGGCATAATGTATGAGCACGTCGCCCCAGCATCAACCGTAATCGTCGTCCCCGTAATCCATCTCGCTTCATCACTTGCCAGAAACCTCACTGCTGCCGCGCAGTCCCACGCATTGCCCTCTGTATTCAACAAGCCTTGCTGACGTCGCATCTCACGTACTTCTTCTGACATGCCATTGCCTGCTACCATGGGCGTGTAGAGGAACCCTGTGATATTGGTGTTCTCCGTCTTAGTACAAGGGCAAGCCAGGCTACCAAGTATAAGAAAAAGCGCTTACCTGGACATACACAGTTGACTCGGATACCTTCACGCCCGTGATTATATGCCATGCTTCTTGTCATGTTAACTACTGCACCTTTGCTCGTCGGATAGAATAGATGCGGCGTCCCTCCTTGCAAGCCCGATATGGACCCCATGTTGACAACGTTGCCCCTTATCCCTCCATCTCCAGGCTCATTTTTGAGCATCAGCGGAATCGCATACTTGGCCATGAGCACCATCCCCGTCACATTGATGCTCAGGCCCTTGGCCCACTCCTCCGCACTCGCTTCCACAGCCGTGCCCTTGGCGCCCATGATACCCACGTTGTTAATCAGAATATCCAATCTGCCAAACATCTCTCCCGCAGCCTGTACTAGCTTCTCACAGTCTCCTTCTGAGCTCACGTCCGCGCACAGTGAAGCTGCCTTGCCCCTCTCTTGGACAATCATCTCTACAGTGCGCTCTGCCGCAGCCAAGTCCCGGTCCGCGCAGAGCACCGTGGCGCCGTCGCTGGCGAGAAGCAGGGATATGGCCCGTCCGTTGCCGAGGCCGTCGCCGAGACTACCTGCGCCGGTGACGATGGCGACTTTTCCGTCGAGACGGCGAGATGGCCGCGGGGGCAGCACGGAAGACGAAGACATGTTGGAAAAAAAGAGGCGGACTTGTGAATTCGCTCGAGCTATACCAACTAGATGACTCCCAAGATGCTGTGATGAATTGAAATTGCAGTATGTGTGTAGCACTCTTCATTCACCCAGCGGATATCCAAAGTGCTCACTGATGAGATATACCCAATGCACACCCACCACATCACGTACATCAACGCTCACAACCCCTCACCAAAATGGAGTCAGCTACCCAAGAACTAACGCGGGCCGTGCAGCTGCAGCGTCGCATCTGCATACGGTTGAGCTGCCCCAGTGAGGAGGTAATCCTAAGCCTCATGTCCCAGCTACAAGTGCGGTAAGAACAGGAAGGGAAAATAGCTCTCTTACATTATGCATAAACTGTAACTAGAGCCCCAGATACAGAAACCTTGGAACCCTTTGGTGCAAACGTGTTGTGGGGAGACCATGACATGCGAGCTCTACACTCATTGACAAGACTCAAGGCACTTTGGCCGATTCACAATTAGGCAGCCTGATAATTCATCACCAATCGCATATTGAAATCCGATAGTATTTTCTATATCTTCTGTTCTCCTCTCTTTTTCTTTCGCTAGGAAATACCGTCAACCCGTCTCTTCCACAGGTACCTTTCTCTGCTTCTCGCTCTTTCCTCTCCTACCGCCATACCCAAACCCAATCCATTCACCACCACAAAACTGCCCACCTCTCGCTCAATCTTCTTCATATCCAATTGTCCATCCGTTCTTCAACAAAAAAGGCACTTTGGCCGAGTGGTCTAAGGCGCCGTGTTCAGGAGCAATCCAGAATTCGCGGTCTAGTAATAGGCGAGGGTTCGAATCCCTCAGGTGTCATGAGTTTATCTTTTTGCCTTTTTGGTCTTAGGTGCCTTGTTTGGGGGGGTTCGTAACGTTTTGCCACTACGCTTTCCTGTGTGGAGCGTATGTCATTTTAGCCTTGCTTCAAGTGGCAATTCATGATTGTTAAAAATTTTTTCGCTGTTTGTGACTGTATTTGAATGCATTGTTTATCACAGCAGTCTGTTGGACAACGGGGCCAATTCTATCAATGCAGGGCAAATAACCAGCCGCCCCTGTTATGAAGCTTGTCCGCTCGGAAGAAAAACAAAACCCAGAGTTAGACCCTCCCAAAAACGCCAAGTATTGCAAATTGAATGTATATACAGCATGTACAGTGAGTGAGTGTATGTTGCAACGCGCTTACAATTCGTCTCTATCCAAAATTGGGAGCCTGAATGCATAGCGTCTGGGTCGCGGGGGCAGACCGATCCAAGCACGGTATACCCTCAACGTCTCATCCGAGACAATTTCCCAGCTGATGGTTAGTTAGTTGGGGTTCGTACGTAAAAATTGCGGTGTGTTGGGAACGCTTCGTGATGAAGGAAAGGGAAACTTACATCATCCTAGGTGTTCGGATCCAGCTCTTGAGCACAATCTTGACTGCCTTCATGATGCGGGCGAATTCATTTCCAACCTGCTCGCCTAGCGTATCGCCGTGGGATCCACGATGACGCATCCTGATAAACTCGTCCATGTCTTCGTCAGTCTCGTCGACAAGCTGCCAGATATCTTCCATGTTATGTATCGTCTGAGACTCGGCCTTGTCACGCATATCGATCATGGCCCGGAATTTACCAACGGCAGAAACCGATGAACTGAGCCTAGCGTATGTGTTGAAGAGGGCCACCAGCTCGGTTCGCTTGAGGGATGGAGGCTTCTGGCCTTCATTGAATTCGAAGAGCACCTTCAAGGCAGTTCCGTACCCGTTTGTCTGGATCTTGCCCCAGAGCCGGCACTTGTCGCAGCCAACACAATCCATGACTCGGCTGATGTTGCGGAAGCGATTGCGGAAATCTTCCTTGAGAGAAGGGCCTTCGCCGTTAACGAACATGACACTTTCGTCGAAGATTTGAGGAACACTAGCTGCGTACTTGGTCACAGCAGCGATCTTGGCTCGAGTATCATCGTCCTGTCGTGGGTCCCCGGTACAGAAGGTGTACTGCGATCCAAGAACATAGGGGGCCAGCTTCGCAACGGCGCGAGTGACGAGAGCGTAGTTGAAGTATAGGTTGCTGATACGATCGGGGTATCCGTGCAATCGGCTTTCGTAGCAAGCCAAGTTGGGCTGCCACTCTCCAGTACTCTGGTTTAAAAAGTCCCAGCACAAATGGACGCTGATACTGGCGTGCATCCCCGAGACCACTCGATAGAATACTCGCTTCTCCAGGCACTCATCTTCGCCCTCGTAGCCAGTGTTTGCAACGAAAGGAATGTTTGGGTTGCTCTGTCGCTGATGTTCAAGCTGGGCTTGGCGGCCAGCTGCATCCAATACGTTCTTGAAATCCAAAGCAGCGGGTTCGGTTGGCCGATGTGAAATGCCAAGGTCGGCAGATTTTGGAAAGGAGCTCTTCTTAAAGCAGTTTTCCAAATAGATGGCGTCCCAGACCTGCTTTGAACTTTGACCACCATATCCAGTAAACCGCTCCGGGTTGCGCAACAAGCTGACATAGTCTCCCTTGGAGGCTGCACCTTCGTCGTCCAGCACGCAGTAATCCCTGTCGTCGCACTCGTCGTCGTATTCAACCACACAACTTTCTCCCACATCTTCGCCCAATTCTCCTTGTAGCGGCCGATCCGGGTGTTGCCTCTGCATTGTCTTGCCCGGATGCTTCGCTCTAGGACCCTCCAGCTTGCTAAGCTCGTGGGCCCTCCAAATTTCGGGGATATCCTCTTCATTGTCTAGTGTCTCGACGGCGCAGGCGATGTTGCCGCACATGCCATCTTCGTCGTTCCAGAATGGACATGTTTTGTGGAAAAGGTTCATGCGATAATGCGAAAAGAAATCGGTCGTGTGAACAAGCTCGTCTATCACCGGCTTCACCTTGACGTTGAGTCTATCGAGCGTACCATACGAGACGCATCCATCGTCGATGATGGCGTTTGGTGAAAACTAAAAGAGGCAGACCTGTCAGCGCAAAGCAATTGTGGTAGGGGAGGCGAAATTGGGCGGTCGTACAGGACAGGAGTCGGTAGAGCCCGAACATGCACCCGGTGTCGCCCAAAGGGCAAACACTGAGAGGAAAAACAGGTTGCTCGCGGATTTCATTCTGTATCCAGCAGAAGAAACTTCTTGTTGCGACAAGTTCTATGGGTTAATTGTTGGAAGAACGATTGGCATCGCTTCACGGAGCGAGGGTCCGAAACAGCCGCCGGATGGAAGATATGCGGTTCCCCGGAGTATTGCACTATGACGGCTGATGTAACGTAGCTTGATGAAGAGTCCCAATTAATGCGACCCAGATAACAAGGTGGTAAAAGCGAAAGAGGAGGCAGATAGAGAAGGGCTGCCAGTCCAATTCGTAAAGAAGGTTGACTGATTGAAGCCTATTGACAAGCCACAGCAAGTAAATGCAACTTGGAGCCACAATAGCAGCGCTTCCAAGGCTCACGGCAGGGGGATATGCAAAATCTTATATAGAAAAAAGGAAAAAGAAAACAAGACACCTGCAAAAGAATAAAGAACAAGAAGCTGCACCGGAGACTTTACAGCCTTCTTGCTGACATATCATGAGATGTTCCTCAAAGGGGAAAGATGCCACGCTGGCGATCCGGATGCTTAGAAACGGCGTTTTGCGTTGGAAAAAAAATGGCCTCTTTTACGGAGCACGGTGTACCAGGTACCACCAGCCTACCGCAGTTAGTGGTGGCGCGGGGGAAGGAAAAAGAGAGAGACAAGGGCGATTCTCTCACTGGACGCCAGCCAATGGTGGGCGCAGCAAATGGCAGTTTGTTTGACGCCACCAACGCGAGACAAAGTTAAGGCCGTGAAATGTGTCCCTAAGGCAAACATGAAGCCAAAAGTCAGGGCATATGCCGATTATTGGTCTGGATTGACGCTATTAATAAATTGAAACCTCAAGCCTGCAGATTGCATCACCTACAGGTACGAGCTTCTGGGCTGGTATAAAAGATAAAACGAGGCGGCGTCGCTTCTGGTGAGGCCATCCATCATCATAGGATCAGCCCACCAGACCAGCCGAGATACAATTGAGACGCCTTCCGCTTTGAGCACCTTGACTTATCACCTACCTTGCTGGTGATACGGCGCATTACTGCTTACTACCACCACTGTATTCTCGTGTAGAATGGACGCTGTCTGCCTCCAGGTACTCGGTACCAAGGCGGTAGAATACCTATATGACTCCTGAGCAAACCTTCTCATCTCTGCATGCCTGCCTACTAGCACTTACACGTGTTTTCATGGCGTGACATGGCACGGTAAGGTTTGATCCATGAGGAGGTGAAGACGACCGTTTCTCAAAGTAGACACGTAGACGATATGAAAACAAGCAGACGTCGTTTTGCGGAATGCGCTGGTTCGGTTGCTGCGCTCTTCCTGCTGAACACTGATATCATCATCATCAACAACAACAGCGTTGGCAGACACCAATCAATGCTACCTCGAATAGAGTCTCATATAGGCTGTATCAGGGTTGTTTGGGACAATGGTTCAATTTCCACACTGAAGCTCCAACTCGTAGACAAGCAATACATTTCCCAGCTCCTTCACCGACGGCGGGAATCGCATATTCATTAATAGGTAGGATATGTATCTGGCATGCCGCTCTGGCACTTTCATTCCTCTCTCCATGGACAGAGCACCAAGAACAGCTGTTTCCCACAGTGTTTCCCCAGAATCGGCCGTGGTTAGACTAAAATACTGCCAGTATATATCAGTTCCTAGACCATTCTTCAATTCTTCAACTACCTCTACACAAGGCTAACCAATCGTCCAATGCGTCCTTCCTGTAGCACTAGTCATCCTCCAAAGTGTCAACTCATCTGGCTACCAGCTTACATTCAACCCCAGATACCTATGGGGGAGTGAAGAGTTCTTGTCACAAGATATGGAAATCATCGAGACGTGCGCCAAATCACATGGTTCATGCTCGCAGCTTTGACATATGCATCCACATATCGCTTGTCCAAACTCGAAACCAAGGCTTGCACGCGGCTCTCAGGTTGCCACAGACAAGGAACTCAAGGCAGAGCGAGGGCGAACATGGCAGGGTCGCGAGGGAGTGCCCACCCGGTTCGCAGGCTTATTAACCCAACATTATCGTAGTATGCAGACCGTAAAAATCGTAATGGGACATTAAACAAAGAGACTCTTCAAGCAGCACGAGTCGACGCGGAAAAGCCGGAGCTATCGTACACAACTGAGCGAAGGGGATGTTTGTTTAACGAGAGCTCACTGAGGAGGCTGGTAGTTGAGAGGTCGCCTTTCCATCGGTTAGATAATACTGCTCTCGGGTGGCTTGTACACGATTGAACAATGGCATGGCAATACTCACTTGAAAAGGAGAATATGCGGCTCCGGCTCATGGACCTCGTAGTGCTCCCAGCCGAGACTCTAAATGCAGAGAAGAAACTGGTGTCAGCTTGTCGCATTCTTTGCTCCTTCGCCCTTTTGTCTGCGGGGGATCCGCGGTAAGGAGAGGGAAAAAAAGCTGCCCCTCACCTGTGTCATTCCCATGGCCCTCCACTCGTCCTCCCAGAGAAGCTTCAGTGTGCCCTTGGCAGAATCATGGTATTCCTTTGGAATCGCCTTGAGCATCATCTTGGGTAGTTGGACATGGCGGTACTCGAATTCGCTGTCGTTGTATCTGTTGACCATTGACGTCTTAGCTTTCTGGTGCCACCTCCCCAATGCGCCGTTTCACAGATTTTTTTTTTCTCTTCCCTCCTGGCCAGAGTCGACAGCCAATTCTTCCGCAAAGACTCACCTCTCTGAGTATCGGATGGCATCTACAAATTCTTCAAGTCGGGCTCGTTCCGAGTCGGTCAGGGGACGCGGAGTCTTGTTCCGCCGGCTCATGTCGATATCCATTTTGATAGTTTTTTAGATTTTTTTTTTCTGGCTTCTCTAGCACAAATCGTCGACCGCGTAGCGCGACCGTTTGTTGACAAGTCGTACAAGTTGGAGGGAATCGTTTCGAGGAAAGACCGCTGGAGACTTGTTCAATTCTTGATTATATCGTCTCGAGATGATGAAATTATTCGGCTTCAAGTTCGGCTTGCGGTGAAAGTCGAAGGTAACGAGGTACAGCGTATCGATCAGAGCAGGCAAGAAGCTTCTGGCAGATCGAAAGAGTGGTGGAGTCGCGTGGCGCGTGAGTCACGGCGGCAAGCTGCAAAGGAAGGCGCGATAACAAGGAAAGCGCAAGAATGAATCACGGCCAAGCAGACAGACAATGAACACGAGACCTGGGCGGGTGGATTGTGGGAGGAAGATTGGGGGATAAAGTAAACAAATCCAGCGCTTGCGCCGTTTCTCGAATCGTCGAAGCCCAAAAATCGACCCCTGGTCCGTGGGCCGCTAATGATGGGCGGCTCCGTTGGCGGTGCAGGGGGGAAGCGGCAAAGCCAGTTGACAGATCTGACCGCTGTTTTTTTCTTCTCTTCTTTCTTAGTTTTACTGTTTCAAAGGATGTTGTGCATTGTTTTGGAACTGATGCAAGGCTATTCAGTAGATATCTGGGTATGAATCAATTTGATAATGGCAGCCCTTGAATACGTAGGTACTAATGAATTGTTCCTTCACCCATTGCACAGCAGCATGTACTTCCTTAGCGCAAAAGCGTTGAGGTGGTACCGAGGCCGGAGGACATGCGGATTAACTAACGGGCATAATTAGCCGGCATGCCACCTTTAATGAGACCGCCTAAGAATACCAGCAAGACCGGGAACCTACCTATCTATGTATTTCTCCTCAACTATGAAATAACGAATGAGAGGAATATGCTTTTCATTTTGTTAAAGATGCGCAGTTTCCACTGATATGTAATACTTCACATCGTCGTGGTCTCTGAATGGAGAGAGATTTGTCATCATGCCGATTGTCTGGCCGCTGCGCAATCCTACCTATTCAATGGGGATAGATGTGACTTCTACATAACGTGATTCCCGATATGCTCACAACTTGGTGCTTACGTTTGCTTCTATTGTGTATATTTGTTACTTTTTCTAAAGCGCAAGATGCATAGTCGCATTCAAAGACCCCAACGCCGAGTGTTGGAAATAACGTAAATGCTTGGTATCTAGCTGTACCAACAAGCTTACCAATGAATTATGTTCTTGAGAGCTTCAAAGTCCAAAGAGTGAACTTGATAGCCCCTTTGACGACGTAGTTGACGCTACTCCGGTGGACAGCGGTAGGTGGCTTACGACATTGCCTATCTTTACCTTGACGCCGGGCACCGAAACCTCCCATGACTTGAGAGACTGAAACTCTTCATCTCCAAACGCTGACAGAGCCTTATTGGACTCCTCATCAACAGGTAAATCAAGTGCCCATCCGATGGAGATGTGGAATGCTTCATCAGCCGAGTCCGTACCCTTGGTCTGGTACAGAATGGGCTGGTTGAATGACTGGACCATGTCATTGCATGTATTTAGCAGTCGCATAAGCTCTGGATTCGAGAGCGTTCCAGCGCTACTCAAAGTTCGCGAGCTTGCTACTTGGAGGATAAGAAATGTGCGATTGGAATCGGGAGATTTATACCATCTTAATCTTTTGGGGCTAACAGAGAACTGCGGGACGGCACTGGCCTGCAGGGCAGATGAGATCTTGTCGAGGAAAACATCTTTGTTAGAGGTGGTGAGCGAAATAGGCCTTGACAGGCTGATGTGGAGAGGCAAGGGCGCCCCCAAGTCACTCTTCAGAAAGCTGTGCAGCTTGACTCGGCTGCCAATCTGCTCGTTGACTCTGCATACCAATTGAACCAGCTTCTCGTGCTGGTCAGCCAGCGGATGCCCTACGCAGGCAATGTTAGTCGTTTGGGCTTCTAGCTTGGGTTCTACTCAACTTACACTCAATGTACAGATGGCTGGGCCAGTTTCCCACAACGTGAGGAATCAGTCTCTTGCGCCCCTGATGCAGCGCGGGATCATCGACGACGCTGTGGCGGACGGTGGACGCATACAGATCATGGAATGCCGCGGGCAAAGGTGGCAGCCCAGATTCGGAGCTTGACGGAGCGCTCGGGACGTCTGGCTGTGTTCCGGAGCCCGGCGAGCGCTTACGCCGTTTGGCCGGCGGTGCCGATGGCGCTTCATCGTTTTCGCTGTCGGAATGTGATGATGACGATGAGGAGTAGTCGACCAGAGCCATTTGCAGGTGATGCTGTCACGGCGAGAGCATTACCAACTAAAGTCGAAAAAAAGAGTGATGCATGTACTTCTGCCTGGTCGGGTGCATGTACTAGGTACCTATTACGAGGCAACGCGATCTTGCGTGTATCGCTAACAACTGAGGAAAATAATAGCGACTGTTCCAGAATCCCCTTGCAGGCGTGCCCTTACATAAGCCGGGCTGCAGGCGACATGTGCTCTACCGTGCCTTATCTTACATGTACTTTATCCAGCGGATCGGTACCAATAATGGTTCTCTCCATCTATACTAATGTAGCCGAAAATAGCGACTGTGCTGTGAGGCTGACACACTTGACGCAGATGAGACGCAACCGCATCCATTTCTCTTCTTGAAAGGAATTAATATGTCTATTGGTGTCAGGATCGGGATGAAGCTGAATGAAGACACTGAGCGCTAGCAATCGCGGCCAGCGCTGACAAGAAGACGTGGCGCAAGCCTGCCCCTGTTGGTTTGGTTGGGAGTGTGTTGGATGGCCCCCAAATGTCCACATCGATTTTTGGTTTTCCCCATGTTTTGTCTTCATTGTTGAGTGTACGAGCAGAGTTCAGGTCGGTGGGTATGATGGGTCCTCCTTGAGGATCATCTGGCTTCTAGCCTGGCATGTTGAGAAAGTAAGTCGTCTTTTTGGCGTCGAAGAGGGAAGGAGAACAAGAACTCAAGATAAGGAGTCAGACAGTGTGAGCAAAGGTTCTGTGTTCGGGTATTACCTTATTGAGACACCAACGGCCACAACAAGGTAGATGAAAGCAGTAAAGGCCGCGCGCACATCCAGTGAGACCTAGCAGCGCTCATCAGCGGCCTTTGTGTATATTTAGCATCCGCGTAGAGCTGTGCGACTACCAGAACAGCTTTCTCCAATAGCTCTCATGAGAGGCTCATGTAGTACCTATTTGTCCATCTTGATGCAAGATCAAACGGGTAGATCTATAGCCGGTCAGGCGCCAGGGAAATGGTAGCGCCGGGGATGTTAACAGTCTCTCGACACTGTATGGCTTTACGTGGCTTCACATTATTTCCCCGTCCAGAAGCCCAGCCAACACGTCAATCCAGCTTCCCGCGAATGGAGGCGTCTAGCTCGCCAGCGTCTCCGAATCAAGCCAGTTACACCATTATGATCCGTCATCGCGGGCTGTAGCGATTCCACCTGACAGCTCAGCGCTGAGACACAGTTGAAGGAGAATGGCCCGATTCTCTCCGCCAGGGTCCAGGCTGAAGCAGGGCTGGACTCGTTAGGGCGCCTCTTTGCAGTGACGGACACGAGGGCAAGGAAAGCCACCCAACAGTTGTGCGAGAATGGGTGACGACTACTGCAGGGCGGTCACCTCGAATCCATCGACTTACATGGCCGCAGCCCGCGACCTCGCCACTTTTCCCGACTGGGGCCCCTACATGTCTTGAAAAGGTATTCCACATTGATTTTTTGGGGGGGTTTGGTTGGCTGCATACATGTAATATCCCCGATGAGAAAGTACCTCTGCCCCTCCAGTATACCCGTAGCTTTAGAGCAGGACGCGCGGATGTCTATGTGGTGAGCCAAAAGCTTCTCGGGCTCGTGGTGGGAACGGGACTCTGGTTAAAAATCTCCCGCTTCCCCTCTCCCCTCCGTCCTCGTATGGTCCCGGACAAACCGTTTTGCGCATACATTTTGCAGTCTCGCTGCCTATTGTAGCTATTGTAGCTACCAAACCATTGCTGTAGCTGCTGTAGCCGCCCCGGTATTGATTGCGCTGCTTCTTCGCAACAGCTGTTACTCTTTCGCCCTCGGTCCATATTGCGCCTGGTCGTCCAAACACCCGTTCTTTTTACTTCCGCCGAGAACCCAAATCGAGTTCACTTTCGAAAACCCACACCAGGTTGACTTCAGCAATAGGATTTTACATACATGGCGATAAACTATAAGTCCTCATCACTGCTCGCAACCGGGAGATTCCACCAAGATTCCACGCGTCCCAAACCTTGGCCTTGACTATAAGTATTGGCCTGCGTCCTCTTTCCCCCCCTTCCCTCTTGTTGTTGTTTACATCACATCTCTCGTCCGTTAATATTTGTGTACTCTGTACTCTGTAAGAAGCCGTCCATCTTCATCTGTACACTTCTCTCTCTCTAAGAGCCAAATCCAAAGACCGGATTCATATCACATCCGAGCATCCGCAGTGGGCAACCACCATACAACAACTACACACTCACTCGCTGCAATATTTCACTCAGCGCAACTTTCATCAGCGAAAATGGCTGACAGCGACGGCATTGACAAAGACTGGGTAAGCGTGCGCTTCAGTTGCAATAAAACAACCTTTCCACCACCACCAATACATTCATCATCCGGATCGCCATCATCCTCTCTCTTTGCCATCTCTTCACCTACGCCCCGGCGGGTTTCGTCACCTGCGGGCGATCAATGCCGATCGCAAGGGTTCTCCAGCGAACCCTGAGATGCAGGGATTCTGGATCCCACATGGCCACCACATGTTACGCTGCGTTTTGTTTCCTTGCGTCACCAATTCGGCTTCAGCGGATCGGAGGAAAAAGCTCAAGTGGGCCAGCAGATCGGACCACTTGCTGCTTGATTTCCTGGTTCCATCCCGAGTTGATTGCGACAGCACCATCCGCCAGCATCTTCTATGTTGTCATTAAGCTTTCTCCAACTGGTCTGGTTTCGCAAATCACGCCTTCTGAGTTTATTTCTTGGACAACAATCCTTGCTGCCTATTCGGATCAACCCTGTCAGCCATTTCGTCATTCCCCACTTCCCACTTCACTCATATATAGATACATATGGATGCTTGTTCTCACCTTCACTCTGCTTCTATCGCATTACATCAAAACTTCTGAAATTGCCCGTCTTGACTAACATTTCCTGACTATAGGCTCGCAAGTATATCTTGGACCCTCTAACTGCCCCTGAGCCCAGCGAAGAGACTGGCCTTGGATCTTCACATTACAACCCCCATCGCATCTCAGTGCAGGCTCTGCCATCACATACTCGCCAGCGACCGAACTCAAGTTCAACCTCAGGCTCACGAAGCTCAAACTCAAACCTTCGCGGTTCATATCCCGCAGCGAACGCTGATCACACTCTCAGCCTAAGAAAGCGGCTTCCTCCTCCACCCTCAGCGAGCCCGGATCCACCCAGTCTTGGGAGCAATTGCCGCCCAATGATGCACAGCTCTGTCGCGGCGAACCCGGAGGACGATTTCCATCCGACGAATCCGTTTGCTTCACCACAGCCCTCCTCTAGCAAAGTCCTCGGGAGACACGCTTCTATGAACCCGCACAACCACAGTGCCTCAGAGTCGGTCAATTATAACCAGCCTGGAGCTCATAGACAAGGCCACAATCGCAGCCGCACTCAATCTCTTGGCGAGCGCTTCCCTGGAGATATGTCGCATCGTCCCCTGGACATAATCAGGAGCGATACCCGAGCCGCTGACCGCCACCGCCGCCACCGGCCTCGCGTCTCTGAAACTGACATCATTGATACTCTTGATACGATCGGGGGCATATATCACCACGGCGGGCCATACGATGCCACCCTCCGGAGCCGAAACCTCGATCCGAGAACATCGCCGGTTGCTGCGGTGCAGGAGTCAAACATGGAGGCCTTGCGAGCCACGCCTCGGGAATACGTCATGGACAGTCTCCGGCATCACGTTCCCCTCCAGGGTACTTCGACTATTCCCTCTGGAGACTTTGATTATCGTGGTTCTCGGATGAGTTATGAAGAAGGCGCCGATCTCATGAGGGAACCCGATGCTCCTGGTGGCCCGTACAAGCGCTGGGCCGACACTGTAACCTCACCCTCACCCGATCCTTCCTCCTCCTCTTCGTTCCGGGGATTCCTAAGGAGATGCTTACGCAGTTGCAGAAATACCATCCGGACGACCTCAAAGGAAAAGGAGAGCCGTCTTACTCGCTTGAGCGAGCGCTAAAGGAGAAGAAGCGTGCCAAGAATGGAGAGCCTGATGAAATTGAGATGCAATCCGGTCTTCACAGTCGCAATCGCCATTCTAAAACGTCCAAGCATCAGCGTAGCATCACTGTTGCACTGCATGGAACCTCTTCTTCTACTGGCAACGCTTATAACAACAACGATCTCCAGCGCCGGAACTCGACTGGTAAAAAAATAAGCGACAGTCTGAAACGACGATGGGGCAGTATCCGAGGCAGGAAGTGATACTGCTTCTTTATACCCACAACACACGAATTTTGCGGGCTTGAACCAACATGAGGTTTCGATGCCCTTTTGTTTTACCTTTCATTCATTATATTGGGTTCTCATTATTGTTCTATTTCTGGCGGCGTTCGATATCAAGGCTGGCCATTTCCGTGAGTGGATTTTTATATTACGGATCGCCTCATTCCTTCTGGATGGCTTTCCATTTTGTGGGCATTTTGATGCATGATGGGGTTTTCTACTGGTTGGGTGGCTTTGTTTCTTTGGGATGGGTTACACGTTGGAATGATTTGAACGAGGAAAATAGACCAAAGTGGCAACCTTTATCAACTTTTTCTCCGACAGCAAGGAGACGGCGTCACAGGTTTTCGGGTGGGCAGGTTATAGAGCGGGATGGTACGGAAGCATGCAATGCCAGCCATATGATGGGTTTCTTTTTGTGCGATATTTGAGAGGAAGCAATATTACCTCGGCAGAATGTGCAAATATCCGGATAGATTTCTCAAAACTAGTGAATTGGCAGTTCTGTGGGCTCTTGTGTGTGTTAGTTTCTAGATTGATAACCAAAATTGACAAATGATTAAATTAACACTTTCGTTGCTACGCACATGACAAGTGAGTGTGCGATACCCCATCGTCAAGTAGCATTATGTTTGCCGTGTGAACAATGTGACATGTATACTACAAGACCCAAATTTTGAAATGGTCCTACCATCAATATATGAACCCAGCTATCCCTTCTACGCTTGTCTAACCCCCCTTGCGTATCAACATATATAGATTTATAAAAGAAGCCACACATCTCAAATATACGCAAGTCCGCTCCATCCTAGCACCGCCTCTAAATCCTCCCTCATTTCCATGACGCCGTCATACCCACCTCTGGTCGCAACCTCAGCTCTCTTTGCTGCGCCCAGCTCATTCCATCGAGCCAGGATAGCGCCGTCTACGATTGCGCGACCCGACGCGGCGGTTTCGACGCCAACCGTGCGGGACATGCCCCCTCCGCCTTCGGGGGTACGGTGCGCTCTGGCGTGGAGGCCGCCGTGGGGGACGAGGGCCGGTAGGAGCTGGTTTGTGACGGAGAGGAGGCGCCGGTAGGCGGATTCGGGGAGGGGCGTTAGAGAGGCTAGGCAGCCTGAGGGAGATGCGAGGAGGAGCAAGTGAGGCTGCGAGGATGATGAGTCTGGCGATGTGGTAGCGGATTGAGATGCAGGGAGAGTGCGTGGTAAGAGGAGAGTCGAGGTTGGGGGATTAGGGGTCACGCTGAATGTGGTTCGGTGAAGTAAGAGGTGGCCTTGAAGAGATTTGGGATCTAAAAGGAATGTCAGTATTGCTGCTGCAGCCATAGTCAGTTTGTTTCAAGATGGAGACTTACGCTCTGGATTAAACTCGAGAACGTGGATATCACCATCCGCATCCACAGCAACCATTGACAAATCTTCGCCGTCAGGAAGAAAGTCTGCCACCAGTAGTGGCAGCGATCCGCTGCTCTTGCCAAGGACCTTGAATGTATACGGCTCCTCTGTATAGCCGGCGAACCACAGGCCCTTGAACGCGTCTGCAATCAGGCAGAGGCCGGTACCTGGCAATTCCCGTGCCGTCGATACGTGGCAGCTCATGTCGAGAAAGGCCACAGGAAGCAGCGAGCCGTCTTCCTTCAGACCACGCACCATGCACTTCTGGCCTTGGGCCACCAGCATGAGCCCCTGAGTGCCAATCTCGGACAAGGCCGTCACGCCGCCTCGAGGAATTTCCTCCTTGGCGAGAAGCTTGAGCCTCTTGTTCGTTTCTGGCTTCCCAGGCTCAGGGATGACGGTAACAATGTCGTACACTTGGACACGCCCTCGAGTAGGCAGATCTTCGCCTCTTGTCAAGGCAGTGCCCACTGCCAGCAGCATTCTCCGCTCTTTGGTCTCTTCGGACACTTCGAGATGCAGCGTCTTCATGCACTCAATCGACTCACCGGGCTCCATGTCGATCGAATGAATTACGGTCCATGTAATAGGGTTGATGAGTTTAAGAGCTCCTCTGGCCATCGAAGGCAAGAAAGAGAGCGACTCCCGGGCCCACTCCTTATGGTAGTCATCATCCTTTGGTAGCTCAAAATTCTCGGTGATGGTACAGCCTGCGATATACGTCTCAGTAGGGTGGTGGTAAGCAACGTGGCGGATGTCGTGGCCCAATGGAACCTTCTTGACAGAGACACCCAATTCTGTCAGGTTAGTTTTGCTCGGCAGCTGCGTAACTCTAGCTATGCCTTCAGAGTCCGCGTAAATAAATCCCCTATCGCAGCCTTCAGTGTGGAAAGTGCTCATGCCCCGAACCCCAAGGCCTTGTAAGCCAACCACTCTGGGGATGCTTTTGCTGCTCTTGATGATGAACGCCGGCGAAGGACCGGGGAGGAACACGGCGCTGTAGCCACCAACATTCGCGCAGGTTCTCAGAGGAACATAGCGCGGTGGTTGAGCCGTATCATCTGATGGGTCTTCGACAGCACTCTTGGCTAAACTAGAATTTGCCGATTTTTTAAAGAAGAGTGTGTCAGATAAGGCGTGAGTAGCTGAAGCTGTAGGCAAGCGAATTGGCTCATATATGGTGAGGTCGTCGGTGGAATGTCGTAACTGGTGAGTCCTGTTGTTAGCTGATTATCAACGATTGGTTGTAGAATCGAATCATGATACATACAATCAGGTAAGGTGAGGAGTGGACTGAATCTCCAAGATCTGCTACGACAATTTCCGTAAGAGTCTCTCGGGTGGCACCTCTTCTGGCCACAAATCCAGCTGAAAGATGGGGAGGTATTGATGATAATCCCTCGGCGATGTAGACAGCCTTTGAAAGATCCGGTAGCGAGTATATCTGTCATAGTTAGCCCGCTGAATATGAATCACGACTTTCAGTAGACAGGATTCCTCACGTGCAAGGCCCCTGCTGAATTAAGCAAGAACATCATGACTCCCTCGTCTGCCTTCCCAGCTGCGCTATTGAGGTTTGACTGAAAGACGCCCTTGGTGTCTTTGTACAGACATCCGGCCACCCATTTTGTCGATGTAAGGCCACCGTCTGCCTTTTCCATCTCTTCAATCTCATTGTTGCTATCAATTTGTGCGAGGAATACGCTGCCGTCATCGCGGATGATGAGCAAATACGGATCAACGATGCTTGCACTAACAGCACGCGGCTCTGCACCTGTTTCTTCATCCAGCATGGGCAAAATCTGGATCAAACCGAGGTCTAGGTAGCACTTAGCATCTGCATTCTCATACCTGGTAACGATAAACTTACCTCCGTTGTAACATCGCACTTCCGACTTGAGCACTTGAATAACCATCATTTGCTTTCCCATTGTGCCAGCTTCCACTGTGAATCCGGCAGCAGGCTCAAACTCTGTCTCCTTCAATGTCTCAAAGCCTGCTGCTGTCAGAGCGTACACGTCAGATGTTTCATAACCATCCAGATCGACCTTGGCAACAATCATGAATTTGTCATGCTGGATGGGTGCGTCGTAGTCGCCAGCCACCCCAACATTCGAACCCAACGACTTGGGAACTGGCTTCTTAACACACATGGTCCAAAACCCTCTGGCTTCCGGGAACTCAAACCGGCCAATAACTCTGGGCTGGATCTCACGGTTGATAATGGCAAGGGAGCCTGCCTCTCCACGTCCGACAGCACAGGCAAGTTGCAGATCAGATGAGACTCCTTTAATCAAGGTGGCCTCCTCACTGTCTGGTAAACAGGCGGCCTGTCCACATGTAATATCTTGTATCGGTGCGATGCTGAGTAGCACGTCGTGTATTCGGAAGGATAAATCTCCAGACTTGGCCGCGCCTCCATTTGTCGTTTGAGGCTTGGTCGCAGCGGAATCGTCCCCGTAAAGGTCATCATCCTCTTCATCATCCTCCAAATCGAGCTCGTCCACCTCCAAAGCCAGATCTGGATCTATGAGCCGAGATTTCCTACGCTTTTCCTGTGTCTGTCTTCTCGACCACCCCAATACGACGGAGTCGCCAGTTTCGCTCCCGACGAAGAATGTGTTTTTCCCCAGCCGGGAAATACATGCAGCTCTGCTCTTGATTACATTGCCGCCGCAGTCTGCACCCACTAGTCTGACACTGAGCCCCGATACCGTTCGTCCGTCAATCTTGAAGGAAATTATGCCGAGTCGGCCATCATTTAATATTAAAAGTAGCTCGCCATTTTCAACAGCAAGTAGCTCGATAGCACAGTTCTCAAGGCGCAGATTTAAGTCTGCTTGATCAGTCAGGCTAAAGGATGTTACCAGCTTGGCCATGGGATTGACGGCCACGCCATTTGGCTTTCCAGATTGGTCAACATGGATCAACTCGTTCTGCCCGACTAACAAGGCGCCACCGACGGGAGCGGGCAAAGCGATAACTTTGTAAAGATCATGAGGCAGGCCAGTCACTGATAAGATAGTCGTAGAGGCTCTTTGCTGTAGGTCCAAAGTGAAGACCTTGTACGACAGGTGATCCTTCAAGCCTAGGGAAGCAGCCGGTGCTTGGCTAGAGGACAAGACACCGAACGTGGGCTCGCGATACTCATGCAGAAAGGTGAGGTGCACGGGGTGAAGCAGGCTCGGGTCTAGGAGGGGCAGACGCAAGACAAATGACGGGGTATATGCTGCTTCTACATTGTCGCTATCTCCGTTGACAGCTGCCGCTTGTTCCTTGACCGGTCGAGGTCCGTCTAGGTCCTCGTCCCAGTCCTCCATCTCCAGGTCTTCTTCGGAGCGCCTAAATGGCAGAATGGCGAGGTTTCGGGTGCCGAATTTGAAGGCAGCACATCTACTGCCGGGATCTGCCTCAAGGTGGTTAACATACTCTCCAAACACCTCCTCCCATGGCGAACCCTGCAGCTCTTCCTTTTCATAGTAGTGGATTGAAATCGTCTCGAGCTCGTTCTTCTTCGGATCCCATTGGGCCAGACACATCTTAGCCGCCTTATAAGCGAGCAGCAGAACCTCGCCTCCCGATGCAGTCTTGTTTGTTTTCAATCTCGCCAGTCCAATTACAGTCCCCGCAAGCGGAATCTCTGCGATGAGCACGAGCTTGGTGTTGTTCGTCCGATCGGTTCGCATAAACATGGTCTCGCCGCCGAGGAAGGAGGATTCGAGGCCATCGTCATCGTTTACTTGGCGGTCAAACCGTGTGTCGACTTCTGCCGGCTGATTGGGCTGAAATTCGGGGTCGAGCTCGGTCGAGATGCTCTTGACGGTAAAGATCTGAAGCAGCGAGCCCTTTGCGACCACCAGGTTGTTGGCGGTTGCAGAGGTCAGAGGCAGGCTCAGGCTGTGGGTGACGGCTGTGGGAGCCGTGAGCTCAGTGTAGACCTGCATAGCTGCAAGAGCATTGCCTCCGCCGTCTCACGAGCACGATTGGGCGATGCTGCTGGCGATTGAGAGAGGCAAGGCGTCGCAAAACAATTTCCTTGAGGTGGGTATGGATGTTTTGTCCGGGGAGCTGAGCTGCACTCAGGCCGGCAGTGGGCTAGCGGCCCTCGATAGGCGGATCAACGCGCTGCCGCGCCGGATCACTACTTGTACCTCTCTGGCAGTATCGAGTACCTGGAGCCAAGGCGCAACATTGGGCTCCACTCATGTATCCGGTACGCTATCTTCCTTAGACTGCCTCTGCCAGCTGCTCATGTGGGGAGTCCCCCCAGCTCCAATCCAGGCACCGAATGTACCTGAAGCTCTAGAACAGGGAATGTAACGCTGGGTAGAGTGAGACAACTGGTGATGCCCCCATTGCGTCACAATCCAGCCAGAGACAACAATCGCCACGCGTTCTCATAGAAATAACATTGAACCGATTACAACAACCCAACAGCCCAGCAAGGCAAATGCTGTACTACAAAACTCGCTCTTTATCTAAGAAACACACAGCATAACACTGCTATTGACCAAGCTCACCTGTAGCCCATCATGGCCGCAGGCTTCGTCCAGGCCGGTCTCATCTGGCTAGCTTACGCAGTCGCCGTTTTGCTGTGTCTCGCCGCCGCGATTGTCACGACGTTCACCTGGCAGACTCCTATAGACCGCTCGGCGATGGTGAGCATTGTTGCCATCATCAGTCTAACCTCTCTTCTCGCGACTGTCTTGCTTCTACCTGTCGATATCGCTCTCGTCTCCTCTACTGGATCCTCTGCTCTGGGTGTCAAGAAGGATTGGGCCACGCCGCAGCGAGTCGCAGATATCCTCTTGACTCTCAAGATTGTTTACTATTCGCTGTACAGCTTCGACGCCCTATTGTGCCTCTTAGTCATTCCCTTCGCATACTTTTGGTATGAGGAATACGATGAGGTCGCCTTTGAGGAGGAGGGTCGCACATGGAAGAGCCGCTTTTGGGCGGCTATCAAGTATACGCTGATTTTTGTTGCCCTCACCGTCGTACTCTTCCTCCTGGGATTCTTCGTTCCTGCGGCTGGTGGTAACAAGGGTCATTGGGATCTGGACTACTACAAGTCGCTGCTGTCCCAGAATCATGGCGAGAAGGCGCTTACGTTTGCCCTCGGCCTTTTGGTGACGCTTGGGACGTTCCTCTACGTCGTTTACACCAGTGCCGGACTTGCTCTTATGCCCATTTCTTTAATCAAGTCGGCTCCCCCAATCTCAGCTCCACAGCTCTCGGCAACGACAGCTTCTCAGCTCGAACAAAACCGAGAACGTCAGCGCCAGCTTGAGTTGCGCAACGCCGGCCGTGAAGAGGGAATGTCACGCAAGGATAGGCGGGAGTTGGATGCTCTAATCAGAGAGGAGCAAACTCTCGTCCGGCGCGAGCGCCTCGCTGCTGAGGCCCAGGGCGAAGGCAAGAGCCGAGTCTATCAGATTTGGCTCAAGCTATGTGCACTCTTCAGACCAGTCAAGATGCTTGGCGGGATTCTGTTGCTGATCTTTGCCATTGTCATCTGGGTATCCATGTTCATCACAGGCATCGATAAGGCAAAGAACTCTGTCTGCAAGCAGCGATGTGGATACATTCTTGGTCAAGTTCACGTTTTCCAGCCCATGAACTGGATTTTCTTGCAGGCTGCCAAGGCTTTCCCCGTGGATTACATTTTGATGGCCTTTCTGGTCCTTATTCTCTTCAGCAGCTCCATCTCCGGTATTGCCGCAGTTGGAATACGCTTCCTCTGGATCCGCATCTTTCAGATTCGCAGAGGTAGAACGGCCCCGCAAGCCCTTCTCATCGCAACGGTCATGTTATCACTCATCACTTTGGCCATCAATTATGCGGTCGCCATGTTTGTGGCACCTCAGTATTCGTTTTACGGGACGCAAACGTTTTGTACGAATGAGCCCGCATATCCCGGTGCTCAGCCTGACTGCAGACACCACCCCGAGTTGGTTCAACCTTGTTCTGATACCCTCGAGTACAAACACGCCAAAGACGTCTGTACACCATCTATGATGTCTACTCTCTTAAATCGCATTACCATCACATGGCCACTGTTTGGCATCATTGATTTCTGGGCTCAATATTTTTTCATGGCCATTTTCTTCCTTGTCTTTATTACGGCGCTGGTACGTGCCCCAAGAGTCAATCTTGCCGAGATTGATGAGTTTGCCGAGGCCGACGAAGAGGAAAGCCTGCTCGCCTCAACCAGCCGCCGATTCGACGCGAGTTGGCAAGATGTCAGGGGGCAGCCAAGAAGGGCAAGGCAGGGGCCACAGCTGATTCGAGGTGGACGACCGCAAATTGGTTAATCAAGACACAATGTTTGTCACTTCTTTATCTTTGTTTAAGTTGAGAAAGGCTTGGTGAACTGGCTTAGTTATTCAGATTGTTATTTGAGGGACATGGGTGGGAATTCAGATACATGGCATGGTTTGGGAGTTTGGAGTCAATATCGGAGAACACTCTCTATCATTCGTTTTTAGCCATTTTTTTCTTTCTTTTTCTGTTTTACATGGAAATATTAAGCTCCTAGCGCTACTCGTTGTTTGTCCTTCTTCTTTGCTCTAGTGAACTGGACAGCTTTATGGCTTCTGTCGTCAAACGCAGCCGCCGGTCCAATGTGCATCTCCCTCCAGCATCGCGTGCAATAAGGATCGTCATCGCATCCTAAACATCGTAGCGTAGCATCATTAAGACAGACGGTACACCAGCTGTCGATGTCGTCATCCGTGTAATCCGTCTTGCTAGTAAGTCGTTTGATAGGCTTATCGCCTGCAGATGGCTTCGAACTAGGAACAGAAGGAAGCGAGAAGGCGTCTTCCGCAGCGGGAGCTTTAAGAGCAGCCATGCGGGCAGTGATGTCGTCCATGTCGGCTGTGGTGCCGGACCGGTGAGAAGAGAAAGTTGAGAGATCATCGAGATTAGATGGGAGTGAAGGGAGGGCGAGATCTGCGTCTCCATCCTGGTCTTCGTCCTGATCCTGTTTTGCAGAGTCGGCTTCATCGTCGGGATTCCCGAGAGCGGCCTCTAGTTCTGCTTCATCTTTGAACTGGGCGAGGATGTCGTTTACTTTCTTCTGCATCTGCTCGCCATCTGAATCGTCTGAGTCACCGGCCTTGTTCTCGTTTTCATCTTCATCCGCATTGTCTTTCGGCACAGATAGTGACAGTTCTTCCAAGAGTGCTTTGACCTGCTCATCGCTTGGCTCTTGCACGGGGTTCTCATCAGGGCTAACATCTCCGAGCAGCTCCTCCAGCGTCTGGTCATCTGTCGAGAACATCAGATCCACATCATCCCCATCCCCCAGCCCTGTTGATTTTTCAGTAGATGCAGCATCTTGAGCTTTAGCTGGATGTGATCCTGATGACGCAGGGGAAGACGCAGGGATAACCTTTTCGGTCTTTGGTGAGCCATAATCCCGATCTCGCAACGACTTTAGCCGAGCAGCGAGGGTATCTTCCCGGGTGGCTGGTTTTGATCTCTCAATCACGTCTACACTAAACCTGCAACTCTTTAGCGATGATTTTGGCTCTTGGTTTCTAGGAGTGCACCCAGCGCCTGGTATATCGTACTTTATGGGGGCTGCTCGGCCTGGCGATGCGCCAGAGCTTGAACCCCGCAGCGCCTGCAGACGTTCCAGCAGCGAGTTGTCTATATCTTCAGGCATTGCGCGAATATACTTGATATGGAATCACTCGTTCACTCTTATGTATATGGAAGAATCAGTAGCTCGCATCGCATAATTCGCAGGCCGATTATCAGTGCGTTCATGTTCATGTGAGAGGATGTAATGGAAGCATGATCAATCCACACGGCGCGCCAAAGTCACGCGCCAAGCTGCACGGCTTTACTTAAGCAGTCTTCTTACTATTTCCCAGCCTCGCCTTGGCATTGATTCATCACCATGCCTTTTCTTCTTTTTCTCACTTCCTCTTCGCCTCTTAAGCAATTCCTAATCACAATCATGAAATAATCCAAAATCATAATCCGTAAATTCAAATTTCGCCGGAGGTGCATATCAAGGGGAGTCTCCCCACTCAGCGCAAAAGTTCCAGTCACCAGTGCTGGTATAAAAAAGCCCACAAAAACGCCTTACACTTGGACAATTTAATGATTCGGTGCAGCCAAGCAGGGCAAGCGTCACAGTCACCTATCGATCACGCAGAAGGATCGCTAATGCGGTGTGATTCGACGTAATGAGTAACCGCCGAATCAACCGGCAATAACCTTATTGGCACGATATAGCCGTCGCTCACCCTCCCAGGAAGCTTCGGAGTATTTGATGATATCATCTCGCCACCTGCTGGATTTGTACTGAGGACCGCATCACTATGATTCTATGATTCTAGAGCGCCTCCTTGCATGCATCGCCTCTCCTAGCGACAAGGGATACGTTCGTCACCCTATAGAAAAATGTAGATTAAATGCACAGCCACTTTCAAACATATTCAATTGCTATTAGGTGTGTGCAGCCGCACTAAGAAAGTCTGGTCTACTATTCCACATGATTCAAGCCAGTAAGCTCGTCGAGAAGATAGCCCGAGTCTAATAATCACTGCCCAACCAGCATAATTCCAAATTATTCCTCTCTATTGGTAGTCGTGTATCATCTGCCTCTAGAGACGGACAAAACAGTCGTAAAAAACATTATGGTATCGGTCATAAAGGTTAAAAGTATACACGTAGACATGAAAGTTAACAAAGAACACCCCAATTTTCACCAGAGAAGCCTAGTCGTAGAAGGAAAAGCATCGAAGACTAATGTGTTCGCCGTCTTATGCGAGGAAGACAGACACGAACACGGCCGCAACAACGGGCCAGAAGCCAAACATCTCAGCAATGTTTCTCAGGCCGGCCGCACCCGAATCTTGGCCGTCGGCTGTTGTGCCATTTGGTAAGCTGCCATTGATGAGGATAGTCGTAGTGCCGTTGACGTCGGCAACGTTGACAAGGGTCTTGTTGAGCGCGCTGTAGCTGCCATTTCCGATGATGCTGTCGTAGTACGCAGTGTTGTTGTTATCATCACAACCACATACATCGTAAGTGCCGCAGCCGCAGAGAACGTCTCGCGTCTCATTGCGACGGCTGGACTCGTTGTAGAAGTGGTAGGGATTGTGATAGGGGTACATGTACGCGCCCCAAAGCCATACGCCAGGCCAGAAGGCGAGAGCAGCTCCTCCAACGAAGGCAAGAGGGATTATGCCGCTGGGACTTACGCCGCCGGCGCGGTAGGGAGTTGTCGAACCACCGCCATAGTATCGGCCACCACCGTACGCTGGCTTGGGGCCGCTTCCTCCAGCAGATGTGCCGCCGGCGTTGGAGCTTGGGGCTCGGTTTCCACTGGTTTTCTTGTTAGGTCGTTGATTCAATCGGTCTGATGGGGATGATGGACGAGACTTCGGACGTCCGAAGGGCTGGTCCTAGGGCCAAACATACGACGAGCTTCCGCCTTTACCAGAACTGCTTCCACTGCTTCCACTGCTCCCACTGCTCCCACCAGAACTGCCGCCTTTACCGCCGCTGCTGCCGCCGCTGCTGCCACCGCCTCCTCTGCCTCCTCCTCCGCCGCCGCCCTTGCGCTTGTACAGATCGTGCTCCTCTGACTGCGCGATGCCCTCAACTCTCACCACATGCCGGGGGCCATCGATGGCACTGGCTGCCGCAGTGATGATGAGAGCGAAGAATAAAACCGCGGAATCGAATTTCATGATGAATTCGCAAGGTGAAAGTGATGTTGGCGGATATACGAGTATGCAAACAAACAGCGATGCGAGAATAAGAGAGCTGAAGAAGTTGAGCACGCATCCGAGATTTGCGTGTAGACCGCGCCTATATAAGACCAAGGGGATCAATGTCCAGCTGGTTACACTAGCAAATTAGAGCAGGCACTGGTTGCAACAAAGAAGGAAAAGGCCCATGTTGGGGGCGCATGAGACTTGCCAGAAGGGGCTGGCAGCGAAACTAGGGTGTAGCATGTACAAGGGACCTGCCGCCTGTACGTAGCACAAACGCCAAAATACGCTCTATGGAAAGTACATGTACATTCGACATGAATTTCTATGGCTGCAGCGGATCCGGTCGGGATTTCTATTCAATACGCTTCCATACGCTACCTTAGCAGATTTTGCCCAGCCACAGCCACACAGCCATCCATCACACAAACGTGGGTGTTGCTCATCATCGGGGCGAACCAAATTTGTCATGATCGCGCGGATTGCGACCGCTTTGTTGAGTGACGGGCTGAGCCTTGCGGATTGTTCGTTTGATGAACAAAGCAACTTGAAGAGGCTGTTTCTAAACCCGCGGGCTCGACTCTCCAAGGCCAATTAACCCAGCCGAAAGCCGTACATACCAAAACAGCACAGCAGGACGCACCTCGCAGACATCAGGGTACGGATTGTCGGTCTCAGGGATAAGACCATAAGCACCTATCAGTTGGAGAGTGCTTTGTTCACTAAAGTCCGTGGCAAGGGAGCCCGGCATCGGCGCGAGAAGCAGCTACGCATGGTGGCAGTGCCGCGATCATACCTTCTCGTGTTGATGCTGTAGATGCTCGTTGTAAGCGTGATGAATCAGAATCTAAGTATAAGAGGCGGTCAGTGGCGCTGGTTATCTTGTTGAATAAAGGATTGAAGTCTGGCCGATAAGCAGCGGTCCCAAAGAAGAGAGAGCTATGCTCTGTTTGTATCCGCAGGATGGCAGGCCCGTGCTCAGAGCAAACATTAGCCTATCACGGCGTGGCTCGGTGTTTACGTAGTCCTTCTTCGTTTTCTTCTTTTCTTTTTCTATGCAGTTGCATTGAGGGAACAAATGCGGAGTCTCCAATGAATTAAGGTTAAATCTAGACGCGTGAATGGGGTCGATAAGAGAGGGGGAAATATGTCCGCGAAATTACCCCGTATCACTAACTACACCTTGATATCAGTTGCGTCATACCAGGATTTCATCAGAATTTGTCTAGAGAGTAAAGATAACCTTTTCATCTTCTCTGATAAGTCTTCTCATTGATCAAATTGAACTGTTTTCCAGCGCGTGTATTTTTCTGGATGTCAATCACAGACTCCAGGTCTCTAACACAACACTCATTGCCATCCAATCGTGAACTCAATACATGCAGTGTCACAAGACAGATGCGGTTCTTTGACCCGAGTCGAAGAGAATGATGCCAAAATGGCATCAGGCGCCAATTACCTTGGCATAATACAATCAACTATCCTGCCTACCAATCATTCATCCATGACGCTTCTTTGATAAAGTGCGACCAGACAAGAGTTTGAGGGTTCCGGGTAACATATTCCTACTATCTCTCTGTTGGGTTGTCTCAACGGATCTGCAGGCAGCCAGCAATGTGGGCACCTAAGATTCTCTAAATTCCGTGAACTTCCATTTACAAACGAAATGAGGAGTAGTTGGTGTCATAGAACTTGAACACGTAAAAGTCATGTTCAGTTCCGACCCGAAGATGTTTGATCAGCTGTCTGTAAGCCGCTTTTTGGCGGTAACTTGCCTACATCTCTGCATTACTTTAGGAATTCACTCATCCATTCACGCGTATATCTACATAGGAAAGAAAATTCTCTTCCGTCGAGGAGCATCAAACCCGTGATGCGCTGGCGTCGAGTGCCGGGAGCAGCCATGTAGCAAACGAAAAAGAGGATTTATTCGGTTGAAGACAGGGACACGGCAATGCATGTTGCCAATCCATATGAATAAAATTCGTCTCCGTAGTCAGTATTGAAATATAAAATGAGCCTGTTGGGAAGCATTTAGGAGTGTTCATCACCAGCTTCCTCTGCCTGTTTTCTCTATACGGAGCATACGTAACAACCTCCAGACGCCCTTTTCAGCCATACCCAGAGACCACCAACAGCAAACTCACCATGGCCGCCGTGGTGGATCCGTTGCGATACAACAATTTGGTGTCGCTTGGGGAAGCGGATGCAGCACGCCAGGTTAGTCGCTCTTCGATTATATGATATCAATATACTGACCTCTCGGGCACTCTGTACAGGCTCCATTCGTTGATGACACCATCAACGGTCCCATTCGCGATGTGTTCATTAAACACGGTGTACAGGACATTTTTTGCCTGTACTTGCAACACCGTCATCACACCATTGACGAAGGTCAGGCTGTTGTCAAGGTCAATGGCACGGCACACCTGATGAATGGCCAAGCGATGAACGATATTGTCGCTTTTGGGAATAAAATCGTTCCAACGACGTGGATGACATCTGGCGATGAAGTCATCCCCATGGAGCTCACGGTTGCTCCTCTTGGGTAGGGTTTCATTCTATCTCAACTGCCTGCTCATCAAGTTTTTACTAATTCGTGAATTACAAAGCGCCGAATCTCGATGTCCTGAACCAGATTTCGTCAAAGAATTTGTTTCTGTGCTTGCTTCCAACGGATGCAACGACATGTTTGGCATCGATGCTATGGCCGAAGGTCCATGGACTGAGATGTCAATTGGCAGCGCGAGCGTTGTGGTTCCTGACAAGAACGTCTCCCACGACTCTGTCCAGGAAAATTTCATCCCTGTTGCTTTTTCATTTGATGCTGTGGACCATGGCTTCAGAGTCCATGGTCGATGCAAAAGCCAACACAGTCATACGAAGAGACCGGGCACGAAATAAAGCCAGTAACTTCTTTAGTTGCTATGGCTGCGCACAGGTAAGGCACATGTAGTGCTACCATAAGACGTTGACGTGTCAGTCACTATGTAACACAAACATTGGTGCCTACCTGGGTACATGTGCATACCCATGAGGTACAAGACAAGCACGCATCGATGGATGTTGGTCGGAGCTGTTGGGCACAGATGGATAGGTTGGGATACATGAAACAGGCACGGACTATGGCGGTCAAAAAAAGAGATAAATATCTTGTTACCTTCGTTCATTCTTTTCCAAAACAATTCAGTCAAGCACTTTTTTTTCACATTAATACACATCTATTATTTGGGCCGTTATTCATGATGACCTCAAACTCTCCATCATCTGACTCAAGCTATGTCTGTGACGACTGGCCAAAGATGCCAGATGGCACTGACTATGATCGGAAACAACTTTTCGATCTCGTTCTCAGCGGGAAAAGCCCCTTTTCAGATGTGTGGGACGTGAAACAACTCATTCAAGAGATTGAAGAGCATCTTGACACCAAGATTGTGGACATCCCCTATGTGCATGATGGCGCCAATTGCTACGTGCGTTTCCCAGGTCAATTGTTTATTAACGCTATGCTGACCCAACGAATACTAGGGCTTTCATTGCAAACTGTCCAACCAATCCGACATAGTAGCTCGCCTGGCTCGAAGTGACATTAACATGCCAAACTTTGATGGATTCCCTCTTGACCTCCAGACTTGCGACGTCCAATTTGAGGCTGCTCTTTACGAGCTGTTACGCTCATTCACAGATATCAAGGCCTCCAACTTGCTTTATTGGCGTTTACCTGTACAGCATCCCGGACCAAAGCAAGACCTCCCGAAAGACATCTTAGGACGTCGCTTGATGGTGTTTGAAAGAGCAAATGGAGATACAAACATATGGAAGGATCTCCCCGAGTCTGAACAAGTGAGTATCTCTGTAATAATAGTCTCTCCTCTCCTGTTACTGATATTAGTACTACACAGTCTTCCCTTCTCGCCCAATTCGCTCATATACGGGCTTCATTGTTCAACTTTCAGATTTCCCCTAAATTCGCGACTACCTGGTTCCTGAAGCGTTTGTTTGCGCAGAAGCCCGACTCACTTCCTGTTCCCGTTTCTGCCACGCGAGAATTTTGCATTACTTTTTTAACTTCCAAAATCGAAGCAACAATTGGGAACATAGGCGACATGATTGGATGGGAAGATGATCACAACACCGTGGGCCCAAGGGCTGCAGCAGCGAAGCCGTCACTTTTGCGCCTGATCCCACACATTATACCGACTGGTGATGCATCCCTCTTTCGTTTCGTCATTGAACATGGAGACTTTGGTATTCACAATATGTCAATTGCTCCAGATTCAGATGGTAAACATCATGTAACATCTGTGTTTGACTGGGAGATGGGATCTGTTGTGCCCGCTTTCTTATCTGATCCGGTGATGTGTGTCGGCCCTGACTTGAAAACAGATGGGAATGCTAGCCCTTCTGTATCTTATTGGAATGAAGCTGAAGACCCAATAACTCCGGAAGAACTGGTGAGATATACGTTGTGGGCAAAGGCTTATTGCGAAGTATGTGCTCCCTTTGCTCAACAATATTTTAAGTAAGCACAGAAACGAAGTCTAACTTTTTATACTTATCATTCAGGTACTTTTCCGCGAGGCACCCGACTACGAGCGAGCCATTCGGGCTGGAAATGATGCACGCTACCTTTGGTTTGCATTACGAGGTTGGAAAGGCGACGATCCGGAGGATTTCTTTGGTGACTTGGGCAATTGGGCTGAGAAGAGAATGAAAGAGCTTGGAGTCAATCAGGAGGAGGCTTAAAATTACCTGGGAAATGATTTGCCTCAGGATACTGACGAATCTTTTGGTTTGCCGGTCAGATCAGACGGAACTACAGCATATCTGGCGCTCTATTCAACATGGAGAAATGTGTTTCGAAGGGCTGATTTAACATGTAGCCATAATTTGCGAGGAATATACAAAATCTAGAGAACTGGGAGAAACATGTAAAGATATTCAACAAAGTGAAATCACGATGGCAATGGGGATGCATTCACAATAGGCAAGGGCCATCATGCCGGCGCCCCATATTTTAGGAGATGCTGGCTCTGCTTCGAAGCGCAGGCGGCCTTATTAGTGAAATGGTCAACGATGAGGAAATTAAGAAAAGTACCAGGTGCCTACATACCCAGGTACGTAGTACCTAGGTAGTACCTATAGGTAGGTACCTCGGGTCGTATTCCCAGGCAGAGTACCTATATTTCCACTAGCCCTAAAGAAACTATTCAAGCCTCAGGCTGCAACTTCAATAAATTCAGCTCCTATTGTAGTTGATCTTGATCTTCGTGAGTTTCCTCTCACTTTGGGATGAGAACATCAACATCAGCAACACTCGCACTAAAATTTAGCTGCAGCTTGTTCAGTTCCGCCTGCCGATCGGCAGTAAAGGCGTTTAGGCTGAAACACGTGTGCACGTACCACCTGTTGATGACTCAGCAGATTCTGCCGCCATTCTCAAGCGCCACCTCCCAGCTTCTCCAAACAACCACATCAGATGCTCATCTCGAGTTCGCAGAAAGCAATTTCTACCCACCTTTCGGCCTGTACCGCTCCTCCAACCGTAGTTGTTCTACAGTCGCCCATTTTCGATCCACCAGAAGCATGATATAGGCCCTCCGAAGCCTGTACACCCCTCGGAGGACGCTTTGAGGGGAGGTAGCGCGTCACGACCATGACCGAAGATCTCGAGTTCTCGTCCTTCGACGAGAAAGATTGGAAAGCCCAAGATGCCGCCGACGACCGTGAGATTGCGCGACTCCTAGAGCAGAGCCAGGATGGCTCTAGCGGTGGCCTCAAGCTTGACGATACGCCATTCGATCAAACCAACAAAGCAGACGACGCAGAGGACTTCGAAGATATCAGCGACGACGACCTTCCTGACGAAGAAGAACCTAGCGCAGGTACATCGCTTGAAGTGCCTGCTCTGACAGACGATGGAAACACCAGCAACGATGCAGACGACCTGTTTGGAGAAGGACCCTCTTCCCCCATCGATCTCGTCGACGGCCCAACTTCACCCGCTCCTCACGTTCGCGACGCCGAGGCAGTGGACGATTCCCAGGCAGTGGACGCAGGCATAAGCTTCGGGGCTATAAATTTCGACCCAGATCCACATCTCAACGGCGCCGATAACCAGGATCCCGGCATTCCTGCCCCCGCCGAATCGATCGGAGATTTGTTAAAGGCAACATGGCCGGCCTACAAGAAAGGACATATTCTCACCTGGAGCGAACTTTTGCCACCGAAGAAAGCGACTTGGAAGGAGAAGAAACCACTCAAGAAGCCAAAGTATTTGGTGACGAGCAAACTGAGTCTTGACCTGGCGCCTGATGATGAAAAGCAATTTCGAATCCCTGGGCCAGCAAGCTCAACTACGAAGGCGAAACCAAATGAACTAGCGGTCAACGGTCTGATACATTGCAACCATGCAAGCGATGGCCAAGAAGAAGATGTTGCACAGTTTGACGTTGATCTTGATTCCGATGCGGAAACTGTCATGGGCTTCACATTGCGTGATATCGAATTGGCATGCGAGGACTGGAATGTCCACATCGACACTGTCGAAAACAACTTTGCGGCTCAACAACTGGCTGCAGAACAAGCCGCAACATCACAAAAGCGCCACATGGACGAGGTTGAGCAAGATGACGAATGGGATGCCGAGTTTCTGATGGATATCGCTGATGACCCCCAACCTCGCCCGAAGAAACGCAAAGCAATTCAGCTCGGCCTACCGGAAATTCCTCGCTACACTGCGCCCTCCTTTGACAATTTTGAAGAAGCAACTAGGCGCGGCGCAAAACGCGTCCATCTTGATATTAACGACCCATATCTCTTGCTAGAGACGGATTCATATAATCACAACAAAAGGCCGCGGCAGGAGGCCAAGATGAAGCGTATGGCGAACGGAAACATGGGCCGGGATATCTCGCAGCGTTTCAATCTCTCCAACGACGAGGCGTACGAACTTTTGAAAGAGAACCACCAGAGTAAGGTCAGAGCTACTCTTGGAAACATTTCAGTGGAGCATGGCATGCCCGCTCTCAAGCTTTCGTGGCCATATTACAAAGTCAAGCTTGGTGGGACGACAGATGAATATCATCGCCCTCGCTTCCGCTACAAGAAAACCGTGGGACACACTGTCAAGTTCGAAAAACCATTGCATTTCAAGCGAAAGCAGATGAAAGGCAAGGCGCATGAAATCTTCCTCAAGTCGAAAGACTTGAGCCTGTGCGATAACTCAGCTGCTGTGCTCTTTGAATACTGCGAACCGAGACCAAGAGTATTAAACAGCTTCGCCATGGGTAGCCGACTTATCAATTACTACAGACGGAAGGAAAACAGCAGCGAGGAAGATCAGCTTGCGAAGTTGGAACTAGGAGAATATCGCACCCTTCTTCCGGAAGATCGGTCGCCCTTTTCTCTATTTGGTACCGTCGACCCCGGAGAAGTCGTGCCAACCCTGCACAATGAGATGTACAGAGCACCAGTTTTCAAGCACACTCCTCGGAACACAGATTTCCTCATTGTCCGCAGCACTACGGGTATCGGTGGCCCCAAATGGTACATACACAAGATTGATCATTTGCACGTTGTCGGCCAAACCTTTCCGTCGGTAGACGTCCCAGGGCCCCATAGCAGACGGGTCACGAATGCCTCAAAAAGCCGAATGAAAATGCTGGCGTTTAGAATGATCAGACACAGCCGATCAGATAACTGTCAGTTGTCCGACATTACTAAGCATATTGCGGACTCTACAGACACTCAGAATCGACAGAAATTGAAAGAATTCCTTCAGTACGACAGGGATAGCAAGGAGAAGGGAATGTGGCGCCTCAAGCCTGGGGAGATTCTTCCGGATGAAAACGCAATACGTGCGATGATCAAGCCTGAAGAGGTGTGCCTTCTTGACGCCATGCAGCTCGGTATAAAGGAGCTTGAGGATGCTGGCTATGACCCTCGCAATGCCACCATCGACGATGATGCGCAGGGGCTCGATGCCGACGAGGACGATGATGATGATGGCGAAGGCAGCAAAATTGTCAAGGGGTCTAAGAAGGTTGCCGAGAAGCAGGAAGAAACACTTGCAGATAAAATGGCTCCGTGGAAAACGACAAAGGCGTTCATTGATGCATGTGCCCAAAAGGCCATGCTTCAGCTACATGGCGAAGGAGATCCTACCGGCCACGGGCTTGGATTTAGTTTCATCAGAACTTCCATGAAGGGCGGTTACATTGAAGCAGTCCAGGGGCCGTTGGCTACGTCGGCGGATGCAATGGAGCGAGAGAAACGGGCTAACGGTGGTCACGCATACAACGTTAAGAAACAGCAGGCAATGTACGAAGATGGTATTCGTGAAATCTGGGACAAGCAGAAATCCACCCTATCGGACACCCAAGAACACGACGTCAACGATATTGCGATGACAGAAGACGAGGATGACAGGTTTAACGTTCAGTCAGCAGCCACGCCGGCCATATTCGACGACGGTACCAGCCAGATCAGCGGCCTAACATCGTCCAGCCGGCATCCGAAGCGAGCGATCCGTATCTCGAGAGAAGTAGAGCTTCCAGACGGCACGACGCAGACGAGGATCGAGGTTGTCCATGACCCGGTAGTCATTTCACAATATATCAAGCGGCGAACTGAGGCCGACTTGGAAATGCGAGAGTACGTGAAAGCCATTGTCCGCTTCCAAACCCTTTCCAGAAAGCCGCCCACCACCTGGACGCAGCTGCCCATCTCAGTCCGGGCGCTTCACCGGTGGTCGAGGCTCGCCAAAACGTACATCAAGAGACGGGCTCCTTCCTATGGGCCAGGGTCTCTTGGTTCATTGGCAGATGTTGTTGGCTTGGAGTTTAGAGCGCCGGCTTACGTATATTTCTCTACAGTATCTACAGCGCAAGGCCTACGGGCAATGCCGATCATGACCGTCTTGCGGGCCTTAGGTAAGCCATCGTCACTCCCTCTTGCAATAGTTGAAGGTTTACTTGCTTGGTCGTATCTGAGGTTGCTCACATTGCTGTGCAGGATCAAAAAGGAACTCGAGCGACTGGAGAAAAACAAGGCAAGACGCCAAGCTCGGGAGCAGCAGAAGGAGCTGCACCAAAAAGCCAGCGCTGGCGACGCCGGGTCTCCTGGAGCCGATAAGATCCCTACAGGAACCACCCGCAAGTGTGCCAATTGTGGACAGGTCGGACACATCAAGACTAACAAAAAGTACGGTAATTCCTACTTGTGCAACCCCCACCTCACCACCCCCCCGTACGTCGTTTGATTGGTGGCATCATGCCGAGGAGGCAGGAGATGGTGCCAGTAGCGCCAGAAGGAAGAGGAGAAGGAAAGCAACTCTTCTCGCCCAAAAACTCCGTCAGTCTGATACCCAGACTAGAAAACAAGAACGGGCAAACCTAGGGAAGCAGAAAAGAAGCAAGCCGCGTAAAGAAGAAGCTCAAGCCAAAACACAAGAAGAGCTGGAAAGAGAGCAAGCTCTGCGGGAGGAAAGAGAGCAACTGCAAATCCTCAAGCGAGAATTGCAGCAGAAAGCTCGCCAAGAGAGAGAAGAGAGAGAAAGGGTGCAAGGCTTCCCTGACCGGGCGTGGTGGAGAGCCGCGGCTGGCAGACCTCACTAGCCACAATCCCGCAGGCTGATACCTGTGATACTCCCACTTTTCCTTTTGCCCAACCTTGCCTTTTCCGTTTTAATGCTCTCATTGTTTTCCCCGCCAGAAGTTTCTATTTTTGCTAACTTCACGCTACTCAAGATTATGTCCTTTGCTTAACGGCACGATGAAGGCGGACAACGGCGCATCAGAGCACGGCGGCTTTGGTAACTACAATGCCCCCGCAGGAGGCGCGGGATCACCGATCTAAATCGTTGACACCAATCAAACCCTGAAGGGTGCAAAAATAGGCAAATTATTTGTCTGTTCGTACGGTTGGTAGAGAGGAATGGCGTATTAGCTGACACGGACACGAAGGGGGATAGACTGAGTGGAATAACTGAAGGTTTCTGCGAGGCGGAAAAACAGAACTTATTGCAGTTGTCAGACGAAAAGCCTCAAGCAAGGCGTGGCCTGGACGGTTCGGGTAATGAGAAAATTGGAAATGACGAATTCTAACCAAATACACCAAAGGGGGGAGAAAGGATGGTCCAGGAGTTGGAGGGGATAATTTTTTTCAAGCGTGGTAGCCCATACGGCTCGATTTGGCGTTCAAAGGGAGCAGGAGGTTCTTTTGCATCAAACAAAGAGTTTGTTTCGAAACATACGTTCGCCATTTTAGGAACCAAGTAATGCCTGCCTGTACAAAGAGACAATGGCCATGGTGGTGATGACAAAGATCCGAAATGGTGTGAACAAAGCTGTATGTGATATGTCATGAAGGCGTCTTGTTTTCTTTTGGAGAATAGACACTACGTAACCCGTACCTGGGGGTGAAGCATGTCAGACAGACTATGGCCTGCATGAGCCCTGCAGCGTGAGGAATTAGGCTGCTGTGGATTCTGAAGGTGCATGATTGGGTCATTGTGCAGCCTGGGCGAGGGTTTGGCAGAACGGAAGGCTGGTTACATAGTCGAATGCAAAGGTGGATTTGGGTGAATGAGATGTGACAGTTGGCAAGGCTATGGAGATCAGTGTGTCTGTATCGGTGTAAGCGATGTGCCCTTGGGAATAGACAAGGCAATATGTATGCGTGATATTAATGGTGATGGTGTTGATCGGAGCAAAGCGCGGCAGAGCAGAGGGCTGGAAATGGAATAAGAAAAAAAAAGACCCAATCAGGGGTCCACGAGTATTTTTAGAAACGCGACCGCAAACCTTGCATAAGCCTAGAAAAAGTGGGGTCCAATCGGCAGGCTGGAGTGGCGGCGGAGAGGCTGAGCGGATAGGCGGCGGAGTAAGAAGCAAAAGAATCCGTCGAGGTTACGGATATGAAAGTGGGCTGATGATGGAAATTCGGAGTGCATCCGTGGATAGGGATAGAACTCTTCGTATGCTCCCACTTCGTACAAGGACGTACGATGGATGTAAAGCGGGGAGGTAGGGGTTGGGGATAAAATGGAACGAAACGAAACAAAGAAAGAAAAAGAGATGATTGCAGTTACAGGTCCTTGCAAGTCTGTCAGGGCTAATGACACAGAAAAGGCAGAAAAATGAGCTGAGAAGGAGGCTGAGCCAACGGAAACGACCTGGTTCGTTACCTAGCCCTGACCACATGGAATGTCTGCAGCATTACGCTTATAGACTTCGTGCTACTCTATTTTATTTTTGTTTCAATTTTCTTCGATCTGAAGGGGAGGGGGGACGCGTGGGGGTTCTTTGCGCCTCCAAGGTTTCAAATGCTGCAGTGATCTATTTTCTGTTTCCGGGCGATTGGAAACATTATCCATGTACGGCTCTTGAAGAGTATTCGCAACATGCGTGGTGTTGGTTCCGAAAAGGTGGACATGCACGGAGAACGAGTAGGGGTGGCGGTAGGGCGCTTATTTGTGACTGGTGATAGGACCGGCAAGGACATGGCATGGCACAGGGCCAAGGTATAGCATTGCAGTGTGCGGTATTCGGAGATGATTTTAGGGTCCCGAAGCCTCTATTCGCTGGTACATGTAGTGCTCATGCTCAAGCAGCAATAGAGGTGCTGGATAGGTAGTACCGAGGCCTGTCCGACCTGGCGGAAACGAGATGCAACAGATAATGGCGATTGACGACGCCTCGGCATGTGACTGTGAGAAGCTTACCAGTGCCAGTCCGAGTAGTCGCCGTCTAAGCGCGTGGCCCCCCAAAGATCCACGAGGCTCCAGAAAGAAGCGCGTGTGGGAGGTGTGCTGGCATTGGTCACAAAGGCGACGGTGACGAGGATGAGGTCAGCGTAGGCTCGGGTATCGACGTTTCCGGACGACTCGGTGTACCCAAGTAGTGTCTCATCAGCACGCTGTTTGGTTTTCTGCCCTTGTAGCCTTGCCAGCGACCAGGGGCAGGCATCGTCGGTGGCTCTTTGGTAGCTTGGCTGGCAGTTGGTGATGAGGCAACGTCTGCAGGTCGGCTAATAGTACCGTCGTCGTCGTCGTGGGGATTGGGCGAGTGGGTTTTCGGCGTTGCATGCAAGAATCAGGGCTTGACTGGAGAGACACCGCACAGACCCAGGCATCATTTGATATCTTTCAATCGGTCGAGCCAACGAAAGGGACCCTCTCCTGGGCGGATTTCGACGACTGGAGAGTGCGCTGTAGCCGCTTTGTGGTGGTTGTGGGTGGCGGCTAAACAAGGCCGGGAATGGCCGTAGCCGCGATGCGTCACAACATGTGCGCGAGGCGAAATCTTACTGTACCTGGATGGAGATTTGTGAGATTCCAGAGAATTTGTTAATCATGGAAGTCTGTACTGCCGTCCATTAATTGTAATTGTGACACCACTTGGTAATAGGCAGTATGCGAGTTCGAATGGCGTACCTACATAGGCAGTAGTAAGAACTGACTAATATATATGCAGACTGGAGTCGAAGCTCCATGACTAATTTCGTGTCAACAGGGGGCGAGTTTTACAAAGACCAAGTCTGCAGAGGCTTAACGCACGTCTACTGACTCGGCTACAGCGCCCAGAGCCGTCAAGAAAAAAAATGAAATCAAAATGCCATAAACTTCGGCCCTGTAGAGACAAGCGTCTGCAAGATGGAGACCCTTGGAGACCCTTGGAAGGGGCGGTGATGGGAGCTTGACGTGTTAGCTCTCGTATGGGACAATGGATGGATGGTTCATGGCCCCTCTGAGCCCTGTCTGCTAAGCCCATCTATGGCGTGATGTGATCCGTTGAATCGAGAATCTGCACAGGCAACAGAGTGTATTTGCGCCTAATAGTTCCATGAGACAAGGCAATGTACATGTAGAAATGCCGCCTCTTTGTGGCTTGACCTTTTGTTGCCTGTCCACATACCTAGTAGACTGATGGAATGGATTGAAACAAAAGGACGCCAACAAAGGGCCTGCCTAAGGTAGGCGGTTGATGCAAATGGATGATGGATCCATCCCTACAACTTAGCGCGAGCCGTGCTGTATGTCAACCTGTTCTGGTGCATCGTCCCCTGTAGCCGTTGGTGCTAAGCCCTTGGCGCCGCAGCCAGTCATAGGGCTCGTAGCGGCAGCAGTTTGTGCTCGTAGGGCACCGCAGCCTCCGCCTCCACCCTTGCTGCTTTGGCTCTAGCGACGGCAGAACCTCTTGTTCCCTATCCATCTTTTTCCACCTTCGACTGAACACGATCTGGCTATTATTAGAAGCCTCCAACGCCAGATTCAGCCCCATGGTGCTGCAACACGTTTAAACCGACCCCCAGCATCGATCAACTGCACCATCTTTGGCCCGAACCCGAACCCAAGCGACAGACTGCCGCTGCATGCATTGCATCGCATCGCATCGCGACGGCGACGGCGACAGCACGGCTCTGGCTCTGGCTCCGCTCCCGCTCCCAGTGATAACGACTCGCCTCACGCAGATTCATCCCTGGGCCCTCTAACGGCATCACCCTTGCGAGCCTCTCTGCGACCCGGTAGCTGTACACTCGTACATAGGTGCCGTCTCCTGCCTCTGCTTCCGCTTTATCCTTGGCTCTGGCGTTTGCCTCGACGCATCCCATCGCCATCTTCCTCCCTCTTCCTCCCTCCTCCTCCTCCTCCTCCTCGCCCTCACCCTTGTCCTTGTCCTTGCCCTCCTTGCGCGCCCGCGCATACAGCAAAACAAGCCAAACAGACGCAAATTAGTCCGTTTGGTCGTCGCCTGGCCGCTTCTCCTCATAGACCCGTCTTACCTCTCTCTCTCCATCCTCTGTCTCTCTTTGTGGGTCCGGACAAACACTTCCTTGCGGCGCGTGCTTTTTTAGACATTGCACAAATCTTCGCTCCCGCTTCACGGGCCCGTTTCCGACTGCGACTGCGATTGCGACTTCGACTCTGATCTCGAACGTCCCTCAGAGAGCGACTAGGCTTTTCGAGTCCCAACTCGAGGCCCGACTAAGATATTTACACGTACGCGGGTGTCTTACTAGGCGATCCGAAGCCTCGAACTTGTTGGCCTCGCGCGCCGCTGCACCTCGTTCTCCTCACAGCGCGATCCCTAGGCGCTACGAGCAATAATTCAAAATGGGTCGAAGAAAGATCGAGATCAAGGCCATCAAGGATGACCGCAACCGCTCCGTGTATGTTGTTGCCAAGCCATTCTCTTGAGCCCGTCACCATCTCGTCACTTAGGCTAACCACACCATCTATCTAGGACCTTTCTCAAGCGAAAGGGCGGCCTGTTCAAAAAGGCACACGAACTCTCTGTCTTGTGCTCCGTCGATGTCGCCGTCTTCATTTTCGGTAACAACAAAAAGCTGTACGAATACTCTTCAGCCGACATGCAGCATCTCATTACCAGATACCAATATGTAGGTTCCACCAGGCCGCTGCTTCGGTCGCATGGCATTCATACCCACTGCCTTTTTTCCCCTGGCTGGACGCGATTAGCTAATGTCATGGCATAGCACGGTGGTCCCAACGAGCACAAGGGGCCTTCCGACTTTAATGGTGGCCAGAATGACGACGACGACGATGAGGATGGCGACGGAACGCCTCCTCGAGATGGAATGGACGGCACTCATATGATGCCTCCTCATTTTCAAAATCAGGCCCCCCCACCTTTCCCCCATATTCGCCATCAAACAGCGTCGGTGTCGCCTCCCATCCCCAACGGCGTGCCCTTCCAAGGCCATCCTGCTCATCTCCAGCGAAGCCATACACCGCAACCTGCCGTGCCATCGCGACCGGGTTCGAGAGGAGATATGCGCCGCATGGGCCCTGGCATCATGTCCCAGCCTGTTGGGCCTCATGGGCCTCATCCGGGCATCACATACATGCCCACGCCACCCATCTACAACCCTGCCGCTAACAATCAGTCCAACCTTATGCCGCCTCAGCCTGGCCCTTATCCGTTCCAGCCTCCGCAGCAGCAACAGCCATATATGGAAGAACGAAGGCCATCTGCACCTCCCACCTTCAGTGCTCATCCGCCGCCCCAGCCACTGCCAGTAGGCCCGCGCACAGAACAACCCTCTCCTCAACCGCCTCACCAACTGCTGCCTCCACACTCCATGCCTCATACCACCTCACCCCAGCCGGCACGTCGTCACCTAGACCCGCAGCCTCCTCCACCAGTCGAGCCAAGGGCAGAGTCAGCAGAGAGGCCTAAAGCGCCACTCATCAACACGGATACGGCTATCAAGAAGATGTCCCAGCGCAAATCCCACAGCATCTTTACACCAATCGAGGAAAACAGATCTATTCTATCCCAACATTTGGCCTCCTTTGCCTCTGAGTCTCAGTCCATGAAGAATGAGACTGGAATCTCTGCGCCTGCAAACCCAAACCGGTCCCAGTCGGCAGATAACGGGGCTACAGTTCGAAACGGAGAAACAGCTTCACCACATCTACAGCAACGATCCAACTTACGCAATACGTCGGTGTCCTCCCTTCCTGATACACCATCCCAGACCAGTCTGAAGATCAATACATCCGTAGGAGGCACAAGACCGAAGCCGCCTCGCCTGACGGTGCAAATTCCTGATGGCGGATCCGAAGCCGGGAGCGCCACAGGAGACTCCAACTCACCTCGGAATCCGGCAGACGGAGTCTCTCACGCACCGCATCGACACAGTAATGTGGTCCTCCCTCCGCCTTCTCCATCCGCTACAACGCTGTTGTCTGCGGGGGCAACAGGGCCTCCCAATCCTTTTGCTCGGCCCGTCCCTCAGCAGAACGTTAACGGTGACACGCCTGTTTCAGCCCTTCCCTCTCGATTCCTGAACAACGAGCTACTGCCAAGCCCCAGCAGCTTCTATCCAGAGTGGAATTTCAGAGGCAGTGATAACAACACCCTGCCTAGCCCTCTCAACTTTGCCACGCCCGTGGTGGGCACCGGGCCAAGCTTCCTCCGAGACGACAGCCATTTGTTAGGTAGTAGCAGTGGGAACGCTGGCACCGGCACAGGAGGCGGATCCGGCTTGGCAAAACGAAAGAGTCCAGATCTTGAGGCGACTGGCCATGATGAGAACCACGAAATGGCTAGCGATCCTAAGCGCCTGAAAGTGGAACGATAGGCTGTATCAGATACTGTTGATCGATTACGACGCTCACCATTTTCTTCCAGATACCCCCTTTGTCCTGTGTCAACTTTTGCTATGTCTTTCTTTATCTTCATCATCTTCTTCTTTCAAGTGTATTTATTAGGCTCTTTGGCAGATGGGTCATGTTCTTTTAATCATTCGGACGGATTTATTGCAGTGCTGCATGAGCTGGATCATGGTTGGAAGTTCCATATTCCTTTCGTTTAACCCTTCGCGAAGGAGGGATATTTTATCGTTTCTTTTCTCTTGTGGGGAGTTGTTGTTCATTGGACGGTGCTGGGACAAGGCACCTTGTTATGATACCGCTTCACGCTTCTCTATTCTCATTTTTCTTTATTTCATCGTCTTCTTTCTTTTGTGGCATATTGAATGGGTTCATCCGCCTTCTTTTGTGGAGATAGGGAAAACGGGATACGAGATCACTTTTCGAATTCGATCAGGACAAGTGATTGGTGGTGAGAAGGGAAGTCTGGAGGAGGGTTGTTTTCCGGGCGTTTTGGTTTAGAAAATGTTGCGGAACAAGAGATGGGAGAATGATGTATTGGTGGATAGTGTTTTTTTCTGCGCTGTTGAATATATTCGGCTTGTTTGTTGAAGATCCAGCTTCTACTCATTCCATTTATAACGCGTGATAACCGCTGCGGTATTTGACTACACGGATTCATCAATGCCTTGTTAGAAGTTACTCCGGCACTAACTCTCACGTCATGGGAACAGCATTTGTATAATTTGGCATGCCGACATATCAATGCCGGTAGTTCATTCTGTGTTATCCACAGACACCGACATTACGCTATTCTTCTGAAAAAGAAAGAAGAGAAGTCAAGTACACAATACGAGGTCAATCCATCCGCCTCTTGGCCCATCACCCTTGAGCCTATTATAGTCGAAGCATAGTTGTAATAGCAAAAAACATAAGGGGAATAAAGTCGTGTATGATCAAGTCATTAGCCAAAGAAAAATATGAAAGAAAAACAGTATCGTCATAACATCAGGCGTAATTTAAAACGCCTTTCAGAATCCACTGCATCGAACATCTTCAATCAGCATATGGAGCTTATTTTCAAGTGTCCCACAAGAAAGAAGCGACTTACCACCTCGCCATTGGCAACTCGGCTGGCAACACGGTCTACTTCTACGCCATCCGGCATGATGACTCGCTTCTCGTCGCCGTTGTCGTCTTTCTTGGCCTCCCACCAAATCTCCGTTCCGGCCGCTGTTTTCACCTTGACGCCGGCCTCCCACGGACTCGTGCCGACGACCAGATGCGCCTGGACGAATTTCCGCAGGTTCTCGTTCGCGCGGTCCTTGCCGCCCGATCCGTCGTAGGCTTGCGATCCTAGGGAGTCATAGTCGTCGGGGTTCTCCCAGGGTTTCCGCGGGAGGTTTTCGATGACGATGTTGTTTGGCGCGAGGACGGTGGTGTTTGTCTTGTCGTCGGAGAGCGGGTCGCTGGTGTCCTCGTGAAGGCGCGAGAGGGAGAAGAATGTCGTGAGAGAGCGCTGGGTGCCGAGGATGTCGATGAGCAGGACGGCGGGCTGGACTTGGCCGTCGTTGGCGGGCATCATGACGGGGAGATGGCCCGGGGGAGGGTGTTGGGGGAGCCGGTGGTGGATTGGCTCCTGGGCTGCTTGGTCGGACGCCGTGGCTGCGGTTGTGGTGGTGAGAAGGCTAAGATGGAGGAAGTTGGAGAACCGCATGGTTCTGTCGAATGGTGGAGATGAGTTGGGCGCGAGTTGGGCTGGAGTCTTTTGGATATTGGCAAATGGATGACGGGATTGGCAAACCGGTTCGATATCAGATATCAGGCAAGAACAAGCACGACGACGTCACCAGGGTGGTTTAGACGGATCGGGCAATTCGCGGCGACAGAGTGCTGAAATGGGGAAGCATGCGGTGAGTCACATGACCTGGAGTTTTTCTGGAGAAAGAGGCTGGACAAATCGAGGTGAAGGGGGAACGAAAAGTAGGAGCGCAAGAGGTGGAAAAATAATATCCGAAGGCTAAATAATCACTACCTAGGTAAGCAACTAATAGAGCCGGTGGGTATTAGCAAACGGCAAGTGCAAAAGGGAATTGGAAGAAAATACTCCGTCGCGAGATGGTGATTGCATGGGGATATTGGGGTTTGTATTTGACATCTTCAATGATGTATAGGTACTTACGGGCATTGAAGCTGTACGAAGGGAGTGGCTACCCACTTGACTTGATAAGAACTATTAGAAGAAGGTAACGATAGTAGCGGATACTAGAAGAAGGTGACGATAGTAGCAGATACTACAAGAGGGTTGTGTTGGTAATAGATTCTACACGAAGAGGCAAATAGATAGTGTAGGTTGTTTGCGGCTTTTAAGACGCCAGACCCTTAATTACTGTAATAATGCGAAAGGTCAGCCTACTCTCAAAGAAATACCTAGTTGCGTGAGGTTATACAAGGTGTGAGTCTAAAAGGCCAATCCATTGGCCAAATGAACAGGATGTTGTTTCGTAATCGCTATTGTACATACATGGCGCCATAAACACCAATATTTTCACGGGTGTAGAGAGGATTGGTGTCACTGGCAGATGTTGTAGATCTAGTAGTAGTAGTAGATGTAGTAGATACTCGTCTGCTGCCAAATACACTACATCTTACATAGAGATTCGAACTATACTAATAGCAGAAACTATAAAGCATGACAACTTCTGAAGCTTCAAATTAACATGGCCCCAGACCAAAGTAACTTTCGCCAAAAAGGCCCTAAATTGGGTATAGAAAGGCTTTTGTGCTAATCTGTCAATCTATAAAAGACTGTTAACATCGTACTTGAGGCGGGTATATGAGGCATCCGATTCATTCCCAGAGCCTTCTGCATCTCGTTTCAACATGGCTGAAATACCTCTACCTCCGGGACCAGTGCCACGCGTAACCTATTTCCGTATAGAAGAAAAAATCGGAAAGACAAGTTTCTCGGCATCCTGGTTATATATGCCCAGCGAGCGTACGTTTTTCGCTAGCACGAGTTGAATATGAGAAATCCGATGCATCGTATGTCAACAAATGGGAACATATTGTTCTCCAGAAGGAAGTCTGGCGGTATTTGTGTGATGGCATGTGTAAATACGGCGGGGTCATCGACAACGACGCAAATACTCTTTGTCTCAAAAAAGATTTTAACCCGTTATTACAGTATCCCAAATTTCTATGAGATAACTACCCAGAGGCACATGCTTGGACCCAGTAGTTAATTTCCAAGTTTCATTTATTCAAGCATTATATATCTACGAGATCTACTTCCTCTATTCCATCTACTATATCTACCGCATCTCCTCGCAGCAATATGCTAGCAATATACCCCCTGGTGATCCATGGTCACTTCCTCCACATTAATAGCGAGTTCGTCCAACTCATCAGCGATATCGATCGCATTCGCTACAGAAGTTGTATCTGCCAAAGTTTCCTCTTCCATCATTTCTTTGACTATATTGGCCACCACCTCTTTCTTCACCAAGAAGGTCACTATCCTCCTGACCCTGTAGATGTTGGTCAAATAGCTCGAGAACTGATCCTGTAGATGTTGGCCAAACAGCTCGAGAAAAGGCACCCAGTTTTTAACAGTTGTGTTTTTCTCCAGTATCCCTCCAAAGCCGTCTTGAACGCCTTCTCCGTCAAGCTTTATCTTCGTCAATACACTCTTGGCAATGATAGATGTCGCATGACCCATCATGATTGTATCCGGGGCAAGGGTAGCAAACAGCTTCCTAGACGTCAATTCAGTCAGTTATTTGCTTCAAGGTGGACTTACATTTAGTTCGAGTGAGAATGGGCTTACTGCTGTATCCACAGCGTGTCGCAGTAGATGACAAATCTCTCCTTTCGCTCGCAAATGTATCTCACAGCCAACTCCAGTGTTCTTATTAAAATTGGATTTTGGCTGCGTAGCCAATGGACCCATTGAGTTGCAGTGACCAATGTTGGTACTGCCCGATCGAAGCTGCACGACTGGTAGAAGTAGTTCAGTCCGTGGTTGAAATCGTTTTTTTTTTTTTTTTTTTTGCAGGAATTGCGCCTTACAAACTCCAATGGCAACTTCTGGGCCGGCCTTCTGTTGAAGCCGGTTGGACTGTTCATTGGGGGAGGGCCGATACATGTCCTTAATGACGTTCCATTCACATTCCTCACGTATATCTTTGTATCTTTCAGCCAGGAGGCCGTTTGTGATGCTTCCCTGACCCAATATACTCTCATATCTGTTTGGGTCATAATTTGGATCATAAAGGCCTGCGGCTCAGCCGATGGGTATAATGGGAAGATGTTGAATGTGGATGCCATGTCAACTGGATTACGCGTTTCCACTTCAGCTGTTGAAATGTCTGATCCCAGGTCTCCATAGCCTTTCGTCCAAGTGGCTTTTCCGTCCGGCAATTCGGTTCAGCAACTCCCGTCAGTTTCGAATCTACAGTCTTTCCGTGCCTTCAAAGCCGTCGGCAGCATCCGCGCCCCACTTGTGTCCAAGCCACCCCCAGACGGTATCTGATCATAATAGCCCATTCCATATATAGGTTGACTTCCTTGCCGTGGTTTTGACACGCTGCTTGTAGTTCTGTAACGCGCATAATTGTGGGTAATCTTGTCTGCAGGGGCCTATATAGTCCGAAGGGGAAGCCTCTTTCTTGTCAGGCTTTTGTTTTGCGCAAGCAGGACATGACCGCTACTGGTTGGCTTGGCGTTGAGTTGATGAAAAGGCAGTAAAAATCCAAGGTATCGGCAGCGAAAGTGTAGAGAAAAGGAAAGACATTTCTACCAATACAAAAGAAAACGGGACTACGAGTGATGTATGGATGCGAAAAGGAAGAGAGAGAGAAAGGAGAGAAAAGGAGGAGGAGGATTGAATGTAGGTATCCAATGCCTCAAATTCACTTGAGTATCATGTCAAACGCACGGATCTCTCGCGCATGCTTGGGATCACGTGGTTCTAGGTCGACAATGCAATTCACTTCTTCCCCAAACGGGATTCCATGATTATATTTATTTAGGATTTAATGAAGCTGATTCAACTTTGACAGCAATCTGGATAGTGAGTCGGTTGAGGGCACGATGTCGCAATTTAATGGTCAGTGATTGATGTAAATGTCACCAATTTCAGCAATAGTATCAAGCCAAGACCCATAATGAAGACCTAGGTAGTACCAGGACTTGACGTCCAGGACATTGTGTCACGAGGGAATGTTTGATGGCATGCATTTTCACGTGAAAGTCAGATTTGAAAAGCAAAAAAAAAAGACAAAGGACAAAGGGGTTATGCACGGAATACTACTCCGTACTGTACTCCAACATCGCTGAGCCTGGGGCTAGCCAATAGCGTGGCTGGGGAATCAGCTCACCGATGCGGTTCCGGCAAAGAGAAAAGCCGTCATCTGACTTGCACCGTATGGCCCCCGGATTTGGGGTTTCTTATGTGTGGGGTATGTCGTGTTTCTGCTATTCACTCCATGTGCTAGGCTTACTCGTACCTACTCGTATGTGGAGGGAAAAAGGCACATGGGCGCGGTGATGTCAGTTTAGGAGGTGTCACGGTCAGCTGGCAACATGACTTGTATGCGGCCTTGACATGTGAAAAGCATGTGGATGCAAGGTTTCGCTGTGGTGGCGTGGGCTAGTTGGACGCCGCGGGACAAGCTGCCATGTATCAATTGGTGGAATCGCATGATCGATTGATTTATGATTTAGCTTTGTCAAATTAAAAAGGAGAGGGAGATGGGCGTTGATACGAATCAACCATGAAGAGAGAGAGGCTTCATGCTGAAGCGCGTCTTGGTTAGTGCGTGCTGGGAGTAATAGCGTGAGGATTCATGTTGTACATAGTACTGAACAAATTGCGCCTCGTGGGTTTGGGGGCTACGATTGCCTCGGCAGTCCATCATGTCGAGCACGACAGACAAAGATGGTCAATCCATTGCCGGCCGGGAGATGCGAGACTCCCCAGACAATACTCGGTGTCCCTTCTTCTTATTTTTACAGCCATCCACCTTCTAAAGAACGCTTCCTTGTAGTTTTTCCTTCTGGTTTCCGACATGCATTTCCTCCTGATCCAATGGCATCCGGATCTTCGGGTATATGTTGTCCGAATGGACGTGCCCCAGTGGAGGTTTACAAAGCCTGGGCGCTGATTTGGCAGTGCGCTTGGGGTAGTTTAGTGGGGTGATGAAGCACTAAGAGCACCGCGGAGTACCAATACCGATGTGAAAAGACGGCTATCGTGAGGAAACAGTTGCAAATTGGGCAGTCCGGGCCGGGATAGAATTCATGTCGTCTGCTTCCAGCCAAATGCCTCCAGTGCTGTGTGCAATAGCCGGCCGCTGTCTTGTAGCTGCTGCTTGCGGATGGACTCCAGCGCCGGGGATGTAGCCAATGTACATGTACTCGACGCCTCCCCCGGCTCCAGGCTTCAGTGGGAGGAGTGGGCTGTCCAACCACCTGCATCCCCACCAGCGCCCAGCGACAACCTCGCCGCGGCCACGCAGCACAAGTACAGGTACGCGCACAGATTACGGAGTACCTGCTCGGCGGCTTACCCACCCAAGGTTGCCTCGGCTCACTGCCGCCCTCGGCGTGGAGCTCATGCCCATTCCCTTATTCTTAAACTCCAAAGTCGAACCGCGATCTGGTCCTGATTCTCTTCTTTTTCTTCCTCTCCCCATTCCCTATTCTCTTCCTTTTCTCTCCATCCATCTGTATACCCCTTTTCTCCTTCTCCCCTCGCGCCGTCTTTCTTTCTGCCCTCAAAACCTTCCTCACGTCACAATCATGGCCCCCAGAGTAATTGTCGTCGGTGGCGGCCGTAAGTAGCCCAAACTGCATTGTTTCCCGCTTATTCTTTCTGCCGCCGCTCTTCTTCGTCCTCGCGGGTGAGCTGAGTAGATGCGCGACAGCGGGAAGAGACTCGGTTTTGACCATCAGTTTGCTGACTTTCGCCATTGCAGTTTCTGGTCTGTCTGCTGCCCACACCATCTACCTGAACGGTGGCAACGTCGTCGTTCTCGACAAGCAGGGTGAGTTTCATTCGAACAGCGCAATTCTTGGTCCACTCGCGATTTCCGTGATGCGAGGATTGGCCATGCAAAGCTGTAGGAAATGCTGACTTCCCACTCCAGGTTTCTTTGGTGGTAACTCTACCAAGGCCACCTCCGGTATCAACGGTGCCTTGACCCGCACCCAGGTCGACCACAACATCCGCGACAGCGTCAAGCAGTTCTACGACGATACCCTCAAGTCTGCTCGTGACCAGGCTCGCCCTGACCTCATCAAGGTCCTCACCTACAAGTCCGCCGCTGCCGTTGAGTGGCTGCAGGATGTGTTCAACCTCGACCTGACGCTGGTCTCCCGACTTGGGTAAGTTTTGTCCTGTGGCTTGTTTTGATTCCTTTATTTTGGCGGACCAATTCGGCTAACAATTTGGTTTCCAGTGGCCACTCCCAGCCCCGAACCCACCGAGGCCACGATGCCAAATTCCCCGGTATGGCCATCACCTACGCTCTGATGCAGCGCATCGAGGAGCTTGCCGAGGCCGAGCCCCACCGTGTTGAGATCATCAAGAAGGCCCGCGTTACCAGCCTGAACAAGGAGGGCAACAAGGTCACTGGTGTTACCTATGAGCTGAACGGCGAGACCGCCAGCCTGGACGGCCCCGTCATCCTCGCCACCGGTGGTTACGCCGCTGACTTTGGCGATGGCTCTCTTCTCAAGAAGCACCGCCCTGAGCTCATGGGTCTTGCTACCACCAACGGCACCCACGCCACTGGTGATGGTCAGAAGATGATCATGGCCATCGGCGGTAACGGCGTCGACATGGACAAGGTCCAGGTCCACCCCACTGGTCTCGTCGACCCCAAGGACCCTGGCAACAAGTGGAAGTTTTTGGCCGCTGAGGCTCTGCGTGGTGAGGGTGGTCTCCTTCTCAACGCTGATGGTGACCGATTCTGCGATGAGCTCGGCCACCGTGACTACGTCTCCGGCATGATGTGGAAGGAGAAGGACAAGGGCAAGTTCCCCATCCGCCTCATTCTCAACTCCAAGGCCTCCAACGTCCTGGACTTCCACACCCGCCACTACTCTGGCCGTGGCCTCATGAAGAAGATCACTGGCCAGCAGCTCGCCAAGGAGATTGGCTGCACTCCCGAGCACCTCCAGAAGACATTCCAGACCTACAACGCCATTGCCGAGGGCAAGCAGAAGGATCCTTGGGGCAAGAAGTTCTTCCACAACCTGCCCGTCGATATCAACGACGACTTCCACGTCGCTCTCATGGAGCCCGTCCTCCACTTCACCATGGGTGGTGTTGAGATCAACGACAAGTCCCAGGTCCTCAACCAGGAGAAGCAGCCTTTCGAGGGTCTCTTCGCCTGTGGTGAGCTGGCTGGTGGTGTTCACGGTGCCAACCGTCTTGGAGGTTCCTCCCTGCTTGGCTGTGTCGTCTACGGCCGTGTCGCCGGTGACAGCGCCAGCAACTACCTCTTCCAGCATGCCCTCCAGGGCACCGCCGGCGCTGCTCAGCGTCTGGGCCAGATCTCCCTGCACCTCGACCCCTCTGCTCCCGGTAAGCTGACCGTCGAGTGGGCCAACGGCGCCGTTGCCGGCTCCGCTCCCGCTCAGGTTGCCGAGAAGCCCGCCGCTTCTGAGGCCGGTGCCAAGGAGGCTTCCAAGCCCAAGGCCTTCTCCATCCCCGACAAGGAGTTCACCTTGGAGGAGATTGCCAAGCACAACAAGAAGGACGATCTCTGGGTTGTCGTCAAGGGTGTTGTCCTGGACCTGACCAACTGGCTTGAGGAGCACCCCGGTGGTGTCAACGCTATTCTCAACTTCATGGGCCGTGACGCCACCGAGGAGTTTGAGATGCTGCACGACGACGAGGTCATTCCCAAGTATGCCCCTAGCCAGGTCATTGGCCGCGTCAAGGGACAGAAGGTCACTCTCGAGATTTAAGAGGGGAGATGAAGTGTAATGGCATGTATGAAAACAAAGGGCTCTTGAGATGAAAATTGGGAGAAAGAGGAGGGATCAATGATGGCATCTACGAATGAGAGATGCGTATACTATTATGATGATTGTCAAGGGGGCAAGCCTTTACCGTGCTTTTGCTCACCACGACGGGCCGCTAGACTGGCTTTTTACAGGCGCACTGGGCTTGGTTGTTTGATATGTGGTTTTTATGTAGTGTACGGATAGCTATATTTGCATATAAATCAATTGTTTTGATCAATCCACTGGCGGTTTCCCGACGTGATTGTTGGTAATATCTTGTCTCTCGACAGACAATCTAACAAGTCAAAGAGGTGTATCCTAATCCATTTGGCCGTTGCCCACGTTTCTCATACGCGCAGCTTTCTCTTTCTGTAGTAGTGAGGCTGGGATGTATGAGTTCCTCGTTCACGACGTAACTACTAGTGCATGTTGTGGCTTGTCTTCTTCAACATCATGATGATGCTGCAATGCTTGGTCCCGTGGGTGTGATAATCTCCTCAATGAAGTGAAATTTGGGCCTTTGAGAAGAATCGCAATATAGAGATACTATGGACAGTGGATGTGATTTGGGTTTATCCGATATCATTCGAAGGAGGGAAAAGAAGAAAAAACACCAGAAAACGTTGAAGAGTCTAGGTAATGAAACTTGTACATCAAGATGGATTTCAAGTATCATGTTGTTCCGAGCTCCATCATAGGAGCCAGGACCAATGCTACCTCTTTCGGTATTTAGATGCCTCGAGCCATTATCATATACGAATACGTTACAGAGTATTATGGCTTGGAATATTATTGACCAAGTATTCGGCGATGTTATCCCTCATGGCAATGTCCAATCTTCACATGCTTGCCTAACCTGTAATACATGGAATATATCATGATTCTACGCTCGACATAACAACAATCAGCCAGAGCCATATAGTATTGGTTATGCCTTGAGACAACTTTCCAAACTATGCCATCTAAAATCCCATTCAAAAGTACGATCAAACCATCCATCGGATTTACAACATCGAAAAGCTCAAGATAAGAAGCGCGGAATGAAAACCCGGTCAACCCCCGCGGAGCTGCTCTGAGCGGAGAACGCACACACTTACATGTAAGCAAGATCCCAAAGCGGAGCAACAGCTCCTCCAAAGCAACACACAAGGGATGGGGGGCCGGCCCGTCGATCAGAAAAAGGGAATTGCCAGGTTCAAAAGGAATCGATCAACAGAAGATTGATTACTACCTGGGAAGAAGGCCCCGCACATGGGTGGTTTTGCTTGGCCCCCGAAGGAACTTGGAGATTGCGACGCTGGATATCACGGATAGCGATCTACAATGAAGATTGCGGATTTGTGACCGTTTGGGATTTGGGCATATTAGCGTACAGAGTGTCGGAGAAGCCAGATTTTACGAGGGAAAAATCAGCTCGTTCCTTTGAAAAAAGAATGTCATCCATGGCAAGAAAAAGCGTTGTGGGCTTACAAGGCCCTGCACACTATCTACGCTATAAGACACGCCAAAAAGTGTGACAAACCAGAGACACCCAAAAACAACCAGGCACCGGAGCAAATCCACCACCGGTTCACCGCGGTCGAACAAAAAGACGAAGAAGGCATTGCACTGGAATTCAAAACACGCCACTTTCCCCCTGTTTTTCCCTCTCTGGGCTCCGGCAAATGCATAGCACAGTCAGCCCGCGAAAGCGTTCCAGGCCCCTTGCGGAGAGGGAGCGTGAACACGGGACTGGATTTCTGGCAAGCCACCACAATGATTTCTTTTGGTTTTTGGCTAATGGACAGTGACATTCTCAATGGCACGACTTTTTTTTTTGCACCGGAAGTGAGCGTCATTTCTATTATGCTGGGACCTTTTACTTGTATTTATTTAGTTATTTATTTATTTTGCTATTACTGCCCAGATATTGATTCATTGATTCATTCGTTCGTTCATTTATTCGTTCATCCATTCATTCATTCTTTCACCATCTTCCCTTTGCTCTCACTCTCACTCTCTTTTTACTCATGTGCCCCCTCCTAGCTCATCTCCGTTTGGGAGTGATCTGTCTACATCATGTTGGTTAGAGCGACAGAAGAGAGAAAAAAAAAAAACGCCTCCACCACCACTACGGCCCCCCGTGATGGCTGCATGGCAATAACGGCCGCTCTTCATCACCGGCAAACCCAAGAAGAGCGAAAAGAAGAGCCGAAAAGGATATTTTTGGGGCCCTCCTTCTTGTGCCTCTCACCCCGTTCTGCCCTGCTCAGCTCCTCCATCTTTGGTCTTGGTTTCATGGCAGTTCCCGCGATCGGAAGACGAGGGCGTGTTAGTTCTGTGTTAGTCGATGCAGGCAACCGGCCCTTTCCCCTTGGAACTAGCAGATGGGTTTTTTCTTCTTCTCGCAGTTCTTCCTAATTAATTAATGAGCTGCCGGGGCTGTGACGGGAAAGGGCTGGCCATCAACAGTTAGCATGCTCCGTGATGCACTTTCTGGGCTGGGAAAAGGACGAGTGGGCAGAGAAAGCTTGTACTACTTGATACAAGTTCTGTGGATGCTGGCCCCCCTCCTCCTCCATCCTGTATGCCCCCCTTGGTGGTCACTTTGTGCCGTGCCGCTTCTTGGAAATTACGCAAAAGTGGTTGCTAGCTGTGACGCTACTGTAGATAGATGGCGACTCAAGGGGTTTGATTGCAGCTGATGGTGGTTTGCTGGTGATGCGAACTAGTAAGACTTGTAGACGCCCATCCCATGCGGGGTGGGTTTGACGCCGATCCGGGGTCGAAGTGAATGCGTGATCTGTCAAATCGGGGGGGCGTAAGAGGAGGCGTATCTTAGTAGTATACTTGGTGCAGAGATACGAGTGTGCTGTGCTGAATCGAAGATGCATGGGAAATCTGCTTTTGCCCTTTTACTCCGCAGCGTTGCATTCCAGCGCGGCACAATGGATCACGGCGTTTCCAATTTCTGTTGCATGTTGTTGATGCCCCCCCTGTTTTTGGTTACTATATACTTTTCTTGCTCAAAGGGTTTCAGTGCTGGAGAAGAATCTCCGATGCTGAATTTTGGCGTCGGAGATTTGGGCAGAGTGTGACTCTACCGCGTCGTGAATTGTATAAACTAATATGTACTTGGTTCTGCCTTGGGAGGTGTCGTGACGGGGTAATAGATTCATCAAGTGATATATTCAACAACTCCTCATCCCATCCACCACCCAAAAAAGTTGCCGAAACCTCGGCATCTGAGAGGCGCTGGCCAACAGCAAACCATGTCCGACAATGGACGAAACTCGGCGTTGGGATCAGTCTGCATGCTGCCTCCTTTCGCTGCATGTGAAAAGATCGAGTGCCACCAACTGAGCAAAGGATGGAGCTCAAACTACCGATCCAGACTAATATGTGTCGTGCTACGTGAATGAGACACCAACAAGCGAAATAACAAGCCTCAGCTCCGTCGGTTTCGTCGTACAAGAAACAATGTTAACGCCGGATTCCATGCCTGATGAATAATCCTCATCCGAAGCTGCCGCAGCCGCTGGCTCAAGTCTCTATCAAACGAACCCATGACAGAATCAATAGGATAAAAGCTCGCACTATCAAGGCCTTCTCTCGGCTGGATGAAAACAAGGTTGATTTGCATTTGCAGCCTTTTGCTGCTCACAAGGCTAATGCACTACGCAGTCAGTTTGTACTAGCGGGCGAGAGACCCACCAGGCCCGGCCTTGGTACGGCGTACGAGTACATCGTACATCGGCGCAGCGGCTGGATGGCCGCGTTGAAAGAGTATTGGATACTTCAACTCTCGTATATCCATAGTAGAAGTACTCCGTAGGGCCAAGTTTTTCATTCAATCTTAAATCTTATACCCAATGTACTAAGTACTGTCGTCATGTCGAATGCTTTCACCCGTTCTGTCAGGGCCGAGCGGGCCCCCTACTATGGAACTTGCACAAAGTCCTCATCCAAGCGGGATTCAAGTCTGCCAATACCGTAGCCCGGCTTAGCATCTCAGTATCAATACCTATGACTAAACTGCCAGCCGGCTCAATTCACGGATATCTCTAGGTCCCTGTACCATTGAAGCTTGTATTCCCTACCACGCGGCACGAGTACAGGGCATTGGGTGTCAGCTGCAAGTATCTTGATTGCTTCAGCCGTCCAAAGCTGGCAATGACAAGCGCAGGCCAAGAATGCTTAGCATATTCTATCGCCAGCCGACCAAGCCTCCCTGCACCGTGTCCGGGTGACGCCGTACTGGGTACCCCGTCCCTTGCCCGCGCCAGTACAAGTACGGAGGAGTACTTGCTCCGGCGCCCGTCTAGCCTGATTATTACGGCTACTAACCCCCGACTTGCCCAGACCAGGCCGGGCCCAGCTGCGGTGGCAAGTATCTGCTAGTCAGGAGTACCAGACCCCAGAACCCCAGAGTCGAGAGTCGTGCACCGTGTGGCGCACTGGACAGGCGGCTTGCTGACGATTTTCAAGTGAACCCTTATTGAAGATTTTTGCCCTTCCCCAGATTTTCTCCGCATAATCTGCGTCCCGTTCCCTTTTTTTTCTCTAATGCTACCACGTCTGAGTCAACGCGCATGCAGCATCGTCAGTCGCAGCCGCAGACGGCGTGGCGTTTGAGGACCGGCATGGTGCAACAGCCATTCTACTAGAATACTTCGTCTGCCCTATTTTTGCGCCTAGGTTTTCATGTGGCTTGGGCCTCATCTCAGCGTGAGTTTCTTGCTGAAACCGCGGCCCAACACCAAAAGCCATGGCCTGTAGCGCGGGACTCCCACTTCATATAACCAACCGTAGTGCTCGTAAGATGTCATGACACGGCGCCTCATTGCTAGTATCTGCCGTTTCTGCCGTATCTGCGGAACAAACTGCCCTGTTGCCTGTCTACCTTGTGCCGGTGAAGATCATGGATGTTGGGCACATAGATGCTTGCGAATAGCTCAGTCTCGACACCCTTGGCATCATGGATCGCGTCTGCTTGCATCATTCGACCCATTTGACAAAGCTCTCTGCCAGTTGCCCAGAACAGTCCCAAAGCTTTCCATGTTCGCACGTGTGCCTTGCACTACCTTGACGCCTCCATACCAACACGACGTATTGGTGACAACAGAGATACCTCTAACTGTGACGGCGTCAGAGCAAGGTGACTGTATGTTGCTCGAGTACCATGCTCGGTACCGAGGCAAAGCCCGGCTGCTAGTCATCGTGTTGAAAAGCACTCAGCCGTACTGTGCCGCACCAAGCCAG